GTAACGTCTGCTCTCTTCATGGGTCTTAGCTTCTGCACTATGAAAGCAAATAACAAATTGAAAGAGACCCATAAGCTGCTATCCCCAGAGGTCCCCTCCAGGGGAAAATACATGGAAGTGCCAACAGAACAGGGGCCAAAGAGAAATGATCCTCCTGCAGTCATCTATATAACAAGCATCTGAGTCCAGATGAGCTGGAGGGACATTGGATTTCTCACAAATGAAAAACATCTGGAAGCAGAAGGGGGAAAAACAAGTGCCTCATTTTTCTGGTTCTCCCGTCCTCCCTACTGTGACCTCCTACTCAGCTGTGCTGGGCTCATATGAAGGATCTAGGTCAGAGGATATGAACTCAAAGCTATCCAGAAATCTAAAGAGCACTTTAAACAAAACATACACGGTGTAAGCCATGGGGCCAAAGAGGGACATTGCCCTGTGGCAACATCTGTATCATTACTTGAAGCTTAATCATTTTTATCACCAGGTTTTCTTTATACATTCCAGTTTTTCAAGCTGGAAGGATTTCTTCACCCACTGGGTTATATGAATGACAATAGAACCTGTAGAGAAGGGCAAGTAATAGTTATGCGGGACTTGTTCATTTGCCACATTTAAACAGAGCAAAGTCAACTAATTGGCTGATTCTCTCCTAATCCAAGAGAAAAGTTATTCATTAGGGAGTTTTACTGCTGAACTCCTTGAATGTTAACATGAAGGCTTTCTTTCCTGTTGCATAATCTCAGAGCAGTTGCTGTTTGACCATATTACTTATCTCCCTTACAGCAGCCAGATTGCGGATAAGTAGCATTGTATGTGCAACTAAGCAAAGTGAATCATTTCTGCATTTTGAGGTTATTGGGGGGGGGGAGATAACAAATGCTCATATCTTGAAGCTGCAGGTCACAGGAGAGCTCCAAAGTGCCTATATATTCTTGCCAATAGTGTATTGAAATCCTTTGCATTCTCCTTTGAAATATATGCTGCAGTAAAGAAAAGGTGATGCTAATTAAAAGAGGTGGCTATTCTGTCCACCTCCACAAGGAACAACAAATACGAATACAATGGCATTTTAAGTTTTATCTCCAGTGGGCATTCCTCACCATTGTAGGATTCCAGTGTCTTATAGAGCCAACTCAGAATGGGTGTATAAGCTATAATAAGGGTAATATGTTACATGTTGGCAAACTGACATCTATGCAGGTGTATGTTGGTGTAAAGAAACATAAAGAATGGCAAGTACTACCCTTTGCTGCATGCCTAAAACAGCAGGTCAGATCAAGACCATCTCTGCTTTGGACTGAAGATCTCAGGTTTTTTTAAAGGATATGCAGAGAAATATAATTAGGAAAATGGCACTCCAATCTGGAATCTTCTTCTTAAAACAATAGCTTCATGTTACTTTGTGTTAAGACAAGCCTTGAAAATGACCCAGGATGCTTACTGAGTTGCCTGGGGAAATTGCAGCTAACTTTGCCAAATCTTCTGTGTTTGAGCCATTGGGCCTAGGCTTGTTAAAACAGCCGTGTTTGACCTGGAACACAACTGTGTTTTAATTCTGATATACTTGCTTGCTTTTCGTAGTTCCAGCTCCCCAGCTCACATTGTTCTTCCGATTCTGGTATTTCTTTCTAAACACTAACTTTGTGGAGGATGTGAGCCAGATACGGCTTGGAATGGCAGGGATTTGTCGTTGATGAACTCCAGCACTTTCAAAACCAGAAAGCTTTAAGAATATGCATGAACAAGAAGTTGTACAGTTGTAGGGTTGTAGGGTTCCGACCTGACAAGTCTATATTAATCTATTCAAACAACAAGGAACAAACCAAGGAAATGTTCATGCAGGACAGAACTACAATGGTGCACTGAAAGAGGGAATCCAAGTGGGTATTCTCTGTCTCCAGCCAAGTAACATGGAGTTCAATTCATTTCTCCTGCACAAGCTTCAGTAACATGAGTGAGAGCTGTTCTCCTTACAGAGGAGCTTCTCTTCAGACGGGCTTTGAATCGAGTCCACTCCCATGCTATCTGCAACAAGAGTGGGGAATCTGTGGACCTCCAGATGTTCTTGGACTACAGTCCCCACCATCCCTGACCATTGACCACGCTGGCAAGGCCAGATGGGAGTTGCAGTCCAGCAGCATCGTGCGGAAGGCAGACATGCATAGAAGCCACTAGAGGAGTTTAAAAAGCAGACAGTATTCAATTTCCTCTGCTGATTTAGGGCAAAGGAGCAAGGTGGAGGTGTATTTGAGTCCTTGCAGATGGGCTCTGCATGGTGCTGTTGCACAAACTAGCTATGAAGCCACAGTGCCCCACTGATTCCAGGTAGCTAGATATAAAACACAACCTTAGGGGTTAGGTTGTGATTCTGGTCTTTTGTGGGGTGAAAGGATTTGAGGTGTCTGAGAAGCATATGACCAAAGTATAAATTCAGCTGACATGCACACAAACATAGTTCTGTATACTCCTGTTCTATAGAAAGCCAAACCTCTATGTTTTAATTGGATTTTGGGCATTATAGTACATGGCAGCCTTTCACACTAGCTCTAAATAAATATTTCTGACCAAATATACCAGGTATAAAGTAGAAGAGAAGTATTTAAAAATAGTGTGTGCATATCCATACCATGTTCAGGACTGACATGCGACGTGCAAAAATGTGTTTTACAAGCCAATCTGGTGCAAGTTTCAGCTGCTAGCTTAGGTGGTTTTTTAAAGGTGTGTCAGACAAATTCACGAAAGATACTGCTAAGATTGAAGTGGGGCTTCCTAGGACACTTCCAGACTGTTGCTGTTTTCAGATGGGATTCAACCACATACTTGCAATTTCAGGTTGCACAATTATAGCTGACTGGGCAGTCTTGCACTACAGAACTGCTTCCTCCATAAGATGGGTCCTTTTCATGATAAGGAAAATGAAACGCACTGGGAAATCCGAGCAAACAAATCAGAAGGTATGCTCATTAAGTCGCCAGTGTCATCTAATCTTCCTGCAAACAAGCTGGGATAAATGCTCAATAAATAGATTGTTTGGACGTGCCCTTAGTCTACAGGTAGGATACATATCAGTAGTGGAGAGTTACTGCCTTTATGTCCTACTTTTAAATGTCTCAAAGTTATCTGGCCGGCTGATGATGTAAAACTAGATGGACCTTTGCACAATCCTCTTGGTCTCTTCTTATGTTGCTTCCCTAGGTGTGTGTTTCGTTTAGCCCAATTTATCCCTTGTGGGTTAGCAGCTTTCACTAAGCATCTCTAGATAGACTGGGCTCCTTCACATTAAAAGCACTGTAAGGAAAACACACAGAGGAGAGAGAGAGAGAGAGAGAGAGAGAGAGAGCATATTCTCAATCCTACTCCTCTCTACACTGGTGAAAACAGGTTCAGAAATAGAATATAGGCAGCTAGATCTCCAAAGTATCCAGCATGGGGTGAGTTTCCTCAAATAAAAAATATCATTAACTGGGTGCAAATTGCTCAGTATCATTTAATTCCACCCCCACCCCCCGATGCTGCAGTGGTGTTTAAGTAACATACACTGAATGAAGCACTTTTTATTAAGACTTCAATCAGAGGAGGCAAATCTGTGGCCTTTCAGGTGCTGTTGGATGCAAAGTCCCACTTGTCCCAATGGCATAGTCAAAGATCAGGGAAGATGGGTGTTAATAGTTGTCCAACAATCTCTGGAGGACTACAGCTTCCCCATCCCAGTACTAAAGAAGTTGACAGTTGGACTAGAAGATTGGCATCAATTTAGGCCACTGTTGTAAAGCGATTTCTTTGTCATTTCTTGATCTCAGGACTGTGGCCAGTTTGTTATGCTCTTGAACAAGATTGCTGAATTATTGCTTGGATATATATGTGTAGTCTTCTTCTTCTTTTAAAAAAATAATAATGTATTGATCCAAATGCACTTGGTAACTTTTGTAAAGCTGAAAACATTAAAGCAAATAGGCAGACTTAAGGACTTTGAACTGTAATGCACATCGACTTTTGTGCTTCCTTCAGGAATTGTGGAATGCTTTTTCTTCTTTCATTTAAGAAGGGACCAAATATTAGCTTTTTCTATCCATGTCTGAATAAAGAAGCTAGGAAGTAAGACCTGTTTTGTTCAAGGCATTTTTTTGTTCATGAACTCTCAATAAAAATTTTAAACTTAGTATTTTAGATTCCCTGTAATTTCTCCATATCATTTTCCTCTGGATTAAGGGGAAACTGTAATAAGGTTTGATGTTGGTAGCCGTAATGTTGGTGATGGAGGGACAAGGGTAGGACTGTTTCTGGAGCCTCTTGAACTAAATTCAATGTTGATTGTAGAGGAGCTCTATACGTTTCCTTCTTGTCAATTACAGCTGTCATTTTGCTCCTGTTGGCAACGGCTGCATGAGTTTCCTAGTTGGCAAGAAGAGTATTAACATTCCTGGCTTCATAACAAAATTGGTGGAAACACAGCAACTTAGTATTTAGTATTTAATAACTTGAGACTGCTGTCCTTTATGCACTTAACCTGGAAGTAAGAAACATTGAGTTCAATGGAATTTACTTCTGGGTAGGCATGCCACTGAAAGTAACATTAAAATACTGGTTGTGTTAATGGTGGGGGGTATTGTGGTTTCAAATTCACTTACGACGCACCCCTTCCACCTCACATTAAATTCTTTCCCCCTGCATCACTACTACCTCCACATATCTTTACCTCTCAACATGATTGATTTTTTTTTCCTAAGTGACAAATTACAGTACAACAGCTATGCTCCTACAGATTGTTTAAAACCAGTAATTTCTCTATTGCATGAGCACAAGTATAGTGCTGGACATCTGAGGTTTTAAATAAAATGTCTGGCAAAGGTAATAAGTCACAAAGATTTCTTTCCTTAGATTTATACCTGTGAAAGGCAAGTTCTGCTTGGTCACTAAGCCATGGAACAGAACTGGCTTCTTCAAGACTTTCTAGGTAGGAAGTCAGGGGAATTAAGTTTTAATTAAATTCAGAAGCCAGGGAACACAAACACAGCTAGTTTTATTATACAACATTGAAAGCTAGCTAATCTGGAGAAACCAGCCAATAAAAAGACACTCCCATTCTCCATGACCTTCTTTCATGCTTACTATTCCCCTCCCCACCCCCCAAAAAAGCATTATAGGCAGACTATTTTCTAGAGAAGGCATGTTTCTCAAATAGCACAGAACCGAGACAGAAAAATATCAATTGTTAAACTACCTAGGGATTATGTCAGTGTAGATGATACTGTGATAATGGATCATTGGGCTGCCTCTGTAAGGTAGCTGCCTGTGTTTCTAAATTAAAGTTCATTACTTCTTAATAAATATTAAAAGTTTCACTGATGTTAAAATAAAAAGGAACCGTATGTGTCACCCCTGTGCAGATAAGGTGGGGTTGCTCCGAAACACACCCATAGGAGGACTTTCTTCCTCATCTACAACTAGTTGCCCATGAAACCGGAATTAACAAACACCTATTCCTCACCCAACTTGCTCTGAGAGCAGTACAAAAGACTACTCCCTCCTCCTGCCTCTTCTAAGAAGCTCTCCAAAATATGCCCATTTCCTGTTCCACCCCACCACGCTACCAATTAGTAGGTCACAAGTAGGAACCTACTCAACAGGAACCTACTCCTGGCTAAGTGCTTAGGCAGGCCTTTCTCAGCCTCGAGTCTCCAAGTGTTCATGAACTGCAACTTCAGTGCTGGGTAGCTCAGTAAGTAGAGCACGAAACCCAGCCAGAGGGGTGGGGTAGAAATAATAAATTATAATATTATTATATCTTTTAATCTCAGGGTCATGGGTTTGAGTCCCACATGGGGCAAAAGATTCCTGCACTGCAAGGGGCTGGACTATAGGACACTGGTGGTACCTTCAGTTCTACAATTCCATCATCCCTGAATTCCATCATCCCATACTGGTCAGATATTTGGGGACTCAAGGTTAAGAAAGGCTGGCTTAGATTCTAGTGACCATAGCCTCTTGCTCAGGTGTGGGGAACCTTTGGCCCTTCAGATGTTGCTGATCCTTGACCATGCTTGCTTGAGCTGATAAGGAGTTGTACTTCTGCAACACCTGCCCTCTCCTGCTCATTGCTTCCTTGTTCACATTCCAGAAAAGAGATCGCTGTTCACCCTCTTTGCAACTGGACCACTGTTCCCTCTCTGGTTCACGTGACTTGATTCCTTACCTCATCCTTCACACTTTCCCTCAGGAAGGATCCAGTTCCTGGGTCTTGTGGCTTAAGAAGTACCCTCCCCAACCACATACTGTTTTTGCAGATCCACGATCAATTTCTCAAACTGATTCTGTGTCACTGTAAACCACCTCCCCTAAATATAAAATATATACATGCAGTGCCTAGAGTGGAGGGGAAGATTGTGAACTTTATTTTGATACTTTTGATAATGGCAGAACATTTCATTATTATACAAATTCCCCAAAAAATTATTATCATACCCCCCACTGCCTCTTGAGTACTTAAAATCTTAAATTTTGTCAGCCTACAAGCAAACAGCTGAGATCCTTAGATAATTAAAAGGAACGTCAAGGGTGACACTGTTTGGACTGGGCTGACCAGCTCAAATTCTCTTCCTTGTTCCACACAAGCAAATCAACCAAGGTAAGGGACTGTTACTCCATTAACTTGTACTGGGAAGACAGTGGCTGCAATCATTACAGATGCTTGCAGGGAGACACAATTGTTCCTACAATTTATTGTCCAAGCTTTTGAAATGGAAATTTGAGGACAGCAGCTCTCAAATCCCACCCACCTTGCAGACCACTCAGAAATTACTGGCTGTCTCAGTGGACTGCTTAGGCTGCAAAGTTATACCCAATTAGCTAGAAGTAAGCTACCTTGAAGTCAGTAGAACCGAGTATAGCTATATGTAGAATTGACTCAAAACTTCAAACTAAACAATTCCAAAGAATTTGGGTAATATATTTGCATCAGCGCATCATTTTTGTTCACAATCACTTTTACAGCTATGATCCAACTGCAGGAATTCATTCATGTTTCAAAATTAACAATTGTGCTTCATTCAGTGATTAAGCAGACACACGCCAGAAATAGACATTCATTTGTCTGAACAGTGGCCTAGATGTTTCTGCATAGGAAGCAAGAATATTGTTCATCTCTGAAATATTGTCTGAAAGCAGGGATATATTTCGCGACTGGACTTAACTGCCAGGGGTCCTTTACCTTTATACATGATTACCAGCAAAACCAAAAAGAAAAAAACCACACAACTCATATATGAAAAGTTTAGGGCAGCCAAGACTCACCAAAACATGGCAAATTTTTGGAGTCGTGGCAAGACCACTTGTGCTAAATCATATGCTAAAAGTTGCATAAAAAATCAATGCAAGAACCAATACGTAATCTTAGGTTCCCTCAGACTCAAATCCTTATTCTTATGGACATTACATGCTCTCTCCCAAGAACTCTCAAGTTAATTAAGATAGGACTTGCTCAAACCCCGCTGAGTAGTCCAAGCCCAAACACGCCTGTAAGAACCAATGGCATGGGAGCATAGTCATCTAGTCCATTTAGTCAGGTCTCTGTCTTTCCTCAGCAGTAGAAGGCCAATTACGGGGCTGTTTTCTTCTGCGCCAGCTCAGCCAGTTGCTGCTGGCGCCTTTGCAGCACCTCCTGGCGTTTCTTTTCATAGTACTCGTACTCCCGGGCACGGATCTCCTCTACCTCAGGGAAAAAACGATGTCTGCAGTAAACAGAGGCAAAAAGAGAGTTAAGCAAGCCATGCAGCCCAACTCCCGACCTTTGCTTATCAGGCGTCCCTCAACAAAGCTCTATCCTGCCATCCACCGTGCATGTTAGTACAGTACACACAACCCATTCCTTTTCTGGTTGGGGAGGTTCTAAAACGTAGGACGAGTCCTAGCTAGCCAAGAACCACACACCGAAAAGTTCTTGGAAAAGAGAGTAATAAAACTTCCTACGGCCATTAGACTGATTGAGACTTCATAAAGAGCTATGAATCTGTGTGGGGTGGGAGACTTGGGGAAAACTCCAGTCAGTCTTATGCACGTTTACCCAGCAGAAAGCCCCACAGAGGAATGGGGCTTACTCCTAAGGAGCGCTGCAATGGGTTTGCAAACCTGTTTCTGCAAAAACACAAAGCCTTGCAAGACTCGAGAGACCAAACAGATGGCATATGGCACAAACCTTCCGAACCGAAGGAAAACCCAACCCAGCAAAAGTCTGTATCGCAGCAGATTCGCTAGCTTTTAAAAGCACCACAAATACACTTTTGGGGTGGGGGGTCTCCTTTGTGAAGTCCACAAAAATGGGATCTTGCAAGAGGACTGCCGCGGACTTTTTCACGGTGCAATCCTATGCGTGCTTATGATGCAAAAGTTCGGCGGGGATCACTCCCAAGAAAGTGAGCCGAGGGCCAAGCTGAAAGGTCAGGGAGCTGGAGAAGCTTGCTGGACTGTGCACTTTATTTCCGACCTCAGCACCAACCCCTGCCAGACTCCTTGAGCTCCTCCTCCCTTTGGACTCCTGCCCAGGCCCTCTCACGGCACCTGTACACGAAGGCGGTCGCCAAGGCACAGAAGATGCCCCCAAACAACAAGGGCTTGGACAGACGTTTCTTCGCGGAGAAGCCCGCCATGGCTGGAAGGGACTCGGCGGCGGAGCGGTAGAGCGGACCCTCCCACCTCTAAAGGGTACTTGTTCCCCGCTAGGGCGCTGCCCTTAGTGTAACTCTTCCGCCCGTTCTTCGACGCAACATCCGGTTACCTGCGATTTTGCTGGAGTTTTTTTCCGTGCGTGCCGGCGTGTCTCGTCCGGAAGTTCCGTGCGAGGTTTTGCTGTGCCTCCAACCGGCTGGGCGATAAAGCGAGGCGGGTGCGGGCAAAGGAAGGAGCCACCCAAGGGCAGCAGGTAACGAAGTGGGCGGGGAAACGGACGGAAATACCCAGGGTTAGATTCTTATGGCAATATCCTATCCTAGACCTCGGTTTACCTGTAAGCCGCCTGGAGTCCCTATCAGGGGGAAAGGCGGAGTACAGTATAAGAAAATACAGTGGTACCTCGGGTTACAGACGCTTCAGGTTACAGACTCCGCTAACCCAGAAATAGTACCTCGGGTTAAGAACTTTGCTTCAGGATGAGAACAGAAATCGTGCTCCGGCGGCGCAGCAGCAGGAGGAGGCCCCATTAGCTAAAGTGGTGCTTCAGGTTAAGAACAGTTTCAGGTTAAGAACAGACCTCCAGAACGAATTAAGTACTTAACCCGAGGTACCACTGTATAGACGACTACTACCACCACTACTAGTAGCAACAATAATATGTTAACTTGGGGTCTTTTTCAGCCACGTTCTGGTCAGGCAGCCTTCCAGGGATCAGAAAGTCTTCCAGAATAAATATGGGAAACCTGATCCATCATATGATGGGTTTTCCTATGCTGGGGAGGACACCCCAAAGGAGAGGGGAGTGGCAGTTGTTTCATGGGGCCATTAGATCATACACACGGGTGACGCTGTAGTCTAAGCCACTGAGCCACTTAGGCTTGCCGATCAGAAGGTTGGTGGTTCGAATCCCCAACAGGATGAGCTCCCATTGCTCTGTCCCAGCTCCTGCCAACCTAGCAGTTCAAAAGCACACCAGTGCAAGTAGATAAATAGGTACCGCTGTGGCAGGAAGGTAAACTGCATTTCCGTGCGCTCCAGCTTCCATCACTGTGTCCCATTGTGCCAGAAGTGGTTTAGTCATGCTGGCCATGACATGGGAAGCTGTATGTGGACAAACACCGACGCCCTTGGCCTGAAAGTGAGATGAGCGCCGCAACCCCATAGTCGCCTTGGACTGGACTTAACCATCCAGGAGTTCTTTACCTTTTACCTTAGATCATACATGGGTAAATACTGGAGAAGTGGTGTTTTAAGGACACATCTACACAAGTCGCAAAGGGTTGCCCTGGCAGAGTGGTGGGTTATAGTCACGCAGTCTCATTTATTTTACTGGGAGCTTTTCCATAGTTATGTGGAGGAACTGGAGAGTAGGAATACTAGTTGGCGGGGCATTGATTGAATTTTTGTACGCCCTGTGTCTTCTAGTTCCCTGTTTAGTTAATATTTAAAAGAGGAAGTAGTGGGTGTTTTTTTAAAGGCTATTGGAGAAATTGGCAATATTTCTTGCTGTAATTCTGAGTACACAAAGGTGAGGAGTCTAGTCATGATTAGAAAATGTTTTCTGTCAAATGGCTTCCTGCCTCACTGAGAACCTAAGAGTTGTCCCGAACAAGCACATAAAAACCATATCCGTATTGTAAAACATTAAGGGACATGACCAGAGAGTTTGTCATATGGCAGCGTAGGAAGCTTGGAGGGAGAATGTTATATGCAAAGATCTAACTTGGAAAGTTTAGCTTCATGGTTTGTTTTCAGGTCAAAAGTAGATTTGATTCTACAGACATGTGGAAGTACTTTTTTGAGGCAGTGGGATTTTCCACATTTGGGAGATGGAAAATGCTTTTTCCTGAATGAAAAGCAAAATGCATTAAGGAAAAAATAAAGCTATAGTTTATTCACTGCTCGTATAAAATTATTAGCTTGAAATTATACATAGTTTAAAGAGGTTAAACAATAAAGACTAGGAAATTGGGATTGAAAATGGAGAAGAAATCTTTCACAGAACCTTTCAGTACTCCTGTAATAGTACATCCTTCAGAATATTATTTCAAATGAAACTCTGCCTTTTCTTCTAGCACCATGTCCCAAAACCACAAGGACCTGCTTGGTCTGGGTCGCCTTGAATACCTACAGGCCCTAGTCACTGAATTCCAGGTGACTGAGAGCTCAGGTGAGTATAATTTATTGGCCACTAGCTGCTTTTGTTCTATGTGTATCAATGCCTTGCCCATCTTAGTTGATTCTTTCTTCCTCTCAAGAGTTGTTGCTTTGGTAACACAGTTTTTATTCATTTTCATCTTTGAACTGTTTAACGTGTTTGCATTGTATATATTTTTGTTTGCATTAGAGCATATGACATGCAATATTACATAAAAATCAAACAACCACAAAAACTCAAATAAACATTTCTGAATATGTTAACAAAGTTGTGTCAAAATTTATATACCAAAAATATTACCTCAAGAGTTGTTTTATATTATTTCAGAAGCCAAGGAGCAGGTGTTGGCCAATCTAGCTAATTTTGCTTATGATCCTAAGAACTATGAATATCTCCGGCAGCTGAAAGTATTGGACCTGTTCCTAGATATGCTCAGTGAGGACAATGAAACCCTTGTGGAATTTGCACTTGGTAAGGCTTGGTAAGGTTTAAGCTTGATGCTTACTATGAATTAAAGCAATTTTTTAAAGCTTCTCTCAACCTCCACGCTTGAAAGTATACTCCCACGTCACTTTAGGGATAGTCAAGTTAGTCAGTCTTGGTACATGGCAGTGGTTTTTTTACCTTTACCTTTATAGCAGTGGTTATGATTGTAAGCTGGGAAGGCCTTGTGGTTCAGCCATTAAATCTCTAACTGTTCAATCCTGTACACGTCTGCTCAGACCTATGTCCCATTGTTCAGTGGGGCTTCCTTCTGGGTAAGCAAGCATTGGATTGCAGCCTGTGGCCTTAAGTAAACTTCTCTCTTTCTCTCTCATCAGCCTCAAACCCCCATTTAATGTTGACCTCTCTTACAATGTGTGTAAAAGCAGGATTACTAAGTAAATGTGTGTGAAACATTTTAGTGTTCAATGCACTATATAAATACTGAATATCAACATTATTAAAATCTGTATCCTTTGTGGGGGCAAGATAAATCTTCACAATTAGAAGAATTTTAGTCAGAGCAGCCAGCTAACATTGTAAACTTAGGAAAAGAGCAGTTACTGTGCCATTCCAGTTGTTTTTGGACTCCAACTCCCCCAGCCAGCATGCTCAATGGTCAGGGAACATGGGCATTGCTGTCCAGCAAAATCTGGAGGGACATCGGTTCTCCATACCCATACAACAGTATCACTTGTTAAGAAAACACCATGGGTTGGGGGGCCACCAAGTGGCGCATTGGAAGATGGCCGACAATAACATCTCTCCGACCCATACGAGGTAATTAAGAGGCTGCTATGGGAAGTATGCAGTCTTCCTACCCCCCCAAGGAGATGGGGGGGCTGCCTTGCCAGCGGTGTCCACAACGCACCCCCGGATTCGGTTGTTTACAGGGGGTGCCGGTCACTTGGCACGAGCCCTCGATGAGGTCGGCTCTTCCTGACGCCGGTTCCAATCAGCGCGTGCTGGTTCACTTTAGCTCGGAATTATAATTGGAAACATACGATTGGAATGAAGCTAAAGCACATACATCAAACAACGTTCGGGAGATAAGACTGCTGATTAATGGATCTCTGTGACCGGAGTGACGGATGGATAAGTAAATCAACTGATGAACCACCATTAAGAGACTGGTATGTTTGGAATGAAGGGGGGGTGGAGGAAAAAACTTTTCCTTTCTTTGTATTATGTGATATAAATAACCCTCCACCCCAGAAAGAAACAAGATCGTTGCGTTTTACTAACCACAAGCAGGAATTCAAGAACTGTGTGGAGTGGATTATAGTTAAAGAGATGATTGGTAAACAACGAGAACGGAGGAAAATTTTATGACGCAGCATAAAATGGCGTCTCGCTAAGACAGGCTTGCCTGAGAAAGAAAGACGGGGAGAATCAGGACCATTGGAATGAGAATGTTGGTTGGAATGTGATCTTATCCTGACAGAGCCCTCCTGATATACTTGGCAAGCCTGAGAAAATTAAAGGACAGACTGAAGATTAATTTTTTATGGAAGCGTGGAATGGCGGCTGTCCCTGAGCGATATGATCTTTGGAGAGTACAAAACCCACACAGAGGATGCCTGTCTCTAATCCGCTTGTGAAGATTATCAGAGATCGCAAAGAAAGGAATATATGATAACAACAAGAAGATGAAGAAAGTAATAAAGGACTATCTGGATTGAACTGGATAGAACTGTTTAATTAAAGCAGCAATATAAGTGATGTTTGGACTCGTTTGGAGCTTGATGTATGGGTACCCCCAATAAAATTTAAAATTTGGCTGTATAATTTGGAACTAATGTGATTTGGATAATGTGATGTGATTGGCCTGTTAATAAAAATTATTAAAAAAAGAAAAAAAGAAAACACCATGGGTTAAATATATCAGCCCACACAGTGTGGAAATAATTGTTTACTTTTATTATCATCATGCTAATAATTCAGCATCCAAAATCTTTCAACAAATGATTCAGTTTTATTTCTCGAAGCCATGAGCAAACCAGTTGGTCCCCATGAATTCCAGGACCTGTTAACGTGCAGGATATCCCACTTCTTGTAAAAGGCTGCTTAGTCTGACATGCGGAGTTGAAGGAGCAGGTGAGACACTGCTGAGCCAATAAGAGCAGGAAGCAGACAAGTTTTGAAAACAAAGGAGCATTCTCTTACGCAGAGGCTGCAGCACTTACAGGAGCGCACAGTGCCTTCTAGTGTTGTGGGGGGGGAGTTAGTATGAATGCTTTGGTTGGGGAAAAAACAGGAAGGCTTTTTCAGAATGAAAACAAGGTAGATAATTGCAATCAGAGGGAGTTGTTATGGGGAGAAAGAAAGAAAACAAAAAAGTTTTTAAGTTGAACAAGAACCCAGTGGTGTTCTTTTATTGCAGATAGCTTAGTGTGTAACCCTGCTGGTTTCTTGTTCCACTTAAAAAGTTCTTTGTTTTCTTTCTTTTCCCTCTCATAACAAACTGTGTGTTAAGCTAATGAGGAACCTGTGGCAGAGTGTGAAAATAGTTAAACACACACTAGTATTGCCACCAGTCAACTTTGCAAGACATAAATTACATCGTTCCCAGCCCATAATGCCCTGTGCCTCTTGCTAGCTCTTCCCTTCAGCATCTTGTCCTTTGCCAACAGATTCCAAATTCTTCTTAATCACATTTTGTAAGTGGCAGATCCCCCTCCCCCCCATGTGTGCAATGTTTACAATTCTCATGACAGAACCTGAATATATAATAGAAATTTTAACCTGTGTCTGCCTGGCTATAACTCCCACTGAGATCTCCCCTCTCTCTAGTAACCAGTTGCTTTCGTTGGGGAAAGAGGAAGGGAAAGTCAGGACAATGCAGAGGCAAGCATGCAAGCTACGTAGGGAAAGACTTAGATCATGGTTTCCCAAACTTGGGTCTCCAGCTGTTTTTTGGACTACAGTGCCCATCATCCCTGACCACTGGTCGTGCTAGCTAGGAATGATGGGAATTGTAGTCCAAAAATATCTGGAGACCCAAATTTGGGGAACCCTGATTTAATAATAATAGTAAAATTAATTTATATCCTGCCCATCTGGTTGGGTTTCCCCAGCCACTCTGGGCGGCTTACAATATATATAAAAACACAATAAAACATCAAACATTAAAAAACAAAATATCCTGTACAAGCAACAAACAAACCAATAAATCAATAGAAACCAATAACAACAATAATAAACAGTTTACAGTTATACCCAAATTAAAATTACCGCCAATCTCAACTAAACATTTAACCAACACCAACTCAACAAAAAACAGGGGAACCAAAATTGGAACAGTTTAAAACATTTTAGCCAGTTGCCCCAGCCCAAGAGTTGTTCCAGCAATGTCCCTCTTTTAGCCGTTCAGGGTGAGTCTGAGTGACTTAGATGAACCTAGTTGCCTCAATACCTATGGCAGTGGTAAATGTGAAGTAGATGAGAAGGCTGGTCCTGTCTTTACTATCTCATTCTCTCGTACTTTAGGTGGCCTTTGTAACCTCTGCCTGGACAAAATCAACAAAGACTATATCTTGGAGGCAGATGGTGTCGCAGCCGTTGTCGGTTCCCTCTCCAGCTCCAATGAAGAGACTGTGATGTCCGCAGTCACTACTTTAATGTACTTGACCACCCCCCAGTCTCGCCAACAGATCACGGCTCTTCCCGTGGTGGAATGCATGCTGCGCTTCTCCCTCTCGGCCAACCGGAGGCTACGAAACCTGGCAACCATCTTCCTTGAAGATTACTGCACCCCTCATCAGGTAGAGGCGGCCAAGGCCCTGACCGAACACACCGCCCTAGGGATCCCCCTGCCAAAGGACTGATGTGGCACGGAGGGCAGCAGGAAAGCTTTTCATGGAAGAAGCAGCAGCCCTTGTGTTGGAAAAAGCCAGCCCTCGGGTGAGGATAATCATCCCCGGAATCTCAGTTTAAAAAGAGACTCTTCAGGAACTGTTAAGCACCACGAGGCATGCATCTGATGCTGTCATTTTTAGGGGCTACTGAAATATTTTGGCACCTAGTCACATTACATCGGGCTTTGGTGGGAGGCTGGATTACACCGAGGTGTCCTGCTGCCTAGCTCTCCTGGGTAAGCCAGCCTTCCATCTGCTGGGTGGGCTTCTCACTGGCAGAAGACAGCAGGAAGCCCCAAAACAGGGCATTGCAAGGGCAAGGAGGGGCAAAGTTGAGCCAGCCCAGGATCTGCTGGATCCTAAGCTGGTCTTAGTACCAAGATGCAGTGCATTCAAGGTGAATCTGGGCCCAGTTCCTACACTGACCTGGAGATGGTGCAGCGATCTGGCCCAGTTCAAGCCTGACTGTTCTCCCCCACCGCCACCGCTTTGCAGCCAAAGTGAGCTGCGATGCTACTGATGCAGTAGGGGGTCTGCTGCTTGGCCAAGCTCTGCCAGCAGGGTTGGGAGTTTAGATTGCCCCTTAAGCTTGTCTTTCATTCTACTGGAATGAAAGTCAGTCATTCTATTGGAATGAGCATGGAACTCCTTGCCAATAGTAGTTCAGCAGGAATCAGGAGATGTGCCACGATTATGCTTAGTTGTCTTGTTACATTTTGTTATACATCTTTAAAAATCCCAATGCATTTTTACTTTCTTCCTCTTTTTTATTTTTTACACTTCCTTTCTTTTTTAAGGAAGCTTGGCAGAGTTCCATTAGTGCTTTCTTTCAGTTGCCTTTGCAAACTCTGCATTGTTCAGACATGCTTTTGGAGTGTGAAATTTTTTAACCAACCAGATTTGATTGATGGCTTTACTGTTGTGGTGGTATTTTGTACCACCTTGTTATATTTTCCTGTGAAAGCGTGGTTTATAAATATTTGAATAAAGAACAGATAGATAAAATACTGTTATCTGGAGATTTAAATTGTGCTTCAGGACCCTAATAGCTATTATAGTGGATATACCTTGGAGCAGGAGAATACAGGTGGGAATCCTGTTGCCCTCCAAATATAGTTGGGACTCCAATTTCCATCAGCCAGTGTGGTCAGGAATGATGGGTGTTGGAACATTTGGAAGGTCATGGGTTGCACATCCCTGCTTTAGCTGGGCTTTTTTCTCTTTAAGCAGCAGAATGAACAAAAGACAGGTGAGCAATAGCAAATGGCTCACTTGGTTAGAGTGTGGTGCTGATAATGCCAAGTTTGCAGGTTTGATCCCCGTATGGGACAGCTACATATTTCTTGCACTGCAGGGAGCTGAACTAGATCGGAGCTTTCCAAACTGTGTGCTGTGACACGTTAATGTGTCGGCGGCAGTGTGTAGGTGTTGTTAGGATCGTCCTGCTCTCATGTAGGACCCTGGTAGAGACACATGCCCGACTGGCATATTCTTTCCTTCCTGGTCGGTCGGGAGCTTCAAAAGCTTTCTCCAACCCGAACATCACAGCGTCTGATACCAAGAAGCATCAGCACACTTAGGGATCCTGGAGAGTATTTGCAGTTTGCATAACAGACTCAATAGCTCAGCATCTTGGCTAATCTACTTTATTTTACATATAATACATTCGGAGCATTCTGACTTAGCTCCTTCCTCTTTCTCATCAGACAGCAAAGAGAGAAAGGACAAAGGACAATAGTCCCACTTTCCAGAACACAGTAATACCAAAACATCCTGTCTCCGTCACTTCCCACTATGTGGAATGAAACATACACCGCCTTGTGATAGACAACAATCTTGTGACTGGAAACACAGAGCAAGAATCCTAACAGGTGTGTCACGCGAATGCTCCTCCTGGGACTGGAAAGAGTTTAGTTGAACCTCCGGTTTGCTAATAAAACTAAAGTACCGTGTCACAAAATGATGCATGTCTAAAAAGTGTGTCGTCAACATGAAAAGTTTGGAAAGTTCTGGACTAGATGATTCTCAGGGTCCCTTCCAACTCTACAATTCCACGATTCTATTACTGTACCCTAAAATCTTAGTGCTTTGAATCATAGAATCATAGAGTTGGAAGAGACCACAAGGGCCATCGAGTCCAACCCCCTGCCAAGCTTTGAGGTCCCCCCTGTTCCTTTCCTGGCCCTGTGTATACCAGCTACTGATCGTTTGCACTTTTATTTATCTAGATGCATGACAAAGACTCCACACAGGGATTTAACATCTTTATAACTCACATTGTTGATGTTTAATTAGGACAAAACACTACTCTCTTGCAAATAGAAAATATATTTCCGTCTGATCCGGCTCACTGGGTGGGTGTCTTGCTTCATTCCAGTGGGGTTTAATGACCAGCTGGTGTTTTGGGTCACTTTCACTGCCTGTTGAAGTACGCGCTCCTTTCTTCAGCCATCACTTGGAGCGCTTGCTTTCCAGTATTGTCCTCCAGTCATCAGTCCAAGACTCGAGTCTCCTTCGTGGGGGCTGCAGCTTTAGATGCTTGTTATGACAGCAAGAGAACAAGATGTGCTCCCAGCTCGGATTAGGCTCAACCCCTGAGAAGAATAAGAATGGAAAATTGCAAGAGCGACCATTTCATCACTGGAGCAACAGTAAAGCATTTGGATCTGGAAACTGCACTGCACATTCTCGTACCTTTAACGGCATCCTTGTCATCAAAGAGCAGATCAGCAGACACAACTGTTTTATCTCTGGTCAGAATTATCCGCTCCACAAATTTGGGACCCAAGTGCTTTTGAACCCAGCTGTACTATCAGGTGAAGAAAGATCAGTATCAGAAGAATTTTAATTACAGCCTTTTTACCAAAAAAGCAAAGAAGCCAAAACACTCGACTACATCTGACTGGTTATTTAGACAGGAGAGTCAGAGGAGACGTGAAATTATAAAGCTGGTATGAAATGTTTTCTACAAACTTTGACAGACATTTTCTCATTTCGCAAATTGCTTAGGCTGCAATCCTGAACACACATACTCAGGAATGAATGCAGTGGGGTGTACTTTTGAGTAAACATGCAGAAGATGTATTTTGTAATCAGGCTTGTAGAGCAGAAGCTGGTGGCTTCCTGAAGCATCTGGAGGAGGTAGAAATTCTTGTTAACATAGGTATTCCAATCATCATACATTTTGGTCATCCAGCTCAATGCAGAGATTCTCACGGGGGTTTTTTCACAGAAAAGGGGGAAACATTTAAATAAATTGGGCCAAAGGGCAAGAAAAATGCCAAATGTTTTCTGTTACCTACAAGATTCACAACACAATCTTGTGCACGTTTACTCAGGCATAAGCCCCACTGTGTCTTCTTCCTAGTTACATGTGTCTAGAACTGAAACCTCAACCATTAATGTGAATGTGCAAATGACGGCTGCTCATTATACTTGTCACACCATTGTCACATTCCTATTGTTGTCTCTTCTGTTGTCTTGGCCTTTGACTCCATGGTCTGTCTGCTTAAAAACTGTTAATGTTCTAATAACTTAACTCAAGCACAGTACTGCTCTGTTGTCCTAACAAGATCATTTTGATTGAAGGGTAAGATAAAAACTTTCATTATATATAGATTATACTGTGAATTCAACAAAACAAAGTCTATTTTCCTATCTATGTCAGCTGGCCATCAACTTAGGAGACCGTTTTCTTCATTAATCTGACAAAGTGGGCTGTAGCTCACAGATATTTAAGCTATGCATGTCTCACCAAGTGTGAATGACACACATATGTAGAATTAAATTTATGTCTCTATAAAATATCAGAAGTAGTGTCTTAGAAAGGATCAGCTCACAGCTTCCAAATTTTAAAATGAAATTGGAGTGACCACGTATGGAGAAGACAGGAAGTCGGTTCGATGTTTAGAACACCTAGTTTAAAATGTATTAGACAGCGACAAACTTTTATGTTAACTACGTTATTTGATTCTATGTCTGTCTTTATATGTTCAATAAAGCATTAAAAGAAAATTGGAGTGACCTTCAGTCAGCAAAACCCTAGACCCCTTTTAAAGAAGAGTAACTTCTGGTTTGGGTGTATTATAAAAAATATAGGCTTGTGTTTCGTGGGGGTACATATCCTACTTTTATAACCAGCAAATACATTTGCTCCTTTTCCAGTGCAAGGTGCAATAGACTGTTCAACTGACTTGTGCCTGCAAGTTACCATTCCAAAGCCTCTGAAATACTGCCATAGGTGGGGGATCTACATCAGAGCAGGTAACCCAATGGTGTGGAAGGGACATGAATAGAGTCTCACCTCGACAATGAAGCACATAAGCCACTAGTATTGAAGATGAGGAACATAGAAGCAAACAAGGGAAAAGCAAAAATAAGGAATCTGATGGGAGGCTCTGCTTAACACAAGGTTGGAGTCAGGGTAAGCAAGCAGAACAGAGAGAGAGTAGGGGACAGCTAACAATTGCCAACCTTCTCTTGAACGCAGTATTCATATTTCCGGATAGGGCTTGTGCAAATAAACACTTCTGTGCTGAAAAGACATGGGCATTATTAGTCACTATATGAAAATAAACCATGGAGGCTAATCGCAAACCATTCTGTGTTCCGAATGGGCCTTACTTGGGCATTTGAATCATCTCCTGCATTGCTTCGATAGCTCCTGGAATGGGATCCAAACCCAGAAAGAAGCCTGGTGACTCGTACACACTGGCTACCTTCACCTGAAACCAGATGCATGGAATTACACTTCTAGTCTAAACAGAGCTCACCTAGTTGCTTAATATTCAATCTACTATGAGGAAAATAGAAGAAGGCTCTCTTCTTCCCCCCGAGAAGGGCTCAAGAACTGCTTTAATTTTCAAAACCGCATCCCATGTACGTGGTCAAGGAGTGCCTTCTGGAGCAAGGCACTGGGGCTGCCGTGGAAACCCTGGCTGGGCAGCAGAGGGGTTGAACTGAGCTGCAGGACCACCGCTGCTCCCACAGCCATTGCATGCATGACAGCTGGGATGGGGTGGGCTGGCAAATCAAGCCACAGCAGCGGGGCTGGCTCAGGATCCAGCAGAGCCTGGGTCAGCGCTGTGAGCTGCTGGGGGGGAGGTCCTGTTGGCAGTACATGCCCCCCACCTCTTTTAGCAGGTAGAAGGGAGAGTTCTGGGACACCTCTGCCAAATCCAACTCGCCAACCCAGCACAAAGGGGGTTTGGATTGCAGCCTAAGACTGCTTTATTCCTGCAAGCTTTTTATTGGATAACGTTTCTGTCATGGTGAAGACTTGTTCCTAGGTATATTTCACATTTCAATATTTTTTCATGGTTGGGGGAGTGATTGTTTATATAAACCGATTGTTTAAAATGATATTTCTTGTACTGAGAAACTTGGCTGAAAAGTGACTGGTTTCAGATAACTTTTTTGGGAAAGCCTCTCACTTTCCAAGCCTATTTAGTAGTGGAAAGAGAGTGTGTTGATCCTGTAAAGAAAAAGATATAATTGTTAATGCAAGTTGCACTGAGCCCTTTTTTTAAAAGAAACCTACAAACTACAAAACAGCATTTCAAAGTTACTTTGGATGCTACCAAAGGATTGTGTCTCCATTTTCCTTCATCTGTTCTTTTGGGCTATATTTGCTGCTGTAATTGGTAACACCCATGATTCTTCGCCATCCAGAGAATCTCCACAATTGGGTTTAAAAGCAAGATTGTAGCCTTAATGTTTCAACTTGAAGAAATGAATCATTCCATTGATCTGCATGTATGGTTTTTCCAGTGGAATGAAATATGCCTACCACAAAACTTTTAAAAGACACATGAGACCTACAGAGGAGAGATGGGGGGTGGTGGAGGAATAGAGGTCAGCTCTGAAACTTTAGCTATCAACTTCTAGCGTTGAAGATAGTTTGATGCTCTGCGTCACTAACTGCCACCGACGGGGCGGGCAGGGGAGCGCGCGTTCTTCTTTGCGGCAAGGCTGCTGACTCGAGCTTTTAAGGGGTAAAAGTCCACTAGATCCAGCTTTTCGTCCTTGCTGCCAGCTGAAATTGGACTTTTTGCCCATGTCGTAACTGTTTTAAAGGCAGAATGGGAACGCAATGCCCCTGCCGGTTTTTCTAAAGTTTCCTGCTGCGTTGGATCTCGGGCAAGCCTTAGCACTCGAGCTCTCCAAAAAGGCGCCGGGCCTCTTCTCCCTCTTCCCCCCGTCATCTTCCGGGAGCAGCTCGGGTCATGGGAGCCGTCCAGCGGCGCCCCCGCCCGCCCGCCTGCCCTCCCGATGCTCACCCCCAGATCCTCCCGCAGGGAGCGGTATTGCTCCACCGCCAAGAAGCCCCTTCGCTGCTCCAGTTCCACGCGAGGCTCTCCGGGGAAGGCGGCGGAGAAGCCTCGCAGCAGCGCGCCTTCGAAGTCCGCCAGGACCCCGTCCATGTCCACCAGGACGCGCAGCGGGCGGGACGCGGAGCCGCCGTCCATTCTTCCCCGGGGGCGCACGTGGGCCGCTGCAGAGCCCGGCTACGCCAGAGGAGGCGCTGGGGAGTCAGAGAGGCGGAGCCTGGGGGGAACTTCGGCCCCCGGCGACCCACGAGAGAGGAGTAATGGATACTCAAAGGGCGAGATCTAACCCGCTCAGGGGCGCATGAGCAGAGGGCGCACGTGGGAAGCGCGGCGCTTTGTGGGAAGAAGTGGGGGAGAGATTTCTCCCCATTCTCCGGCTTGGAAGGGCGAGGAGGAGGTGGCTTTTCCCCTTCGTGCTCAAAACAGGAGTCCCCATTTTGCATTAACTTTTTGCTGTTATTTGATCAGCGTCTTGTGTTTCTCAATCTGTGGGTCCCCAGATGTTGTTGGACTACAACTCCCATCTTCCCTGACCACTGGTCATGCTGGTTAAGAATGATGGGAGTTGTAGTCCAGCAACATCTGGGGACACAAGTCTAAACGAAGAGATCTGCACTTGAAGCAATGTTTTCAGCTATCCAAGGTCGCTCTAAAGTCAGAATTGTAAGGAAACGCCCCCCCCCCCAGTCATCTGGTCCAACCCCCTGCACTGCAGGAATCTTTGGCCCAACGTGCGGCTCGAACCCACAAGCTGAAATTAAGAGTCTCGTGCTCTACCAACTGAGCTACCTGGACACATTTGTTCAAGCAAGGGTTGCGAGTTACAGGCATGGCTTTGAGTCTTCTTTATATGGTAACTGAGCCTGTTCAATAGCAAATATACAATGAGGGGTGGATGTATTGGGCGGGGCAGGGGGAGAGGGAAGAAAGAGTGAGATGAGTTTTTATCAAGAATTAGGGAAGCTACAAGAAGAATTGGGACACGGGTGGCGCTGTGGAGCCTAGGACTTGCTGATCAGAAGGTCAGTTTGAATCCCCGCGACGGGGTGAGCTCCCGTTGCTCGGTCCCTGCTCCTGCCAACCTAGCAGTTTGAAAGCACATCAAAGTGCAAGCAGATAAATAGGTACCACTCTGGCAAGAAGGTAAACAGCGTTTCCGTGCGCTGCTCTGGTTTGCCAGAAGCGGCTTAGTCATGCTGGCCACATGACCCGCAAGCTGTACACTGGCTCCCTCGGCCAATAAAGCGAGTTGAGCACCACAACCCCAGAGTCGGCCACGACTGGACCTAATGGTCCTTTACCTTTACAATAATTGCTCAGTATGTTGCTCAGTTCACTCTGTTCTATTGCAAAAAAGCAATTCTACACCACCACTGTGGCATTATAATGGTGTCAGTTACTACCACATAGAGAACATACCCAAATGATTCCTAAGCTATGTTGAAGTGAGAGCTCAATCCAGGATAGCTTCTAACATTTTGACCACATTGCAGGATTTCATTATTACACAAAATTGCAATGTGTGGTAAAGTTCATCCCACTGAAATCAGAATTGGGACATCCAGCAGAGCATGGTGGAAACCCCTCATTATGATGGAGATAAGCAGACACTGATAAAGTGTTTCTCTCTGCAACGCTAAGAATGTAGATTAGATTTTATGGCACACCATCACAGGCCATATTGCACAACAATGATGTGTAAGAAACTATTTGCTTCCCTTCAAAGACTTTCATCTGTATCAGGTTGCAATAGTTCCCAAGCTCTTAATGGACAGCCAGCAAACAATGGGCTAATACCAAGATCAGTATCTGGGAGCTAGAGCACACAAGAAGAGCTATGCAGACAGGGCACTGTTTCCCCCTGATTCTGGTGCTTCTTGGCCTGGTGCTTCCAGATTGTAGTGTGGAGGACTTCTGTAACTCATCTGATCTGACTCTATAGAACAGAGCACCCTATGAAGACCTTTTATTTTAATTTAGGTTGTAGGCAGCCTTGAGCATTTCTTACAGCAAGTAGCATCCTGGCCCATTCAAAGTGTATCAGGTTTGAGGTAGTAAGGTTTTGTTTTTGTTTATTTGCACAACATGCATCAACATAGTTTTGCTAAATAAACACTAGGCAGGTTAAAAAAACACATTCAAATAGAAATGCTTTTTAAAAAAAATAGGTCAAGTATTGGAGCTGAAAACAGGGATATAGACCTGTTTGTTCCAGATCTTAGCTGTTTTAGACTTAGAACCTCTTTTCCATTTAAAAACCAACCAGTAGGAAAAATGGATGCAACCGACCATGAGTTCTTTATTACAGGATTCCTAGAGTACCCAGGAACAGGCAAGTCAACAATATTGGATCTATGGCATATTATCCAGTTACGGACCAGTTGACAAATTTTCAAAATATTCTCTGTATTCAAGACAGGAAGTGCTGTTCAATGCAAGATGTAAAACTTCTTTGTTATGCCCAACTGCTACTCAACCTCTAAAATGTGTTCCATTTTCATGTTTTAAATATTATGGTCAAACTGTTCCATCTGTAATTACTAGCCATTTTATGTACAGCAGCCTTTGAATAAGAGATCTTGTTTAGCATCCCTTAACGTGTGTAAAAAGCCAAATGAAAGTGATTTAGTTTCACAACTATCAACGCTGTATTCCCATCTCTTAAAGCAGATATACCTCCGTAGTTACCGCAAAGCATGATGGCTACATGACACTTGATTACACTTCTAGTATAATGGCACTCATTAGCAGCAACCTAGCATGTTAACATTGCTACAGCAATGGCTGTTTGTTTGGGAAGTGTATATGGAAATGTTCTATGAAACCACCCAATTTCTCTTCCACGTTTTTGTGGATTTCAACTTGATATTCAAGTGATGAGTAGGCAGCATAGCAGACCCTGAAAACAAAGCTCTGACACTGCTTCAAAATTTCTATATATTTTATTTAAGCAACAATCCAGCTTTATCAAGATACAACACACATTTAGAAGGATGAAACTCTCACCTCATGGTCAAGCACCAACATGATCATGCATAGCACAGGAATTGTTTGAACTAGAATGCCTCTCAAAAGAGATTGTTCCTGTCTCCAATACTTACTTCTGCAAGATCCACTCCACCTTGACTTCAGGTGGGTCCCGATACTGGGGCAACAGAACAGCATCTCAAATTACTAGCCCTGTCATTTGGCACTGGTCCCAACTTGATATGCCTGAACCAAGATTCTTCTTGTTTGAAGGCAGCATGGTAATCGCTAGCACCATGACTCTTACTGTTCAGAAATGCACAACAGGGCTTTAGACATTTACCAGTTACTGAATGATACCTTGGATAACCAACTAGTATGTGTTGCAGGGGTGGGTAGGAAAGAGTACATTTGTCAACCGTCTTCTGATCTGTGCAACCCTGGACTTTCAACCCTTCTTCTAAGCTAACTAAGGGGTTTCTACAAATTTCAGGACAAAATGCCATCTAACACACTCAGAACCAACCAGCCTAGGTTATGATACACTACTATATATATATATACCTTAGAAATTTTTCCATCAGCCATGGGCTGCATAGGAATGCCACTGCTCTACGTCTACCACTAGGAAAAGAAATCACACATTCCACTTCCAGTAGACCCAAGGGAGACAAGACAGAAGTTGAAAAAACCTTCCTTTAAAAAAGATGAAGTACATAAAGTGCTTCTTTAATGACAGTTTGAGAAGAAGTACAGTCAGGCTCAAGTTGTGCAGTTCACAAGCATGGAAGGAAAACAAAGATGACAGACATGAGTTCCAAGTAGTTAGGAGGAGGAGCAAAGGAGGAATAAGTTTAACCAAGGACTAGGCTGGACTTTCCACCAGGTGGATTTCTCCTAGATGGTGCAGGTGCTGCAGCTACGGGGCTAGGAACTGGTGCAGCCGGCACAGGCTTCTCTTCACTCGGGCCAGAGGCAGCTTCTATTTCAACCTCTGTGTTTTCTAGAAGAGGAGGAATAGGGAAAAAAGAGGAATGCTTCAATCTCCAATGTATCAAAGTTATTGCTGGACAAACACTGGCTTTGTGGCAAATCTTAAACAACGGAAGTAGAAAAGACTGCTGCCCAACAGATACACTGCTCTGGGCTTGCATCTTTTGTGGGCTTCACTTGTACAGGACTGTCTCTGGGAAAGGTCCAGGGTTGCCTCTGGATGCTGCTGAACTACAACTCCCATCATCCCTGATCACTGACCATGCTGGCTGGGGCTGATGGGAGTAAGCAGAATTCTAGCAACACCTGGAGGGCCACAGGATCCCCATTCCTCAGCTGCATGTATAGCAAAGCACAAATTATTTGGAGTCGGACCCAAGCAAACTCCTTTTCTGTTTAAGTATTTCCAAGTATCGAGAGTAAATTAGATTTATTGAGGGGTCAACACCAGTCAGCCCCAATGTCCTATAGTAGCATTATGAATTTGTATTATTGTCCCCATTGTTATATTTTGGCATTATCGTTTTTCTTGTGTTTTCTTTTTGTCTCCAACAATATAAAAACCCAATTTTTAAAAGTAGGAAAAACAGAAGTTAACGCCAGCGAATTTAGCAAGGAAAGAGCATCAGTCAATCCATGTTATGCATATGCACTTTAGGGGAATATTCATTGTACAAGGAGCCTTATTATCACATCTAACCATTTGCTTAATTGAAGCACCTGCTTATGGTAAGCAGATCCAACAAAAGCAGAACACACTATATGCAGAAGAGTAAGGATTAATGTTGTGTTGTGAAATTGAATGCAGGCAGCATGTCGAACAGGATTTAATGTGCCATTTGGCCACAGAACTAAGTACATCATACATCCTAGCCAGATAGTTTAGAAACTCCTTGGTATGCAGCTTTTCCAAAGATGTTTCAACCAAAGCTTTCAAACAATCTGCCAAGCCTGGTTATTACAATCTAGACACCACACTAATGACTGGCTGCACGGATAGAATTCCTGCATATGCATGTAATTAAAACCATTATTGTTTAGTCTTTACTCAGGAACTCCTACCTGCCAACATACAAATAATTCACTGTCCTAATACCATCACATTTCCAGGAAGAAAAATCAGATAAATTAGATTTTTCAAAATTAATGTAGAATAGGTTTCCGAACTATAGCTGCTTGCTATCTTCAAGCTCTTTCTATAATCTTTCTGCTGTAAATTCATCCAGCCACCTTTGCTGTTCATTTCCACAATGGCTATTAGTCTCAGACATTAAGCTACCCAAGGCTCAGATCTATCAGTGGCCTTACACCTGCCCTTCCTGCGGCATGTTGCAATCCCATTCTTGGACTATAAGGTGTAGGTTTTAAATGGGAGTGCCAAATTGGGGTTTATTTCACTTTCAGGTTGCCAGGTTGTCTCTCTGACCTTGATTCTGAAATCTACTTCAACTGGCAGATTTCTGGATGATTAACCACAGGTTGAAAAACCCCCTCTTATCCAGCTCTTATAAGAAACATTTTCACTGAACACTGATTGAGGCTAACTATGTTTGGAGTGCACTAGACAGCTAAGGCTATCTGCTGAAATTCTGAAGATCAGTCATCTTAGAAAGCTGTCCCATGCATATAAAAAGTCAGCTAGGAGAAGGCAAAGGTCTACAAGAATCCTGCAGAGAGATCAAGTGAGTAATGATAACTGGCTACCAGACAAAGAGGCGTGCTATTTCACAGCTGATGGAAGGTACTCATGTGCACAATACATTAAGCATCATGAGTACCTGTTCTGCTTGACAGAAAACCAGACTAATTCCATTCTATTCACTCCATTTCCCCAACAAAATGAGTGTGGTAATTCTGGATTGCTTTAGTATAGCTAGGAGCCTTCACATGGTAGCTGGGGCATTTTTTGTGCCATTAGCAGACAAACCACCACCAACAGGAACTCTACAGAATTAGGGGAAGGACCCCAATTCGTTAAGGCAGGTTTTCAAGTTGGAAGTCTCTTGCCTAATTTGTTGGACAACTTGTAAGTTACCCAAGCCCACTAGTCACATCACACACTCACATGCAGCCTTCTCAAAGTACAGTTTATGTTGTAGGTCTCATAGAGTTATGGATCTACAAATGACAGCTCTTTATTCACCACACAACGTTGGGAGTAAAAGGAACACTCAACCTTAAAGGTGCTATGGAAGTCTCTCTCTAGCTTCACTCTTAATAGTTCCTCATGTTTGAAAACAAAAAAAACCCACCCCTCCCATTTCCATCCTGCTCCTTTCTGTGTAATTTGGCAGCAATTTCCTCTTAAACTTAGTTTCAGCATGTCTGCCACCATACACAACACATACACGAATTGGACATATTTACGCCATTCTATGTTCACAAATCCCTACAGAACTCCAATGAATCATGCCTGCTGAGGTATACATGCACATTCTATTCACTTATTGTATGTGGTGGCAGGTGCACCCCAGCTACACCTAAAAATTAAAATGTTTTACATTTATTCATGTGTGAACTGCAACCAGGTAAAATCTTATGCAAGACGAAGAGGCCACAGAGCTGACAGATAGGTCTTCATTATGAAGACACCTCTCCTCAAAAGTCATCTTGATCCACATTTACCCTTTCAGACTCCAACACACATCAGTGTACACATCCACCCAAGCCGGAAATGAATTTTCTTTTCGCTTATTTACAGGTAAGGAGGAGAAAGTACTTACCAGGAGCCTCACCTTCCCCGCCCTGCAATAATAATAAAAAAAGGCCAATGTTAATTCTACCTTTGCTGACATCAACCAACAAAGATCACTTCTTTAGCTGAGCCAATATAAAGTAAGCATATTTGTCAATAGCAGAAACCTGATTTCTGAAACAATGACTGTAGTTTGAGTTTTATGGGGAAAAACTCAATCCTGGTGGGGATACATTTTCCAATTTGTAAGACAGGTACCATATATACTCAAGTATAAGCCAACCCGAATATAAGCTGAGGCACCTAATTTTACCACAAAAAACTGGGAAAACCTACTGACTCGCGTATAAGCCGGTTCACCACACCACAAACCTGGTGGTGGCGGCAGTGGCGGAGGAAGAACAAGCAGCCCAAAAGGGCTGCTTTCGGGCTGCTCCTTCCTCCGCCGCCGACAGCGGCAGAGGCAGAGGAGGAGGAAGGAGCAGCCCAAAAGGACCCTCACTTGAGTATAAGCCAAGGGGGGCTTTTTCAGCATAAAAAAATGTGCTGAAAAAGTCGGCTTATACTTGAGTACATACAGTAATTTCCAATTTGTGAGTTGAGGCATACTAACATACCTGGAGGAAACTGCTGATGTCCAGAAGAAACCAAGTGTCTGTGAGACTTGAATACCCATTTAAGAGAAGAAACTGACCATTGCATGGCTATGTTTTACTGATTTTCCCTGCTGCCTACTTCCAGTCAGCCTCTACAAAGGGCTGGTAATTCTGCAGCATCAAGAATGACTGGCTCATTCATCCAGTCATTTCCCATGTAGAATAACCTACCAGGGAAGGTACTCCCATAACAGGCCACCAAACATACCCAAGGGGGTGGTTTCCGGAAGGTCACTTCCTGACTTCAGCAACATGTGCCATAAAGGAAACTTACAAGCCCATAACAAAACATACCAGCCTACCACTAGTTGAGAATCAGGATGAAAATATGCTAGGAGCAGTACATCCCTAGTATAGGCTAACCTATGATTACTAATTACCTAGCAATCTGATATATAAACCCAAATTTGGGGGTAGTTAACTTATCTTCAAAAAAGCACTAGCATACATAGGAGCCACCTTGTCCAAAATTAGAGGAAACTCTAGACTCATACATGTTGACTGAAGTCACAACTATCAGTTCACATGTTAACTAGTGTACAAGGTACCATCAATAGGAAGCAAACACTCCTAATACTCAAAGCAGGTATTTTATGCTTGTGGCTGATCACTATGAGAACAGGATGCTGCTGGTGTATATGGGCCACTGGCCTGATCCAAAGTGCTATCAGTTTGTTTTAGTTTTATGTTAATCTGCTATGCTATTAATGTCTTTGGAGTTCTGCTTCAAATGGTAAGCAGAGGCAGTGTTTTCAGAGCAGCACTGTGCTTGAAATGTAATTATCAAGAACTAGGGATATCTTCATGTATACCTTCCTTTGAGGAAGAAGGTAACAAAATAAGAGCAAAGCCAGCCCTCTGAAGGTTGAGCAGCTCTGCCACCATTTTAATATTCTCAATTTACAGAAAGAGCAGCTCTTACCTTTGGATCCACGAAGTCACCAGAGATTGCATCAGAAGAATTTCTTCTTTGTGACCCAGGAGCTTCGGAATTTTCACTGACATCGCTGGGCTTGGATGCTGTGAATAAATTGTCACTGTAACATGTACTTAAAGCAGATACCCCAAATAATAAAATCATGTACAATATTTCTAAGCAACAACCAGAGACAATGAACTGGCCCAAAAATTCTTTGTTACCTGCTTAACACATACCTCATCTAGCACAGTCCCAACACCTCCCTATTCAAAATGTTTCTGAATCTTGAACATCTGCTATGAGTTTAAGCTTAGTACAAGTACTTTTGCACATTCAACCAGTTGACCTAACAATGACCCTCTTGACCTGTTCTGTATCGAAATTTCATGCAGTTTTCTTCATTTATAGAGACACCCTCATAGGCACATTAGAAACAGATTGAATGCTAGTATTTACTCTGCCACTACAGCACCATTAATGTTTTCCCAATGCCTGCCGAGTACATGCAGCTAGTACTGTAAGTGAAATAGCCACTGGTGTGCTAGTACACCACGGCTTAGAACAGGGTCACAGGAGTTAGCATGTAAACAGGCTAGGACTTGCCCCAGTGCCAAGAGATTGTGAACAGGATAAACTGAAGCCAAAAATTGCTCAACGCTACTTCCACATGCTGCAGCTCCTCCTAACCGAGGAAGTAGTTCATGCTTCCACCCATCAGCGACTATTCAAGTACAGACAAGCCTACACTGCAAGTTATCCTCTCTCCAGTTATTTTTTAAATTGTTTTACAAAGACTATTTTACAGCTCCAAAACAAGGCCAGGAAGCACAGTCAGAAAACCCGAATCCAGATATTCAACCATGGGCACCCCTTTAAAGAATGAGAAGTAGTTGTTTCACCTGTTGAGCTAGCCCAGGAGGATGAATTATCTTCTGGAGTCCCAAAGATATTGGATGCCATCTTGTGTCTTCTTGTGTTTTGGTGTTCTTTTGGCAGATCAAATCCCATGTTGAACGTGGAACCACCACCTGGTGGACGAAGAACTCTAGAAATAGAGACCCGAGAGTTATGTTTACAGCATTGTCATCTACAGTGTAGCCTACCAGTGCAAAAAGAGGGCATTAAAGTAGCAGGTTAGCCCAACGATTTTCAGAGTAAACTGAAAGCTGTTGCTGAAACTTTCCAAAAGTGGGGCACTTAGTATCTATGAGAAAGAAGCAAAGAAGGACAAGGTCAGACTGGAGGATAGTTCAGGAATCTGAAATTTAAGATCAGTAATTTCTAATTCCCATGCTGTCCTGATAACATGCCTTAGCTATAGTCTGGATCAACAAGCAACTCACTGTGCCATACTTCATACCTGACTTCAGCAGCATTAAACACTGCTAGCCTTGCAGTGTGCATTAGAGGGTGGAGTGTGCATTAGAGAGCATATCACTGTAGGTCCTTTGAACTAGATGTTAGATATAATATAGTGTACTTCAGGTGTTAAGGTTTGCACATCTTGTCACTGAATACTCTTATGGCACAGCTAACATCTCTAGGTCATGCTGCAAACAATTCACATGCCTGCCTATTAACCTGCAGAATAGGAATTCGACTAGGGTATCTTTTTTGGCTGTGTCATCCACCTGGATGTTGGAAAGCCAACACACCACCTGGCAAAGCATCATCAACACTGCCAGGGTCTGTGTCCCTTGTATGTTGGAGTTACCTAGTACACACCAATCACACACCCTTGACTAGTTACATCAAGAAAACGAAATCATAGACCTGCAAGTTAGAAGGGACTCTAGGGTCGTCCAGCCCCCTGCAATGCAGGAATCTCAATGACAGATGGCCATCCAACCTCTGTTCAAAAGTCTCCAAGGAAGGAGAGTCCACAACCTCCCATGGGGGTCTGCTCCACTCTCAAACAGCTCTTACTGTCAGAAAGTTCTTCCTGATGTTTAGTCGGAATCTCTTTTCTTGTAACTTGAATCCACTGTTTTGGGTCTAGACTCCAGAGCAGGAGTAAACCAGCTTGCTCCATCCTCCATATGACTGCGCAATTTCGTGGGAGTTTAGCATACAAACCTTCTATAGAAGCCTATTTTAGATGCTTCTATAGACTAGAACAAGAAAGTTGTACCTCCCAACAATTACCAGTCAATTTCATTAAGGCAACTTTTTGAATTAAATAACAAGTGACTGTGACAAAGTAAGGTTTTTTGACCCATACATGAGCTGTGCCATTATAAATCCAATCCAAGGCAATTTGGAAGTCGTCCACACATTATATCATATGAGTTGTTCCTAAATGAAATGAGTGATAAACCAAACTTTAAAAGTAAGACTTATCTTCCTTAACAACCGACAGGTGGGTGGAACGTGACTGAGTGCAAAAAGAGCACTCAACGCAAGCACTGGAAGGAATCCTACATGTATTATTCTTTTAAAAAGTACGGTAGTTTCTGCAAGGGAATCCATGTACTGTATCATCACCATTTTTCTTGCAATATGTATTTCATATCTTCACACACAGGAAGCTGTCATAAGCTTACCTAAAGCTCTTATGTTCCCCAATGGGAGATACTCCACAAAGGGAGAGTACATATGGAACTCATTTTTATGTAGGAATGTTTCATGCTAAAGTGGAAAGGGCTCAGCAGTCAAACAGACAAAGCTAAAGAAGGAATGGAAGGGCTGCTTCGGTGGACTGATGCCTTTACCATCAGCTAGCTTCAGAGTGCACCTACAGATCCTTTATGCCACCCTTCCCTTAGAGGCAAGAGCCTGGAACTTGGAATAGAGCCAGTGTGGTGTAGTGGTTAGAGTGTTGAACTCTTAATGCCTGAGTTCATGCTTACCTCCAGCATGGCACAGTGGTTAGGGTGCTGGACGAGGACATGGGAGACCTGGGTTCAAATCCCCACTCAGCCTGAAGCTCACTGGGTGACCTTGGGCCAGTCTTTGCCTTTCAGGCTAACCTACCTCACAGGGTTGTTGAGGGGATTAAATGAGGAGGGGAGTAATATACACCACCAAATAATAATAAAAAAATAAAACAAAATTTTATTATTTATACCCCGCCCATCTGGCTGGGTTTCCCAGCTCCTAGGAGAAAAGGTGAGATACAAATGAAACAAACAAACTGCTGCTAACTAGAAAAAGCTACCACAAACACCTCCCCTATTCCAAATTACATCATTCAGTAGATTTAATTGTAGGCCATTTTGATAGTACTAACAACCACCAACCAGACACAGGGGAGGAAAAAACTTTCAGGCATTAACAAACTTACGTTTATCAAATGTGACTTCTGCCTTTTACAATAGTTACTGTCTTACAAAGAAACCAGTGTGTTTGTGAATATGTGCTCAGTCATTTATGGCACAAAAGAAGGGTGTGTGCAGAGAAACAAGGGTAATAAACCTTTCCAGTCTTGTTGCCTGGAGGCTATTCTTATTCACCAGAGGTGTCTGTACAAGTGCTTTTTTAAAAAAATAAAATACTGCTTCAGTTGGTTTCTAGTGCAGATGTGTGCAATCTGTTCCGCTAGAGCTGTACTTGGACTCCAAAACCATCATCCCCAGCCAGGAAGGTAAATAATGGCAGCTGTAGTTTGCAACATCTGGAGGACACAAGTTCTCCACTCCTGGTGTGGAGTGTGTGTGCAATGAAATTAATAAGCTGGAAATAAATGATATACAAATATGGCGCATTACAGCTAATGGGGCCTCCCGCTGCCACCCCGCCGCTGCCGCCCAATTTCTGTTCTCATCCTGAAGCAAAGTTCTTAACCCAAGGTATTATTTCTGGGTTAGCTGAGTCTGTAACCTGAAGCGTCTGTAACCTGAGGTACTACTGTACTGCAGAAAGGTGCCACTGGCTAAATTGCTCTACTACCAGAGTTCAAGCGCAATTTGTGCAAATCCCCAAAATGGGGTGTAGTCATGGGCAAGGTATGGACTCAACACACACCAGATCCAACACCCCGCTCCAAGGACATGCCAAAAGCCTACTCTGGGGATGAGGATCCTCACATCTGGAGCCTACAGTGGCCCTCCAAGCCCTTTTATCTGGCCCTTGGGCATCTTCCAAAAGTACAAAGCCTTGTACTGTGATAATGCCTCTTGCCTGCCACATCTGTTGCTGGCTCCATCTGCCAATGGCATAAGGTCCTGGGAGGTAGCCTAGCTGGAAATGCAACCTTTGGAATGAAAAAGATCCCCCACCCGTGGTCTATGCCATGACAGAACCTGGTGCAGTTAATTCTTCTCCCACTGACTCCCATGGGAGCTAACAAGGCAGAAAACAATTACTTCTCCTGCCAAGCTTTTTATACTACCTCTCTACACATAAACTAGGGGCACTCTGAGTGCCACATTAGAGTTTGGGGCCTTTGGATTCCCAACCACATGACTACTTGGCCTCTCTCTCAATTTTGCAATGCAACTGATAATAATTCACACCCCAACTTACTTCCTTTGTTCACCAAAAAGGCATTTTTTCAAAAATTAGTTCTGAAGAACCAGAGTTATTCCTCCACTTCCAATGCCCCCACTTTGTAATCCCAAAAGCAAGCCATGCAGCATGCAGAGTACTGACCAATACAAAAGATATTCAAAGTTGCAGCACCAGAACATGCTTAAGATCTAATCCATTTAAAGCAACAGTGTGCAATAAGCTCCATACACCTTCATGCCTTTCAAGATCAAGTCTTCCTCTACAGGCAGAAGTTGGACCAAAGATAGAGACAGCCTTCCAGAGGATTACAGAAGTTGCTGACTTGCTCCCGGCTTCTAAGCCTCGAGTTAACAGGTAGAGATGGTCATAGATGCTAGACAATAGAAGTGTGCTCAAGCCCCACCCAGCGCGAGGAATCACTTACAGAAACCACGCCAGATTAAGATATTCGCTGCCGAGATCTACAACCAGACAAAAAGGAAGCCAAGAAACGGTGCCAGGGGTGACGCAAAAGGGTTTGGGGAGCACCTAATCCTGTTGATCGGGGAGGGGTAGCAGCCTCCTTTGTTAGGCTGGGAAGCAGAAGCACACGGATCAATCTGCTGAGCGAGTCTGACACGGCCAAGCCTCAAGAGCGCGCCCCCGCCCCGCAGCTGTTTCTTTGGGGAGAAGAAGGGAAAGAGCTGTGGCAAGCGAAAGGCTCCGCGGCCCCCGAGCAGATTCCGGGCTGGGTGCGGCTCCCACCCTCGCAAGCCAAAGAATCTTATCCGTCGTGGCGGAAAGCAGACAGTACTGTACTGTACTAAACTAAAGCCTCGTGGCTAATCCTCTTTTTTGGGGGGGGGTGTAAGAGGCCTATTCTCTACATGCACAAAAACATTCCCCCCCCATAAAACTATCCTCTTATAAAAGCTCCAGCCCCCCCCCACCCCAAGCAATATGGTGCGTCATTTCCCCGTTTCCCAACAATCTGCAGTTCCGAAGCCGAGAAGCAGGGGCTTCTTCCCGACGATCGCAGCATACAAAGGGGAAGGCAAGTACGACACAGGTCCGGAAAAGCGAGCGAGGCCTCGAAGGAGAGAAAAGGCGGACCGCCGGCTCCCCACTTCCAGCAGCGGAGAGCTGGACGGCACCACGCCTGTCTTCTAGGCATCCTGGCAGACATAAAAGGGAAGGCGGCTCCTGCCTGCCCACCCGCCCTAGAGACGCATCCAGGCGGTGTGTGGGTGTGGACCGCCGGGAGGAAAGTCCCGGAGCCGCGGCATGACAATAGGCCACCCGCGGTCTCTGTGCGCCTGAAGCGCCCACACCCGTGTAGTGGCCTCGTGCGGACGACCCCTTCGCCACCCAGGAAAAGCCTCGGGCGGCCGCGAACCAGGATCCCCGTTTGCCAAGCGGAACTGGCTCCCAAGACCCTCCCAGGCCCACCGGAGGACCCCCCTCCCCAACACCCTGTTCTCTAACCCGCGTTGGTGGGGGGCTTCACGTGTCCGGCAGCAACCACGTGTGAACGGAAGAACCGCCGCCGCCGCCGACAACCCAAGAGACATGGGCTCTGGCCCGCTCCCCACACTGTCCAGGGAAAGGAAGGGGGAAAGCGGAGGATGGGAAGCGGCGACGTATATATAGATATGAAACCAAGGAAACGGTCCCCGGGAAACGGTCAAACCGACCTGGAACTGCTTCGCCCGCTGGGGTCCATCCCCTTGTAGGTGGTCGTGGTGGTCATGGCGGGGAAGAAGCCGGGTGAGGAGCCGCCCGAGGAAGAGGTAAGCGGAAGGTGTTACTCCCGCAACCCAACACTGTACTGCTGCCGGCGTCAACTGCAGTAGCCGCTTGGCGCTGGCAGCTCCTTTTATACCCGTCATGGCTCGTGCCGTCGTATTGGACAGTTCAAAATCGTTCTCTCGGTCTCACTTGCCGGCCTCGTGCCACTCCAGAGATCGCCCCGCCTCCGGATGCCGGAGATTGGTCCAGCCACAAGCACGCCCCGCTGGACTGGACGAGAGGCACTTTTGCTCAGCGCTTATTGGTTGTTCCAGAGCGCTCTCCCCCTTTGTTTCCGATTTAACGGTGTGGCTGCCACTCAAATTAATTGGGTGCTGATTGGCTGGGCTACACATGAGGCAATAACAACTTCCTTGGCCTTTCTTTACGAGATAGCAGTTTAAGGGGATCCCTTCATAGGGAGTGGCATAGCAGGGATGCGTGAAGTGGTGTTTGGTCGCGACCCGGAACCCGGCCCGTTCTGGGTTTGGCCCCCACAATGTAGGAAAAGAAAGTGCCGCTCTGCCCTTTCAAACTACTGTACACACAACCGCGCAACACAACAAAACACCGGCATCTCACTACTTCAGTACAATGCCCCGTAGTTTTGCTGCTTCCAGGATATGATTGAACTGGGTGATGCTAATATTACTACCGCATGAGCGGGCTAAAAATAAAAATACTTGAATATGGAAGTATGCAGTACAATGGTATCACATTATTGCTTTGCGGTGTATAACCACGATGTGTAAGAAGGTAGAAAGGAAAAACCTGACATCTCTCTTGATGCAGGCAGCATGACTGGGCATGAAATAGGCAGGTTTCCGCATGAAGAAAAAGAAATGGGGTTTTTTCGTGGCGGGGGGAGATAAAGCATAGTGCTTGACTTTTCACTAAAATGTAGGTTCCAGCAGCTGCTTTGCAAAGCACTTGGTATTTAAACATGCCAGTATTTTTTTAATGCTTTGATGTTTTAGATGAGGACTCCTCTCCAAACGCACCTTCAGTTTTGCTCTAGGAAAAATAGGGTGGCAATCTACCATGCGATCAGTGGCCAGCAGACTTTTTATTCTACAAAGCTATGAAAGTATGCATGTACATGCATGTTTGAGAACATGAAGCAACAGTCAAGTAAAAAAAAAAATTAAAGCCAAAAGGGCACTATAGTTCTCTCTCAAGGTTTTGTTATTCTATGATATGACATAATCCTACTCAGTACAAAGGAAGTGCATCATTTACTTTTCTGGGAATGGGAACACTTAAAAGGTGCTGGTCTCAAGTGTAGTACTGACACAATGATAACAAAAGGTAATCGGTGTGAAATCACTTTAAGCAGGGTTATCAAGTAATACTAGCTTCTCACATTTATAGAGTACTGTCTCCTCAGTCCCGCTGTTGAAACAAGCATTTCTAATCACTTCTCCATATTGAGACATAGATCAGGGGGGGAAACCTATTTCCCTATTTAAAGTCATTCAGTTAAGGGGGGGGGGGGGGAGAGAAACACTGTAACGAGATGAGATCATGGCTGTCTCAGTAAAGGTAAATTAAGGGGGATGGAACTGAAACCACCCAGTCAAAACACTTAACTCTCCGCACTCCCTGAAAGCTTGTTATTTCATGGAAGTTGTCTTCAGATAATTACCCTCTTTGGCATCCTTTACTCCTGTCTCCTCTCCTGTGAATGACTGCAGTCTCTTACTCTTGGGAGGGTGAAAAGAGCAACACATAAAGTATCTGCACTATCCCATCCTTTCATACCAGAATTTGCCGTTGGTCCTACTTGGCACCAGGCACCCATTTTGTATAGAGGCCACCCTGTTACACACCAATTAAGTAGGTAGCTGCTTTCATAAATTACTGAATTTCTGGGGGCTCTCAGGAGTTTTTTTATCTGTACTACAGACTAAGACAAATTACTTCCCCTAATTATCTGTATAAACCATGATAGTATTTTTGTTAACTGGGTGATGTAAACAGGCATGAAGAAGCACTGGAATACCACATCCCTTTGAAAGCAACTCCATTTGGCTGAGAGGAAGCTATGCCCATGGGAATCAATCTAGAAAATGGTAATTATAGGTGTTTGATTCCAGATGATCAAGTAGGAAAAATAGATCATGAATCCAGCACTTTCCTCAAGTACGGTAAATGCCCCATTGCTGCTGACACAAATGTATTTCTGTCTTTCTTAAACTCATCAGACCATGTATTTAAATCTTTGAAGCAGATGGGTTATTTTTTGAACATACCCCTCTTCACGTTTGCAGAACGGTAGATATGCATTTTATCAAATATTTATTAGCTAGCCCTGTAAATACAGTGCATGTACAGAAGCACTGGACAGTGTATATGCCATTTCAGAGCTACAATTGCCCCCTACCACCCTGTTTTTAGAAAATATGTCAAGGCACATCTTCCTAATTTGAACTTCTGTATCTTTTAGCAGTACTTGCAATGTTTTTATCACATTTTTATTTTTAATACACTGCCTTGGTAGTTTTCAGAAAGGCAGTACAAAAGTAAATAAGCATAACATTTCTGGAATACAGATGCTCTTGCTTAACTCCATTCCAACAAGACAGTAACAATTTCATTTTAGTAATAAATTTCTTGAGATTGCCTTGTTTTAAAATACTTATAAGTACATACTATCAGGTGAATCTATACAATTTCGGATGGAGACAAAATCTTAAATTTAAAAATACGTTAAAAAATATACCCCAGTATTCTTAGGACATTCTTAAAATTTGGATTTCATCAGCATGCGTAGAACTCAAATTATGACAATGGATGCTGAAGCCTCTCTCCTGCCTCTCCTTCCATCTCGTCTCAAGAAGCCCCATAACATGGATTTTTAACAGCAGAAGCAGAACTAGTAATATTTACAGTAAAATTACAATCTTAAACCTGGCTGCTCTGAACTAGATACCTCAACTTTATCACAACTTATGACCGTGGGCTGACAGTTTTGCACCAGCTCCTATGGCTCCTATGAAGGCTTACCTGAATCTCCACAAGGCAACAAGAGTAACTTAACTGCCCAGCTGCAGCAGGGTTCTGGAAAAAGTAGGAAGGCAACTGCATATATGGCAATTTCTGCACTAACAACCTCTCAGCACTAATTAGGCCTTCACACTAATGCTAGAACCCCAATGTTGTATTCACATAAAAAATTACAAGACTGGAACAAACTACAATGTCTGTTTTCCCATTCCACAAGGTATACTGTTGTTTTTGATGAGAGCACTGTTTTAATTACTAAATGTGTAAAATAATCTCATAATATCCTAACCATATTTTACTCCTTAGCAGATGAAAAACATGTAAATACTGAGCCCTCTATTAATGTAATAGCTTTATCCTTTTTTATAACTTAACAGCAGTTTATTGTAAGGAACAGTACTTTATATTTTACAGATTACTTTGTTATGAACTTAAGTAGGCAAAACTAATGTGACATAGGAGATCCACTATCCAGTTATTTTTAATAACTGATCCCAAGCAACTACTCCAAAGATAGGGGAAATGAGGTTTCATCCCCTTTCATCTTAGGCTATTTTCCCCAATCTAAATCAGCCTTCTCAAGCTATTCATTTATTTATATGCCACCAACTCATATTTCAAGGCAGAGTACAATAATATATACAACAAAACATAAAACACCATAAAAACAATATAAAATGATTATGAAAATGACTAGCTAATCAATAAAGTTTTAACAGCTGCACAGGTCCTAATAGCATAAAAAGATCTTTATGAAAGTACTAAGAGTGCCTGCTAAATCTCTCCTGAAATAGTATTTATTCCACAGGTCAGATGTGGAATGTCCATCTTCTAGCGGAGACCAGTCAGTCCTCTCTAACATGTGGGACAACTAACAGCGCTCTTCTGGATGATCTGACTGATTGATCACCAATCACAGGTTCAGGCAGTCCTTAAGATATCCTGGACCCAAAGTTGTTCAGGCCTAGTCCAGGAGCATATGGGCAGCCAGGGCAGAGGTTTTAGCAGAGGTGCTCCATGCTATTGGCCATCTGACACCATCAGCAGCCTAGCCCCTGCATCCTGCACTAGCTGGAGCTTCTAGACCAGGCCCAAGTGCAGCCCCACATATAGCCCACTACAGGAATCCAGTCTCAAGGTTACCACTAGCCGAGCCAGCCCAATCCTGATGCGGCCAAAACGGTTGTTCCAGAGAAAACAGGTAAAAGGCACTATTAACTACACCTCCAAGCTTTATACCTGCTTCCAGAGGAGTGCAACCCCATCCAGAACCGGAAATTTGTCTCTATCTTCCAGACCCATAAACCACCTCTCCATAAAGCCTCCATCTTGCGTTTCTCCCCACAAAGTTAATAGCAGGGTGATGGGTTGCTTTTTAGATAGGGGGAATGTGAGGGAAACTGTATGTGAAAAAAGGGTTAAACATTTCACCAGCACTTCAAAGTAGCTGTGTGAGGATGGATAATCACTAAAAAGCCTCGAAGGAACCTAGCCACAGATCACCCACATTACATATTGTTTGACTGTAGTCTTTCAGAACAGCCTGTCAATTATACACAAATATAAAGGTGCGTGCCAGCTGGTTTCCTTTTGTATATACTTGGGATAGCTCAGTTGGTAGAGCATGAGACTCTTAATCTCAGTCATGGGTCTGACCCAATGTTGGACAGGTTTCCTGCATTGCAAGGGGTTGATCTAGATGACCCTTGTGGTCCCTTCCAACTCTATGATTCTATGAAACACAAGCAAAACATTTTCATCTGGCTATCTATTGTAGAAACCTTGGCATTTCTTTCCAAGGTTTCCAGTACAAGAGCTATTCTTTTTTTAAAAAAGGATAAAAGTCTGTCTCTCTGCCTCTGACAATTTTACTCTGCTCTAGACAGTAGGGGGCAGCATAATAACTGGGCAAGCAATTTGATGAAACAACAGCAAGTAACTAGTGGATTCAGTGTCTGCCACATCAGCTGACTCATCCCAAGTTTAAATGTTATCACAACACAGAAAAATAAGCTTATTTTAAACAAGAAGTTTATTTAAACAACAAGACGCTTTACTTGAAGGGAAAACTATCCAAGATCAAATTTTTGTTTAGAGTAATTTACCCCTACTTAAAGACAGATTGCTCTACATGTAACAGCTACGTACAAAAAAGTTATAAAATCGTCCTTGGTTGTACAACGATAAAAGAAAAACATTGAAATTATCCAATCAAATAAGGTATGCAAGGTTTTTGTTTTTCAACAATGAGAGCAAAATAACTTACTGGAATATAAAGATAAAAGTTAGAGGAGCATGCCATGGAGGAATGGGGCATTTTCACAGACCAGTTTGTTTTTACCACCCCATCTCCATATGATGTTGATCAAAACATACCATTGGCCATTTAGTTAAAAAAAATATGCATGTCTGTGCACATACACCAGTTACGTTATGTACAATAGAAGGAATAGGAAAAGAAATCAGAGAGAGAAAGCTATACTGCAGTAGTCAAGATGTGGCTGAACCAAGTCTCGTTTTTCTAATTGTGAATGTGTTGTCTGTGGGAAAGGGAGTTTGGTTCTCTTTTAGTAGACTCCTCCTGTCTGCTGCTGGAACACATCAATTGTATCTTCGTCCTCCATTTCCAACTGCATTGAAAAGATTTAAAATTCAATTCAAAATACAACAAATGACACAATCAAAACATTTTTATTTGCATTTCTCCTGCTCTAAAGAGAACTACAAGCAAATACAAGAGCCTAAAGATTGCACTGTGGTTGTAACACGAAGTCCACTAATGTACCTAAACTAGAAAACAAGGTTGCATTACAGAATGAGTGAACTGAATTCTGTTGGTACTGCCAGACTCAATGGATTGGATCAACAGAAGCACAAATGGCACAGAGCTTGTGCAACGGGAATTTCCTGGTTTACCTTTCCCAGTGGAGTCCCAGGTGTCTCTCAAAAGCCACTCCATAGGGAGCAAAGGCCCCTCCAGAATGGCATAGTATGGGCATGCGGGGGGAAGGGGAGAGCGCTACTGCAGGATAGGAAGACTGACAGAATTCAGGAAAGGCTATCTTGTCTGCATGCAAGTGTCTTCTTTCCACTTGTGCAAGACACTTTTGAATCGAAGCCAACAGAGATTAATAATCCAGAGTTAATTATAGTAAACTTAAGTGCATTTTCTGTAATTAAGACAGAAGAATTGTACTATTCACTTGTCAGGATGGTGAATCCGTAACAATAATAATGTATTACTGTACAGGGATCAGATTAAAACTCCCTACACCTGCAATGAAGGCTAAAGTATTAGGATGGCACAGGGAGAATTGGGTAAAATTCAAATTGTACTTTTAGGTTGTCGCAAACTGCATGCAGGACCCGATTATCAAGAACTAGGGACATAAAATCTAAAAAAAAATTTAATTGTTGCATTTGGCAACTAACTGAATAAGTGTTCTACATACCACAGTGTTAGTTGCAAATCAGCATGACCTACCTATTAACATGGATAAGATTTAGTATTAAACTATTTCGTAGCTGATATTTGTATTCTTATTTTCTGTTTTCACTCTAGCAGAAACTTTGGCAGCTTTTTTCTTACCTGTGCAGGTGTATCTGTTTCATTGATTGGCTGCCCATCAAACCGGAATCTGATTTGCCTCATTGACAAACCCTACATAAATACAAATTTAAAAAAGGAAGGGTCTCAATTACTTATCAGCTGAGCCAAACAGCTACCACAAGCCATCATACTTATTTTACCAATCTTTGCATTTACGAAAAGTATACCAAAATACAATTATTGAGCGGTAAATTAAGTGTTGCTTGTGTAATAAAGGTGTTCAGCAGTGCCCCTACTGGTAGCATGTAGGAGATGCTAGATAAATTTTCAAGTCCAAAAGCAGTGATTTCAGATCACAATTGGGAGTAAACTTGAATGAGACTTTAAGGTGGCAAGTCTCAGAAGGACTGACATTTCAGAAGGATAGCAGGATTCACTTAATGTACCCCATTAGTGGAAGCCCTGTGCAAGGACTTCCTCTTGTATGACAGGTCTCTCCCTCCCCACCCCTCAAAATTGGCTGCTGGTGGTAGAACCCCACAAACAGCATGGGGGGGGGAGCGACAGTTCCATCTGGCAAGCGGCAATGCTTCTGCAGTCAGAGTATTTGTAATAATGCTACACTGAATTTCACCCACAGCCAAAGCAGAGAAACAAGAATATTTTTCTAGGTTTATTGCACTGCATTGCAAACATCTAACAAAACCGCTGTTTCTGCACTTATGAGTTCTGCAAGGCACAACAAAAGCATTTCCGAGTAAGCTATGTCAAGGCTGTATATTAAGTTTAAAATTATCTTTTTTCCACTTAAGTGCAGTTCCTCTCTCATTTTTTTGGTTATACCATCATTTTGGCCACTAGGAAGCTTCAATTACCAAAATAGAAGCCAAGGTTTGCTCCCAAAATATTACATGGGCTAGAAATCTTGAAAAGTTATAGAACTGATCCTATAATCTGTGCATACTAAATATGCCTAATTATTATTTGGGTATGTTTTTGAAACAATGTGAAGATGAGATAGAACCTTAGGTACGAGCATTGTTACCTTGAATGAGTGTGCACTGGTCCTTACTTCCAGTTAGTCCAGAAGTAAAATAAACTATCATGACTAAGCCCATATATTGTAAATCCAAACTGCTCTGCCCGCTTTAACCCACTGCTTTGCTGCATACTTTTAGGGCTGCCACTTAACTACATGAACTGACACATTCTACCACAAGTAGGAATTTGTCACTTGTAACATACTGTACTTTAGCCCAATTGTTACTTTCAGCACCAAAGGCCAAAGCTACATTTCTTGTGTGCTCATTTTATAACTAATAATGCTTTATTATTATTATTATTCTGCTGTTTTAATTAAACTGCTTAGAGATTTTCTCTAAACCATGTCATATTTTTTTTACCCCCACATTTTAGGCTAGAAACAGATTCTCATAGGGAAGACTGGCAATTTAGGACTTTTTTAAAAAAACAAACACAAAACCTTCTCACATCCACAATTTTCTCCAGTCAAATTTGCAGTAATCAGGTATGTGCCCACCTTACAATATGGCAGCAGTGAGGCCCACAAGACTTCCACATTTGCACTGTGTAGCCATTGTGATCAAGCAACGTTTACTTGCACTTGAAATCACAAGACATCAGGCATGGTGCAGGTAAAGGGTCAGGGGTAGCAAGACATCATGCCTTTGCTCTTATGGTTTGATATCAAATGCATGGGCAAAAACAGGTCACAGGACATCACTGTGACATATTAGGTGATTGATAGGTGGTCAGCCCTGTCAAACCTAGCCCACGGGGTCAACAAGCATCCAGCTCTTACTCCTGCAACATGGGAAGGAATCTTGCGTCTGACATATACTATGGGTCAGGAATAGTCTTCAGCTTTGGAATTCATCCTTGTTGTGCAGTGCTTCCATAACATTGGGAAGGCCCAGCAAAGCACAAAGTAGTCCCATCTCTCCTTCCAAGCGTGGATATAGGGACAAAAAAGAGATTGTCTCACTGTGCATCAGAGGTGTTGGGGTTACTTATGCTTGCCATAGCAAGAACTTGTGGACCTCTGCTGCGTACCATGCATAATTCTGTACCTGCTTGATCCAATGCATCAATGATCCTGTCTTACCATTTTCCTAAGTTATTTTCCTTTGTCCTCATGAAATGCTACACCTTAGTCTCATCATTTATTTGCATATTTTGTATTATACTTTCAGTGTTTAGTGATGCTTGGATATACAGTGGTACCTCGGGTTAAGAACTGAATTCATTCTGGAGGTCTGTTCTTAACCTGAAACTGTTCTTAACCTGAAGCACAACTTTAGCTTATGGGGCCTCCCGCTGCCACTGCACGATTTCTGTTCTCATCCTGAAGCAAAGTTCTTAACCCGAGGTAATATTTCTGGGTTAGTGGAGTCTGTAACCTGAAGCGTATGTAACCTGAAGCGTATGTAACCCGAGGTACCACTGTAGAATATCTTTAGCAAGCATTATGTTGGAAGACTGCCATGTTCTTGCTCCTCAACAATTACATGAAAGTCTACTAAAATGAGGTTGAATGTTCCACTGAAGTATTCGCAGAATGACCAACAGTTTCTTTCATCCAAAACTTATCCCTCATCCTCAGCTTAAGACACAAGCTTCTGCAAAAGACAGAGCTAGCTTACCACTCTATGGTAAAGCCACAACACAATTTTGAGAAGACTGCAGTGTAAGCAAAGCACTCAGTCTAGCACAAACCTTAGGGTGAAGTCTGTTCACAGTCCTTCAGTGAAAGCTTAACAGGATAACTATTGTTCACAACTTGCATCATATCTAAAGTTTGTGAATATAAGTGCTATGCCCTAACCATGTTAATAACAAGTGGTAGAGCAAGCTAACTTCAGAGACCAACTTCACCGTGACATGTACAGAATCTCAAAATATTCAAATGTTTTGTGTTAATATTCTTACATTGCCTTATTACTATGAAAATTGTTCCCATTTTATTTACTAGGTTGTGGTAGTCTTAAGTTTTCTAAAGCTGCAATAAGGAAGTATGCACCTCTTGAAGCAGATTTATTTCCAAGCCAGAAGAGTGGAAAACAGACCATAAGATGAAAACACTGTATAAGTTTCCCCAAACTCAACTGCAAAAACAGGTGTCATAACTTAATACTACCTCAACCTGCTATAATAAAATTATTCCAAACAATACAAAAGCAAATACTATAAAAGTTAACTATCAGCACCAAAATGCCTAGACTCGCTTTCTTCTGTTTTGTTTTCTGTTTTTGCTTCGTTCACCAAGCTGGAAAACCCCAAAAGGAATGTAGCACTTTTCTTCTAAATAGGTGGGAGCTATGGAGAAAGCTGAACTGAGAATGAACCTTTTCCTTGAGAGTACAGTGGTACCTTGGGTTACATATGCTTCAGGTTACAGACTCCACTAACCCAGAAATATTACCTCGGGTAAAGAACTTTGCTTCAGGATGAGAATAGAAATCGTACTGTGGTGGCGCGGCGGCAGCAGGAGGTCCCATTAGCTAAAGTGGTGCTTCAGGTTAAGAACAGTTTCAGGTTAAGAACAGACCTCCAGAACGAATCAAGTTCTTAATCCGAGGTACCTCTGTACTGAAGATCATGAAAGGATGCACTTTCATTACATGTACAATTGTACATGTTTATTACAGGGTTAATAGGCATGAAGGTGCCTCAAAATGTTTCTTTGAGTATTCATACAGTCTTCTCACCTGTCGTTCACAATAGGCTTTCATTAGTTTGCTAAGTGGTGTATGCCTTTTAATCTTAAACTGCACCACAGATCCATCTTGCCCTGCAACCTTCAGATTAATGTGGTCATTATTTTCAGTCTTCACACCTTCCTGTACGGGAAAAAAAAGCATAATGATTTTAAAGTTATTCCATCTAGTAATGAATCCTCAAGTTCAATACGCATTATCACAACCAGAGTTCTCAAAGACTAGCCACTACAGCTCTGTTTCAGAAATATCATTCATTAGTAAGTGGTTTTAGTGGGCTGTTGCCAACTAACAAATGGTCCATAGTAGACAGGTCAATTAGATCACTGCAACTATTTCTATGCTTTGTGTTCTGAACTAAACATAGATTTCACTTGATTTATCTACTATACAAGATTCACAACAATACATGGCAATACTAAAACTAACAAACCTCATTAAGTTTGCAATTCTACACAAACTTACCTGGAAGTAAGCACAAGTGAGCTCAGTGGGGCTTACCTACTCAGACATTTCATTTTAAATCACCCAATAAAACTGACCAGCACCATATAATGAGGAATTTAAGAGCCAAAGTGCTCTTGACTTACTATATGGGGAAAGAGTTTTAAAGGTTAAGGCAGCAGCATGCAGCTGTAAAGAGCACAATAGTTAATTTTATCCTTCTTAGGAAAGCTACAGCTATTCTTGGAGCTTTAGCTACAGACCTGACAATTACCAACACCTCTCTTGCTTTATTTAAACTAAAGGCAAGCATTAAGTTATTGTTCTAGTGTATTTATGTACACAACTCTGAAGCACAGCCTCATAATGCATGCAATTATTGTTTTATTCTGTCCCTTTAGCATAATGAGAACAGAACTACTTCTCTTTTTCTTTCTTAAAATAACTCCAGCACTGCAAAAAAAAAAGGAAAGAAAGAAAGAAAGAAAAAAGACATTTTCTTAGCTAAGTTTTGGATCTGGGTTTAGGGTTCAAATCTCCTCTGCCATAAACTTCACAGGGTGTTATTGAGCTAGTTACTGTCTCAGCCTTAAACTATTTCACTGGGTTGTTATGGGGATCAAATTGGGGGGGGGATGCAATCCACCTTAAATTAATCGGCAGAAACACTGGATATAAATATAATAAATAAGAGGAAAAGAAAAATAATGTATCTTAAAATGTGCTTATCTTCTCTCACTCAACAGGGTTAAAAAACAACTACCACCACCACCACCATGAAGACACCTTAAGAGCTTTTTAGCTTTTATCTTAAGGAACTTAAGAAACAAAAAGTTACTTTGCAAGCATGCCCACCATTTTTTAAAAGTACATAGCACCTACTAGTCTGGGTCTGGGTAAGGTTCCTCCATACTATACTGTAAGCTATGCAGGTATGCTGGGGTGCCACTTAAAAGGGCATCGTTTGACCTTAGGATCATTCCCTATTTCTGATCGCTACGAGCTCAGAGCCTCATGGTACAACTCGTACCTTTGAAGAACCCATGACTATGACCATCCCATTAAGTTCACAGTACGCCCGACTCCACACAACAGACGTTCCCTATGGCCTACCTCCGATGCACCTCAGACACACGCACAAAAATACAAAAACCACAGGCGCCACAGGGCCCTCACGCTGCAAGGCTTTGCAGAGAGCTCCTGGAAGGCGCAGCAGCGAAGCCCCACACCTCCGATCTCGCCCTTGCACACTCCCGCACACAAAGCAAACTCCATCCAAAAGGCACGCACGCACAGAACACCACCACCGTCGCCCCCTTTTGTAAAAAAAATAATAGTAACGTTCCTCTGTTCAACCGCCTTGAGCGGCGGGCGGGATCCCGCGGAGTCCGCGAGAGGAAAGGGGTTTTTCGCGCAGCCAACGTTTTGGCGCCTCCGAAGTCACATTTAAAACGAGGCGTACGTCGGAAAAGGAGGGAGGGAAGGAAGGAAGGAGGGAGGAAAAGGAAAAGCCAGGCCACCCAGAGGCCAGTTACCTCCGCGGGAAGCGGGGAGAGAAAGAGGGGTTACCTGCCGCCCAGGGCCACTTCAGGAGGACAGCAAGCAGCGTGCAGGGCGGCCCGGAAGGAAGCGACACAAAGAGGGGCCTTCCCATCGCCATCGCCACCCCCCTCGCCGGTCAATAAAGCTGCGGACGGCGCCCAGCACACGAGGGACTAGCGCCTCTTTCTTGCAAAGGGAGGGGGCCACAACATCAACAACAGAAACCCGAGAGGGAAGGGGCCGTTCCGCAGCCCTCCGCAGGGGCAAGGGAGGCTCGCCGCTGTAAGGAAAGGCGAGCTCCTCGAGGGGGCACCCCCATCCCTTCCTCCCCCTCCCCCTAGAAAGAAATCCGATTAAGGCGGAGAGGGGGAGGGGTGGAAAATGGCGCGCAAGAACCGGCGCGGCGGAGCCGACGCTGCGCCGCCTCCGTCCCCGCCGGCTCCGTTGCCTCCGCTCCCCGCCGCCTTCGCTCACCTTGGGCTTCTCGTCAGCCATGGCGAGTTCAGCGGGGGCCGGTCCGCTGCGAGCACCTCACGCGAGCAAGTGGGGGGACGGAAGGATGAAAAAAGGCGACCGCGACGGCCGAGACAGAAAGACTGGGGGAGGGGGCGAGTGAGCGCGCACGCACTGCCGCGGGGCCGCGCCTGAGCCTGCGAGAGCGCGCACGCACGGCCTCCCCCCTCCCCCTCCAGTCCGCTCGCCATTGGGCCTCGGCGGGGCGAGAGCGCGCAGCGCCGTTACATAACTCGGAAGAGAACGGCGGAGGGAGGAGGCAATGGCTGCGTGCGTGCGCGCACCCAGGGGCCGTCGTCCGCGCCCCTGCCCAACGTGCGCGCGCCCCGCTGGGCGCAGCGAGCATTGCTCTTGCTCGTGAAGAGGGTATTGTCTTTTCAAAATGGCCGCCGGGCCTGGGAGACTGCAGAGATCTCCAGCTAGCCAATTTGCACTTTCCGTCAAGTTACTATTGAGATGATTTACATGGGCCTGCTAAACAGAAAATTTCTCTGCCTTTTAAATTGTTCCTTTTCATTTGGTTAATGAGCTAGCCACGTTAATCCTTGTTAGATTTCTGTGTACAACCATTCTATCTCTGTTGCACCAGATATCAACCAAAGTAGGTCCCTACTTTCCCGGGTGTTAGCTGAAGTTTTCTTGTACCAACTCCGTAATTTCTCTTTGTATCCCACTAAATAAATTGTAATTCATGCATATGTTAAACTGCTATTACACTGAAGTGTACCTATCTACTAATGAAAAACTACAAAATATTAGATTTCCTCATTACCTTACATGGAAACTTAATCTGTACACTTTACTAATATTCACTGATAATTTCTTTTCACTTTCCAAATTAACACACCTTGATCTCAGATGTCCAGAAAGAAAAGCACACTGGTTCTGGAATAAACCCATCACTGATGTTTTAAGAAAGGATATTTACATAATCCTCCATTATAACAGGAAAATTGTGTTGCTATTTTCATAAACTTGCTTTAATCCCCTGAATATCCTAGTGGAACAGTGCTTTCCACTGTGTTCATTTATCAGGGGTCCCTTGATGAGAAGGGCAGATAAGTTTCCTTGAAAAAACTTCACTACTGTTTATCTTCCCTGCATAGTGCAGTCACTGGGAAGTATTGAGTGAATTCTTGGTTCACCTGGGGCCCAGCAGACTTGCCGGTTTTCCGCACTGTGTGAAAATAGAAATTAGAAGACAATTGATGCGTGTGATAGAGAATAGGCATAAATGCACAAAAACAACTGGTCAACTATTGTATTTTTGGGCAGAGCAATGCTATAGCTTTGGTACACCAGAATACCACTAATGTTGTTGGTGTAACATAGTTCATATTTGGTCCCCACTCTGCGCTTCTAGGAACCAGTGGTTCCTAGAAGCTGTCAGCATATGACGGCGGCCACACCCTAAAAAACAGCTTCCACTGACCAGCTAAACCAGATGAGGGTAGCCAGTGGGTCTCAGCCCTCTGTTAGGGACTTTCCTATGCATGCAAAGACAGCCTCCAGTGGACTGAGCGGCCGAGACCAATAATGGGACCAACAGTAAAAAAGGTGATTTCTGCATGTGCTGTAGAGGGATATGAGGGGCCGATGAGTCTTGTCAACCTGGGAAGGTAGCCCATCTAGGAGAAGGAAAACTCTGATGCTAAATCTCTGCTGCCTTGCCGGGATATCTTTGGGAGAAGAAAAGGCTAAGGAGTAAACCAAACACAAATCTGGAGAGGAGTCCCTAGAATGGTTGAAAAATGCCTTGTATGCCTTCTGGCAACTCCTGCAGCCAAGCTGGTGCCAGACGTATTGCTCTGCTTTCCTTTAGACCACAGCAGTGAGGCTAAGAGGAGGGTCATGTCATCAGAGCAGTCTACAACCTCTATACACACTGTCCAAGCTTGTGCCCTGAGGAGGTCACTTCAGTGCTGCTAATCCAGCAGTTTGACTTCACCCTTGCAGGCGCACTTCATTTTCTCTCAGGACAGAAGGATGTCAACAAGAACAATTCTTGCTCAGCACGTAACATGAAAAGCTCCCAGTCACAGAATGGACCACTGATTATGTCCATACTTGCAGCCTCCATGGTAGCACTGAGGACTTCCACCAATCATGTACCAGCCCTATGACAGTGCCTCCATGGAAGAAGCCAATCCATTCACAGCAACTAATTGACATTTCCATGACATATCCCCATTTCACTCTGCACACAACACACCTGGCACAATGACACCACAGCAGCAGCAACTGCATAAATTAATATGCACAAGTAGGAATAAATCAATAACTGGGAGTTCCAAGAGATCTTCACATACCGGTTTGAATCTTAATTCCACACAGGTTTCCATGGCACTATAGTTCAAGACTAACAGGGTGGGGGATAGAAGCCTTTTTGTAGGCATGGAAAGTATCTAGGAAAGCCCCAATCGCACACAAGAGCAACTTCTGTTAGCTCACTGAGAAGGGCATGGGGTTGAGAAATAAAACACGAGTTCAAATCCCACTAAGTGGATCTGGAGTGAAAAGGTCCTCTTCACCCTCTGCATGCCAGGCTGGCAACAGTCGTATCAGAGTGAGAAAAGGAGAGAACTCCTGAGAGTCAAAACCTCTGCATATTCTTCAGAGCAGGTCTGTACCTACTCGGCTACAACAGGAGACAACCAACATGGCCAATTTATTATCTCACAGCTGTCAGCATGGAGAGATAGCTCAGGTTTCACATGTAAAGGTAAAGGTACCCCTGACCGTTAGGTCCAGTCGTGGACTACTGGGGTTGCACGCTCATCTCGCTCTATAAGCCGAGGGAGCCGGCATTTGTCCGCAGACAGCTTCTGGGTCATGTGGCCAGCATGACTAAGTCACTTCTGGCGAACCAGAGCAGCGCACAGAAACGCTGTTTACCTTCCCGCCAGAGCGGTACCTATTTACCTACTTGCACTTGACGTGCTTTTGAACTGCTAGGTGGGCAGGAGCTGAGACCGAACAATGGGAGCTCACCCCGTTGCGGAGATTCGAACTGCCAACCTTCCGATCGGCGAGTGCTAGGACACCCGAGATTCAAATCCAGCATTCGAATCCACTGATATGGGACCCTGAAAATGGGGTGCCTTAGCCATGTAGCTATTTTGGCTCATCTCTGTTAATGGCAACCTATACTGTTCTGTGTGTCAGGCTAGTTATCATTTCAGTAGGCCTCGTTGTTCTACCAGCTATCCCATACATACAGCATAGTAGCATCAGCCATCCTACTTGTGCCCTCTGAGAGGCCAGCCGGCTTACAATGCAGAATATGAGTGAGCAGAGTGTCAGGGTGACTCACCAGAGCCTTTGCAGCAACAAGGTTCCAACAACCCCCATCTGAAGTGAGATTAAAATAAGGAGAGGGGAGGGTATCCTAGCAACAAAGAAACAGCACAACACCTTAATTAAAGCTTGTATTGAATGGTATCTGGGATGGAGTGGGTTCTGAAAGTCAGAAGGGCACAGCGGGCAGGAAGCTGCCAACCAGTCACCACAGCAAAGCTCCTCTGCCTTTGACAGCTGAATAAAATACAGCAAAGTAGCAAGTGTCCCTCATGGCTTTGTTTCCTTACACAACTGTGGCACGGAGCTGGCAAAGGTACAGGAGCCTGTCTTTAACAAGTAGGTTTGGCAACGCAACCCTTCATAAGTACAGCTGGAAGTCCTCTGACAATTGCTTACTAGTCACACCGAGCTGCTGTGGAGAGCGAAGGCGGAGAATGAAGAACAAGCAACTGCCATCACATTGGTGCACAGAGTCCCTAGGCCTCGATGCATAGTAAGTGTTTGTGAGGAAGTTTATAGAGGGAGAGGCACCACTTCAGCGCTGCTCCACTTGTATCAACCTTTCCCCCACTGTAGGGGAGTGGGGAATACAGTGATTGAGTAAATACTTACCTCTTCCCGGTAGGGAGTTGCGAACTTGATAAAAGCCTTGCTGGTTCAGAACAAAATTCCATCTAGTCCAGCATTTTTCACAGTGGTCAACCAGACCACAGCAAGACCCTGCTACTGTAGTTGTTCTCCAGCAAATATTATTCAGAAGAATAATGCCTCTGATCATGGTTTAATATAGCCATAATGACCAGTAGCACCTGGCAGCCTTGTCCTCTTTCAATGCCATCTACATTGTTGCTCATTGGCACATCTTGTGACAACTTCATTGGTGAATTAGTGAAGCAGTGCATGAAGAATTATTTATTTTTGTCTCTCCTCTATATCCCACCTTCCACCTTCACTGAATGGCTCTGGGTTCTAAACGTTTCAAAGAGGAAGAAAAACCTTTGTCCCCTTTTCCACATGTCTTTCTCATGTCCCTGTCCTTTTATTTAAAAAAACCCCAATGTCAGGCCTAGCAACAGAGGTCGCCATTGGCAGGTACTTACCAATGGTCCATGCCTACTAGAAGGCACATCAACTGATTAACCGTATTGTTTAGCCTGAGAGACAGTAGCCTAGCAACAGGGGTAGATGGAGAGGCAGGTCCTCCAGCAAGTGGAACCACTGGAGCTCGCCAGTTAAAATCCTTCACGCTGTCTCTGGAACCCCAAGGAATATTGCTAAAATGATCCTACACTCTTGGGAAATGCCCCAGAGTTACTGTCGTACCAGCAGCAGCCAGTGAGACTAAATTTTTCCCCTGCTGCATGCCAGGCTTAGTACCCGCCTACCTCAAGGTAAGGGACGCGGGTGGTGCTGTGGGTTAAACCACAGAGCCTAGGACTTGCCGATCAGAAGGTCGGCGGTTCAAATCCCCGTGACGGGGTGAGCTCCCGTTGCTCGGTCCCTGCTCCTGCCAACCTAGCAGCTTGAAAGCACGACAGGAAGGTAAACGGTGTTTCCGTGTGCTGCTCTGGTTCGCCAGAAGCAGCTTAGTCATGCTGGCCACATGACCCGGAAGCTGTATGCCGGCTCCCTCGGCCAATAAAGCGAGATGAGCACCGCAACCCCAGAGTCGGTCACGACTGGACCTAATGGTCAGGGGTCCCTTTACCTTTACCTTACCTCAAGGTAAGGGGGAGTCATCTCTACCACCCAGGGAGACAGGGCTTATCTTCAACCACCTGTTTCCATAGCCCCTTTAACTGCTACCTCCTTGGCTTCCCAACTTGGTAGTCAGCCTTACTGCCATATCTTCCCCCATTTTAGTTGAAGGAATTGTTTTGGAACATTTCTCAATCCCTTTTTGGTTTTACCACCCTGAATGATGTGTCATTCATGAGCTTCACCAAATCGCCATGTCATCCTTAACTCAGTTTCATTTATGAGCATGTTAAAAAGCACCAATCTCACTATAAACCCTTTGTGGGGTAGGGACGCATATTACATCCTTCCATTGTTAGAAATCTACATTTATCCTTGTTCTCTGTTTTCTGTTCTCTTTAACTAGTTACCGATCCATAGGGGGGTCATATTCCACAGTCTACATTTATTCAGGAGACTACAGTGAAAGTCTTCCTGCTTCTTACATTCTGCCTCTCAGGGCAAAGCCTGCCAAAGGTGGTTTTACAAAAGTTAATTAGCTTCAAACAACAACAACAAGTTTATTATTTATATGCCATCCATCTGACTGGGTTGCCATATAACACAATAATTTCCCTTTAAATACATAGCAAGAACATTGTGCTTTCAAATAATTTACAGTACAATCTACATGTAATGCTTTCAGTCAAGGTCTTCCCATAAGCTTCTTTCTGTCCATCCACCTATGGTCCCTACTGATGCCTTGTCTTATCAATCAAAGTTGTACTGGCACATTATAGCTTCCTCCACCTGCTGCCTTTGATGGTCCAATGTCTCCCTTTGTGCTTGCACTAATGATGAAAATATTTCGGAATCTGAGTAGCCTTCCCTTTCAAGCATGGCTCATTAGATTATCTGGACTTTCTGTTCTTCAAATCCTTTCAAGGACTCTCATCTGCTGGAGTATCCAGGCAACTGGAGGAGTAACCATGGAGGGGCTGTTCAGAAGAAAGGAAACAAGCCCACAGGAGCCAAGGTTCATATGTCACAACAAACTGGAGTCTGGCTTGTTTAGGGTTTGTTTCCTCTCCTGCACAGCACAGTCGGGAGCGAGAGAAGAATGAAGTGTCCATGCACATTAAAACATACTTTATTTTAAATGATGAACATAAACATAAGAATATATGAAGAGCCTGTTGGATCAGGCCGTTGCTCCATCTAGTCCAGCATCCTGTTCTTAACAGTGGTGATCAGATGTGTATGGGAAGCTCACAAGCATTACCTTGAGCACAACAGCACTCTCCCTTCCTGTGGTTTCCAGCAATTGGTATTCAGAGAGAGCATATGGCTTCTGACAGCGGAGATAAAACATAGCCATCAAGGTTACAAGCCATGATAGCCTTATCCTCTGTGAATTCGTCCAATTCTTTTTCAAAGTCATCCGCAGATTAATTAAGTGGATAAACTGGACCTTTCCCATTTGCTTGCTCTCCTTCAAACACAAAAGAGTAAAATAGATTACGGGTTGCATCCAGAGAATTAGGTAGAACCCACAAAACACATTTAGAACACACTGTTCTCCCCAGAGAATCCTAGGAACTGTGGTTCACAAAGGTGCAATTCTCAGCACGCTTAACAAACTACAGTTCCCAGGATCCTTTGAGAGCTCACAAACAACAGCATCTTCTGTGACAGAGATAATCTGCTGTCTTGTTCCCAGCGTATCGAAATCAGAGCTATACTACTTCTGAACATGGAGGTGCCATTTAACTGCTATGGTCTATTACAGCCTTTGATAGATGTGTCCTCCATAAATATGTCTAATCCTGTGAAACAGCAGTCTGAAGTAAACCATTGGGTATTACCACATAATTCTGCACTATCTAAAGAGGTAATTACTTTGGACATGTCTAGATCCACCATTAATCAACTTCAGTGGTTGTCTCATAGTATTCTAAATATGGCTACATCACATAATTACTAAATCACTTTTATACCTGCTGTTCCTCACTACTTGGCGAGAGAGGAAAATAAAGTGAAAGAAGCTAAAAAGCACTACTGCTATGTTGTTCTGCAGAAGTATTTGGGAACTGAAATTCACTTTATCCACCCAGTTGTCAGCTATGAATGAAAGAGATCTGGAGAATATAATATTAGTTAATGCAAACTGCATGTTCAAGATTATTTTTCTCAGGTTAAATATTTATCCTGTGTTTATTTCATAGTTTAATGCTCTTTATAAAATGTACGTAATTCAGAGTTAATGAAAATTTTTTTAGAGTGTTTTAACCAGAATACGCATAAGCATGTTTTTTAAAAATTGTTATCTACTATGGAGAAATAGGAAAAGAGATGAACATAATTCACATATTTTCAAGTGCTAATGTAACCACGCCATGATCGTATTAAGTGGAGGTTGCCAGGGGTGGCCCAAGGTGTTGCGGCACCTGAGGCGAAATGCCCCACTGCTGCCCCTGTGATGAAGAAGCTCTTGTGAAGAAGCCCTTGTGGAGTCTCCCACACAGGGAAAGCTGGGGAGATCATTTATGGGTCCCTCCTCCTTCCCAGCAGCGGGGTTCTCCCTTTAGGAGTAAAGCCCCACCACTGCTGGGTGGTGGGGGAAAATCTCTCCCCCCCCCACCTAGTGACAAAGCAAAAAGTCTTCCCTCTAGAAAATTCAGCAGAAGGGGAGGCATTACACAGAGCTTTGCCACCAGTCTCTCTCTGCTCTGCCCCTAGAAGCGAAGGAGGCTGGCAGCAAATGAGGTGCCACTCCGACAGGGAGCCAGCAGTAAATTGCACCAAGCTAGTTGGAGTTAACTCTTTATTAGCACAAACAGGATCTGTGCAGTGGTGTCAGGTCTAATAAGCACAACACTCATCTCCAGCAGGTCTTGCCCCTACAAAGCATTTGCTGAGACTGAAGGTCCTGGCTCCCTACAGCTGCCTAAGTCCCCTCCTCTCCAGGGTTTTCCCTGAAGCAATTTGAGACAGTACCTGTGTGAAGCTAACTTCTGCTCTGCCCTCTTCATGCCTCTTCTGGGGCTGGGAGACCAGAGGGGAGGGGAGCTTTTGCAGCAGGAGGGGGGGATACCTGTGCCTCTTCACAAGCCAGACTCATCTCTGCCTCTTGGCTTCCCTCCTCTCCTGCTTTAGCTTTTGTGGCTGAGTCTGGACTGCTTTCTGCCACAGCCTCTTCCTGCTCACTAAACTCTTGTTACCTCTTCAGCTTCCAGGATCTCCTCCTCCCAGCCTGCTCCCTCTGACCACTCATTGTCATCCCACCACTACTCCCCTGATGCTAAACCTGCTTTGCTTCCCTTGGGTGTTCCCCAGCTGGTTCCTCCCACCAAGAAATACGTTCAAACTTGTTCAGTGTCACATTTCCTCAGATAAGTGGTCTACAGAACTGTAGCCAAAGCACTATTCGAGTAGATATGTTAACTCAAATATCTCAGGTCCAAGGCCAACACATGTTCACGCAATCAGTTGGGAGAATATAAAAGAGTTTGGATCGCATTAGCTGTAGGCAATAATCCAACAGGCAATCCAAGGGTAAACAGTGAACCAGAGAAAACCAATTTTGTGATTTGGTTGTGAATTTATACCCCCACTGTGGGCCAGCTAAGACTTCTAACTCTTGTTACCAGGAAGGGACAGAGCCTTAAGCAGAAGAGGGGAGCCTGGCAGAAAAAACCCAGCAGCTTGGGGAACCTCACTGCAAGAGGCAGGGGCAAAACTAGGCTTTATTTCACCTGGGTCAAAGGCCCAGTTTGATACCCCCCCTCCCCACATTTGCATGCGCACATACACAGGCTGGGAGCCTCAATGGTGCTCCTCTGGAGGCTTCACCTTGTGATAGGAATTTTATGGTCTTAGATATATGGTAATGTTCATAACCGCACATACATAGATCAACACAGGAAGGCCAACCTGGAACCATTTTGATTCCTAAACTGACCAAATGTTTTCTCTGCAAGGTCAAACTGGAAAAGTCTCCCCATTGTCTCTTTCCTCACAAATCCTGTCTTAAGGACACATTTAAGATATGAATAGGGTGTGAGCCTGTGACCTGGCCCAGGAAATAAGTATTTTACCACAACAAAAGAATGGCCAGGCTCCCCAGGCAATCCAATCAAGTAACTTGCCAGACAGGAGATAAACTGTGACAGGAGAAAAACAACATTTAAATTTCTGTGATGTAGGTGGGATGTATCTGAGGTTACACCCCTTCTGTGATGTATGCATAATGTTTCTGGGGGTGGTCTTGATCTAGAGAATGGGAATTTCAAAAGTCTTTATAAGCCCTTGCACAGCATTTTTGTGGGTCCTCTTCCTCTCCTGCGTGTGAGGGGAGCACCCTGTTGCAACAGATTAATAAAGATCAAGCTTACTAGCTGCTTTGCTTCTCAATATTCTCTGGTTGGCCTCTGTTATTTTCTCCTACCAATAGGGAACCTATGTAAGGACTCTATATGGGCTCTTGGATACCCCATAAGGGAAAAGGGCATATTTTTTATTTACAACAACCTGGAGCAAAAAAACAAACAACCCGGTAGCTAAGCCTCTCGAGTGAGGTTACTAGGGAACCAGGAGGACCCTTCTTGGTATTCGAGCCCACCTAGTGGAATGCCCTCCTGTCAGATGTCAAGGAAAAAAACAACTACTTGAGTTTTTAGAAGACAGCCCTGTTTAGGGAAGTTTTTAATGGTAGATGTTTTATTGTGTTTTTAATGTATTTTGTTGGGAGCCGCCCAGAGTGGTTGGGCAACCCAGTCTGATGAACATAACAAATTGTTGTTGTTGTTGTTGATGTTTCTGGGCACTGAGTTTTAGGGAGTCCACGACTGATTAGACAGATAGATATTGCAGTCCCAATATATATTGGAAGAACTGCAAGGACAAGCGAAAGCTTTGCAGCCCTACATCTAGCGGGCACTGCAAAAAAACATTCCTCTCTGCTGCCACGACTCTTTGCACCTCCACCACCCCAACCGCAAAAACTTCGCGGCGCTGCTGCCTCGACCACTTATATAGTTTTCCGCCGGGTCGACTTGGCTCTCTGAATCAGCGCCGTTTAATTTTGAGGCCCTACAGAGTGCCTGTCTCTCGAGCACAGCCGGGCGCCTCAAACCCGGACCCTTTCCAGCTCCCTCAGCCTTCGGAAGACGATATGCGAAGGAGCAGCAGGAATTGGATTTTGAAGGGTTTGAAGTTAGGTTTCAAATAAAAACAATTTAAATGAAAATCCTACGGGCAGCTTGGAGGACAGCCCCCGAGGCGGGGAACGAGGCATCGCTAATTTGGGAGAGGAGGAACCTAGAATTACGAATTTTTTGCATCAGCAGATTCCTTTCCGCGTCAGCTTTTGCATTGCTCCCGGAATGGACGTGAGAGATAGTGGTGGAGAAGAGCTCAGATTTCTCTCTGATGTTTCTCTAGCTTCAGCTCTCTCTTCAGTCCTGAGGAGCAAGAGAGCGTGTGGGGGGGGGGGAGCTTTACAAAGGAAGTTCTCTCTGGAGCGCTGTTGTAAACGGAGAGGCGAGCTCCTCTATAAGTTTCCTATCTCTAGGGGTGGAAAAGAGGCGGCAAAAAACAACAACAACCCACAAACCCCGGGGTCCTCTCGTACGCATGCGCGCGAGAGGCATGGCCATTGGCTGGTCTGTCCCAGGGAGACGAGGAAGCGGCTGCTCGAGGCTGGGAAAGGAGCGAGGGCAGAAGCGGATAGCGGGAGTTTGTGCCTCGGCTGGGCGGCATGGAGGAGCTGGACGTGGAGCCTGCGGTCACTGTGCGTCGCTTAAGCGGGTCCCTCCCTCCCTCGCTCGGGGTGTTTGTGGGTCCCGTGGAGGGAAATGGGATCCGGGGAAGGAGGTGGGGCTGCAGGTGTAGGAACGCAAGGCTCTGATTTGGGTCCCCCCCCCCTCGATCATGGGCAAGGAACTTGAGAATTGTAGATTTGGAAGGGAACCCCGAGGGTCATCTAGACCGACCCCCTGCAATGCCGGAGTCTTTTGCCCAGCGTGGGGCTCGAACCCGTGACCCTGAGATTGCTCTACCGACTGAGCTGTCTCCATTCGCCTTTGTGTCGGAATAGGCAGGTTTAATAAGTTTCCTCCTCCTCCTCCTTCACCACCACCAGCAACCTCCTCTGCAAAGTGAGCAGAGGCAGTAACGTCGTGACAGGGCCAGTTTTATCTTGTCTCTGGCCTTTCTTGCAAGGAGCTCAAGGCAGCATGCTGTGGCTCTCTTCCCCCAGCCCCATTTTAATTTTACAGTTATAACAGCGCTGTGAGGTAGGCCTGGCTGAGGAATAAGGGCGTTGCTCAGTGAGCTTCATGGAGTGTGTGTGGAGAATGTCATTCACGTGCTTAGCCTGACCCCAACCACTCCACTTCAGAGGCTTGCTACAGTGGTACCTCGGGTTACATACGCTTCAGATTACATACACTTCAGGTTACAGACTCCGCTAACCCAGAAATAGTACCTTGGGTTAAGAACTTTGCTTCAGGATGAGAACAGAAATCTTGCTCTGGCAGCAGCAGGAGGCCCCATTAGCTAAAGTGGTGCTTCAGGTTAAGAACAGTTTCAGGTTAAGAACGGACCTCCAGAACGAATTAAGTACTTAACCCGAGGTACCACTGTATTTACCTTACACCCCACATCTCCATCCACTTGTTGGCAAAGAAGCATATAACAGAACAAAAGCACGAACAAACAAAATCCTAACCAGCAGCCCTGTTCCTCAAGGCTTGGCCACTGACCAAACTGTGCCTCCTTAAGCTGTGCAGTCTTAAGGGCAGCTGGCAGCTGGAGCCAGTTTGCTTTTTCTGGCAGGGTGCTGAGAAGCCAACTCCCCACCTGCACTCCTTTGGCCCGTGGATAGGATCAGGCCGGTGTACCTGGGAGGCAGGGAGTGCCAGTGGCAGAGTAGTTAGAGCAGTGGTTCTCTTAAGTTTTTTCTCTGAGCCATGCTTTCGAAATAAAAATTTGCTCACACCACACCAAATTTTTTATTGGTGGTACAATGGGTTCTCTTGTTCCAAAAACTCCCTTTATTCATTCTTCAGCTCCAACACCCAATTAAAAACAATTCTGCGGGACAGCCAGCAAATCTCTGAGTGCAGGAAATGTTTTGATTCCATGTCTTTGCAGAGTCAAGCAAATAACTGTGTATTTAGTGGTTCTGCTTTGATGAAATTCACAATGTGCACAGCCTGATCTAGAACCAAATCAGCTACAAGGGTCTTGGTGATTAATGCCTCTGTGTAAAAAAAACCTCAGTGATTTGATACTGCATCTGGATTTTTCTGTTTGATGAGTGCCACTGTCCTGATACCCCAGTCGAAAGATGGGCTCGTGGGAGTGGTTTGGTGCAGGCATTATTATAAGAAAGAGTTAAGTTTACAGTAAGTCACCCAGCCAGGCCTCACTGCCATTACAGATGCAGGATGGACACTGCAGCAGTGAGAGCTTGCCGTGACTTGTCTGCACTCAGGCAGATGTTTATACAACCCTTATTCCCAAAGCAGCACACTCCGTTTGCCCCAAACCTCCCATCAAAGCTGGCTAGTGAGGCCATACGTGGCAGCTATCCAAGGCTTCTCCCCTCTCTGGGCCTAAAGCCCAGCATCTCAAGGACTACAGATAAGCACAGCATCAAAGCAAGTCAATTAACATATATCAAAGCAAGGAAACATAAACATATATGAGCTCATTCTTGCAGCAGCTGCTCATTATTTCGGCTGGTTATCTTGACTATCAAGATGGCATTTGCAGGCTTTCCAGAACATTTCACTTTGGTTCAACACAGCTACCAAGCCTCTCATATTCCCTGTCATACATGGTGCTCCATCTGAAAAAATTCCAATACAAGAATCCCATGAAATCTCATTTTCTCCTGCCATGCTAGTGTGGCGCACCACACCCTTTGAGAACCACTGGGTTCCTCAAGCTCAGGGGTCGGAGCCCAGAGCCCAGCAGGAGCGACAGCTCCCATCATCCCTGACCGTTGGCCATGTTAGCTGGGACTGATATCACGTGGCAAGGCAAGGCAAGCATGTCCAAGATCGTAGTAGGCAGTTGGGTTTGGTGTTGATTGAAGATGTAAGGGTGTGTGTGTTTTTTAATGGATAGAACTTGTGAGGTGTTCTTCAGAAGAGGGTCACTCTCTTCATTCCAGCTTTTGCTGCTGTCAGTGTATGTACAGTGGTACCTCAGGTTAAGAACTTAATTCGTTCCAGAGGTCCGTTCTTGACCTGAAACTGTTCTTAACCTGAGGTACCACTTTAGCTAATAGGGCCTCCTGCTGCCACTGCGCAATTTCTGTTCTCATCTGAGGTAAAGTTCTTAACCTGAGGTACTATTTCTGGGTTAGCGGAGTCTGTAACCTGAAGCGTATGTAACCCGAGGTACCACTGTAATTTAAGTTGCAGGTTTTTTAAAAAAAGTGTACTTCGTAACAGATGTGTTTTGATTTCAGCATTGTTACCCTATTTGCCTGTCTAATTCCCTTCCTTCCTTCTGTTTCAAACAGCTGATTCCAGAAATAAATTCTGACAAGAAACAGTTATGTTTCGAGTGGGGACCTGGGGAGATGCTGGTGTGTGAAACATTGTTTGGATCAACAGGTTGGTAACCTCTGTTACTAATGTGTATGTTTTTGATGAATTAATAATAGTGAATAGGCCCACACAAGTCCAGGGATGGAAAACCTCGGGCTTAGGGATTGCATGTGGCCCTCTGGGCCTATCTATCTGGCCCTTGGAACCATCCCCAAGCATTTCTGCGTGGCAGGAATGCATCCCTGAACTCAGTTAATGATTTCTCTTGCTTGCCTGGGTGGAGACTAGAGAGGGATGTCTGAGTGTTGTAGACACTAGCAGACAGTACAAAGGTGAGGTTGTCATTTGTAGCTGCAGCTGCTTTTAGTTTTAGCCCCGCACATCACTGGTATGTGGCCCTTGGAAGATCACCCAGAAGGAAATGTGGCCCTCTGACTGAAAATGGTTCCTTCCCCACCCCTGCCTTAATTCTAGCAGAGTGTTGATGTGGAATTGCATGTGGTGGGCAGGAGCATCCCAAGACAGAAAAAGTTGGTTAGAATTAGCGAGGGAAGAGAGATTAATTCGAATAAAGGTGAAAGAGAGAACAGGAGGACACAGAAATAGAGATTTATAGTTTTAGACATTGCTGCTATTAATCTTACTGGGAATACTGGTTAAAAATCATTGTCTGATTATTGTTTAATTTTTCAATAATTATTTATAACTACTTTGGCATTCAAATACAATCGCCCCTTCTTTGTCCCTCAAAGTAGACTTGCTAAGTGGTCCTCCTGATGCCCACTGAACTTTCAGCACAGGCTGTGTTAATGAATTTTAGACTCAAAATGCCTGGGTACATGTACGCAACACTTAACATGGCTTAATTTAGTTCAAGCGCTAGGGAACCTTTTTCAGTCCATGGACCACATTCTCCATGGGCAAGTTGCCAAGGATGGCATCCTTGTGGCAGACAGAGCCCAAGACACAGGTGTCTTGTGGTTAGAGGCAAAATTGGGCAGAGGATGTGTCACCTGAACTGAGAGAGGTGGCCTGGGGAAGGTCCACAGGGCTAGATAGAAAAGTCTGGAGATCCACATTTGGCCCCTGGGCCTGAGATTCCCCTCCCTGGTCTATATGCTTTAAGATAGGAATGGCAAACCTATCAGCACCTAGGTGGTAGCCCATGTTGGAATCCCATGAACATTGTTCTGAACTCTTTGTTAGATCACTGGGACAAAGTGTAATGAATTAAACAGCAGCCTTGTTCAGATATTTGCAACAGTAGTTTTCAGACTGTGCTTCTAGGAAACCTGCGAGATTATCAGAAATGGCACACAAACTTCACCAAATGACATTTTTTCTGAGGCAGTGGCGTGGCCCAATAATCCTGGCTTAACACCCCACATGAAATATGAGTTCACCCTCAAGAACATCCTACACAAAGCTTCAAGGGTGTAAGATTCCCCCCCCCCAAGCATATAAATAATGGCGAGAAAGATCCCAAGAATGAGGTCAGTTTATAAACGAAACGAAACACTAGTACATGAGTATGTGTTAAAAGCATCCACGCCCTTACCTTTACAGAGCTTGCATGGAACAGAGGGAATGTAGAACTACTTTGGAATACATATGCACCCAGATAACCTCAGCGTTTTTTGTCGTGTCCCACTGTGTTGTGGGGCTGATACGCACATTATTCCCATGGTGAACTAACGGTGTTTGGCTGTATTAAAACTTGTATGTGATTTGTTTCAGAGGGTAAAGAGAAAAGGCCTGACTGCCCCTATGTCTACGTTGTTCGCAAAGATCTAGATATATACTCTCAGACTTTGAGGAAGCTTTTCAATGAATCACATGGGATCTTTGTCGGCCTTCAGAAGGACGAGAAGGAAAAGCTTGGGAAGTCAAGGACTGCCCAGTAAGTGATCTAAAAATCTTCATGTTCTGAGATCATCCAGGTAGGGGCAGTGTGCTATAGTGATTCATTCGTTGATTTGCAACAAAACCTTATGAGTGTGAGTGTGCATAGCATTGCAGCCTCAGTATATTGACCTTATTTAATCTGAATGTTTCTTCTGTAGCCACTGCTATTTTCATGAATTCACTTGCTGTCTACCAGAGGGATGTAACACCCTAAATAATGTTGAGGGATACCAGTGTGGCAACGGAGAGTACATTTAGTTCATACTGCTTTCCAAGCTCATGTATGGTGCTTGGAAAGGGTCTGTCCATAATTTTTTTCTTTTTAACTCATTCTAATTAGACTCTTCTACTTTTGTCAGGTTGGTTCGAGTGAGCAAAAACTACCGCTCAGTCATAAGAGCCAGCATGGAAGATTCTCATCAGTTAGCTAGTAAGTTGTCCTACAGTGTTAATGTGAAATGCGGTGGACTTGAGTCCACAATATATGTATTTTTTTGTTTTGGCAAGCTGATCCAAATGTATGAATTTATTGTGTATACTTGTTTATAAATTCTGTTGATTTTAAACAGTTTTATTATGTCTTACTTGTTTTTGAGATTTGTTGATTATATTTTGAGAAACGCTATTTTACACTTTTGTGTAAACTGCTTAGAGATATTTATTGTGGTCTATATGTAGATTTTGTAATCTATGCTCTTCATTCAGTGAGCTACACTACTAAGTGGTCTGTACGATATAATTTGTGAGATGATAACAATAAGAAAGTAGTCTGAATGGCTCATGAAATTGAGCTGGTCTTACAAGAAGTCAGTTTGGAAATCTTTTGAATCCCAGGCTCCACTGGGACCCAGAAGGTTCAGGTGATGGGGCCTTGGCACAGGAATAAGAACTACAGCCTTTTGAATGTAGCTGATAAAAGTGCTAATTAACTAAGTACACTGAAGAATGTACAGTGGTACCTCTGTTTAAGAACAGTCCGGTTTAAGAACGATTCGGTTTGCAAACTCTGCAAAACCAGAAATAGTGTCCCGGTTTGAGAACTTTACCTTGGTCTAAGAATGGAATCCGAACGGTAGAAGGGCAACGGCAGCGGGAGGCCTCATTAGGGAAAGCACGCCTTGGTTTAAGAAGGGCCTTCCAGAACGGATTAAGTTTGTAAACTGAGGTACGACTGTACTGGTTTCTCCATACAGAATGGTAGATCTGGAGTGTAAATGTTTCTTTGGCTCAGAGAGCTAAGAAAAAGGAGAAAACCCTGACTTGTATATTTTTCTTTTGTTAGTTTCAACACAGGACCCAGCAATCCACATGCAACACAGCACTGAGGTAACCTAAATATTTTTTTTTTGTGACATTTGAGAATAACTTTTTTGCTAGCATCTGCCACAGAGCTTTGCAGCAGTGCTAATTTCTATTCAATTAGTTTTTTGGATTCTGTCAGAATCCCAACTTCTCTTGTTGCTTAATTGTCTTGGAAATACAGGCCTACCTTGGAGGTGTTGCGGGTTCGGTTGCAGACCACCGCAATAAAGCACTGACAGAATTTTTCCAGAAAAAAACAAGTGCTGTGATAACTTATTGTTATCACTAGCATTGTCAGCAACTGCAACCTGTCATAAACTCAGTTCTAAGATGTATTCTTATTTATTAAATTTCTGTGCCTCCTTTCATCTGAAGGTCACAGAGCGGTTAGCAATATATTTAAAGTATTGCAATATATTCTGTAAAGTGGAGTTCATCTAGTTGTGCACAGGATATTACTCACTGTAGTTTGATCTTTGTATTTAAAAAAATAAAATAAAAAGGAGATATTTAGTGCCTGTGGAAGCAGCCAGATACTAATAAACCATGGCAAAATCTTCTGAAGTGATATCCTATGCTACCACTTGCTGTTCTTGGTGGCCAGCCATGCAAACTTGTTCTCACCACTGAGACTGCCTCTTAAGAGGCGTAGGGTCTTGTGTAACACAATGCTGAGTTTCAGAGGTACTCAAGACAGCAGAGGAGCAAGCACAAACCTCTGGATGAACCACTTCCCCACCTCCAGGAAAAAGAGGGAGGAAGGGATGCTTCAGATTCATGCCTACAAGGTGAACTTTAAGAACTGGTGTAGTATGTGCTCTGGCTGCTGCATTCAGCACTGGTTGCAGCGTCCAAACTCTCTCCAAGGGCAGCCCCACGTAGAGTGCATTGTAGCAGCCTAGCCCTGAGGTTACCAGAACGTGGATCCCTGAAGCCAAGCTGCCTCTGCTCAAGAAAAGCTGTAGCTAACCTATTCATGTGAAGTTGACTCCAAGCTCAACACGTGTCATTTTTAAATAAGCGTCTGTTTTCCTCAGGTGTCCACTTTGTCTGCGATGGAGTTGATCTGGAATCTTTGTGAAATCATGTTCATCGAAGCAGCACCAGGTGAAAATTGGACTAAAATGAAGTCAAAATGGCGTGCTTTTTGTGTTGGAAGTATCTGCAGGTCGCTTTTTTAAAAAAACAAGAGATACAGTGGTACCTCGGTTTTCGAACGTAATCCGTTCCGGAAGACCGTTTGAGTTCCGAAACGTTCAAAAGTTCAGGGAAGTGTGACTGGCCCAAGGTCACCCAGCAACTGCATGTGGAGGAGCGGGGAAGCGAACCTGGTTCGCCAGATTACGAGTCCACTGCTCTTAATCACTACACCATGCAGAAACAAATATCTTTTTTGCAGCTGGTTCTCTCCTGCGTCACCTCCTTGACTGGGTTCGTCTTCATGTGTGTGATGTGGACAACATGCTTTGCGATGTTCTGAGGAGCGAAAGCCCCGCAAAACACAAAAACTTCTGGGATGCGGTGAGTGAGGAATTTTCTTAGCCAGAAAGCATTTGCTTCACTCCCCCCCCCCCCAGAAAGAAACCTAGTTTGAACCAAAAATAAAGGGCTACTAGGAACGATTTCTATGAAATGTGCGAGATCTTTTTAGTTTAAATCAAACAGAATCATTATGAGGAAGGAAGACCGTTACATGTTAAGCATCTGTCAATGTAAGTTGGAAGTGCTATGTACCAATAATATTTTTTTGAGCTGATGTTTCAAGACCTTTCCCCAGCAAGATACGCACAAGGGATTTGTGTGCAAGGCAGTAGTTTGTAGCTCTGTGATTGCGATAGATCACTGGGTGCAGAGTCAAGCTGGAGGTATTGATGCCGATGTTCTATCTAACAACAGACGCATGGTCAGCTCTGCATAATGGCAGCATGTTTTTTTGTGGTAGGAAGAGGAATAGTCCTTTACATTCGTGCTACTTCATGGCTTGGTCGATTGGGCTAGTCCCTTCTTTAGGATGCTTACTTTTCATAAGCTGCTGTATGTGCCACTGCAGCTGCATGCATATCGATTTAGTATGTTAGTATTAACATGTTGGTGCTTTCTTGGGTTCAACTCAGTTGCAAAAACCTTGCCTTTTGTTTTTGCAGTTAACTATCTTGGTGCTGCAAGGTCGGATGGACGAAGCTCGGCAACTGCTTTCTAAGGAAGCAAACACCAATCCCACTTCAGTGAGCATGTGCAAAATTTTGGACGAGTTGATGAAGAAGATGCCTGTTCTCTGTGTATGTAAGATGTTCTTCTCATGCGCAGTGCGGTTTGTTTATCCCGTCACTTGGTGGATTGTCCGAAACCGGTTTGTCGTTCTGATCGCGATACCGGTTTCAGACATTTTGTGTTGGCAATACATTGCAGTGGTCAGGGAGCCACGATGTCTTCCCAGCTCAGATTGCATGCAGATGGCAAAGGCGCAGGCAGGCAGAAGGAGCATGAGAAGGTTCTTGGGCTCCATCTTCCTGTGCCTTTGAGGAAGCCAACCCCCCCAAGGTGGGGAGGAAGAAGCAGCCGAGATACATTCCAGACATCGTAGTATATCAGCATATTGCACTATTTAGCTGCTGATATATCACAATGTTGAAAACCAGATATTGTCCAGCCCTACCTGCCACTCTTCCTCAGAAGAGCCCGGGGTGATGTGTGCGAAAGATGCAAACAAAATACAGTGGTACCTCTGGATGTGAATGGGATCCGTTTCGGAGTCCCGTTCACATCCTGAAGAGAACGCAACCCACGCATGCGCGGGCCGCGATTTGCCGCTTCTGTGCATGCGCATGACGTCTTTTTGAGCGTCTGCGCATGCGTGAACGACGAAACCCGGAAGTAACTCGTTCTGTTACTTCCGGGTCACAGTAGAGCACAACCCAAAAAGACTCTACCTGAAGCAACTTTAACCCGTGGTATGACTCTACAACGCAACAGCTGTATGCTGAAAAAATAATTGTAACAGATTAATTAAAACAAATACGTGCACTGCTTATTAGGAGCACACCTCTTGCTTACGGAATTGAGAAGGCCTGGCAACGTTCTGCTTGGCCGGTGTTAGCAGTTCATGCATGTGCCTGTTTTTTGATTATTTGAAGCTGCTTTCTTCTGAGTCAGACCATTGGTTCATACAGCTCAGCACTGTGAGGGAGCTCTGGCAGGAAATCTCCAAGGTCTCCGAACGGGTTTTTTTCCAGCCACGTTACCTGAGATCCTTGGCAATGCTCAAGGTTGAAACGGGGACTTTATGAAGCGTGTTTTTTCTGCCACTGATAAGGATTAGGTCATTCTTCTTCATACTGCTTTCATTGTTGTAGGAAATAGGTTTATTTTGTCTCTGTGAAATAGTCCTGTAATCTTTGGTGCACCTTCAAGAAGAGAGTTGCTTCTGGGTTTCAGATATGGGCTTACGTATTTCCAGACATTGGATGCAGAAGGGGAGAGGGGAGTGCAGTACATATTCGAAAGGAAGTTCTATTAACATGAATGAAATTGATTATGTAAATGTGGACAGAGGTGCTTGTCAGCGGAGCGTTATCCTGTTGTTGTTCTCCATCCCAAGAAAGAAGGTTAATGATACAGTGCCTGTTTTGGCATTCCAACATGTGTGCCCCTTTTCATTGGATAAAACAAAATTTCAAAAAGCTTTCTGTTCGTGCAGAGTTGTTTGAAAGCACTGTAAATTATAGTGTAAGATAGATCTAAAACTAGGAAAATAGGAAACCAAATTGCATGTTTGTTTGTTTCTTCCTTACCAGCCTAGCAACACCCAGACTTTGACGGAGATGGAGCTGAAATGGCAGCATTGGCATGAGGCATGCGAACGGTTCCTAAAGGATGGGACATTTGCTTCTAATCCGCACATGGAAACCCTCTGCAAGGTGGGTAAGATTGAAGAATGAAATATTATGGTTGACTCCATTACTGAGTTTAAAGCAGTTTGGGGTATAGGTTCTGCAATTGCATTGAAGACATTTGGAGCTTGAATCGTTTGGCTGTATTCTTTTCTGTCATACGGTGATCTTGGGCGAGTCACCAATACGTCAATATCTTGATTTCATTTGTTTTTATGAGTCATAAACCCAACAAATGGGCTAGGACAAAGTGTTTGTGCGTGGAAGGTATATTTCATTGACTGGGTTCCTGCTCTGGAGCCAGGAGGAATGACAGACTCTCAGAAGTGGTCTATAAAACCATAACTGTTCTTACTAAGGCTGAACATCCTTACTGAGGATGATTCAACATCATGTATGTTCTCGGGTGTAACGATTTGGGGCTGCTTATTAAGCGACGCTCTCTGCTGAAAGGTTGCATTGCTAGTACAGCTAACACTCTGCTGCTGCACCCAGAACAGGCTACCTACCTACTTTCGGAACATCAGAAACACCTGTGACTGAAGGGGGAAAAGCTAGGAGAGCTTGCTCATGCCCTTTCTGGCACAACTGCCTTATAGAGTTAGCTCAGTTGCATCTTTTAACAGTCCCCCAGACTGGAAGGAATACTAGGGTGCCCAAGGAAATACTAGATCCCAGGTTCTTGAGACAAGATGACCTGTGTTTTCCAGCCAGATACATCACTTGCTCTTCCTTAACACACCCAGTCTTATACTTCTGTAGCATGCATGAGCCCTAGCAGCCTAGGCTTTGTGGGCTATTACCAGAATCCCTAAGCTTGGCAAATACGCATTCCAGACCCCAACAGCCCAATTATATGAAGCTTTATTTAGAAGAGGAGGTGGAGGAGGTGGCAAATGGACAAAGCAGGTTAAAAATAAACAGGAGCTCTGTGGTTCAGATCTACCCGTGCTGCGCGAAGAACTTAAAAACGGGTTTCTCAGTCTACTCACCTGTAACAGAACATAGTTGGTCAAATGCATAGTTGGTGGATGATGGGAGGGAGCACTGAAGTGGTTTGTTTTTTCTTCGTCAAGATCATGGTGGGAGATGAGAGCGCCATTTTAGAGAAGAAAGACCTCATGACTAATTGGTACCATTTTCTGGTAACCCGGCTGTTGTACTGCCACCCTACTGTGAAGCATGTGGAACTCCATCTCTACGCACAGGTAACTCGGGGGGGGGGGTGGAATCACTTTTAGAGTAGAGCCGGCCACAACCTTTGGGCCACCCAAGTGGAAAAGTGGCTGGCAGGCCTGTCCTTATGTTCCACCCACAGTTTGCCATGCCTTCTAGCTCATGACAGTGAGAGGAAGTGTTGGGACTGTAGGTGAGCGATGCTCAAGTACACTGGGTATATCCCAGACAGAGCCATCTGCCCTTCCTGCCACCGACACTCATGAGAAGCTTAAGTAGCAAATTTTTGAAAACCACCACACTTTGTACCAAATCCTACCTGATCAAAAGAGGGCCTTCATTTCATAATTGTGCTTGCCTTGACCTGGGAAAGTGAGCATCCTCGGTGTTGAGTAAACCCTACCCCTTTCTGTATTCCGCAGTCAAGCATGGACCTGTTCCTGGGAGCAGAAAGCAGCCCGGAGCCTTTAGACATCATCTTGCTGGCAGCCTTTGAATTAGATATCCACCAAGTGATTAAAGAATGCAGGTGAATATTGCCATTCTTGTCTGAGAGCATTTGGCCAGAATTCCATCAGCTTCACAGTCCGGTATCCCAAGTATTGTAGGGCCCAAATGAATTCTTGCAGAGTAGGTTACAGCATCCAGCCTGGAGCTTGAGGCTTCTTGTCGGGGGTTCAAAATCTGCTGCTTGTGCTGCTGCTCGATCCCGTCCTTCCCGCCCCTTGCCTTTCGCTGAGGCGGGGAGGACAGGAGAGCCTGCAAATTTGCCTGCCGAAACTCTGTGCCCAGAATTCCCTTTTGGGCTTCTTTTGGGGTGCACAGCACCCTTGTGCTCTCCCCAGGACCCTATTGACTATTGAGCCTTTCCCGGAGGTTAAGGCCCTTGCTCTGTTGCCATTAGCGGCCTCCCCGGAAGTCCATATCCTAAGTATTCTAAGGCCCAAATAGATTCTTGCAAACATCATGGTGGGTGCATAAACGGGAATAAAAACGAAGAGCTGGTGAAGCTAAGAGCTTCGTGGCAAAAGCATGCACAGAGAAAATGAGATTCTCTTAGGTGCGATAACGTTTGCTAAATTGGGCTGGGGGAAACTTGTCAATTTTCAGAGACCAAAGAAATAGTTTTGTGTGTTAAATTATCATTTTGCCTTCCCCCCCTTTTACTCCATGTATATACAGCATTGCCCTGAGCAACTGGTGGTTTGTAGCCCATCTGACAGACCTGCTGGATCACTGCAATCTTCTCCAGTCACACAACCTTTAGTGAGTTACCCTTCTTTAGTGTTTTTGCGTTTTATCTGTCAGTGGTCAGGCCATCCCTGTGAGTGTGGTGTTTGAGAGGTCCCTTGGCGATCCTGTGGCAACTGGCAGTTCAAAGGCAAACATGTTTATTATCTGTCAGATAATAACTAAGATGATTCTTAAATCTTTGCTTTACTTTTAAAAACTGCTTAGTTTTAAGTTTCCTTTTTTATGGTAATGCTTGGCATTTATTTAGCATTTTAAAAGTCATCTAAATTACAATTTTATTAATCGTTTTACGTATCTGGGACTGAGACTGAGAGTACACAAGGTTGCCTAAGACAGTTTAATGAACTGGAGACACTTCACTCTACTAGCTCTTACTGACAAAATGAATCTAAAGTGCTTATTCTTTTGGAACCGTCAGCAGTGCTGTGACATATATGACAGAATATCGCAGGGCAAATCCATCTGCCTTTGTTATACTCCCTAAGGGATGGTTAAGCTCTTAAACTCCCACTAGAATCTTGTTCGAATAAAAATATTTTTTGTGTGGGGTAGAGGTTGTTGTTACATCCTGTCCAACAACTGCTGTGGTTTTTTCACAACCAATTGCTTTGATCATAGTGCCTAGCAGTTCATGTTGTTAGTCAAGAACGAAGGATTTTGAATGTGGACTATACTTCTACATACACATTCATCTTGGAAGGTTACAAAAGTCACAGATGCAGACTTTTAATTTGTTCGTTTTCCCTTCCTGAAAGCAGTGATGGAGAGAAGTGTAACTTGGTCTTTAGACTGAAATGTAGTCAACCTTCTGTTGCTCCCCTTCCCAATGATGACTGACTTACATCACTTAGCTGAGGAAAGGGAAAATGGCAGAAACCGTTATGATGAACCTTTTGTCACTTTAATTCTGAGCAATTTTGGTGTTCTCTAGGAGGGAGAAAATCACTCAGAATTAAAGTGACAAAGGGTCCATCATAACAGTTTCTGCCATTTTCTCTTTCCTCAGCTAAGTGATGTAAGTCAGTCATCATTGGGAAGGGGAGCAACAGAGGAGGGAGAAGGGGATGTGGGTGGCGCTGTGGGTTAAACCACAGAGCCTAGGGCTTGCCAATCAGAAGGTCGGCGGTTCGAATCCCCACAATGGGGTGAGCTCCTGTTGCTCGGTCTCTGCTCCTGCCAACCTAGCAGTTCAAAAGCACATCAAAGTGCAAGTAGATAAATAGGGACCGCTCCGGAGGGAAGGTAAGCGGCGTTTCCATGCACTGCTCTGGTTCGCCAGAAGCGGCTTATTCATGGTGGCCACATGACCCGGAAGCTGCACGCCAGCTCCCTCGGCCAATAAAGCGAGATGAGCGCCGCAACCCCAGAGTTGGCCATGACTGGACCTAATGGTCAGGGGTCCCTTTACTCTTGATAGTTTTATTGCTTTATTGCTCAGCGTATAGCCACACTTCCCCCTGCGAGCCTCTGCAGGTCGTAAAGTAATTAGCAGTTAGCAAAGTTGCACAGCGGTCGTGTGTCGAAAGAGCAGTGAATGAGTCCCAAACGTTTCTTCTGTCCTAATATTTCTTTATTGGCACAAAAATAGCGTATTTACAAACTCCAACTTCCAACTGAGTTAAGCTGCATTTTCTCTCTCTGCTTGCAGCGACGCAACAGACTGCTTTCGCTTTCCACTCAGCTCACAGCATTCCAAGCTGCTTTCGTCAAGTCCTGGCTTACTTCCCTTGTAAGCGCCTCCTCTCAGGCTCGAGGCACAGGTTAACCCTTCACTACACCCAACATTTACCTTTTACCTTAGGAGGGAGAAAGTCACAACAGAAGCTGTTTCTTGATTAGGGTTAGCTCAGTGCTTGCCACTAATTAGTGATTATTCTGTCCGCCTTTTCATTCTTGTTTCACTATTTGTAGAATATGAAACATATGTGAACTACTCTTAACAGTGCAGAAGTGATGTTGACACAGAAGGAGACTGGGGTTTTAATAACTGACAACCGGAGCAGCCCTAAATTCAGTGGAAGTGATTACATGGAAATGGGAATTTTTAAATAATGTGTTCTTCTTTTAGTTTTGGTTCCAATATGCGTGAATACCTCCTGCTGGAATATGCTTCTGGACTCTTCTCTCATCATAGGTAGCAATCTTGTTTATTTTTTTTAAAAAATACATTATAGTATTGTGAAGCAGGAGGAGAGATTCTGTTCTGAAGAAAAAGAATAGTAAGACTCTGAAACATGGAGAAGGGTTGGTTATGCTGTATTAAACTCATGACAGTCGTTTAAGCCATTTGATGATAAGTGCTACTCTAAACACTACCTCTCTTCTTACAAATTTAAAATACAGTACTGTATGTTGTTACCAGTATATTATTTTACAGAGACAGAAAATGGCCCATTAGATCATCACTCTCTTAAAGAACAGAGGCCAGGGTAGTATTTAGAATAGCAGTTACCATCAAATGGCTTCTAGAGAAGAGTAAAAGCCGATTTAAACCCAAAGCTAACTTAACATAAGGTTCCCCTGCTGCATGATCACCAAGTGGCCTGTAATTTTTAATATATATGCATTCATGTTAGCTTGAGCACCAAAATGTCTCACTTGCAAATTTTTACTTTCCAGAAGCTTGCAGGGCATGTGGCATTTCAGACTGGTGAGAACTCTAGATGTTCCTCGCATAAGGGATTCCAGTGTAGAGTAGAGGAGCAATCCAGACAAAAATCCAAATTCTTTTTTTGTGTGCTAAGGCATTTCTTAATTTGCATCTGTTGAAGCTGAGCATATGGGAGCCTGACCGCAGTTGCTCTTCAGCTTGAGTGATTGATTGATAAGCCTAATTGGTCAAAGACTTGGGAGTCAGGCTTCTAAACATAATATATCTGCTTCAGTTAAAGTTAATTGTGGCTAACAGTGCAATCTGAACCATGTCTACTCAGAAGTGTCCTTATCGAATTCAGTGGTGCTTATACCTAGCTAGGTAAATAAGGTTAGGATTGCAGCCTTAAGTCCCACTGAAATAAACACTGCAAAGTAATCTTGGCTAATTTAAGTTCCATACATCAACTGTAATTTGTTTTAACTGATATGAAATGGTTACAAATATTTTTTTAAAAATATTTATAAATGGTTGTAACTGGTCCTTGCTCTTTGTGGTAAAGCCCGGGTAAGATTTCTAATACATAATAAAATAGTAATTTCTTTAGTGGGACATGGTACAAGTAACTATATCTGGATATTAACTTTGTATTTCAAGATTTAAACAGTTTTCATTGACTTCAGATATCACTGAGTATTTTAAGGAATGTGAGGCTTTCACGTTCACAACCCACAAAGGCCAGAATTTTTAAAGTTCAAATTCTCATTCTTTTTATCAGAAGTATCACTGCATGGACTAAGGACGATGATCTAGGGGAGGAAGCGCACATGAAAAGTGTCGAGCGTACTTTTTTCTTTTCAGAGGCTGCTCCCACAGAATTCCATGCCGCCATTTTAGCTTTTCGTTTTGAAAAGCTCCCACTTCAGTTTGCCCTGTGAGCTTGGTAGGGTCTATGAGGGCAGCTTCTGCAAAAGGAAAAGCTGGAAAGAGTTTGTGCGCAGAATGCGTGAAGACAAGCCTTTGGCTCGTGGTCTGTGTGTCGTGCTGTTGTTGTGAAATGGCTTCTAGTAAGTTATTTTGTGAGAACTGCCTTCTGAAAAGAACTATTCAGTCACTCACATTTCTTCTTTGTAGCTTGTGGCAGCTTGCAGTAGACTATTTTGACCATTGTCCAGAATTTGGCAGGGCGTACTTGGAGCACCATATTGAACGGATTCCTCTGGACACAGAGCATAAGGCCCTCAAAATACTGAGGATCTGTGAGCAGAGAATGATGACCGAGCAAGGTACCTTTCTTCATATTTATATATATTTTAATCCGTTCATATAAACACCATTTACTGAGTGCATCTCTCTCCCCTCCCAAGTCCGTAGCATCTGTAAGATCATGGCTATGAAAGCTGTCCGGAACAATCGCCTCGGCTCTGCCCTGTCCTGGAGCATCAGAGCAAAGGATGCTGCCTTTGCTACCCTCATATCAGACAGGTAAGTCTTGCTTAAGGGGAGAGCCATTTAGTCCAGCGGCAGTAACAGCAGAGAGATCTAAAGGTGGTTCTTGGGATAACCTGGCTATTGGAAGACCAACGCTTTGGTTTTGAATTGGCTTTTGCACCTGCATGTTAGAGGTGGGTTGGGCTCCTTACACAAAAGAGGGCTAAGCTGCAGAGCGCATAACAAAAGGTATTGCAGCATTAATGTGCACATAGCCCTTCAGCACCCATTACACACAAGAGCAGAGTGGGACGGGGGTGGCACTATGGTCTAAACCACTGAACCTTTTGGGCTCGCCGATCAGAAGGTCGTCGGTTCAAACCCCTGTAACGGGGTGAGCTTCCGTCGCTCTGTCCCGGCTTCTGCCAACCTAGCAGTTCGAAAGCACCCCAGTGCAAGTAGATAAATAGGTACTGCTGTGACGGGAAGGTGAATGGCATTTCCATGCGCTCTGGTTTCCGTCACGGTGTTCTGTTGCATCAGAAGCAGTTTAGTCAGGCTGGCCACATGACCCGGAAAGCAGTCTGTGGACCAATGCTGACTCCCTCAGCCTGAAAGTGAGATGAGCGCCGCAACCACATAGTCACCTTTGACTGGACTTAACCGTCCAGAGGTCCTTTGCCTTTCTTCTTCTTCTTCTTCTTTTTTTTTTTACAAAAGAGCAACTGGGTGAGGAACTCTGAGCTGCATTTCTGGAATATTGCTGTTAACCTGGAACAGGATATATTGTCAATTCTGTGTTGCTTCTCGTTCCAATGGAAGTCATATGCTCCAGTGTGTAGCTTTAGAGAGAGTGACTGCGCACAGAAAGGGGTCCCAGCCTTCCTAGGCTGTGACATACCTGCAAGGCAAGAAACCTCCACTTCCAAGCTGTGACCTGCATATGCTAATGACCAAGCAGCAATCAGCATTCAAATACTACACCCAGGGGGTTAAACTGGCTCTTAAAAAAAAAAAAAAAGGAAGGTAGTTTGAGGCTGGAATGCCTCTGAAACTGAGAGACGCAAAGTACTGCACTCTCAGGGCAAATCCAAGTTCCCATTTGCAAGCCCTCACTTTGAGGGGAAATGCTTATGTTAAGCACATGGGTAGGCAAACTAAGCCATGGGGGCCAGATCCGGCCCAATCGCCTTCTCAATCCGGCCCACAGACGGTCCGGGAATCAGCGTGTTTTTACATGAGTAGAATGTGTCCTTTTATTTAAAATGCACCTCTGGGTTATTTGTGGGGCCTGCCTGGTGTTTTTACATGAATTGAATGTGTGCTTTTGTTTAAAATGCATCTCTGGGTTATTTGTGGTGCATAGGAATTTGTTCATTTCTGCCCCCACTTCAAAATATAGTCCGGCCCCCCACAAAGTCTGAGGGACAGTGGACCGGCCCCCTGCTGGAAAAGTTTGCTGCCCCTGGTTAAGCAAATTGGAAAAGCTTTTAAAGATCATTTGCTGTTCCTGCCTGAGGGGGTTTGGTCAGGTAAAAAGACAAAACTATAGTCATCTCATAGTTTATACCAGGAGTAGGAAACCTAAAACCCATGGGCCATAAGCGGCCCACGGGGGTTGTTTAACTGGCACATGAACTGCCTCCGAACCGAGCCGCCCACTCGGCGAGTCTCTGCGCACTGCGCTAAGCCAGCACTGCATGGGGACTCACTTCCACGGCGCCAGAAATCGCATCTGCGCCAACGCCGGAAATCACAGCAACCCGGCCCACGGAGGGATCTCCACTGGAGTGAACCGGCCCAGGCAAGGTAAACCTTGCCGACCCCTGGTTTATACCTTACCTGAGGGTTGCTTTCTGGAATTTCGTTCCACTACTTCATCTTTAATAACAAAGAAGCTCTCATAGGTCCATTTTGGGAAGGGTGCTTTCTTGGTCAGTCATTTCCAAATTGCTACAACTGCTGGTATGCCAAGAGAAAAAGGAAAAAGGAAGCATCCAAGAGTTAAGAATGAAGTGTGCCTCTCAGTTCAATTCAGGGGAATACATGTGACTTGATTATTAGAAGTTTAGGAAGCACTGTTCTCAATTCCAGGAGGCAATTCCATTCACAACAGCAGGTTTTGAGTCTATAGAATACTTGTTTGTAAGAGGATGGCATGTTGAAATGAAGTAACAATATGTACACGTTGATGGTTCGGAGTGGTAATAATCTTCACACCTATTCCGCCCTCTGTAGATTTCTGAAGGAGTACTGTGAAAGAGGCTCTTTTTCAGACTTGGATCTTATTGACAACTTGGGACCATCCATGCTGCTTAGTGATCGGCTGACATTTCTTGGTGAGAGCTATTTCTTACAGCCTCTTTTGAAAAGGAACGACATGGTGCGCTGGGCGATGACACCACCACTTGAGGAAAGGGGACTGAAATTCATTTTGCAGTGCATGCGTGAAGCAGTGCAAATTCCACATCTCGGAACAACCAACCATGAAACCAGTTGTTACAGCCTTGCTTAGCTGGAGGACATAACAGTAGTCTTATCATGAGTAACTAGACAGACTTTCTAAGACGTTTCCTCTTTACGTCACAAAGGGCATATTTGTTTTTTTAAAAACCACAGGAAACAAATGCTTCCAGGTGTGGTAACACTAATGTTGCTGGCTTGTAGCTCAGACAACCACAGGAACGGATCCTTCCTCTGTGGGCCTTGCATCAGTGTGATGGCAAATTGAATTGAGGTTTTCTTATTGATAATCCAGTGGAGGTTTCAAGGATTCCAGGGAACTAATAATAAAATAGGATAACGTGGCTGGATCTGGCAATATGTAACTACTGATTTCTTTTTCTTAACAGAAATAGTTAGAGGGAATGTGACACAGCCTAATCATTTTCCCAGCCTGAAGGCACTTTGAAACTAGATAAATTAATCTTTCAAATGCCCTGGGTACAGAAGTGCAGCCATATAATGCTGAAGTTGGCATCAGGGTGAAATTGAAAACAGAAACCGTCTTTAGCTTCTGAGTTTCTGCCTGTGTTTTCATGTTCTTATTTAGCTTCTCTAAAACTTTAAGGTCTTAATAAGATTTTTTTGCTTACTAAATGAAAGGGGAGATTTTCAGGGCTTTGAAAGCTGGTCCAGTTTGCATCAATAGCTGCAAATACTTTTTTAAGACTCCCTGAGAAGTAGTGGTTGTTTTCGCTCTTTCTCAGCCTTTGCCATCCTGGTGACTTCCAGATGTTTTGACTGGCAGGGTTGATGGGAGTTGTAGCTCAAAATATCTGGAGGGCACCAGATGTTGGCAAAGCCTGCTGTGCATTATGGAAACAGTCTGGTAGCAATTGATCATGAGTTGTTCCATTGACATGAATGGGGCTTAATTAATGTTAGTAGTTGTTGGTTGCAACTGCCTCCTTTACTGGATTGCCACCAGAAATTTCAGCTTCCCTTAACGACCAAGATGCTAGGTGGCCATAATGCAATTTTAATGGCTCAGTCTTAAGAAATGGCTTTGCAAGCTGACGGTGTGGTACCCTGAAAATGTGACAGGGCTGAATTAATGTTTGGATACAGGGAAGTACCGGGAATTTCATCGGATGTATGGCGAGAAGCGGTTCTGTGCAGCGGCTAAGCTGCTGTTGACATTGATGACAGCTCGTATTGCTCCTTGCTCCTTCTGGATGACCTTACTGACTGATGCACTTCCGCTCCTGGAGCAGAAAGAGGCAAGTATGATATTTCCGAACAGTAGAAACACCTGCCGGTGGCGGTGATGGTCTAAGGAATGTCCCCACTTTCCTGGGTAAACTAATCACTTGACAGGGAAGCATGTGACCCTGTGCTCCCATATCAAATAGCTTTCAACAAAAGCACAGAGGAGCTCCAGAGCTGTATGGTTCTGAAGATTCACAGTGGCAGCAGATAGGCAGCCAAGTGCACTCTGTGTAATTGCTAAAACTCCGTCTAGTGTTCACAGGGGAGATGGATGTGTGACCTTCCTCTTTGATCATCTGCTTCTTCAAAGAATCAGACTCATTACTGAAAGAGCTTTAGCGTTCCTGCAGATGGGTTCAGTTAACCTTGATACTAAGCTGTAAGTCATGAAGTTTCCCCTGAGGTTCGCTCTGCCCATTTCTCAAGGGCTTGTATTTCAGAAAGCTGGTTAACTCTGAATCCTTTTCAGTTGGACAAAAATGGAAATGGTGCTCTACAGAAATCAGTTGGCCTTGGTCCACAGCACCCAACCATCAATTTGCAACACTTTTCCTAAAAGCCACAACCAGGCTGAGGAAACCAAAGTGTAGATATTCAGCTTTTTAATCTCATTGGTCACTGAGATTACACCTTTCACGTTTAGATGTATGACCTGCCACACATCAGCGGCTTGAAAGTCCACCTCCAGTAAATAAATGCTGGAAGAAATTGCAGTTGTATGAAGGTAACTACTGTTTTCCTCCAGGTGATATTCTCTGCGGAACAGACATACGAACTGATGAAATGCTTGGAAGATGTGATGGCAGCAGAATCGAAAAACCAGAAGCTCCAGGTAATCTTGTCCCAGACCTTGGCTTCATATCATGGTTTGTTTGGAGGGAAACTAATCGGTCTCTGATTCATAAGATAACACTAAGCCTTGGACCTTGGTTTTTTGCTCCCTGGAGAAAGAATAAAGCATGTTCACAAACTATTAACTATGTTTCACCATGATGTGTGGATGCAGCCTCGTCCTTTTCCTTGAGCCCTTGAAGAAGTGCAGAGGGCTCCGAAAAATGACCTGAGTTTTCTCTCACATGTGGTGTAGCTTGAGAAAAGGCCGAAACAGCAGAGGAAACATCTACTGATCCCCGCAGCCTAAGAGTGTGTTATGAAAAGAAGTTTTGGTCTCAAGGTAGAAAAAAGGAAGAATTCATAGCAAGTTACATGATATATGGCTATTTCTAGCAGGTTGGAACTTAGCCATTTTAGAACAAGAGAAAGAAACCGAGACACTTGGTTCCATGCAATCCCATTTTCTGTGACTGTAGTCATAGCCCCTTGAAAGATGCTTCCACGTGTTGAATGCAAACTAACAGGAAGCGCTTTCTTTCCCAACAGCCATAAAGTAAGCTGGCAGAAGAATGCTTAGTAATGTGTAAATTGCAGCTCACATATAAAATATCAGTTTAAATGACAGTAGATTAGCATATTTCAGGGATGGGGAACCTTTGGCCTATTTCGGACCACCAGGAAAGCCACACACACCTGCCTTACACATGACATATATGACATGAAGTGTGGGGCAGATAAAGGCAGGGCTTGGCCTAATTAAATGCTGTCCAATTTGGTGAACTCCTAAGATTCTTTCTGTTTCCAGGAGGATGAGGCTGAGACCATGAAGGTGGAAATGCTGAGAATTGGTCTAGCACGAAACCTTGCACGAGCCATTGTCAAAGAAGGCACATTGGAAGAATCATGAGATCACTTTATTGGAGCGGCTCACAAACTTTGCGTCAGTTACTTACTGTACATATCATGGCTGTTTTTTCTAGGAATAAATGTCATCTTTTGCACTTTTCTTTTTAAAATTGCCTTTTGTAACATAAAACAGTGGAAGAGCAAATTCCTTTCTCCAGTGAATTTAATGGAAATTGAGCTTTCTGCTCTCCTAGACTTCAACAACTTAAGATTACTTAAGGTAAGTAACCTAATAATCAACATCTAGATCTAGTCCATTTGATAATCTAAAACCAACCCAAATCTCCATTCATGCAGAATCGAGGAACAAAAATTATTTAAAACTTTTCTTACCCAAGAAGCAGCTTGTAATTCTAATTTGCAGGCACAGAAAATTTGCGGCATCCTTGCTTTCCCCTCATTCCACTGAATGAAGCTGTGCTCAGCTTTTAAAACAAACCACACAACTGTCATCCAAGCCCCCATCTCCTAAGTAGCAGCCAACCTGAACTCTGAGCATTATTTAATCACAGGATGCTTCTGCTTTGTAGAAGGATCTGGTTTTATTCTGACTATTGTTCTTAAGAGAAACAATACTATGCGGTTGAGTCCTAGGAGTTAGGAGTGGGGGGTGGGGGGAACACCCTACAGTATTAACTGGCAGCAAGGCAGGTGAAGCAGAGTAGAGAAAGCAATTTTATTGAACGTGCAGAAAAACAAGTACTTCCGAGACATATTTACAGTCTTTTGCGTGTTTGGTAGGAAGCTGCAACTTCAGCCTATGAACAAGTAACATTCATAAATAACTTCTGAAGCTTCTAACAGTACATTTCCACACAGTGAGACGACGGGATCTTGCTACTGGGCTTGTACAGCATGGGTATGGCAGCACTGCTGACATTGAGAAAGCACTTGTGCTTCCCCTCTCCCCCCGGTTTCCTCAGTCAGAGAGAGAGAGAGAGAGTGACTTGCTCATAGGCAAGCTGTAGCAGTGAAACCTGCTCTCTATAGATATGCTATGGGAGCTGGGCAGACTTGCTAAGCAAAAACGAGACAGCAGAGAGACTGAAATACGGGAGAGGACCAGATCAAGAGGCAGAAGAAATGCCGCCCTGTTCTCAAAAACATAGCGGACACTTTCCTCCCAAGTCTCTCCTTTTGTTCATATGGACCATGTCTGTCCCTTTCTGGACAGTTCCAAGTCTGTACACAAGTCTGAACCCTCCCAATAACTGCTGAAGCTCTTTACGCTGCAACAGATTAGGTTGCACTGCCTATAAATCCTTAGCCCAGTGAGTACCCCAAGCCTTTGTAGGAGACAATTGTTCCAGGTCGCCGTTAAATCTCTTCCCTGTTAAGTACAAGGTGTCCAGAAAATTAGAACGGCTGTTTGTAAGACTGGCTGAGCTTTTAAGAAACGTAATTAATTCAGCTTAAGCCAGATTTCCACCTTCAGATCAGAGTGGCAAGAAGTACTTAAAATTACACCTAGCAATTCTTAGCCTACTTGAGTTTAAAATTTTTTTCTAAACAGCCTTTTTTCTTCATAACCAAGCAAAATGATTAGTTCAGGACAACTGTTTTTTTGAAAGGATATTTCAGATCAAAAATAATTGTAGTAGATCAGAGGAAGTGACTACTAGACCCAAAGCAGTGATATTCACTTTATGGCTTACGTGCCATATGTTGGACTATTAGTCTGACTGACTCAACACAGGGATCTCCTCCTGGAGACAATTGCACTTAACCACTTAATATTTGGAATGAATAAAATACAATATAATCAATTCAGCACATGCATTGTCATGGCTTCTGTTTCCCCTTATCTGTAGGTCTGGTGTTTTCCTATAGCTCTATGTACATTGTATAATTCCTAACTACTAATACTGCCCTTGAAAGAAGAATCAAGGTCTTAGCTGCATCATTTCCTACCTTTAACCCTGATCGACAGATGCACCAAGAGTGGATGCCCTCGCTTTCTCCCCAAGCTCCTCACAGGAGCAGTGGACAAACTGTGCCTTTGTGACTCTGTCATAGTTTTTACACCCCCCCCCCCAATGGAATACAGTTGTTGAATGCTGAGGGGAAACCGACTGTAGAGCCATGTGCGTCCAAAATGTAGCAGCTGCCTAGAAAGCGCACATTGCAGAGTCAGCTGGAAGTATAAAATCAAAGGCAGCAGATTGAGAGCTATGTGTTTTTACGCTCACGTGTGGCATGTATAAAATAATACAGCTTGTTTATTCACCTGTATGAGCTGTGCTGGCTTTTGGGGTAGATGTTGCCTTACAAAAGAAAACGGGAGTGTCAGGTCATGGCAGAAACCTCCCCTTGTGGAGCTTGTGTTTATTACCCAGCAAGCCTGCAGGTGGTCCTAAGTTCTGGCACCAAGGAGGTAAAAAACAAAACAAAAAACCGAGCACAGGAACATCTGTTAGGGCTCTGCCCCAAAGAAACTTACGAAGGCATCATAGCCCTTTGTAGACATCTGGCCAACACTGAGGGAAGAGTGCTCCGTTTCTGCTTACGAAGCTCACCAGAATGATCAGATTTCAAGTTTAGCAAAGTGGAAGATAGAACCGGATTGGCCAAAGTAAAGAAACCATCCAGGCCTCTACTTGTGGCTGCCTACACAAGTTCATGCTCTGTGTTCATGCCCCCGACCGCTTCACCCCAGAGTGCAGGAAACATTCTGGACCAAAGCTACAAGTGGAGTGGACAGGACATGTTAAACAAAGCTCAATATCGCTGCCGGATACCGCTTGCGCCCTTTCCATTTCACATTCGTTCCAGTCCCTTTGGGGTGCCTCTGGGTCATAGGTTTCCCCACTGCTCAACTGGGGGGAACTGATCCACCTCCCCCACTTCTGTGCTGGGCTGGTCTCCTAACGCGAAAGTCAGTCGGTACCTCAGCCTCACCTTCTCCTGCAAGGAAGAAGGAAACAACATAAAGCTGCAGTCCAGAATACACAGTAGAAAGACGGAGGAGCCTGGAACAAGGTTGGCGCGTGCCACGACGTTATCTGAGCGCTAGCAGGGCTGAGCAATAGTTTGTCTGATACTTTACAAACCGGGGCAACGAATTGCTGGAAAAAGAACAATGCACAAATCCTATATCCAGTTCTGTCCAAAGTTGTAAAGCTGAAAAACGCATTAGGCAGAAGAAAAGCAAGCATGGGACATCCTTTCATATTCCCTAAGTGTGGCAGTAGGCAGAAAAGAAATCTGCTGATACAACAGTATAATACAGAATTGTAGAGAGAGATACATTAGTATCTTGTTTTGTCTAGCCGAAAAGGACGCTAGACAAAGTGCCGCTTCTGCACATAGTGCGATTTAGTGCTTCTGCGCATGCGCGAGCAGTGAATCCAGAAGTAACCCGTTCCGATACTTATGGGTTTGCCGCAGACGTTCGATGGAACGGGCGCTCGACGAGACGGACACTCGACGAGGTACCACTGTATGTGTCTCTCCATCTTACAAGTAGAGCCGTAGCTCTAATTCTCAGACTATGGACTGTGCAACACAGCTATTTCAAGGAAGATGTAAGATGTGCACCAGTCTTTCCCCCTTTGAGAGTCACAAATGAATAGTGACTTCTGCTTGTGCAATGGGACCATGCCCCCCCTCCTGCACACACCCTACATTCCCCAAAATTGGCAAGGGGGGAACCCCCAGAAAAGTACACGGGGAAGAGGAGAACTGCCTGCCTGGCAGACTGAAATGCTTTGCCTGAGGAACCTTAGTATGATGTTGAATTCCTCCTTTCAGATCAGTAACATCCTAGATTCTAGAAAACAGCACTTTTATCTTCCACCAGCAGTTGGCCAGATGATTATGGTAGCTCACCAGAAGAGCACAAAGGGTATGTAGGCTTCCCCATTCCCTGTTGTCACTTGGGACTCAAATTTTAACTCCCTTGGAACATGGATATCAGAGCAAAGGGGTCTGTCTGCTGCAAGATCACTCTCAACTCTGCTCAAGACAACCATGAGCAGAAACAGAACATTTGATCTAAATGGTCTAATTGTGTAGAATATGGCAATATCCCTTCTCTAAGAAAAGGTGGAGAAATTGTGAATGCAAGTCTTCTCACCTTCCTCGGATTTGCCAGCAACATGACCTGAGTGATCGCAGCTGGCGGCTGGATGGGATTGAATGGAGCTAGCTCTGTCCCCGAAGGTGGCTGCAACTTCACTTTCATGGACTGCGGATTAAAAAGCAAAGGAGAAAATCTTATCGAGAGCAGTGGTTTGTGCAGAAATAACAGTCACGTTGCATCACTGAACACAAATATATTAAGGGAAGCGGGCGTGTTTACTGAGCACTGACTAAACCATAAAAGCAAATATTTGTCTAGTGGACTTAACCGGATGGAGACACTAACTGACACCTTAATTCTAAACTCATTACATGGATGCAAGCCCCATGGATTCGGTGGAATTTTATTCCAACCAAAGATGCTTAGGACCGAGGCCTAAGACAGTAGCTTGCAACAACTATCCTGTAATGTTGCAGCAGATAAAATATGCTTCTTGATAGAATCAGCTGGAAAGTAAGTCTGGTCCCAACCGCCTGACCCAGCAGGATTTGCCTGGATGAGCAGCTCTTGATCTCTCCTCCAGCAACAAGAGGATGCTGGTCTCTTCCCCTATTGGTGCCTGAGAACAGCCATCTTGGTACCTTTGGCACTGCTGCTTGTAGCACAATGTTCTTGATAGGAAGGGGTGCTGTGTTTAACATCGAAACCACCACTACCAACACATCGGGCCGCCCGGGGGGGCACTCCTTGGCAAAATGCAGGAGGATGCGCAAACCGTTCTTGTCATAAGCCGTCACAGGAAGAGCGCTGCCTGCAAGGGGGAGAAGGTGCTTACATGACACAACTATGCAAGTGAAATCTTGGGAGGGCACCGGGTTATGCTTGGAATGCTGGGAGCTGCGTTAAGAGAATCTGCAAAGCCTCTATTCTGAGCAAAAGCGTCATCTCTAAAGCGGATGCTGATGAGATGGTCCCTAAAAGTAGGTGCAAAAACCTCTTGACTTTCATATATTTCTGTTTGGGCAGATTTTGCCCCAGAGAGAAATAAGTCTGCTCCAGATACACCAGTGTCCTTGAAAGGTTAATTATACACCTTCCTTAGATGTGATCCTTGTTCCAGCCTGGATTGTATTCTGGCAGGAAACCTGGGATATTGCACTGTAGTCTAACCCACACATCCTACTAATACCACTAGAAGATAGGAAGCAACTTGAGGCAAATGTGAAGATGTACTAGGTGAGACCAACACAGCTGGAGGCTCACAGGCTCCCCATCCCTGCTTGAAGCAAATACTGGCTAGCAGTTTTCAAAGCTTTTCCTTTCAACCATAAGATCGTTGTCACACTAAAAGCATGATGCTTCTCCTTGAAGGAGGGGGCCTAATAGGGAATGGAATGCAGCTGTGCAGAGTTCCCAAACCCCTCTCCCTCTACACCCCCAAAAGACTTCAGGATAATAGCTTGGGTTTGTAAAAAAAATATTCCTAACTCTCCAAATTATGAAAATAAGGAGGCTTTGATTGATTTATTGATTGAATTTATATTCCGCCTTATACCTGGAGGTATAAAACCAAACCACAAAACCACAAAATATAATCAAAATAAAAACACGACCCTAATAACCCCCCCCAAAAAAATCCCAGATTTTAAAAGGGCATGAACTAAATGAACTGAAACATGCAATCCAGTATCAGCAGTAAGCAATAAAAAATATTTGTGATGCCTACTTGGCTTAATGGACTCCAGTGGCACGTGAACGTTGCCCAGGGAGATCTCAGGTCCTTTCAGAGGACTTCCATGTTGCTGGAAGGAGGCTGGCTGGAAGAGGGGGCTTCCTGACCCGACAGGGCAGCTGCCTGGGTATGGAAGTGGAGGGACTCCTGGAGCTGCAATGGGCAGCCCTGAAGCAGATGTAAGAGGTGCAGCAGCAGCAGCGGGCAATGCAACTCCACCAGGGTACACAGAGGCACCTAGGTTTGCTTGAGCTGAAGGTCTGGAATGGAGCGGAAAACAAATGCAGGTTAAAAAAGAAAATGAATGCAAAGAAACATATTGAATGTCTCTGGTACCTAGTCTGCACCTATCCCCCGCCCGCTCTGTATAAAGCACTTGGGAGTGAGCATCTGTAACGGCTCCCTCCTACAAATAGCAATTGTCCTTTGAAAAGCCAGTGTTGCCCACCACTGCCTGGTTCTGTGTCCTGCAGATTGATGGGGCTGAATGAAGAAATGAATGCGTTCTGCATTAACATGGGGAGGCAGAGTACCTGCCTGCCAAAATCCCTCTAAGTAAAATCTCCAGCAGCATGGCAGTGAGATGCCACAAATGATGTCCATGTGGGGCAGGTACTTGGCTCAGTCAAAAAGTGTTTGCTGGCCCCACCAGTCAACCGATAGCAAAGCCCTGTGCAAAGTTACCCACATGGCTATCGGGCCTCTCACTTTGCCTTGCAAGACCCAGCCATCAGCTCATCATTTGCGGTTTGTGGACTGTGCCTTTGCTGGCATGGCTACATGTGGAACACCCTCCCTTCAGATGTGAAGGAAATAAGCAGCTATCCTATCTTTAAAAGTCATCTGAAGGCAGCCCTGTTTACGGAAGTTTTTAATATTTAATGCAGTACTGTTTTTAACATTTGATTGGGAGCCGCCCAGAGTGGCTGGGGAAACTCAGCCAGATGGGCGGGGTATAAATAATAAATAATTCTTCTTCTTCTTCCTCTTCTTCTTCCTCTTCTTCTTCTTCTTCTTCTTCTTTCAAACACAGCAGGTGAAAGGCAAAGTCATTGTGCTCTCAGGTGACCGAGAGGTGGGCAGCCCTGGAGCGTGGGGGAATTGGCCAGATACAGTTCCCTGCTCCCGAGGTAGAAGAGGTGTCCAAATCTTCTGCCCCGGGGCAGAAGCATCCCTTCATTCAATCTGCCCTTGATGTACGGCAAAGGCGGAGAATCTGCAACTCTTCCCATGTTAAGATTACAGGTCCCATCATCCCTGACCATTGGCCATGCTTGCCAGGACCAATGGAAACTGAAGTCCCACCTAAGAGCAGGGGAGGAAAATCTGATTCATAGCAGCAATTATTTCCAAGCAGAAAGGAGGAGAAAACCTTACCCTTTGCTCTCGTCCAGATGTCCTATGGGATCCATGTTGTGCAGATCACCACTTCCCATAGCAGAGCCCAGGTACCCAGGGGCACCTGACATTGCATTGGACGGTCCCAGTGGTGCCGCAGCAGAGAATATGAAAGGGGCTGAGGTAGGGGCAGGCTGCGGGGCTGTGAATGTGGAGGCAAGAGAGGCTGACGTTCTACCCGCAGGCTGCGACAGGGCAGGGAGAAGAGGTGAGTTACAGGCAACGGAAGCTGGTTTTGGGTTCAAGAAGTCCAGATCGACTGGTTCATTCTGCAACGGAGGAAACAGGTAAAAAACGGTGCTTTGCAACACACTGATAAATGTTTAACTTTCCTCCCGTTTTTATTCTCACTTGTTTTATTTTACTATTTAGCAGACACAAAATGACACTTAATTCAGAATTTTTAAAAAAACAATTTAAAATCAGAAAGTCAACAAAAATGTGGCCGAGACGTATAAAAAGGTGTCAAGTAAATGCTGGAAACGGAAGCAGATAAAAGGGCCGTTCCTCCATCTGTGGTGGACGTGTAAAAAATCAAAAGGCTTTTGGGAAATGGTAGCTGGTGAAGGCAATAAGGTATTAGCATAACTGGTATAATGCAAGCATAATAATGAAAGTCGGGGGGGGGCATGCCCTAAAAGGGAGTGAGAACTTAAGGCCAGAAGCAGGACAGATCACAAAAGGCACCACCTCATTTCAGTCTTAGAAAAGCTGTTGAAGGTGTGTGTTGGGGGAAAGAGGGAAGCTGATTTCTCCCAGTGGGAAAGGCAGACTGGTCTTTATTGGTACAGCCCCTCATGACATTACAAGCTAGAAAATGAAAGTAATGTTCAGCCCGGGACAGATTAACATGCATTACCAATCCTCTGGCTCACAGACCTTCAAAAAAGGATAACGTCTTGGGAGGGCAAAATTATTCACACTGACAAAGCACAAAGTACCTGGAACATGTTCCATTGGCTGCTCTCGGGAGCTTCTTTTGCTGCAGTGGGAGCAGGATCATTCAGGCCTAAGCACAAAACAACATTTTAGGGAACGAAAGGAACGGGCAAGCAAAACGTGTAAATAAGGGAATAATCCCAGATGAACCGACATTTAACTATTCAATGGATTGAGAAGGGAAAGATCCACCTGAGTGCAAATCCACCCTCCATATGGTCACTTCTGAACTTTGCTCCATTCTGACTGTAAGATTGAATTTATTATGTAACAAGCCAGTGGTAAGCAAGCTCTGCATTCTATATTCATCCATCCATCCATCCATCCATTCATAGTACCAGCATTTTTTTTAAGGAGATACTCAAGGGTACACAGTACTGGCACCTCTTTTTGTTGTTAAAAAGTGTGGCATTTACTGTAAAAACTTCATGGTGAGGACCGGCACCTATTTTTCTAGGGGGGAAAGCACTGCTTGGTACTTAACATGCCTCCTTTCAAGGCAAAGCCCTCCCAAGGCAGCATTCAAAAGATAATTAGGCTTATATTCTGCTTCCTGAACATAGCTGAGCTAAATCTAGGCAAAATGGTGCCTGGAAGTTCTTGCTATCCCTTCTGGCGGCCTCACCAATAGCAGCTGGCAGCTGTAAGGAGCTGGGTGTGAGGCACGATGGAGGGGTGTCCAACTTCTGCAACTTCTCAGATGGTGCTCTTCCTCCTGTTCAGTGGTATCTCCAGAACAGGTAAGGTTAGATAATCTGGTGATTATCTAATGTTTATTAGATGGATTTCCTCTAAATTGATTTCTGAACTTTGAATTTTATTGTTATTCACGTTTTTATACTGTATTTTATGTTGCTTTTACAATTAAGTATTTTAAACTTGTTGTTAGCTGCCCTGAGCCCGGTTTTTGAACCGGGAAGGGCGGGGTATAAATAAAAATTTATTATAATTTGTTATGGACACGCCACTCTCTGTAGCTCTCAGTGATAACCCAGTCCAGTAAATTCAAGTGGAGAGACTTTTTTTATTTCTTTCTGGGGAGGTGTGGCGGGGGGCGTTTTCTGAACAACAGACACTCAGCAAAAATACCGGCAAACCTGTGTGCAGCAGCTACTTAGCAGTGCCTCCCACCCAAGCCCTTAGGAAAAGGCGAAAGATTTGTATGATCTGAAGAGAAGCCAGAAACCTTCCACAGCCAGTGCACCCAAACCACACCTGCCTTACCTAAGCATAGCAGTTCCTCATCAAGCAAAGAGATGGAATTGGCCGAGCTCGTCAAGAGAGCAGAAGTGGCTTCTGCCTGGCTCGACGAACGACTCCGGGAGTGACCGATGGTCTGAGGGGGAGGTGGTAGGATGGGGATTTCTGACGAGGCTGGAGCTGGAGTTAATGTCGGTGCTGGTGTCAACGTCGTTGGGGGAATCGGTGGTGGCGGAGGCGTACTAGAAATGTCCAGTCCCGCCAAGTCAATGAGTGTACTGATGTTAACGGAAGAATCACTTCCTACAGTGATGAGGAGAGAACATAAAATATGGCATGGGATGCATACAAACAATATAACATATTATCCTAATCAAGGAGGGCAGTGGTGGTGCAAATGCCTAGATGCTGCTGAGAATAGCATCGGTTTTCAAATTCTCCAGGCTATGCTTCCTGTAGTAAACCTTCAAACATGAACTGCCGGTCCCTCAAGCTTCCATGAGTGTGCACACCATTATCCTCAAGATACCCAGGTCCTAAAAAGCGACCACTTTTGCCCAAATTTCTTGACCGGCACCCTCACACAGTGTTCAAGTAGACACAATGGGCAACACTCAATGATGTCCAACTCCTTCCTTAACAGAAACCTACTTGTACAATGGGATGTCAGATTCCTGCTCTCCAGAGTGGATTTTTGAGGCAGAGGGAGGAGAAGCTAGAAGCCTCATAGTGTTGAGTGGCCATCTCACCCAAGGGGCCAGCTTTCATTTCTGAGAAACTGCTGTACTAGGGCAGAATGTATTATGAGTTCTTTATGTAGGTAAAGGACACCTGGATGGTTAGTTCAGGACTCTACCCAAAGTGGGTTACAATATTTTTCTTTTTTTAAAAAAGGACACTAAAGAGACAACAAAGGAAGGGGACATGGAAGCAGGGGGAGGTACACACTCAGACTTTATTAAAGTATGCCTCTCTGTGTAAAAAAAGAAACAGACTTCCCCTAATTTTATTAAGATGTTCAAAACAGACTTTTGGCTGCATTCAGCTCTTTGCATTGATAGTACGAACTTGGCCATTTCCCGGGCAATTTCTTCTCTCTCTCATCTTAAAGAAAATTATTGATTGATAATTAACAATGCTGCGATAAACCCCTGTATTCTGATGTAGATCAACAGGGCCACCTGGGATTCTTACCCCCTGCAGTTAACCCTAAATGGTGAGCTATTCTCCTGCAATGTCTCTGAATATATATGCTCCACTTAAGCCCTTCTAAACAATGGCCTGACTGGTCTGAACTGGCCAGGCCTTTTGTAATGTAAGTTCAGAGTAGTTAGGGAGGCTCTTGGCAATTTTCTGGTTAAGAGATTGCTGACATCAGAGATGGGGCTTATTTTTCAGCTGGAGCCAAACAATGATCCCCATTAGAAAGGAGGCAGCTTTTACCTGGCTCAGATTCCCATGTGAGCGTTTACTCTCAGTCTTTGTCTTCCTGGAAACCTGATCAGGAATGCAAAGATGCTCCCTCTTAGAACCTCTCAGCTAATCAATGTCTGTTACCAGCAACTAAACACCAACTTAGCATCACCTGTAGCTTTCTGCATTTAATTTCCTTCTGACCACACTGTTGACAACCCCCCCAAAAAACCCCCATATACTCTCGCCTATAACTCAGGATAGCATTTCATGAATCTTCAATGGGGATTTAGTGCAGCTGGGGGGCCCTCTTTCAGCGAGCCCCTTTGAAGGTGCACTTTCACGGACAGAATGTTTTTGAAGTGGCTCACCTTGAGCCTTGCTTTGTCTGTTTGCAGGTACAGTTTGAATCCAAACAGGCCTGCAAATGAACTTCAAAGGGGCTTGCTGTTAACTGCTGATCAGCTGGCATCATAATGATGTCCGGTGACTGACAGCTGGGCAACCGTGCCCACCTGTCAAAGTTGGCCTGCAGAGGGTGGAAGTCAGGATCCAACTCCCTGCCCCTGTTGTAAGTCAATGGTTTCACTCCGGAATCCTTTATTCAAGAAAGGCCACTTGACAATCATGAACAGAACGTCCTTGGAAGCTGAAATGTTCTCCCTCTCCCCTCTGAATAGTTGCCCTTTCTGGTGCCAGTTTTGCACCCACTTTTTCTTTTGCATATCTATACCCATAAATCATTTCTGGGTATATGTGTCAGTGTTAATCTCGGAAGTAGACCTGTGGAGCTCCTATATGAAAAACCACTTTCATTGCAGCTGGCCCTATACAGATGGATCTTGAAGGAGCAAAACATATCCATGCTGAGATATCCTGATTCCACTCCCACCCACTGCTTCAAAGCACACTGTATGTATCATATAAGCAGATTGAATCATCTTAGAATTGCCATTTCTCTAGGATAGCCCTGTCTTGTCTAAAATAGAATGATCAGATAGTTGTAAGAAGACACCGGCATCCTTTTGGGAGGCTTTTCCTAGAATGGTTAAAGACAATTGTGTAGCCATTGAACTGGGGCTAAAAGTCTCTGCTAAATTCTTCACCTTGGGATTTGATTATGGTGAGTAGCAATCTAGAAAGGAAGAGTTATTTGTAAAAAGACTTAACAATTTAGAACAAGGGATTAGGAAGTACTTACGTATTGTAAGTGACATATAATTTTAAGATTATACAAAAGCTGGGAAACATGATATTTCATAGAAGGGCCGGTGTTGCTCCTGAAAAATATGACTCACCATCTGTTGGAGGCAGCCCAGGAATATCCACTTCACCATTGACGACTTGCCCCTCAATAATTCTTTTATAGGAATTTATTACGCGTGATAAGTTGTCACTAGCCTGCAGGATGTCGCCTGTAGCGGAGACACAAACAGTAAACTACCAATGTAAATAACTTCATCTTCAGCAATGCTTTCTCAGGCTACGAACGGGACCAGCTCATTTGATTTCATTCATTTCCACGACAAAGAAATCCACCCACCCCTAACAGCACTGCCTTTGTAGGTGCTGCGGTTATATGCTTCTCTGGCTTTCGCCACATCCACTTCTGCTATGAATATTTAGGATTTATGTAGACGAAGGAAGATTTGGTGGTTGGGGAAGGGCCATAGAAGAAGAGTTTGGATTTGATATCCCACTTTATCACTACTCGAAGGAGTCTCAAAGCAGCTAACATTCTCCTTTTCCTTCCTCCCCCACAACAAACACTGTGAGGTGAGTGAGGCTGAGACACCTCAGAGAAGTGACTAGCCCAAGGTCACCCAGCAGTTGCATGTGGAGGAGCAGGGACACGAACCCGGTTCCCCAGATTACGAGTCTATCACTCTTAACCACTACACCACACTGGCTCTGTGGCAGAGCCCTGGCTTTCCATGCAGTAGATATCTGGTTCAATTCCCGGCATCTCCAGGTATGTCAGAGAGAGACTCCTGCCTGAAACTTTGAAGAGCTGCTGCCAGCCAGTGTAGACAATATTGATATAGATGGACCAGTGCTCTTACTCTGTATAAGGCAGCTTCCTATTATATATATCTGATATTCTATCCAACACCACTGACTTACCTATATGGATTATAGATTCTTTTCAGCTGACATTATAGGTAATATCCAGGTTTTTAACCACCTATTAAGGCAAAAGCATGTCCCAGTTTACCTCCGGTCCTGCAAAGAAAAACTTATAGTTTTACCCAGAGTGCTGTCATTATCTTCTGTCTCGCTGGCCAGTTTGAATAACATCCGCCTCTTGGTTTCACATCTGTCATAGAGCTCCTGGGGAAGGGTGGGGAGAAGGTGAGAGATAGGAGCCAATGAGTCAAAATGGACACGTGCAGGCCTTTGTACTGAAACCTCATTTACTTATGCACAAAAGCCCAAGGCATCACCACTGCAAAGGCTTGACACAAGATTTCGATACAATATTGGTGGTCCAAGATGTGGACACTTGCGCTAACAGAAAAATTGATGCAGAGACATTGAGTCATAAGGGGTGAAAGCAAGAGAGACATATTTGCCAACACTTTTAAACTTATGTAGCGGGTCAGAGAGGTGCTGTGCAGACACCGCTCACTCAGAAGAACTTCTAATTGGCATTATTACTGAGACACCTTTTCTCCTGAATTGCTTCTGGTGACTGAAGAGCAGTTGGTGTTACCTGAGTGTAAACAACTGCCTCTGGCTATTCCTCTTTCATGTTGGTGATAGATGTGCACTGTATTGTTATAGTTATGCATTTTGGGTTGTTGTTGTTTTTAATGTAATTAACGTACCCCAATGCTGTATACCTGGAAATATCTTGAAAATAACCAGTAATCATTAAAAGTCTCGTTTGTTTTCCTCGATTGCCTTCTCCTTAGCTGAGTGATGCTGTCAGTTTGCATTTCTTAGTGCAGAAAGTATTGATCTGATGTGTAGAGATCTTTCTTATTCTAGTTTATTCAAGAGGTTTCTGGAAGCTTCTCTGTATGAAAGAAACTTCATGATTGTTTGGGTTATAGAGCAGCGGAGTACAGCTGGCTTGAACTGGTTCTTTTATCTTTTCCAATTAAGATCTTGTTGACTATAAATATAAGCCAGAAGGAGCCTGGTTTTTACTTTCTCTTTCTCTCTCCTTTGTTCTCGTGTCCTGTTCCGTATGCTATAGTGTTAAGGTTTAGTCTTATGATACGTTTTTGTAAATTTTATTGTAAGTGCTGCAACTCGATTTTTATGGACTGTGCCAATCCTGAATGTACTGTATTTGTGATCATTATGCTCATTTGCCTTCAATAGAAGTAAATCTCTGCTGGATGAAGTACAATTGCTTCTGGTCTATTGTTTGGAAACTCTGCTATGTGTTTAAGTTTTTTCCTCCCCAGAAGAAACTGGGGCGACCGATGCCTGCACCTATTTTTGCAGGGGAAGCTGGGCTATAAAATTCCTTCATGTTGGGAGATGGAAGTCAGAGGGGAACAAGCACTCAAGGTTTTACCAGCAGAGAACTCACACTCACCTTCATCAGCTCTTTGTCAGCCTCCGAAGAGTCTTCTTTGCTGTAGTGAACCAGCATCTCGTTCAACAGCTTCACATTGTTGTTCACCTCCTCCAATGTGTGCATGCGCTTTGTGACTTTCTGTATGCGTGCCTCATCCTTCAAATTTTAAAGCAAAAGAGGTGATATGAGTCTTTAATTTGTTCTTCTGCTACTGTCCAGGACAAGTTGGCTTGAAGAATCCAGAAGTCTGGTTACTTATCACCAACGGATACAGAATTCTGTCTACAGAGCCCCTACCTTCTGCTATCAAAATAGTCCTGAAGTTTTGACTTCTGGGGATACATTTGCAAAACAGGCAACTGTCAATCCATAGTAATAAGACCCCCACCCACTCCTTTATTCAGTGGGATTTACTCCTAGGAATGTTTGCACAAAATTAGGTAAAATGGTAGGAGCAAATTATATATTGAACTAGAGGGGGAAAGGGATACATAGATCATGGGGAGAAACAGGAAGCCATGGGAAATGAAGCAAGGATGACCAAACGAGCAGGAGAACAAAGCTCTTGTAACTGGAATCGTTGCCTAGAAGAGGGGAGTTTTGGCAGGTGCAACTCACTTTGCAGGTGTGAGAAAAGGTACACTTGCCCACATTATCTCTTCCAGGCAGCCATTAAAGGCACAGGTGCTCTTGTCCTTCTTTGCATCTGGTCTCCGCAAGAGAGGCCTGTTAACCCTGAACAACCAGACAACTCCTTGCCCCTTCTGCTCCCTGAGCCTTTCATACATGCTGCACGTCTATTTTCAAAGCAACTTTCATGCTTTTCTTTGGGGGGGAAAATGCAAAAGGCCAACGTAAGATCAGAGGAAATCAGAGACAGGAATGCCATACCCAACGAAGACAAGGACAGCCTATGGCACTAGAGGAAAAGGGAACTTCTGTCCTTGCAACTTGTACCCAAACCCCCATCCTAAACCCAGCTGAATTAGGCATGCCTAAGCCCACCAATTACAATGGACGGAAGCACACTTAGCTCTGCACAGCGTAGGGCTGTGACTGGGAGGATGAGCAGGAAAAGGACTAGGGCATCGGCAGCTATCAGTTACCCCAAGGAATACCAGGCAAAGTGGGGCTATAAATCACTGAGCAGCTTTTCTTAGCTTACTATGCAATCTCGAATTGCAGCATCAAACCTGGGTAAGAACTTTCACTCAGGAAGGAAACCAGAGCATTGCTTACAGACAGCACAGATATTCAGGTCTTCTGACATTATAGCAGCCCAATGGTACGGCTCAAATATTCTAAAAATGCTTAAAATTACAAAACAAGCCCCAAACAATGATCACTCCTACAGATATGTTGATTAAGTGCTCAGTCTCACCTCTTTCACCATAGATTTAATAAGCTTGTTTGCCTCTTGCAAATCATCTGGATTTTTGCTTTTTAACAGTTTAGCTAAAAGCTGCAAAAAGGGAAAAAAACTTTTAGGAAAAGTGTTTTAGGAGTGACAGAACTTTTCCTGGTTTTGCAGATTCTCAGTTGAGGAATTGATACCTTATGCTTGCATTAACCAAGTTTTGATTTGTCTTTGAAGCATCCAACTTTTGGCACTCTGATCATGAACACATTAGAACAGAAGCAAGAAACGTGGATGCTATTGGAACGTACATCATATTAGCTTGCTCAGGCTAGTGGTTTCAGTGCTCCGATAGGGGAAGCTGACAGCAGTTCATCACCAGCTACTTCAGAATCAGGACCGGGGTTGGAGGGAGCCAATGTTGGATTGTCACTGGTCTGCGCCAACCTCAGCATGGTTGGTGCAGAGGCACTCTATGACAACTACAGCTAGGGATGAGGTTCATTTAGCAAGAGGAGTAAGACAAGAAAGTGCACTTTAAATTACTCATCTCAGCTTTAGAGTGTCCATTTGACACCCACTTCTATTCCGTCCTCTCTCGAGACAGCAGCAGTCTACAGCAATAGTCCTTCTGGGTTGCATCCAATCCTGTGCATGCAGAGTTCTATTCACACAATGGGACTTCCCCTTCTTCTCCCCACACATCCTCAAAGTCTGCTCTGGAGGGTGAGGGTCTGTGGGGAGCTGCAGGGGAGAGCAGAAGAGGGAAAGGTTCCACTGTGCAAGCAGAAAGTCTGTTGCAATAGCCAAATAGCCAAACAAGAAGACCCTTGCACCATGTTCAAGAGCATGAGCCGTGACTTGGAAATCCCTGCTCAGGCCTAAACTCACTGAATGCTCTAGGTGAGTCACTACTGAGAGTATAAGTTCTTAAGTTTCGCTCCAGTGAGGTGGCAATGGTAATCAGAAAGGGACCGGAGTCAGACCAAAAATAAAATAAATTGGAAAGATCTATTTAAATCAAAGCATAGGAATGATAAAACTATATAAACTCAGCAATAACTAGAGTTTGAAAATGTATAAATGGAATATAAGAGGAGTATATAAATGGAAAAAGAATACTAACCAAACAGCCACCAATTAAGCATGCACATTACTAAATCCTAAATTGCATCTTTCTAAAACTTCCACCAGTACAAACTAGTTATAAGGTTTCTAAATTCCCAGCCTTAAATTAGTTTAACTTCTCTCTCTCTCTCTCATCTGCAAACGGGGATAATAAGACTGGTTTACTTATAGGAGTGTTGTATGGATGACAGGGGAAATGAAAGTGAAGCTCTTAAGTCCTTAGGGAAAGTGCTGTACAAATACCATTATTATTATTATGATTATTATTATTATTAATTTGCAAACTTCATCATCCTCTCCTGTTCACATACATACACAACACATCTTACATTTTCTTCAGTGAAGCCATGCAGAGCTTTCCCAGGCTTCATTTTTTTTCATAGTTTAAAGACCATAACATGCTCTTGCCCCCTTTCTTTCAGCAAACAGTAAAGAGAAATTTAAATGAAGCTAATCATAGAATTGCAGAGTTGGAAGGGACCCCTAGGGTCATGGCTGGCTAAAGTCAGCCGAGTGTTCCTGAGAGATTCACTGCTACTCTACATGCAGAAGAGGCAAGCCTCCTCCGCCCTCAACACAAAGAGGCAACAAGGAGTTAAACACATTTTGTAAGCTACAAAAGCATTTGCGAAAACTTCCAAAACGTTAAGTTGTCGTGCTACGACACTCGTGAGAAATAGGAACTACTCAAAACATTTGAACCTTGGACATTTTTTTTTAAAACTATAGCAAACCAGATTGAGGGGTGACGGTGGTTTAGATCTTTATATTTGCTATCCTTTGTCAAGCGCTAGAAGATGCCTCAGCTGTTGCCAAGTTCTAAGAATTACAGTGCTAATTTTTGCAGTTAGCTTTACCTTGGATTTCTCTTCATCATCAAACACAGGGTTTTTGGGACGAGCTGGAGGGGAGGGGATTAGGGTACTCTCTGCAGGAATTACAGGGTCAGACAGCACAATGCCTGGATGCAAAAAGGAAGAAAAACATTGTCACTCTTTACAGGAAAGCTCTCTGGGTTTGCTTGTTCACTGCCAGTTGCCTGCACACAAAAAACCCAGCAAGCTATATCCTATTAAAGCCATCTTAATGCATTGAACTAGGGTCTGCTACCTGCAAATGGTGCTCTTAGTGGACTGCCATCTCAGAAGGTAGGTAAAAGGCTACAGTGCCTTATACAATTAGCAGACAAGAACCAGACCCTGTTCTGAGTCTCATTCCTACTGATTGTCAGTATGCAGCTCAGCTGCTGACAGGCTATGATGGGCTTTTCTGTCTGCAGCTGAACTCCTGTAATTCACTTTGGGATGTCTTTAAGACTTGCTCCCTCTCATGATCTTGTAAGCCCATGTTTGTGCCCTTGAGCGTGTGAGCTTGCCTTGGGTTCTCTTACTTGCCTGACACTTCCTGATTATCATGTGGCCTTAAACGAAGCATTAGGAGCGAGGGACAAAAAAGTAAGCAGCTGGTGTATGAGTTGGAAATCAATGGTAACAAAATAGAGAGACAGGGCCATAATCATCACAGCACTGAACCCTACAGCTCAGCTAAGATCCTGCAATGGGCAGGATAAGGCAGCATGACTCTTGATCAAACTGGTTCACTGTCTAGGTGTGCAGAAGCTACTACCTCTGAGGTCACAAAACTATAAAGTGTTGTTGAACAGCAGCTTAAGGAGTATATGAAAGGCTGAAGAAGGAAATTGTTTCCCACCTTGTCTTTTCAACATGTAGTAGGCGTCTTTGATTTTGGACTCGTCTGGCAGAGCCACCGTCCAACTGTACAGCAGCTCAATTATTTTGCTTTTGACCTTCTCTGACACTCTGTCTCCCAGGTACTGCAAGAATAGCCAAGAAGGGGAAAGATGTTGCTTTCTCTGTCCTCACATAAAAGAACCTACTTTGAACCATTAGGTATGTGAGTTGTGGGTCAAAACAGTTTCTGTGTCTGAGAAATACAGGCTATGTACATATAATATTTTACTCTAGGGTCCATGCAGACAGAGTATTTGTTTTTTCTATGTAGTCCAAACATGATTCGGATCTGCTGCATATTTTTTGCCCCTGAAAAGCTCTTCTTGAGAAATTGGGTCTTGATCTGAAAATACATCTTGATTTTGCAATTTTGATTGTGTCCATTTAAAAAGAGATGAAAATGGATGTAGGCAGTGCCAGCAAGGCAGGGATGTTGTACAGTGGTACCTCAGGTTACGAACAGTCTAAGTTAACGAACATTTTGGATTACGACCACTTCAAACCCGGAAATGAGTGTTCTGGGTTGCAGGGGTTTTTTGGTATAAAAAGTGACATTCGGGGGTACCGCCACATCTCCCTGTCCTCCGAGGCTTCTCTCTCCTTTCTCTATGAACCTGGGCAGCCCTGTGAGTTGCTGATTCTTTGGTGGCAGCAGTGGGGGGAAAACGGTGAGCGGTGGGTCAGGCATGGAAGGCGGAGAAGGAGGGCTGAGAGCGGCAACCCAAACCTCCCGCCACTGCACAAAGGCACATTGTTCCACTTTGATAGACAGCACGATGCCTCCCTTCCCATCAGAGCAGCCCCGATCCCATTCCTACTTGCGTGCAAGCAGGAGGGGCGGGGATCCCTCAGCTGGGAAGGGAGGCTTCGCGCTGCCTAACTGAGAGATCCCTGCCCCCTCCTGCTTGCACGCAAGTAGGAGTTGGGATCAGGGCTGCTCTGATAGGCAGCGTGAAGCCTCCCTTCACAGCTGAGAGATCCTTGCCCCGCTCCTGCTTGCAGGCAGCCAGGTTGAATAGTTGTGGGGGTCGGGGAAGGTGGAGGCAGCCCGGAAGCTGCATCTTAGAGCCCTTACACCACCTGAAGGCAGCCAGGCACTCCCCAGCAAACCAACTGGAAATGAATCAAAATCACAAGAAAACATAAAATGACACTGACCTTGACCCTAACCCTAATTCTAATCCTTACCCTAACCCTAACCCAGTCCTAAAATTAACCCTAACCCAGAAATGGTCTTGTTAGATAGTAAAATTCATGTGAAATTGCTGTTTTAGGGATTGCTTTTCATCATCTGGAATGGATTAATCCGTTTTCCATTACTTTCTACGGAAAAGAATGCCTTGGTTTAAAACTGCTTTGGTTTAAGACCGGACTTCCGGAACAGATTAAGTTCGTAAACCAATGTACCACTGTATTTACATTGTGGGGGAGCATATACCAAGACTGCAATCACTACTTCTTCCCTGGGGCAGGGGCAAGGAGGAGATGGTGTGAATAATCTAATAAAAGGGAGGGTTTTTTGAAATGTGTATGAAGTAACCACACCCAAACTTGTGGACAGCAGGATTTAGAATCAATCTGAAAGTGTCATGTTGAGGACAAGCACGAATGATTCCAGACTGAGAATAAATGGTCTAGAGAAAGTGAGGAACATTCTGAAGTGTGCGAATGTTATTTATTTACTGATAGCCCAGCTGATTCCAGTGGAATCTGATGCACAACATGTTTTATGGATTTAAGCAAATGAGACATATAAACAAGTGTAGAAAAAGCAAACCATACTAACCTTGGGAGACACAACTTTAATTAGCTCATTTAAAAAACGAAACTTCCCTACTTCGTTGTGAAATCTTTGCCCACAGTTCTTCATGCAAGCTTCCAGCACCTGCAATCAAGTAAAATGCACATATACACACAAGATAAATCTAAGTTTCAGGATGGACCTATCCGAATAGAGATCCCTAAATTAGTCACAGGTTACCTATGAAACCTTCAAACATTACCTGTGCTTGGCATAAGGCAAGACTCCCCAGGAAACCAATCCAAGTCCCCTGGTGATTTTCTTCTGGTTACTTAAATATTGGACTGTGCACTTAAACAGAACCTGACTGCTTTTTACAGAAACATTGTACAGTCGTACCTCAGAAGTCGAACAAAATCCGTTCCAGAAGTCCGTTTGACTTCCAAAACATTCGGAAACCAAGGCGTGGCTTCTGATTGGCTGCAGGAGGTTCCTGCAGCCAATCAGAAGCTGCAGAACCCGTGTCAGACATTCGGGTTCCAAAGATCATTCACAAACCGGAACACTCACTTCTGGGTTTGCGGCGTTCGGGAGCCAAAATGTTTGACTTGTAATCTGTTTGACTTCCAAGGTACGACTGTACAGGGAAGATAATTAGAATTGTCATTGTACTAGTTGGCCCTTACAACTGGATGTCATGTCTCCATAGGAGACTACCTGTGCAGACCCCAACAGACACTGGTTGAAATTATGCTGTCTGAATACACAGACAGTGGACAGAATTTTAAAAACAGAGTTAAAGAACACTTACAGTCAAGGCCTGGACTGCTTCCCATTCCTGCGGTGACTGGATTTTATGAGCCAGCAATCTCACGGCTATCTGTGGACTGAAATCATTCATTTTTTTACTTATTTATTTATTTATTTATTTATTTACTTGCTTATTTATTTAGTTAGTTAGTTGTGCTGTCTGTGTAGATGATGCTTTACAAAGAAGGAGAGGACAGAATGGTTCATACCTCTAGAAGATTACACTCTAGAAATCGACACAAAGGAAACAACGAAGGCAGGGGTAGGAAACAGAGGCAGGGGTAAACAGGTGAAAAACTATGTGATTCAAATGACATAGGCTTCACTTTTGCAGCTTAAATACATAAGCTGCATTCACACTTTCCAACATTTTATCTGCAAGCATACCCTGAAAAAAACAAAAACCTTTAAAACTTCCAGATTTTAGGAGTGGAACAAAATTGTCTACATAAAATCTCAGCTGCCTGTCCCTATATAACAATTTCACATTAAATTAACACATTAAATTAAGCATCAAAGCACCCAAGGTTATTTAAAATTACTTCTACAAAACCTTGCAATGGGGTTTGAATTCTGGACACACACCCTTCAAGTTCTTTGTTGATCTGATCGCAGAAGCCAATGATGTACTCCCAGTCTTCTTGCCTATTCAGAGGATTGGTGGCTTTATCTGGTGAATAGAAACACAAGCGTGTTAATCCAAGATGCACACAAAAGGCGTCTTGTTTCCTCAGGACAGGGTAGCGCTTGAGAATTAGTACACTCTGCCACCTTCTTCTCATTCACTCCGAGAAATTAAAACCTCTCCTGCTGAGAAACTGCACACTCCTTGACTTCAGCACACGTCCGATCAGTCAAAATTCGAGTATCAAATGCTACAAGTTATGAAACCGGCAGAAAAATAGTGTGAAGAACATATTACAAAGCCGAGTTCTAGAAAGTGAAGTAAACAGCCATGTATCGTTCCCCTATTTGCCATTTTGCTCCACGTTTTGCCAATTTATCACATAACGAACTGGCATATCCACATTCAGTTTTACTCCACTGAAACACGGACTGAGCAAGGAAGTCATTAAAAACCTAAAAGCATCTGACACAAACTGTAACATTCCAGGGATCAAAGGCGTGGTCTGTAACTGTAAACTTATCAAGGATGCAATCTAGGCAAAGTGAGATACTTTTCTCCCACTGATTCCAATGGAATTTCAAGAGCATTGCGCTTCATACTAGGAAGGGTACACGGCAGTTCCAACTAGAGCACATCCACACCTTCCATTGCCTATGGAAAGTTCTTTCCACAAGAAATAAAACGTTTCACCTGACACCTGAGAGATGTTAGCTTCTGCATGTCTCTTTTCTGCTTAGAAGGGTTTTTGAAGCAGGTTACCTCCTGAATGCCCTTTAAAGTATTTTGCAGAGATCTCGCCTATGAACATACCTCTGACATTTCAGTGTGGGACATATTCAACACCTGGGACCTGAATGTTCACAGTGGTGCTCACATTTTCTGTCTTCAAAGAACCCTTTCCACATGAGATCACCCGTATATCTGCTATGGCAGTTGCTCATGTTGCTGAGGTTTGGAGAGCATGTCACACACTCAATTTGCATGGGGCACTGTTGCCTTGCCTGAATTGAGAACATGCCCCAGAATAGCGGGTCCCCAACTCTCCCCGAAATCACCTGGAAATGAGTCCTGTCAGCAGAAGCCCTGCACAACAGCTTTTGTTGTGTAGCAGGACTTTCTCCCCTTCTCCTCTCCTCACATCCAAACTCCCCGAACTTGAGCCGGGGTTGAGTGTGGGTAGAACCCCACCCCCCAAAAAAACCAGTGTGTGGGGAATAGAGGAGTAATTGTTCCATCCAGCAAGCTGAAACACTGTTGAATTCTTCCCAGTGGGTTTTCTGCCTGTTGTTTCGGAATTGTAATGCACTGCACATCTGCCGTCTCTTAGTTTATTCCCCTCTTTCTGGCTACTTCCTTGCTTCCCATATATTGACTCTACGCTCCTTTCAAGTGCCTTGTCAACCCCCCTTTCCCCACAAAAGCCAATGACAGAGCCAAATAATTCTGGTCTTGCCCCCATTCTCCACCCTGCTAAGTTCTACAAGGGCAACACTGAGACTACTAAGGAGGAGGAAGCTGACAGCTTGGGCCACTTCTGTAGATAACAAGGCAGGCAGGTGGGAGTTGGCCAAGGGCATATTGATATGGGTGGGGTAGTGCCCCATTCTCCCTAATGGATCAGCCTCCACCGGTTTGCACCCTTGCTTTGTAGTGGGTACCGTTGTAGTAAATAGTGTTGTATTCATCAAAGGCTTTCACATTTCTCATTGGAAGCAAGAGCCACCATTTATCATACTAAGCCCTGCTTCTCAGATGTTTTCCCCCTCCTTTCCCCCAGCTTTGAAAGCAGCAGATTGCAGAACATGCAAGGTATCATGACAGATTTGCATTTCATGTTTCATCTGCTCCAGATAATTCAGCTCAGAGACTTTGCACTGTGCTACCTTCCACAGAGACACCCGGTTTAACCTAATTTCTATAGCAAAACTGACCAGGGCAAAATGTGAGAGAAAGAAATACTGTTCATTCTAGGGCAGCGCCATATGTGTCGGCACAAAGGCAGCATACACAAGCCGAAAATGATTAACTAGTAAGAACAAAGAACAAGGAGTACAATGAACCAAATTGTTTGGGACATCTTCACTAGGCCTGCAAATGCAAGCGCAGAGGGGCGGGCTGTTTTCTTTTATTGGGATCCCCATGGTCCACTAACATCTTTTACATTTACAAAGCAAGAGGGCACATTTGGGAACCCTTCACAGTCAAGGCTCCAGACCACAAACCCTAGGCTTTCTCTCCCACACGTACACAAAAAAGCAAGACCTCTGAGGGAAATTCTCTGTATAGTTACGCGGTGGTTCAATTCCAGCGCTTTCGTGTGTATACAAAAATCATGTACTATACATGCAAAAACATTTGGGCTTCATGGCTGTTAGATGCCTGTAGATGCAAATATTGTAGGAATATGATGTTTTAACATTTGAGAAAAGAGAGGGCCAGATTATGACCTCACTTCCTTACTATAATAGTCCCCAAATGGAAAAAGTTTTACACTGCCACAGTCAAAATAATAAGTACACAGCAGGCTTCATCTCAAGAGAGTGAACTTGGCATGTTCCATTCTAGGGCTAGAGCACCAGCAACCTGGAGGATGGTACTTCGTAATTAACAAATAAATAATTCTGCCACAGTGCAACCCCAGGACATTTGGTGTCAAAACATCTGGATCACATCTTGTAGCAGATCAACACAGCACTGCTTATAAAACTTATTTCCACTCCCCTAAACCGAAACATTGTATACTGAAACTTCAGGAAACAGGGAATCTTTGCTAGTAAGCAGCCTCATATATTTCTATCCTCTGTAGATTTGTTACATTACACCCACATGCTCTTTATGTCCCCCCCTCCCAACTCGGAGTTCTGGAGGAACATGTCTCACAGTTTGCATGCCACATTTAGAGACAATACCTAGCGCGGTGGAGATGGCTCAGCTACAGGAACAGCAGAGAATACAAAAGCAAAAGAAGATGTCTGTGTGGAGCAACTGAGTACTGTATTCCATGTTCAACCATTGCTTTTTGGCTAAAGGCAGGAATGGGAGCTCAGGCAAAGACCATCCTATTATGTTACCTCCCAAATAAGAGGGGATAATTTGTTGTTGGGTCATCACATGCCCAATTGCAACATAAGGACTGAAGTATCAGGTTGCTGACATGGCTTTCTCACTGTGTTGACACTTTGAAGTCTCATTTGAAGGCAAAAAATAATAATCCATGGCATGGATGAATCCTCTCTGCTGTGACTGGGGAAAACATGAACCGCTTCCCAACTTTTTTTGTATTTATTTCCTGTCTTTGTACAGGACCTACGTCTTCACAGCATCTCCCCAGAACTGTTCCCCGAGTATATTTATATTGCTTAGTTTCAAATGACCTTCCAGCTAAACTTTCAGCAGCCTGGAACCTCTGTCCTTTCACTTAAACATTTCCTTCATAAATATGGGGATATATTCAGTGACTAACTGCCCATGGGGTTAATAAAAAGAAGAGGAGATGTGTCACTGCATATCCTTAATACATACATAAACATCATTTTATTAAATTGGGCAGAATTGTTTTCGTAGCAGGAAAGTGATTCAGTACATACTGAATGTACCACAAATGTATTCAGTAGCAGGAAAGTATTTACAATACAAATAAAGTGCTCAGCCTCAAGAATATCTATAACACCACCCTAATAACTAGGAATACACTAGGTCTTTCACAATAAGTTTCAAAAAGGAAGAGCTACCTGTTCACTAGGGCACAGCCTGGTATCTTAACATATTCATGCTATACCATATAAATAAAATCAGGCAAAGCATTGACAGACCTCCAGCTCACAGTCCCCATTCTGCTGAACAAATGGCTTTCCACCCCCAGTCTATAAGAAGTCGCTCAAACAGGGTTACTGAACATAAGATATTGGTGATTTCCCAGGCTCTTCCACAGAATGACCTCTGTGATTCAATTATTATATTTACAATATATCTCATTTTTATCTGTGCCTCCAAAGAGCTCAGGGTGGCACACGTGTTTCAGTGCTCCCCATTTTCTATTTTATCCTCACAACAACCCTGCGAGGGAGGTTAGGCTGAGAAACAGCAAGACTGAGGTCACCCAGTAAGATTGGTAACCTTAAAGGTAAAAAGATAAATGGCAATACAGTTCATTTTTTATCTTAAATCGTCCCACTTCTGTTGGAAAAAAACAGAATATCCACTTTTGACTTGCAAATAATTCTTTTTAAGAGGGGTTCTTTGAAACTCAAGACTTGGGTTCTCATTTACCAGATAAGGTAAAGGTAAAGGGACCCCTGACCATTAGGTCCAGTTGTGGCCAACTCTGGGGTTGCGGTGCTCATCTTGTTTTTTTGGCCGAGGGAGCCGGCTTACAGCTTCTGGGTCATGAGGCCAGCATGACTAAGCCGCTTCTGGCGAACCAGAGCAGCGCACGGAAACGCTGTTTACTTTCCCGCTGGAGTGGTACCTATTTATCTACTTGCACTTTGATGTGCTTTCGAACTGCTAGGTTGGCAGGAGAAGGGACTGAGCAATGGGAGCTCACCCCGTCGCGGGGATTCGAACCACTGACCTTCTGATTGGCAAGCCCTAGGCTCTGTGGTTTAACCCACAGCGCCACCCGTGTCCTCATTTACCAGATAATGATCCAGCAATGGCACTGCACTTCTGCCATGCCCCTCCTGTGACGGAGTGGGGGGGGATGTGTGGCCCTCCATATGTTATTTGACTCCAACTTCCATCATCCCTGACCTTTGGCCATGCAAGTTGGGGCCAATGGGAAGTAGAGTCCAATGACCATAGCTGTCAACTTTTCCCTTTTCTTGCGAGGAATCCTATTCAGAATAAGGGAATTTCCCTTAGAAAAAGGGAAACGTTGACAGCTATGCCATGACAAAAGATCCCAGCATTGCAGTGGGTTGGACTAGATGACCCTAGTGTTCCCTTCCAAGTCCATGATTCTATAACTTCTGGAAGGAACCATGTTACCCATCCCTGTTCTATGCCCCCCTGTCCAGCACAGCGACATGACTTTAACAAAGGGGCATTGAAGAGGTCACCTGTAGCAGCCAACCCTGAAGCAAAGTATGAAAGGGCCTCTGTGCATTAGCGGAAGTCCTTGTGCAGGACTGATCCTGCAGGAATGTTCTTATGTCTTTTAACTTGAGAAACATTTGTTTCCTTCCACCCTCTTTATAATAAATTCCATGATGTAACATAAAACATTAATTGAGGAATACTGTAATTTTGGTACAGACTGAAGAATATGTCAGAATACAGTTTACTTAAAGAGAGGAAATGGAAATGGAAACAAGCAGAAAAAAATGAGAGAAGGGAAGAGAACTGCTCTTTATAGCGAAGGAACCAGTTACTTAGAAGAATGAACACCACATTTCACAACCTTTCTTTAAAAAAGAAAGAAAAAGGAAAAAGAAATGAATCACTGGTTAATAGGGCTAGACTTCAGGCTGTCTGTGTCCACTGCAATTGCAGCTCTGGGTTTCTGCTTAGATGTCTCGGTTTGAGTGCACTGCTCATTCAAGTGCACATGTTGTTGTTTTTCTGGATCCATATTGGAGACGGAGCTTTTTTATTTGCAGGGGTCAAAACACAAGACCTAGCACCCAACTCGATGCAGAAACAAGCTGGGGGGGATAACTTTCTTTGGTGTGTTTTTTTCCTTGGGGGAGCTTAGGAGCTGTAGAATTTGAAAGGAGGAAATGACCAGGAAGTGAGTAAGAGTTCAGGCAGAGACAGGCACAGCTGCAAGGAGAAGTATCAGCTGAGTGGATGGAAAGAACACATACAAAGGGGCTGGCTACATTTCCTTCAGTAAATGGCAATTCCCCCCCTCAAAAAAAGCCCCTAAATTGGGGGGGAGCGGAGCACCTGGGCACGTTCAGAAACAATGGAAATTGACAATAACACCAATGTACTGCAAGAACTACCGTATCTTTTGCTCTATAAGACTCACTTTTTCCCTCCTAAAAAGTAAGGGGGAATGTGTGTGTGTCTTATGGAGCGAATGCAGGCTGTGCAGCTATCCCAGAAGCCAGAACAGCAAGAGGGATTGCTGTTTTCACTGTGCAGTGATCCGTCTTGCTGTTCTGGCTTCTGAGATTCAGAATATTTTTTTTCTTGTTTTCCTCCTCCAAAAACTAGGTGCATCTTGTGGTCTGGTGCGTCTTATAGAGTGAAAAATACGGTATTTTAGGAACTGGGAGATCACCCTATACAGTAAAGGACCTTTACAGGCAGAAATATATAGCATAGTCTTCAGGTACATGAGGCAGTCAAAGCTAGTGTGGTGCAGGGGCTGCTGAAATTCACTGAGTATCCTTTGGTCAGTCATTGTCTCTCAGCCTGACCTACCACACAGGTTGCTGTAAGAAAAAAAGAGGAGAGAGGAGAATCACGTATGCAGCCCTGAGCTTCTTGAAAGGAAGGTGGGCTATAAAAGTAATAAATGAATAAAAAGACACCTAGCTGACTTTTTAAGCTGTAACCAGAGCACATTACAACACACCCTGGATGCTACAAAAGGAATACATTAAGTGTCCCATTTACACACAGGAAATAGCTATGGCTGTATAGCTAATTACTAGTTATGAAATATTTTAACGTTAGGGTGGAGAATAAGTATTAGATAGAAGTGATACAGCCATAGCCTGGGCTCCCACAAATGATCAGGGAGGGAACATTGCTAATGAATATAGCACATTTCCAATTCTCATTGAGAGTCACAAACATCTGAGTCATTCTTGCAACAGCCCTTTAAGGTAGTCAAGTGCTGTTATTCCAATATTACAGACACAGTGCTAAGTCTGAGAGATAATGGCTAGCCTAAAGACACCTAGCTAAGTTCATGGCTGAGGTAAAATTTGAACTAGGCCCTACCAGGTTCATAGCTAGCAGTATACTGCTTGGGTTATGATTTCCTAAAAATGGAGTACCAACTTTATAAAGAAGCCTTGCAAAGGCAGAGGCAAGGTTGAACAGGCATAAGGAATCTGTACGGTCTTCTCAAAAGACCACAAAGCTGTCTAATAATATCAACAACATGTACACTGTATAAAGCGGTGCACAGACAGACACAGAGAAGTAGAGTCACCTTAAATGGAACCTGGTGGAGTGAGGAAAGCAGAGAGCAACATATGGGTTTCCAATCCCTGAATCAAACAGGAGGCTCATTAAATGCCCAATATTATGAAGTCAAGAGAACCTCTTGTCATAAGCTATTCTATGGGCACAAGAGAGGGGTAGGGGAACCTACGGCCATTCAGACATTGCCGATCTATGGGCCCCAACATCCTTCACTATTAGCTATGCTGCTTGAGGCTGCTGATGGGAACTGCATGCCCAACAACATCTGGATGCCCACAGGTTTCCCACTCCTGGCATAAAGCGGGCAATGGGAATTGGAAGCACTGGGCACAAATCTATAGCCAGGACGCACTGGGTGAGCAAAAAGGTAAGAGGCACAGATTTGGACAGAGGCAGGTGACAGCCACAGGCAGGGCGGACCAAGACAGCCATGACCAGCAGGGTCTTCTTTGACCTCTAATAACTGTGTAGAAAACGAAATGTTGGCCGGACCAATATGTCAAGAAAAGCTGCACCATCCTATTTCCCCTCTCCGATAGTTAGGGGCACAGAAGACGCCCTTTGCGTCTGGCCCTTCTGGTTTTAGCCCTACATCCTCTGCCCTAGGTGTACCCCCCCAAAAACCCCCTACATCTCTGCCCCACCACCGTCCCCCTCTTTCCTTCTCCCCATCTACCTCCAGACCTTCCCTTTGGGGTGTCACTGCCTCTACGGAGATCCAAGCATCTCTCACACCCCACCATTCCCCACACCCCGGGGCTCCGGGTGGGGCTGTCTCCCGCGCCCCACGGCTTTCTTTCCCGGCCCCGGGGGGAGGAGAGGAGGGCCATGCTACCAGCGTCCGTCCCCCCCCACCCCCCTTGCTCGGCGGAAGGGGAGAGGACGCGGGTTACTCACTCAGCCAGGACTCCAGGCTTTCCCCTTCCGCCTCCGCCATGTTGCCGGCCGGCCTGGAGACTCCGCCCCGCGCTCAGGCGACGCTACTGCCCGGCCGGGCCCGGCCCCTGCGGGGGAAGGAAAGGAGAGGATCAGCGCCTCCACCTCCTCCTGCAAGGGCTAATGCTCAGGCTCTCGTTGTTATTTTACTGAGCAGGAGATCGGCTCGATTTAGAAACACCCATCGGCTTAATAAATCATTGCTATTGTTCAATCATCGTGACCCTTGTTGCTGTTTTCCTCCCCGTTCCGACTTTTCGGGTCACCTCCTCAAAAGAGCTTTCAAAAATGTGTGGGAACATTCCCCCTCCCCCAAAAATCTCCATGTCAGAACTCTCTTATTTCAAATGCAGTATAAAGAATTTCCATTGCTCTGCAGAGCTGCAATATTCTGCAACAAGATGCAGCCTTTTAGGACAGCCCATCAATGGCACCGGAGCACAAAATTCCTGTTTCTCACGCCTGTCGCACTGCCTGCACAGTCTTCGTTTCTTTAGTCTAGCAATACGTTGAATTTAGCGGGGTCGGCATTGGTTTTGCACAGTGAACTATACAGCGAGATCAGTTTCTGAGCCTTTGCGCGAGGCAGGGGCAGCCTGTTTACGCCGCCTGAAGAAGAACCGAATAAAGCTTGCGCAACGTTAAGGAAATAACAACAGCGTGGCTTCCTGACTGTCTTTTTCTTGCAAAAAGCTGCTATGCAAGAAGCCTGCCAGGCGTGCAAAGCAAAGCGACATTTTTTCAGGCGGTAGCTTTGGACAGCCCTGGGTGGGGTCCTGGGGAGAGAAGCAAAATGGCTGCGTCCATGGTGGAGAAGCTCGGGGCAGCGAGGCAGCGGCTGTGCGGCTCCTGGAAGGTCTGGTTGCCCGGGTAAGAGAAACGGGGGACCGACGGGGTGGGAGAGGCTCCAGGAGAGCGGCTGGGAGGATTTGGATCGATCTTGTGGAATGCAGATTGCTCGTATCTGAGAACTGAGCTCGCACCCTGTTATCACTCCCTAGACTAGAGCATCCTGGGTTACCCTTGCTGCGCCTCCAATGAGTCGCAGTATTGGGGAGAGATTTGTCTAACGAATATGTCTAGTTGAGAGAATCAACTGCAATACGGAGCGGCAGAATAGAACGGCAGATAGCATGCCCTTTAAAAGTACACCCGTGTTTATGGTCCACGCCTCCTAGGAGAACAAGAAATCTCATTTGAAAGAAAAGCTTTATAGAAACCAAGAGAATATGTGCATGTATTGACACTCTATGCCCGTTTAAAATGTGGCTCTTTTTGGGGGGGGGTGTTATTGGGTTGTTGTTTTTATTTTGATTATATATAGAGAGAGAGTGAGTGTGTTTTTTATGTTGATATTTTCTGTGAACCACCCTGAGACCTCCGGGTATAGGGTGGTATATAATTTTTTTAATTTTTTTTTTAGGTCTTGTCTTTTATATAGCTCAGATCTGTTAATTCACAATACTGTTGAGTTTTCATTGTGAAAACAGCCCTCCCAAAGTTGACTTCTGTATTTTCAATTGGCATGTTTATGTGACTTGCTATCAGAAGAGTTGTTTGTGGTGGACCTGCCATGTCCCTCTTTAGGAAAGAAAGGGAATAATTTTGTACGTTATCCACATCTGCATACTAATATGATAGATGTTGGGATATGGGCGAGCATTGCAGGGTCTTTTGGACTGTAGTATCTGGGGCACATTATTCAAGCCAACAACATTGACTAGCACAAACCTGAATCATAGAATTGTAGAGTGGGAAGGAAATTTCTCATTTTGTCAGGGCCTAGAATTCTGCTTAGCCCAAGATGCCACCAACGAACAAAACAAAAACAAAAAACTGTATAATTTCCTTAGTGTAATACTCACTTAAGATATGTCAGATCAGTGTGAAATGTACCAATGAGAACTATCTTCCTCTTACTCCATACTAGCATTGTGACATGGAGTTTAATCTGTCAAAAACATTCATAGAATGGGTTGAAAAAAGCTGCTTGTAACTACATTCTAGCTATCCTGACAATGAATATGAAACTGAACTGTCTGATCCTATGTAGAAGCAGGTGTATCTAAGCCCAATGGATTTGGGTTACAGAATTGGATATGGGAATAGGATTTGCATGTAGAATAGTTTCACTTCTTCAGATTGAAAATATTTGTGTAACATTCTTTTTCTGCTTTTCGTATCCTTTGTAGGCTGACTCAGGTCAGATGGAGCCGATACAGTCCTGTTTATCTTGAACCAGAAGTGAACAAAGAAGTGTATCATAAACTTCCAGAACAAATATCAGATGAGGAAAAAGCCAAACTGGAACTCAAAAAAGTCAGACCTATAAAAGCCACCGCTTCCAATGTCACCAGCTCTGTATTCTATGATCCATTGATCAGGTTTGAATGCTGCCATATTTGACTGAATCTAGTCCTTTTGTCTATGTCTATCACTTAACAAAGAAATCTAATTAATTCATAGAGTAATGTAGTTGGCCAAAGTATATTGGATAGTTGAAATAGCCAGGGAGTACAGCATTGTTATCAAAATGTCCTAAAGTACTGGGGCTTAATGGGTAGTGATTTATTATAAAATAGACGAGTCTGGAATACTCCTGCTGGCTGCTGTTGGACACAGGATGCTAGGTCTGAACTGTGTTCTGACTTTCTTACTTTCTGTTCTGACCGTGTTCTGACGGTTCTTACTTTCTTTGCCAGTTAGGGCTATAGGCTGTTTGTACTGGTTTGCTTTCATCACCAAGTACCACCATGTGGGGAAGAAAGATTTGGCACCTTTACCAGAGGGCACTGTGGGGAAGCAGAAACATAGATGTGCTGGGTTGAAGAACCACCCATTCCAGATGTCACTGTCTGTTTCTGAATTGGGTGCTGCTGCCACCCATCAGCAGCCACATGCCTGCACGATGCCCTGTTGTGATGTAGAAGTAAGGATATTGTGTAACAGCACTCAGTGGCAGAAGCAGCAAATTGCCACCGATCTCTTAATCTTCCTCTCTAGGAATGTGCCAGGTGAATCGAAGGCATATAATGAGAAACTGATACTTTCCCCAAAAAACTCCATAAATGTTGGAATGCTTGGTCAGTGTAATGGCAAAGTTTCATTGCAGGGATCTTATGCTGATAACAGGAATGCCATTTGTTTTCTCATTACAGCAAATTCACTAGCATGATGATGAAGGGAGGAAATAAAATTTTGGCCCGAAACATCATAAATCAGGTAAGTTAACTTCTCAGGTTTCTGCTACTTTTCTCCCACTCCACCCCCACATTAATGTCAACGTGGCAAAGAGTATTCCCATTTTGAAGGCCATATATAGAAAGTCCCTTCCTTAGTCCTTTCATCCTTGTTCTCATTTTCTGCATCTCCACAGCTCTTGAATCTCCCTCCTGTTAGAGGCCTTGCAAACAGAATGACAAATCTGTCACAGATTATATGTCACCTCTGTCATTCCTTATGGAAAGGGGAAGTGCTATAGGTCTGCAGTTATTGTTGAAATTTGTTTTTCAGCCTTAAATTCAGACCAGGAACTTTCAGCTTTCTTTAAGGGCCCTTGGGTTAGTTATAACATTTTTTAAAAATTGCAGAAAATGTCTGCTAGTGGCTCTGAGGCTTGAGAGTGTCTGGGCCAGATTTCCAATAGTCATGAAGGAATTTTATTTATTTATAAATTGAACTCTTGACTGAAGGCAAGGGTAACATGCTGGGGTTGTGTCAATATTATTGCTAATGGAGTTTTTCACAAGTGGTTTTTTCCCCTCAATTAAGACTTTAGAAGCAATCAAGAGGAAGCAGCTTGAGAAGTACCATAAAGCGGAAGAGAAGGAAAAAGAAAACATTGAGTGCAATCCATATACTATCTTCCACCAGGCACTGAGCAACTGCCAGCCTGTCATTGGGCTGATGACTGTCCAGAAAGGAGGCAAAAACTACCAGGTAAGCAAGAAACTAAAACTATGGTGATATGATGATCTAGTGCAGGCAAGAGGAACCTTCGGCCTCCAGATGTTGTTCAACTACAACTCCTATCATCCCTCATGATAGGCTATGCTTGTTGGGGTTGATGGAAGTTGTTCAGCAACATCTGGAGGGCAAAAAGTTTCCTCATGCTTAATCTAAAGCAGCCCTGGATTGTTGGCTTATCTTTTCCCCAAAGTAGAACCATTCCTATCATTAAGTATCCATAGTAGTCCACAGTTCCAGGGACTTCAGCTTCCACCCATGTAGCCTCAGTTTCGGACTTTGCTCTGTTGCAGTTGGCAGTGAAACAAAATAAACTTTATTACTTGCGCTGGTTTCATTTATTTTGATAGGAACATTCTATAGCATAATCAGCCCCTTGGTATTTTTCTTTTGAATCGCTTTGAAACTTGTATTATGTGATCTCCAGCGACCTGTAATATCCTGCCTATACGTGAACTTGAAACTTCTTGAGAACATCAGGTTTTAGTTTGAAAAGCTTAAAAGGTTGCTGAAAAAATATTGGAAATGGGTTCTAAAAGGTTCAGCAACCAGAGGGTACAAGATAGGGACAGAAACCAATAAGCAGAGTGGAGTGTCCACCTCTAGGAGCTCACTTGCTGTGTTATGAAAGGACTATTGTTAGCTATTTTATTTATTTAACGCTAGGAGCAGGGAAGGTGCTTGCAGGATTTTCTGCCTCAAGTGCCACAATAACTTGATTGGCCTGGGGTACTATATAATTTGATTTTGTGGGGAGGGAACCTTTTGCTGCACTGCCTCAGGCAGCAAAATGCCTTAGATAGGCCAGCCCCACTGAGTGCCTTCAAACCATTTCTTGTTTTGCAACTTTTGCTCGCCAACTTGGCAGCCTTGATTTTCCCGCTGAAGTTGTTATCTAAAAATATCCAAAAGTTTTGCAAGTCAAATAAACACATTCAGGGTACTTAAGTGCTCCTAATTCTGTGCTAAATAAATTCTATTTATTTTAGATTTTATACCACCCTCCATCATAAGATCTCAGGGCGGCTCGCAGAACAGAATACAGGATAAAAACAGTATGAATTCAGTATAAAGTTATGTTAATCTCTGATGGGGTTTGTTTGTTTTTGCCTCTTGCAGGTCCCAACCCCTTTGTCAGACAACCGCCGACGCTTTTTAGCCATGAAGTGGCTGCTCAGGGAATGCAGGGAAAACAAACACAGGCGGACATTTATGTACCAAAAGCTTTCCGAAGAGCTTCTGGCTGCCTTCAGCAATGAAGGACCTATCATAAAGAAAAAGCATGAGTTGCACAAGATAGCAGAGTCTAACCGAGCCTTTGCTCACTACCGGTGGTGGTAGAGAATGGCAGCTGCAGCATGTGAGGTCTGAGACTTTGCTACAAGACAAGGAAGGGAAATATATCCCATATGCCTTCCTTTGCATACCACCAGCCTGGAAGGGCGATAATCCGGTTTCTCAACTGGCTCTTTGAAAAAAGAAACAACCTGAAGAAAATCTTAGCCGAAATAAAATGCTTCATTTTTCTGACTTGCATAAATTAAAAATCCTGTTTACTCCATTTTCAGGTGACCTTGTCAGTACTGGGTCCTGTGTATATGCATCTTGGTTTCTCTAGTCTCTTTTGAGACAGAGGGTTTTGTTCACAATACAGAATGACCTAGTTAGCATCAAAGCAGTCTTCAGGGGGATTGTAAAAGAGGTTACAATTCTGTACTCCTCAGCAGTGGCTTTTGGCAGCATGATAGGCTGAAGTAGAACCAGGCTGAAAATTAAGTTGTAAAAGACTGAAACTACATCCTGGTTTTCTCCCTGTATGTTTCGTGAATGGTCTTTCTCTACAGTGCCTTTGTGCCATTGGTTAGTCGACACTGGCATGTGAGAATGAACGAACAACTAGGTTAAAACTGATCTCACTTAAAGTGTGCTTAGCTTCAATATGTGGTATGAATAGCTTTCCTTTGGCTTGATTAACACATGCCTATTCATCACATGCTTAAAAGTTTTATTTGCAGTATCTTACCTAAGATGGCCCATAGAATTATGTTAGCCATCATTTGATGTTGCAGTCATCAAATAAGGAACATACATGAGAGAACAGCCCTTAGAGGAAGCCATTTCCAAAGAACAGCCTCTGTATACATCATAAAGCATCCTTGCAAATAAATTCACAAAAGTTAGCTCCCCCCCCATTTTTTTTTTACTAGCTCCCCTGACTCCATAATACATATTCTGACCTAGAAAAAAGAAAGCGAAAGAACCAACTTTGATAAAAACCTCTGCCAGGTCACCTAGAGACAATTCTTGTTTGCCATAAGCAACTAGACAAGTGATTATTTATAACTCTGCTATTAAACAGCTTTCTGTTTGATGGAAGGCAACGAGAGACTATATGCAGAAGTGTAAAATGTTTATTTTTAAAAGTTCCAAAGAGAACCAATCTTAACAAATGTACAATACTGTTGTTCAAAGTCGCTGTTGTATAAAAGTTACAAAATCAGTTTCTAGCTACATGTTCCCAAGGGAATAATTCTGCTGTGGAGTGAGGCTTTTGAACAGTGTTGGCTTCACACCTCCTGCAGGGAGAAGGCACTGCCTTTAGCTGTTAGCTACACCTGAGCTGGCCAGCAGTTGGGAAGAAAGGAGTAAGAGCATATTGAGGGCTGCAGGTTAGAAAGCAATTGAGCATCCTTCTCCTGCAGCTACGGAAGAATCAATATACTCATGAAAGCATCCTGTTAGAAAAGAAAGTGCTGGTTAAGTGTCAGGGTTTGGACCCTAGCATGCTGTTTCAAAAATATTAAGCAGCACACATGGAGCCAATAACTGGGCACCAATCTTTACAATACTCTTGTGACTAAGCCACACCACAGTTATGAATTTGTCCCCTGACCTCAGGAGAGCATTGTGTACATAATAAGAGCCCTGTTGGATCAGATCACAGTCCTATCCAGTCCAGAATTCTGTTCCCATGTGCGGCCAATTGGCTGCCTATGCAAAGCCCATAAGCATGAAATGGATCATGATAGCACTCTCCCCTCTTGTATTCCTCTGCAACTGGTATTCCGAGGCAATAAATAGCCATCATGGCTAGTAACCACTGTCAGCTTTACCATGAATGAGCCTAATCCCTTCTTAAATACATCCAGGTTGGCACATCTTTGGGTAGGGAATTCCATAATTTATGTACTGTGTGAAGGAAGCCTTCGTTTTGTCTGTCCTGCCTCTCATACCCTTTAGTTTCTTTGGGTGACCCTGGGTTGTAGTATTACGTAGCCTCTTTAAAAATCTAAAACCCTAAGCAAATTTAACAGGGCTGTTATGCAGCCTATAAGCAGAGAGAAAGACTGCCCCTCTCCCAATCCTAAATATATTTTCTTGGAAATAAGGCCCCTTGATTCTGATAGCATATACTTCCACGCTAAGTGAGACGCAATCAACCCAGCAAAGGCCTCCTGGGGTTGTCTTATTCCAGACTGCCGGTTGGGGGTGACATGACTTTATGCTCTTCTTCAAAAAACACCTTGCTTTTGCAATGCTAGCATGGCAAAGAGAAGGGTTCCAGGCTTGCCCTGCCATGCTACTTTGTGTGTTCAGGGAGGGGTAGTCTAATTGCATCAGGGAGCATTTTAAAGCAGTCCAGTTCTGAACCACCTATCAATGAAATTGGTGTTATACACCTAGAATTGTCGCTTCCAGGTGTATTATTTTCCTATGACAAAGGAAAGGGAATAAAGCAGACCTCATTTTTCAAATTGCACCATTGTTTGCGAGAACAATGCATACTGTTTTTAATACTAATCTGTCACAAAAGTATTTCCACCCCTGCGTGCATGCTTGTGCCTTTAAAAAAAAACAAGGAGTAGGACAAAAAAAAAGAGAAAGTCTCTGTTGTAGGTTGTTAATAGAACTAGTACCTGAACGAGCCACCTTTCTTTGATTTCAGAACAGTGGTAAAGTTTCTGATATCCCTCGTGCCTCATAGTGACTGCATGTAAACAGAGAGCAAACGAGGCTCCTGAAAGCATCCAAAATGGGTTTACAAGGCAGGAAATTGAAATGCCATGCTTGGGCTTTGATTACAGAATCACCTTCTCAACCAAAGGGCAAACAGAACAGCTATGGAACAGAGCATAAAATAACAAACTGCCACATGCTGCAGAGGGAGACAGATTCTTAGGCTTAGTGTGCTTTTGGAGTAAATAATGTTATCACCAGGCTGGTTTTAAACCATAGCCTTTTTTGTTTTAAGGCTGAATACATTAAAATTAGCATATAAAAGTAAGCTCGGAGAGAACTACCCTGTGTCAAATGTCAGTCCAGCTTGCGGCAGTGATTAATACAGGTTCCTATTTAGTGCAACACGATGGGAGCGGCAGTGGCAGAATGTGACCCTTTTCTCCTCTCCCAGCTCCCCAATTTCAGCCAGCGCAAAAGATCTATCGAGGGAGCAAGTTATACATTCTATATACAAAAAGTGCTAGGGTTCAGGTGGAGGGGAGGGGAGGGAAGTATTAAAAATAATTGCAGCTTTGTTGTTGTTATGTGAAGTTTGCTGGTGCAAAGGTTCAGAATGGAAATTCAAACTCTGGCTTTGGGCAGCATGAGCCAGGGTGAGCAACTGGCTGCTCAGTCTGCGACCTCACTGTAATAGTACTTCTGGGCTGCATCTGTCATTTTCCAGTCAGCAGCCCGGAACTCAATGATCTCAAGCAAGAGTAGCTGGGAAAGGGAGGTAAGGCCCTCCTGCAGGAGGAAACCGTCTCGCAGGAGGGAAAAAAGCTCATCCATCCTCTGGGTGTTCATCTTCTCAAGTTGTTCACCAATGCGGTGTAGCTGCAACACCAGACAGTCCACCTTAATGGAAGGAAATGAAAATGCTTCTGTTAAGAATCGGAGTAGTTGGGTAAAGGGGGTGGGGTGGGGAGTGTGTGCTGCACAGAAATGTCTCATGTTGGCATCTTGGCACTAAATCAGAAGAGAAGGGAAAAAATAAAGTAGGCTGCTAAACCGAACCTTGGGCTGCTGTTTTTTTGTGATTTACTGCATTTTGGTTGTGTTCTTTAGATGTCCTTTTATTTCTTGTCTATGACTACTTTTGTTATATTTGTAATTAACTATTGTTTTCGTGCTGCAAGATGCCTTGAGCATGGTTTTAATTATGGAGAGGCAGCATGCAAATAAAATGATGGTTGGGTGGATGCAGTATTTTTTTCCTTAAAAAAAAATCTTTAGGGGTACTCTCACTTTGACTCAAGGAAATCACCATTTTATCGTTCAAATCGGGGAAAATATATTCAGTAAATGGACAAAAGTATAAAGATTCACAAAATGTTTAGGGGGATGCGCCCCCCCCCCCCCAGAAAAAAGCACTGGGTGGATGTGTGTAGAAACTAGCCTACTATACAAAGGGAAAATTTGCATTCATTGCTCCAGGCTGAAAAAAGATTCCCACCCCTGGCCTAAAAGTTGTCCACCTTCCAATCCTCTTTACCAGGTGTGTTCTCACAGGACAGCAACCTGCTTTTGTCCCCACTGTGCTCTGAGAATACTCACCTCTTCCTCTTTCCGCAGGCTTTCTGGCTGCGCCAGTCGGAACAGGCAGTCATAAACTGGGTTCACCAGTGCCATCATTGGCATGTTATTGACCTGTGAAATAGGTGCACTTGTCAACTATCGCTCAGAATCATTATGGAATCGTTAGAGAGCCCCTCCCTGTGTGTGTGTCTTAAAAATCCCAGAAAGGTAGCTGTGTGTGCTAAGTCTCTTGAAACAAGAACAACCAAGAGCATCTGTGGCACCTTAAGAAAACTGTCACAAATGTACTGTGGCACAGCCTAGAGCCCTTTTGCATCAGATGCATGATTCTTTGACATCCCATCAGATGTCAAGGAAATAAAGAACTATCCGACTTTTAGAAGACATCTGAAGGCAACTCTGTTTAGGGAAGTTTTTAATGTGTGACACTTTAATGTATTTTTAATCTTTGTTGGAAGCCGCCCAGAGTGGCTGGGGAAAACCAGCCAGATGGGTGGGGTAGAAATAATAAATTATTATTATTCAAATTATTATAACAGGAAGGACCAAACTGCAAGGACCCCCATGGCAGGCTGCTTCTAAAAGCTGTCCTGCTGCTACATCTAGACCATGAACCTTCCGGACTGCAAGAAGAATTTCTGTACAAGTGACATATGCAAAGACCACCCTGTTGCACTCATTTGAATTAAGGCCTCCTGCAGCAGCCCCAGTCATTTCAGGTGAGTGCCCCAGATGTGGAATGCTTTTCCCACAGAGGTTGCCAGGCACTCACCTTATCATCCTTTGGGTGCCAGGCAAATGCCTTTTTATTTCCCCCAAGTATTTTAGATGCACATTTAATTCCGTTCAATGTTTTATGCTGCATTTTTCAATCTTGCTGGATTGAATGGCAGCATTAAAACAAAAACAAAACACAAGCCTAAACACAACCACATTCCCTCATTGTGAGAGCAGCACATGAACTAGCCCCAGGTCTGGATAATACAGTGGACGCTTGGGTTGTGAACGTGGTCCGTGTGTGATGCACGTTCACAACCTGTATCTGCGCATGCGTGGGTTGCGATTTGTTGCTTCTGTGCATGCGTAAAGCGCAATTTAGCACTTCTGCGCTTGCGCGACCGTCGAAACCCGGAAGTAACCCGTTCCGGTACTTCCGGGTTTCGGCACATCCGTAACCTGAAAAAACGCAACCTGAAGCGTCTGTAACCTAAGGTATGACTGTACACCAGTTCTGAAGTTTGGTCTTACCCTCAGGTAATCAAAGATGTTACAGATAAAAGTGACATAGCAGATCCAGGCCTGGAGGGAGCGGGCTCGCAGTTCATCCCGGTCTTTATACTCCTGCTGAAGTCGGTTGAGGAGCCCCCGCCGAAAGACACTCTGGCCCACCTGTTTGCTCTCCGCCTGCGACAAAGGCAAAGAGGTGAAGCGCCAGAAGGATGCTGTGTGCAATCTCAGCTGTGGCAGCAGGCTGTCTGGGCTTATCTCTCTCTCTCTTTCTCTTCCTCTCTCATGCTTCAAAACACACCACCGTGCAGAAAAAGTTCTGGCACGATGAAGCAGGAGCCTATAGGTGCAAAAAAGTTCAGAGGGGAGGCAAAACTGAGACAGGTCACTAATGGGAGTTTTGCTCACCACGTCTGGTCTGGAGTTGAAGGGATAGATTCACCTTCTTGCCCTCTCACAGCTGGGCTGGACACCCAAAATATTCAGCAGGGCAGGCCAAACCAAGCTCCATCTGCAGGAAAGGAAGCATGGCTGGTGGTAGAGCCAAAGTGAACAGCATGCACATCTAGAATGGCTTTTATGCAACCTACAGGCTCCTTTTGTATATCCCTAACAGACATATACACACACACACATATATGCTTATGTATGTGTGTGTATACACACATGCACACACACATGCACAAGTTTTCCCGAAGCCTCTCCACTATGTTTTCTTGGGAAAGCTCCCCAGCCCTCTGGACTTGTAGAAAATTTTATTTCATGTTGGGTTCTTGCTTTAACAAAAAATCAATAATGATGCAGTAATGTCGTTTCCCTCTGATCTCACCCACCTACATCTCATCCTTGCACCAACCATGCTGGATATACAAAACAAGAAAAGCAGAAAAGAGGGCAGGAACATCTAAACAAAAACTGGCTAGAAGATGGTGAGATGCATTTTTTAAATCACTTGCAGCAATGTTGGCCTCCCCATGCAAGACCACTTAGATCATCTGGAAACTTTACCAACGGCACCACACCCTACAAAGTATCACTGGGGGGTGATCCCAAGAGGGTGAATTTCTACTGCTGCCCCAACATTTTTGAATACCTTCCCTCTGCCATATATGAAGCATCATCAGTTATTCGCTTCAGATGTCTAGTAAAGATGTATCTTCTCATGCATGCTTTCACTGCTCTGTAAGATTGGATCCTTATATCTGGATTTCTGTTTTTATCGCATTGTTTTATTTTGTGTTTTTTTTGTTTCTTATACATGGCTTAGATTTTTTTTTTTTAATTGTTTAGAAATACTTTTAAATAAAACAGCGTATATGAATAGTATGTTATTTATATGCAAATAAAATTTCCAGAATAGTTGCATATGGTGAACAGCTGTGATGTGAAAACTAGCAGTTTCCAAAACATGGCATGCTCATTCTCCCACCTGGATAATGGTGTAGCAGATGCGCCCGGCCTCTTTGCTGAACACAGAGTCTTTGAGGGACTGGTCCACAATTACGTTGGCAACCTTCTCCAGATCTACACTGCTGGGGTCTGTAAAAGAAGTGTAACGCTATCAGTGCTGCCTCAAAACAAGCATACCTTTGCATCATTCTGTATGTTTAAAACTGCACAATAATTGATGGGTTCCTTCTTCTTTTTTGCTGGATATTTTATTTATGGATCAAAACTGTCTCTGTAGGAATGGTGCTGTTTGCAAACCTTTCTGCATCACAAATCTCCTGGAAGGAAGAGTGATCTGCTATTCCGTCTTAAAGGCAGGAGAAATCTGAGGCCAAAAAGTGAGTGACATGCCTGAGCTGTGTCATATCTGCCCCTACAAATTTAATCCAGTTTTAAACTGCCACTGATCCCAACAAAGCAAACATTGGGACCCGTAGTTCCATAAAGAGCTTAGTCATTCTAATGAAGTATTTTCAGCATTCTCATTATATTACATTCCTAGGATACTTTGGAAGAAACTGTGACCTCACAGGTAGGCAAAAATGCGTCCTCCAGGTGTTGTTGGAATATAGCTCCCATTCGTCCCACCTTGCATAGCCAAAGGTCAGGGATGGTGGCGAGAAGCAACAGAAGTTGGAGAAGGCTGCTCTATAGCACTGCAAGTCAGGAGCCATCTAAGGACGATGGGCTGTCTCTATAGTAGAATCTTACATATAACAGTTCAGCTTCTTCTTTTGCTTTCTCTGCTGCAGGCTAAATTGGGACAGCCATGCACATGCCTTATCAGAGTATAGCACTTTGTAGCTTACATTACAAATCCACCTGAACTCACCTATAGTCAAGAGTGCAGCAGCAAACATTATCTACCTGAACGTTTAAATCTGTTCTTATCAGTAACATCTGATGCACCATCTGTTTGAAGACTAGCCAATAAATGGACGTACAGAGTTCTAGTGTTACGGGAGGGGGAGAAAAACTTCTCTATCCACTTTCTCAACATAGTGCAGAATTTTATCATGTCTCCTCTCACTTGTCTTTCTTTGTCCCCCCCCCCCTTATTCATTAAAAAAGTCCCAGGTGCTTCAAACGTGTCTCATAGGGGGAGTCGCACCATCCCCTTGATCATTTTGGCTCCCGTTTCCAAACCTTTTCTAACCCTGAAGAAGATTTTAAGGAATGGGCAATTCATATCAGAGCACACACAACCCTTCACAATGTTGATAGGCCCAAACAGCTCCAAATCTAGCAGTGAATTATGCTTGATTCATGGCAATGGGGAGGATAGACAGGGGGGGAAACAGGGAGGGAGAAAAGGGAGAGATACTGACCTTTGAGGGCTGTTTTGAGTAGCTGCTGAATCTCTGTATCAAACGTGTGTATTTTATATTCTTCTTTGCCTGTGTCCCCCATCTCTTTCCCTCCTTCAGTGGCGACAGATCAGGGGAGCAGCTGAGTTAGTGGTAACTGTGGGGAGAGAAGCGATCAGGTACTGATTATCCTGGAAAGGGAAGGAGACGGTATTAGCCATGGCTTTTCAGATGCTCTCATTCTCCACTGAACAGGAAAATGGAACTGCCAGTTACACTGGAGTTCCTGAAATGAAACTACATTCCTCATAACAAAGAAAAACTTGTTAAAATCTCCTCAGACAAGGATGGTACTTCTGCCCGCCCCCCCATTATCTCTGTTCTATCTACAAGGGTGTTGGGACTTTTTTGCTATTTCACCCACTTAAGATTTAAGGAGGGAACGCCTTTGTTTTGGGCTGAAATATCCAGGCTTACCTGCCCACCCTGTTCAGTGCCAAACCAAATTTAACTGCCACATCGCCCCCTGAATACTGAATAGACAACAGACCAAACGCATCATTGCTCACTCATCAGAATTCCGCAGCTGTGACATGTGTTTTCACTGCAATTGGTGAAAAGTGAGATGACAAAACAAGGGATGCTTCCAGCGAAAACATATAGCACTCTGGGATCTATGCAAAAGGATGTGGGGTGGGAATGCAGGAGAGGAAACAACTGTTCCTTTCCCACTGGGTTTCCAGTTAGTTTCTGTCATTCCAAAGGTCTTTGGCTTTACTTCAAGTGGCTAGTCCTCTGCAACTCTTAGCCCTTGGTTATATCTCATAACTCCTCCTTGTTCTCAGTATTCAAGCTCATCTGTCACTCACCCCTTCTGATGGGGATTGCCCATGCACAAAGAACAACAGGATCAGGGACACTATTTTAGTAGATAGGAACACATACAGGTTAGTTAGTAGGTGTTAGGGACAAGATTAAGCATGTCCAAAGGCCTGCTCTTGCAAAACATTCATGACGATATGACAAGTGAGCAGAATTTTTAAAAAGCATTCGTTATGCATATTTTCTATAATTTAATAATAGCTATGTACATTTATGGTTATTTGTTTATTCCATATGTCTGCCACATTTTCTTCAAGGAGCTCAAGGCACACATGGTTGTCTCCCTCTTCAATTAATCCCACAATAACTCTGGGAGGTAGGTTGGTATGAGAGGCAGTGACCAGCCCAAAGTTTTGGTGATCAAGTGGAGATTTGATTCCTGGCCTCCCAGGTCCTAGTCTGACATTTTACCCAGTCTTTCTCAACTTTGGGTCCCCGGATGTTGTTTGACTACAACTCCCATCATCCCTGACCACTGGTTCCGCTAGCTAGGGGTGATGGGTGTTGTAGTCCAACAACATCTGGGAACCAAGAGGTTGAGAAAGGCTGCTCTAACCACTTCACCACACTGGCTCTTGCAAGCCTATTTTCATACAGTTTCCCATACAATGCTAACATGACCCAACCTGAACTGCTGATATCAGATAGGATCAAGGGCTTTCTGGTTGGTGCTGCTATATTATATTTGTAGTAGTAGTAGGCTTTAATCCTGCTCTTCCAAAAAAAAAAAAAAATTCCCAGGGTGGCTTACAAAGAAACAACAGCAACAACATAATAAAGCAATAAAAACCACTCATCACATGATACAAACAGTAGAAACAAAAAGAAGAAATAAAAACTTCTTAAAAAAGATAAAGCAGATTAAAGCAGATATGAGGAAAGAAAAAGAAGAAGAATTAATTTCTACCCCACCTATCTGGATGGGTTTCCCCAGCCACTCTAGGTGGCTTCCAACAAAATATTAAAAATACAATAAAACCAGACATTAAAAACTTCCCTAAACAGGACTGCCTTCATATGTCAGATAATTGTTTATTTCCTTGACATCTGATGGGAGGGCATTCCACAAGGCGGGTGCCACAACCGAGAAGGCCCTCTGCCTGGTTCCCTGTAATCTCACATCTCACAGTGAGGGAACTACCAGAAAGCCCTCGGAGCTGGACCTCAGTGTCCAGGATGAACGATGGGGGTGGAAACGCTCCTTCAGGTATACTGGGCTGAGGCCATTTAGGACTTTAAACACTTTGAATTGTGCTCAGAAACGTACTGGGAGCCAATGTAGGTCTTTCAGGACCAGTGTAATATGGTCTCAGTGGCCGCTCCCAGTCACCAGTCTAGCTGCCGCATTCTGGATTAATTATAGTTTCCGAGTCACCTTCAAAGGTAGCCTCACGTAGAGTGCGTTGCAGTAGTCCAAGCAGGAGATAACTAGAGAATGCACCACTCTGGTGAGACAGTCTGCAGGCAGGTAGGAAACCCAGCCAGATATAAATAATAAGTTGTTGTTGTTGTCATCAGCCTGCGTACCAGATGGAGCTGGTAGACAGCTGCCCTGGACACAGAATTGATCTGTGCCTCCATGGACAGCTGTGAGTCAATTGACTCCCAGGCTGCACACCTGCTCCCTCAGGGGCACAGTTACCCCATTCAGAACCAGGAAGTCCTCCACACCCACCCACACCCTGTCCCCCCCAAATAGTACTTTTGTCTTGTCAGAATTCAACCTCAATCAGTTAGCCACCCATCCTCCAACCGCCTCCATTGGGAGGGAGCTTTCCATAACCTGGGCACCATCACTAAGGTCTTTCTCCCCAATAGTCGTTGGCTTTACCCCCAATGCCAGCGGGCATCCAAATAATGGCCTCTGTTGCATTATCTGTAGGCACATGTGGAGGCAGGTGGTCCTTCAAACTGGGAAGGACTTTAAATGTCAAAATGAACACTCTGAATTGAGCTGTAAATGGACAGGGAGCTTGTGCTAATCGATGAAGCACCAGCATGATGTGATTAAAACTGGCCCTGGTCCCAGTTAGCCATCTAGCAGTAAGTATCAGAATGCGTATCACACTGCAGCAGTCTAATCTGAAGGTTAACAGAGCACAGATTCCTCCCTCAAGGTAGGGTCACAGCTGGTGCAGTCAGCCAATCTGGCAAAAGGCATTCTCAGGCTCAAAGACCACCAGGGACAAAGGTGGCCCCAGACTATGAAATAGCTATAGTAATGTTATCAGCATAGTGCAGGCACACCTTTTCTACTAAACGACAACAACGAAGGGATTCGTCCCTTTGGCATACATACAGTAATTCAGAGCCAGTTCCTTTGATATGCCTGCAAGTGACTTCTTGAACAAAATCCCTGTGTACATTTACTCACATAACTTCAGAGGGACTAAATCCTGCAAATTCACCCCTTCGGCTCCGGGAACATGTTTCAACTTTATAATTCACAGAAGGGGATCAGTACAGCTTCACTGTGACAATGTTCACATATAAAGGTTGCTTTTGTGAACTATAGCTTTTGTTCTCTTTTCTGATAGTCAGCTGCAAGTGTATAATGTCAGAATGCACTTTAGATGTGACCTGGCTACAGATATGGATACTCCTGAAATGTAAAGTCACGGTATGAGAGACCAAGTGGGGGATAGCAACTACTACTACTACTATTAAATTTCTATTTCTATACTGTTGTTAAACCATGCTTGGGTTCCAGACTACTCCCATAATACTCATGTTTCTGCACATACCAGATCTGCCACACAAACATCTCTGTGCTTAGTTCATGGCAGTTATTACATGCAGAAGATAAACATTATCAGTACTGCAAAGTTAATGATTTCTGTGCACAACAACTTGCCATCAACCATATGCAAACTCTCCTGAGTTTGCGTAGGTGCTGATTTGGCCACAAGGCCCCCTAGTTCAGTGAGAAAGCCCAGGAATAAATATCCAGCAAAAAAAAAAAAAAAAGGAAGGGGGGAAAAAAAGATCTTAGCGAGCAAGGACTAGGATATATTATCATACCAGCCTTTCTCAAAGTCATTCCCTCCAGATGATTTGGACTACAACTCCCATTCTTCCTGTATGCTAACTGCAATGCTAACTGGGGCTGAGTTGTAGTCCAAAACACATGGAAGGCACCACATTGGAGAAGACTGGAACAGACCATGCTGGGAGAGGTAGTATAATGATCTGACTCAATATAAGGCACCTTTGTAGACATTATCTCAGCAAAGGTCTGGCAGGCAGTTATCCTGGATTACAGAGATTACAAATTAGATTGTTGTTGTTTGGCCTTGCCATTTTTGTCAGTTGTGGCAATTTCAATTGGATTTATTAAAAAAATATATGACAAGGAGATTCAAACCATGATCCCTTCCAAAGGCATACACAAGTCAGAATGGGCTTGTTCATACTATAGCTGCCCAAAAACTCCTTTATGAGTCATGGAGATGTTCTGACAATACACTGAAAGGATTGCCAAGATTAGACGGGTGAGCATGGGCATGCCAGGTCACATTCCCTTCTACATTGCTGGAAGAGTTACATGCACAGCCCAACTGTGTGCACAGGTTTTACAGGGGCCAAAGATGTAAATCAGTCTAGGGACGGGAAGGGGACATATTTTGGGCACAACTTGCTGAAGACAAAGTTGTCTGACTATGTGCCACAACTACCTTTCAGCCTAACCTATCTCACAGAGGTTGTGTGAGAATAAAATGGAAATTGGGGGAGGAAACCTATGTACGCAACTTTGAGCTCTCTGGAGGAAAAGTGGGATATAAACAGAATAAGAATAAGAATAAGCATCTGAACTTGAACAGAGAAGGATCGCTTGTAAAATCCAGAAAGCCCAAGTCAGGAAGGCAGATGGGAGAGAAAATGCTCCACGCCCGTTAAGAAGCGGGCGTTTCTTTCTGAAACTAACAAGGAAGAGAGGTTTTCAAATGTCACCAACCTGCTTTGTTTGGGGTTTTTTATGCCTCCACTTTCAGGACTGGAGTGAGGTGCATCTTTACGAGGGAACAGCAGCCCGCCCAGCCCAGCCCAGCCAGCTAGTCAGCGCCCCCTCACCCTAATTCTTTTTGGTTTCTGGTTCGGGTCGGTGGAGGTAGATCAGGAAAAAGCCCACAGCCATGAAGAACAGCAGCAGGAGCAGGAAAGGCAGCAACTCAAGCATGGAGTGCAAATGCAGGATGGGCATCCTGCACCAATTCGACCCGCCACCAGCAAAATAAAAACAATAATATATTTTTTTAAAAAAATTGCCCAGCTGCTGCTGCTCTCCCTTACTTTTCACCCGCTTTTGGTGTCAGGCGGAGACTCCTGGAAGACGAATTCTTTCCATTGCTTGCAAACCCGGAGGGTTTCCTCTTAGGTCATTTCCTAGCAGGCTGAGCCAAGCGGGAGGAGAGTTTGTGATCGGGAGGCGGCGGAGGCAGCGCCACCTGCTGGAAGGTTCTGAGCAGGGCTTGGAGGGAATCTTCCTGCCTGGGTTGTGAGGCGTTTGTTTTTTTTAATTAGTTTTTTTTAAATAAAGATTTTCCTGCATTGACAAATAAACAGGAGAAAGCACGTGTCCTTTCAACTTTCACAGTTCGTTTACATGCAGTGTTGTATTTGTCGTTTCACGTGGAACCTGAGAAGCCCGCCAAGCAGGTGCAAAGCAGGTGTGAGGGACGGAGCCAGAGGCAGAAATTAAATGGTGGCTCAGAGAGGGCAGAGCCTATTGCACCTCACGAGCCACACATCGGTTTGACACTGTCACTGACTCTGCGCGCGCGCACACACACACACACACACACACACACACACACACACACGTGTGTTATTCAAGGCGCACTCCTGAACGTATTTGGTTTTAAGCAGCTCCCTTGTGAATATGCCTGAATATTGGAGACCTCCTCAGGCCCTTCTCTGTTGCTCCCGCCTTTTGGAAGTGAGGAGCTTGTTATGCATTTTGTGTTTTTGACTTGTATTTTTATGCTGTGAACCGCCCTGAAATCTACGGATGAAGGGCGGTATACAAATTTAATAAATAACAATGATAACAAGGCAACGATTTCCAGCAGCAACATCCCATGGGTGGGGGCTCCTTTTACACAGAGGTGTTTGCCTATGGTCAGCTCTGCTTAATTATAGGTGCTCCAGTCAAGGCTTTATACAGGCTTTCTGCCAGGACTTGAACGGATGAGCAGAAGGCAAGGAAGCAGATCTTGTCTGGATATTAGAAAATATCCTAATAGGGGGAAGGTTGCAGCTGCTAGGCACACCCCAAAATGCAAGTGGGCCTAATGGCCACATCCCCCAATAGTCAAGCATTAGGATTTAACTAGAAAGCTTGAAAGCGGTGGCTTTCAACCAGTGTGCCATGGCGCCCTGGGGTGCCTTGAATGATGGTCAGGGGGGGGCGCGACAGGGCAACACTGGCCTCTGTCCCTCTCTCCTTCCCTCCCTCCTCTGATGCCCTCTCACGTTTCTGCCTCCCAAAGGCTTGCACAGCTGTTTGTTGCAGCAGCCCTGGTTACAAGCTCCCCAGGCGAATGGTGGCTCTGGGGATGGCCGGGGGTGTTGGTTGCCAGGAGCTGAGGTGGCCTCGGAGTAAGCCCAGCCAGCCAGTTTGCCAGCCCTTGCTGTTGGGAATGGACAGACAAGTGGGAGGCCGGGCAGGCAGGCCTTTCTTGTTCTTGCTGTGTGCAAGGCTTGACTGGGATCCAAGTGCCTGGCACCGAAGGGGAGCCTTTCTGCCATGCAGGCCCGTTGCCTTCCAAGGTGGGCAAGATGGTGGCCTCATGTTCACCTTTGGCCAGACTCCATTGGGCATCCTCTTCCCAGACCCCTCTGGGGCGGCATAAGGAGGAACCTCTCATTGTGGTGGGGTGGGGTAGCTCAGAGGCCAGGGGCGGCTGCCCTGAAGACTCCCAAGGAGAGGGGAGAGGAGGCTGAGGGAACACGCCACAAGGGAGAGTGTTTGAAAAGGGGTGAAGGGCTGCTGGCTCTGCAGGAAGGGGTGACATAACTGGGCTCCTGAGCCCCACAGGGGTGCCGCAGAAAGAACGTAGTTGGTCAAGGGAGCCGTGGACTCAAAAAGGTTGAAAACCTCTGGGTTATAGGATTGCTCAGAAGACCCACTATGGATGTGTATCTACAGCAGTGCAGGCACAAGGCCCGTTCATATGCTTGTGCAGCTGCTAAAGAGGCATGACAGCTGGGAACATTAGCATGGGGTACAGGACAGGCAAGTGCAGTCCTATTCCCTTTTCATTCAGGGTGCAAAGCAATATTGACAGATCAATACCAAAAGTGTGGTGTTAGTGGGCATATTCTGCTGATCACATAGTCAATCACAGAATTGTAGAGTTGGAAGGGACCTGAAGAGTCATCTGATCCACTCCACTGCAATGCAAGAATCACAGCTGAGCTAATGTACGTATGTCAAGCTATCAGTGGGCATTATTTATTCATTTATTGAATTTATATCCCACCTTTTCTCCAAGGAGCATAAGGTGGTGTACATGGTTCTCCCCCCCCTTCATTTAATCCCCACAACAACCCTGTGAGGTAGGTTAGGCTGAGAGGCAGTGACTGGCCCACAGTTACCCAGTGAACTTTATGGATGAGTAGAGATTTGAACCATGGTCTCCCAGGTCCTGGTCTGCTTGTTTCCCTGCGCCAAACTCCTATTCAACAAAGCTGTCATCTGTGCATGTGCAACTGCTCTCCCAAAGGTACACACCTCAGCTTAACCATGCCTTCCATGCCTTTTCAAATATGATGGAAGCTGCTTTGAGGGAAAGTGAATGAAACAGGAGTATTTCTCAGGAAACCACAGAATACCTATGGATTGTGTGCAACATAATGTGTACTCAGTTTCAAACACCTGTGGTGGGAGCACACAAGAGTAAGCAGTAATGCATACACAAGACTAGGGCACTGGTAACTCTAGGGAGCAACTGGACATCAAAATTCCTATATCCAGAGACAATGATGTTGCTTTTGAAGATGAAACACTGGAGAAGGGTAGGATGGATACAGCAGTAGCACAGTGGAACAGCATGTGCAGCAGGTTACAGCTAGGGTATGAAAATGATCCCTGCCACTCCTAGGCCACATAAACTAATACTGTGACCCAACACAAGGAAGCTTCTTATGCTCAGAATCGGGGATGGAGAATCTGTGGTGCTCGGTCCTCCCATGCTGTTAGACTAACAACCCCCCAATTATCGGCCATGCTGGCTGGGATTATAGGAGTTAGAACCCAAGAACATTGGGAGTATTCCCCATCCCTGCTCAAAATGGATTAAACAGTTGAAAGATGGTATGCTCACACTTACCTTTGTGAAACAGCAGCATTTTACCCCAACCTTAACTTCAGCAGCAGGTACTTACTTTGATTCCCTGTGGTATACATTGCCAAAGAAAGCAGGGTCCTCCATCCCTCAGCCACATCCATCCAATGCATTAGTCACCTTACCAGCATTCTGTATAGAACACTTCCAGCTTAATTCCATCGACACCCTTCCCAGGAGCAAAACACTTGACATAAAAACAGCATTAATCCTGCCTTGCTGGACAGTACTTAGGCCTACTTTTTGATGCGTGGGATAAATCACCCAGTAGTATTGTCTGCACCAATTAGGTCAGCCATCTGTTGTTTTAATAGTCCTTCATGCCTCTTGGACTGACCCAGCTTATGCTGATCTAATTAAGATACCACAGCTTTGCAAGACAAAATGAGCATAGTGCTGCTCCTTCTTGTGTGACAACAGCACCCTCTTGTGAATTCAGCTGTGAACTTTGAAGTGAATCAAATATTGGCACATGATATACAGGCTATGTTCCATTTCCGCTGGAATCCAGCTAATTAACAGCCAGCTAGTGCTATTGTTTTCATCTCTGTCTGGAGGTGCCAACTTTCCAACCATTCCCTGCTTCTGTGTATGCTTTTAACAGCAGCCTGATGCGCAGAGCTTAGTCAGTGAGAACATTTGTCTCAATGCTGTGAAGAGTCTCATCTGCTGATTTCTGCATCAAGCTGCTATTAAAAGACCAGAAGCAGGCCAGGCTGTTTTTCTGGTCAATGTCCAATCTACATCCTAATTCTGAACTGCCAAAATACTTCATATCATACACATTTTGGGAGGAATTTGGTGCAGTGCTTTGGCAATCAATCTGTCAGCACAAGCTTTTCAGCTTGCCAATCAGAATGAACCACCCCACCCCACCCCGTCCTCTTCACCCCTCATGCTGTTCTAGGGTCTCAGCCACAGGCCAGAGCCAATTTCAGGGGCGTAAGCAGAGGTGGGGGAGCCCTGCAGCACTAGTGCAAGTCCTTGCACAGGCTTCCAATAGTGGGGCTAGTTAGTTGAATCCCACCCCCTGTATTTAGCAAGAGTTTCCCAAAGCGCAACACATATTGATTATGCTGCTTGCAAGAGACCCTTCTGTGTATACGTCTGGTTTCACCTTCAGAACACCTGTAGCCCAGTCCTTCCCAGGTCACTGCTTGTGTGCAGAAGAAGGAAAAAAATGCTTGCAAGGTGCTTCTCCACCAGATTTTTTAAGACAAGACATGATTGTCTTAAAGACACACAAAAAGTAGCTGGACAGATTTATGTCAAATATATTTATTATCTTTCTTCCAAGAGCAGCACATGTTTCACACAGGGTGAAAATCTGAGGCTTATGCAAATCCTTAACCCTCCACATTGAAAAATATATATGCTTATATATGAAGAATACAAGTACTGTAATAAATTAAGCCCTGATGCAACAACATGAGTTGAAAAAAACTCTTAAAATCCTCAATAGTTGATCCTGAAACATTTGTTTTTTGAGCATCTGTATACACAAACAAAGTGCTTTCTGCAAGCATCTTGAGATGTACAATCCTAGACTTGCAGCTCAATATCATATCCTCTACTAGAAATCAGTATAGGGCCTTAAATGCATTAGATACTTCAGTGGGGTTCTCAACAGTACAGGTGCTCATGTCACCACTTTCAACTACCCCCCCCCCCATTTGAGGGGGAGGCAGTGCTGAGCTCCTGATGCTATCTATGATGCTCAGTAAACCACTGGACTTCAAGGCTTAGCTTTGTAAAGTGCATATTGACATGGTGGTGGGATAAGGCACAAGATTAAAATTAGCCTATGTAGTCAAAAGAGGTTTGGAAAATGAGCAGCAGGATTATTTCAAGGTAGAACCATCCTATTCATAAACCCTAGAGATACACACTGGGTTGCTTTTGCCACATCAGAACTATAAATGAGAGTAGCTTTGGATATTACAGAAAAAGCGCTCTGTGATCAGTTGTGAAAACCTCTAATGCAGAGTGACAGGCACAATCTGAGCACAGAAAGTGGGGATGTGCATACTATTGCCATATTCAGGAGCCTGTGCATCTGAACGCGCAAGTTCCCCTTAACATTACAAGAAATACCACCTTCGGAAGGCAAAAACAACTGCAATTTTGGCTGGCTTCTTCACTTACATCCAATGCCACACTGAGGGCGAAACTATACATTGCTGCATTCATGTTGATAAGCCAACATACGGTGTTGCGGGGGCAACTGCATGTGACAACCAGCGAGTAAGTGGTGGTGGTGGCTTCCCACGACCAATTCATTCTCATGAGGCCATATCTCTTCCTGCCTGCCTGATTTCCAGTTAGGCATCTCCTACCCTCTGCCTCTGATGCTCCTCTGCAAATGCACCTTCACACATTAGCAATGTATGTTCAGGACCCGCAAACATGCCATTCTGCCCAAAGTGAATGTTATAAAGGATCCTGAATCAACTTGCTAACCAGTTCTTTGAAAGGAGGGTGCGCGAGCAGCTGTTGACTTTCCCAGTGTAAACATTTCAGGAAGTACAGGCAAGCTTCATTCTTGGTGTATGTAACTCAAGGATTTGTACAGTCAAATTCTCTTCCAGCAATACACAGTAAACAGAGCATGGACTGTTCCCAAACATGTACGAGGAAGAATCCTTTCTTAACAGGCAAAAAAGTAGAAAGTGACCGGAATGAACGTTTCTGATTTTTCTGCTCCTGGGTGATATGGCTACGGCTTTACTGATCCAGCACAAATGATCCCATGGCCTCTGAAATAAGACCCCTTAGCTCTGAAGATTGTATAAGAATCTGCTTAATATGAGAGGTCTCACATCTGTCTTGTGTAACAACAGATGGAAACATGAGCGCATCTCCACCCACTGTCCTGTCCAAGTCAGTGGTGTGGCTGAACAGGTGTGGCCCACACAGTGGCGCCCACACTGTGGGAGGAGAGCCTAGGGTGGGAACTCTGTCTGATGCAAGAGCTGGGTGGTTTTCATTGGATCCCAGCCCAGACAGCTCCTTGGTTTGTAAGGCTGCAGAGACATTTCTCTCTCCATTCCCCAAACTGCTGAGACATGCTGTAGTGCATGTTCCACATTACCAGCCAGCAGAGCTGATAATTAAGGGCAATGAGAGTTGTGATGTACAGGTTAGCCAACTGTTACAGTGTCTTGTTACAGAAAGGTGCCTATTTTTTTAAAGCTTATTACCACACTGAAATTAGGAAAACTGCCTTCTTCTCCAGCAAGCAAAATGAATTGGCACGAGTGCACCCAGTTTATTAGAACAGATCTTTAAAACTACTCTATATGCCAAAATGCTACTGTATATTTAATGAAGAGCACAGCACAACTGCCAGCAGACCAATAAAACTACAGTTGGATGAGCAAGTGGAGTCTTTCCTTTAAGAACATAGATCCAATCTTCAGCACCCCAATACTCTGGACATATTTGAAGGTTGCAATTCTAAACACATTTAAGTCTAATTTAACTTAGAGGGACCTACTTCCAAGTTTGCATGTATAGCATTGCACAGACATGTTTGCAGACTAGTTTTCCTTGCAGGTTTCTTCATTTAGAAGACTGGGCAAATTCAGTTGGACAAATGGTACAGTTTAGTTTAGCTCTTTGTTTGCTAAATATTATACTGGAGTCAGTTTATTGCAGATAAGTAGCTATTTCACTTGTGCTGAAAACCTGTGCCTGAGATGATCTGCCAGGGGATAAACTTATTTTGGAGCATTTATCAAAATATTGATTAAGTATCAGTATCACAAGGCATTTTCTTCATTAGTATTCAAAACTAAAAGACTTGGGCTATGTTCAGAAAGAAACTTCCCCCAGTTTTCAGTTCAGTATGTGTGCATTAAGGTAGGAGTGTAGAAGTCAAGACTATAAAAAAAAAGGAAAATGTTGGCACCTTTTTTGTGGGCCTATTGCAAAACTATACTGGCCACATTTGGGCAGGTGATAAAAAAATGTGCTTATATGGGACACACAAGCATCAATAGAACTGGCACAGAAGGCAGGAAGGGAGCAGATGGTTACCCACTCTTCTGCAGGCCTCCCTTTGTTTGGACCCCACTGCTTTTTTATTTATTATAGAATTTGCTCCGTCATTGATAAAACACCATAACGCCCTCTGAGACCACCCACAAGAGGCAAGGACAAATAAGGACTGATGATAAGCTGGAGCAGCTTCCAGTGCTGGCTGGTGCCCATTGGGACTGACAGACCAGCAGGTGGAGCCAGAACCAATGAGAAGCAGAGCCAGCTAGTTCTAGTTAATTCCCTATTATCCTCCCTACAAAGAGGAGGAAGCTGACAGGCAGTGCCACTGAGGGTAAGCTGAAGTTTGTGGGGGCAGAGTCTCATTGGTCCTAATGGAGCAGCACCCCCCCCCAGCAGTTCTGCTTCCTATTCTGAACCACCAGTGCAGCCAGCATTCTAACAGGCAGCTGCGCCATCAAGCAAATGCCTGTAAGCAAGGCTTACTATAGCTCTGGTTTAAGGTAAACACCACAAAATGTCAATGCTGGAAAAGCCGGGCTGGCAACTGTGTCCCGAGAGAGTTAAGGGGGATGTGAGCAGGTCAAGTCAGGGTTTGATTCAAAGCAGTTAGAGCAGCCCCAGTCATGAGAAGATGGGGAAAAAGCAGAGAGAGATTTGCCGGTGGGTAAAGAACATTCCCCATTGAACTTAGCTAAGATGGGAGGGCCTCAATAGCAATATCTGTAAACTTCCTCCCAGTGTTAATGCCTGTTCCATAGAAGGCAAGACAAGAAGTGCTCATGGGAGGCATGACAGGAAGTGCTCCAGAGAGAAAAGACAGGCCCACAATGTCCTTGGTAGAAGCTGCAGAAGGCAATCTCCTTTCATTTGGGCCAAACATAGTGGTAAGGTGCTTTCTGGGCTTTGGCAAAGAGACAATCGTTGCCACTCTGCAAACACCCCCCACAATCCACATTCCACACCCCACACCCCGCTCCCCACATATGACAGTGTGGCTGACAGATTAATGTTTCAGTCTCCACAGAGAGGAGCTCTCTTATATCAGCCTTCCTGCTTTTTGGGGCCATTGGGGTACTTCACAGCGCGCAGGAAACTGCAGAAGATCTCATACCAGAAAAAAGTGAAGCCCGTTGCAAACGCAGCCTTCAGCAAGCTTGGTGAGAGGCCCTTGAAGAATCCTCTGGCTCCTTCATCCCGTGCAATCTGTTGGGCACAGTCCACTAAGCCACTATACGTCCGCACCTGGGGGGAAAGAGAATGGAGTGAGGGATGGCACAAATCCAGCCCGTTAAGAAACCTTGTGCAGTTTGTAGCAGAACTCAACTTCCCGTTTTGTACTATTATTGGAAACAGTGGTTTGCAGAAACCATCAGCTAACGGATTAGGATGTCAAACCAGAACCTGATTGTGAACGGAATATATATATGTGAAGTTTCTGGAAGCTGTTGCAAAGAGATCTGGAGTAAAGTTATCCATGATATGAAAATGACACGCAGCTCCATCTCTCTGCTCCATCTGAATCAAGAGAGGCTTGGTGAGCTGCTAAGCCTGTGCTTGAAGGAAGATGGGCTGGATGTGGGCCAAAAAATTTGAGGCTGAATCCTGAAAAGATTCAAGGCTGCCCTTGAAAACCGCCCAGGAACTACAATTGGTCCAAAATACAGCACTTAGATCAAATTCCCTTTAGATCACATACAACCCCTGTTTTAAAACAGCTGCACTGGTTGCCAGTTTGTTTCCAGGATCAATTCAATGTGTGCACATTAGTATTTTAAAAGTAACAAATATACTGATTGTGTAATTGGTCACATAGTTCTCTGGTCAGTGAGGATAAGACCAGTTTTCCAGTAGTATCTCCAATGAATCCATTTTGTTCCTCCATCACACAGCTCCAAATAAGCAGTGGGATTCTTAATTTTAGTGCCACACTGCCCTTATGTCACACAATGCTGTTATAAAGTTATCCTTTATAGTTTAAGACTAGGTTGTTTCAGATTTTACTTTCAATTTATCCGCCTGGTTTACATAAATTGTGGGCTACGTTAGGTACACAAAAAAAGGGAGGCAGAAAGATCCCTGCAATCTGAAACGTCTCTCACCTGCCCAAATGCTGCCCGGGCTTGCTCAAAGCCAGCTACCTGCAGTCTTTTCTTGAACAGGTCAAAAGGATAAGTGAGGGTTTTGCTGAGGACGCCAGCACAGCTGCCGCAGACGAAGTTTTTAATATTACCTGAAAAAGAGAAGTCTGGAGTTGAGGGATGTGTTTCAGAACTGCTTGGTAGCTTAAGACAGGAATTAGTTAAAGGCTTCCAGTGTTATTATGATTAGTTATCCATATATCCACTTTTATTAAGCAGTGATTTACAAGAAAAACCAATAGCTGGAGCCCTTGGAGCAACTTTCCAAGCACAACTATGTACAACTTAGCGACAGACTGCATCAACTGAAGTGGGTGGGATTCATGAACCAAAAGCATTGACCACTAACAAGGAACCAGATGTTGTAGATATTACTGCAAATTTAGCGTGCTATTTTTCTGATATGCAAATGACAGTAGAAGACTTGGTCTATTTATCTCTATCATGTATTATTTATATGATCCTTGTTTATAAAGCCTAATAAAAAGTTATTTAAAATAAAAAACTGGGGTGGGTGGGGGTGCTACACAGGAGCACAGACAATCCCCCCCCCAACACTTTTCCAACCCCCCAGGACTAACCTGTTTTCATTTCTTCACTTGGAACGATCCAGTCATACAGTTTCTTCAGGAGACTATAGAAGGAAAACTGGAAGCCAGCATAGGGGACAATGGCAATGAGAGTAGGGCTGAGCCCCTTATAAAAACTCAACAGCCCTTCTTGCTGGTACACACATGCTACAGCATGGCGGAAGTTCCTGTAAATCTAAAACAGTTCATGGGTGAGTATGTTTCCTTGTGTGGCTCATTAACAGAGCCCTATGATATTTATTGCTCTATATGCATCAGTGTGTAAGTCAGGCTTCAGTAATGCTCCCAAAAAGCTCCAGAGTTTATGGAGTGGAGCTTCTGCACATACTTTTCACACCAATCAAATTCCACCTTAAAATGTCCAGTCAAATTTTCCCACCTTACCCACTTGCTATGATCTTGCAAGCGGAATAGTAAACCTTGCTCCTCTAAGACCTAAACTCTATATAGGGTAAGACAGAATTATTTATCATAAGACGAGCCTACCCAATCAGGCCTATGGCCCATCTAGATAAAAAATCCTGTTTTCACCATCGTCAACCACATACCTGTGGGAAGCCCACAGGGAGAGTCCTAGCGCAAGGACACTCTCCTCCTCTCCAGTTTCTGGCAACTGGTATTCTTTCAAAGCCAACCTAATTGGTGGCCAACACAGCCTCCTGTGGGAGCAAGTTCTATTAACTATGCGCTGCATGAAGGCGTGTCATGCTAATTGAGCATATTTCTGCAAAATACCGATTGTTCTGAATTCAAAACCATCATTTTTCTGGAGACAGAAGGGAAGATCCCTGGGCCCAAAATTTAGATTTGTGTTGGGAGAGGGGAAGCATCAATTACTAACTCCACAATTGGTAGATGTGGGGAAATCTTACCATCTGATAAAGCCCCCAACCTTTACTATATACAAGCATGTGGGGCAGAAAAAAATAATTCACACCATGTTTTCATTAATATCTATGACTAAAAGAACTGTGTGGTAGAAAATCTTTACCACTTGGTAAATTGGCTATACAGTGGTACCTTGGTTTGCATACGTCTTGGTTTGCATACGTTTTGGATTACAAACATGTCAAACCCAGAAGTGTGTATCCCGGTTTGCAACCTTTTTTTTGGATTACAACCCTTTTTTTTTGGATTACGAACAAATTTTTTTGGGAGGCCCCACTGGTGAAAGTACGCCTTGTGTTACAACCTGTTTTGGTTTACAAACAGACCTCCGGAACAGATTATGGTTGTAAACCAAGGTACCACTGTATTCTTCCTAATGGTTTGTGCAAACCATAGTTTGCTACATTCAAACAAAATAGCAAATGCAGAAGCTTCCCATCTCCTCTTGTGCATGGGGAAAGGAGTGGAAGGGAGCCCAAGGGCCTATGGCCTGTGGCTGCTCATTCTCAATCCTGTAATTAAATAAAGAAACCGTCATGTGCTTCCAAGATCACCAAATGACCATCACCTAAATTGGTGGGAGCAGAACCAACTGGGAAAGGATGCACACAGCAGACTTGGCAGGGGGAAAGCTTCTCACCCATCTCTTACCTTTGGCTCACCTTGGGCAGCCAAGCGGGTACGCAGTGTGTCCAGGGGCTGAACTGCCACGGTGGCAACACAAGCAGACAGCCCGCCACAGAAAAAGTGCACTGTGAAGCCTCTGGCATCGTAAGATGTGCCCTGGTGCACCAACTTTGTCAGAAACTCAAAGCTTACAAACTTGCATAGAAAGAAAAACAAGAGATGAACACCATCAGTTTAAGTAAGAAACATGGTTGCCACCCACAGCGAGGAGAATGAAACCTATCACCTAAAATCTCCACTGCAGCCCAGCCACACACATCACAGTAACATTTGTAAAAGAAATTATCTATTTTTAATACAAGTAAGTAAGAAGAGGCATTCTGTCTCATACCACTTCAGCTGCACCCCTTGTGAGGAGGTGGCAGTAGCAGCATGAGCAGCTGAATGAGAAGTTACTAGTACTGGACCATCATGTCTTGTGTATCATTGCCATCAGGTTTCAACTCAACTGCTATGGCTGGACGTTAGGTTTCCTGGATGGTATCCCTGCAATTGTGTTGTCTGTCTTTTCTCAATTCCCAAGACCACCACCTACGGTGTCCCTGAATTCTCCATTAACTCTACTCTGGCAATTTTCAGTGAAGTTGTACAACTGACCTCAGCAGGGGTGGGGCAGAGTTGGAAGGTGGTCCAGACTGCACTCTGCATCCTGCAGGGGTTTTCAGTATCAGGACCAAACAAGCAAAGCACGTTCTAAGCCTGTAGTTATGATGGTGCCATTATGAATTAAATGAGCTTACAACATGAAACTCTGAACATGTTCAGTCTTTATTATTTTATTTGGCAGCACTGTCTAGGCAAACACTTGGGTTTCTTTCTCTCTCTAATATAGTGGGGATACAGCAGTTGTGTAAAGCATGGAATTGTAAGCGGTCGGCAGGGAGACAAACTTTCACCTTTCTGGCTTTGCCCATTTTTGGTTTCTCTCTAAACTGTCTTCTCCCTTATCTTTCTGTCTGTGAAAGCTCAGGGTGAAAGGTTGGGTGTAAGCTTATTCACACATTTACTTTGGAATAAGATTATTGAACACAAAAGGATTTAATTCTGAGCAAATATGCGAAGGCTCAGGTTGCACCACACATGTTTTTCTGGGGAGATGGTGGGGAGGGATGAAAGAAGCTCAGCGTAATACACATTATCACCTAAAGGTGGGAAGGAACTATAAGACCATTCAGTCCAGATGCTAAATCATCTAGCTGCACCACTGTTTGCACACCTTTACTATCGTATAGTACTGAGGAACACTAGTGTCCTACAGCAAGTCGATCTGCATGCTAACAAAACGTTACTGAAACCCATCTATTTGTCATCAGGGAGAAGGATGGAAAGATCGTAGCAACAGCACAGTCAGGATGCCAAACCACCTTGCAGTCACTGGATGGAAAGGGTCGTTTCCAATGCAATGTTCATGCAAAATATATTTCACCATCCCTCCTCCTCACTGTTACCTCCTGAAAAGCCTCTCCTGGTTGTCAGGGAACCTTCATAAAAGGCCTGGGGCTTCTGTACCTCTCCACACAGAAGAAGGGAGTGAAGACTTATTAGACTGGCAGTTGCAAAGAGAAAAATCAGACAGAGGGTTTCGCAAACTGCAAGAGAGGCTTTGGGGGGAGGGAACTGCAAGGAGATGGAATGGATGCCTCCCTGAGAGTGTAAGGGTTTTGGATTAACTGATCCTTATTATTCCTTCCACACAATAGCATTATAATTACTTTGCACATGGTCAGAAAGCACAGGAAGAGTCCAGATGACAAAAGAGTGAAGTCTTTGTTATGCCCAGATGAGCAGTTTATAAATTATAATGTTGTTGTTGTTGTTGTTACTACTATTACTGGCCCTTAGAAAAGTGAAACTGGTACTTGAGGGCAAATAAAGGAAAGGCAGCTATAACATAACAGATTTGCTGAGTAAGTCACTGGAAAAGATGAAACACTCAGGGTAGAGAGTTAATCCCAAACATTTCCTAATTCTTACCTGGACAGCTCCATAGGTAACTGAGAGGAGCTGAGCAGGGACATGGCCCTTCCAGAAAGCTGGTAGCCCTTCTTCCTGGAAAATCTTGCAAACAGCCTGCCAGATGCCATGATACTTAGCCTGGGGGTTTCTTGCAGAAAATGTCTCTATCTGAAGCTGAAAGAAGACAGGTATAGTTGGCTTTCAGTTTTAATGTATACACTGTAAATTGCTTCATGGTTTAAATTCGGGATATGAAACCTGTGGCCTTCCACATGTTGTTGAACATCACCCCAGGCAGCTTAGCAAATGGTCAGGTATGCTGAGAGTTAGAGGACCACAGGTTCCATATCCCTGGTTTAAATAATTAGGGTGCTTCTCTCAACTCTTTCCAGGCCATGTACTGCTCTCATAATTCTAACTGTCAAGAGTATATTACCAGTTTTCACACAACATCTCTAAAGCAGAGAGGGCTTACGAAAATCAAATGGCATGATAATTAACTTCATCTTCTGAGGTGTTTGCATGCTAATTGCATGTAACACAAGCCTGTTAAACAAGTGGGGCCTATAACAAAAGGTTGCACTATGCTGCTATTCAATGTCCCAGCTAGTGTTCTGTGGCCACAATGATTGCGCTCTGTCCTCACTGTCTGCTTTTCTTGTCATGCCCTCTTTAGGGGTTTTTAAAGATGTTTGTATTCATGCAAATGTTGGGGTCCCTCTCAAGTCTGTTCATACCTCTGTCTTGTGCACTGATGATGCTCTTTTAGCTACATAAAGGATTGAGACTTGGAGAATGAGTTTACTTAACTGGCTGTCCAATTTAAGAACACTTCTTATGAGACAGCCTAGAAAGGGCTATACCACAGCTGGTTTCAGCCAGCACAGATAAATGCATTTGCTAGATCTTTGGCTAGAAAGGCTGAGGGACTTGGTCCTTCACAGTGTGTGAGCAAAATTGCATGAAAGCTGACTCATAAAGGAATACAGTGGTACCTCTGAATGTGAATGGGATCTGTTCCGGCGCCCTGTTCGCATCCTGAAGCAAACGCAACCCGCGTCTGCCTGTGCGCGGGTCGTGATTCGCCGCTTCCGTGCATGCGCATGACGTCATTTTGAGCGTCTGCGCATGCGCAAACGGCGAAACCCGAAAGTAACACGGAGCGTAACCTGAAAACGCTCAACCTGAAGCACATTTAACCCAAGGTATGACTGTAGCTTCTTAACTATACAGCTTACTGATCGAGAAGACAATGGGCATAGTTGATGGCTTAAGTTTGATGGCAAACTTTTTGCTTGTTCATTGTAGCAACACAGTAACTGTTATGTGAACTGTACCTGAAAACGAATCTTTAGGACATCAAAGGGGCTGATCATTGCCCGAGTGACAAACCCAGATGCAGATCCTGCTGTTGCTATGTCCACGGTTGTAAGAGACGCACACTCGGAATCTGGGTCATAGCCAACCATCCCTCTAGGGTCCACAGGCAGCTTCAATATCCATTCACGCTAGCGGACACTGGTGATTTAAATATATATATATATATATGTATGTATGTATACTGCTTTTCAGATGAGAAAATACAAAAATGCTACTACAATAAAATATTGACTGTCATAACCCCAATGCATCTTTCTTAATGTTTTTCTATTGAAAACTCTGGTTCCAATATAGGATTTTATTTTTCCAACACTGTAAAATGAATGTGAAGATAATTATTTACACTGCAAAAACAAACGATCAATCCAGAACAGTCTAGCAAACAGACAGCAGGACAGTGCATTTATAGGAAACTTTTCTTGAAGATGCAAAGCTGCCTTACACTGAGAGAACCTATTCCAGATTTGTCTCCTCTAACTGGCCTTAGGATTTTAAGGTATTTTCATACACATGCCTCAAAAACCGTGAAGTGGGGACAGAAATATTCCATTTCTAACCATACATTGCTTTATAAAATGGGTTAGTAACAGAATCAATGGCTCCAATACTAGTCAAATCAGACTGTTTCAAAGTTGTAGTTAGCTTTTCTCAGGTGCCTGTATCTCATGCACAGAGCTTTGGGCATGCTACAATTGGTACATTAACAGTATCGGTGATTTAATTTTTCAGTCGAAAAATCCAACACTCTTAACCACTGCACCACACTGGTTCTCTTAAGACAGCCTCTCCGAAAATCTGCAATTTCTGAAGTGACCCTACGGCCACCACCACACAAAAAAACCCCTCAAAATTCGAGGGGCGGCGCTGTTGTTTTAATTTGGCTTTGTACTTTTTGACGTTTCATTTATCGTGCGCTACTACTTCTGCTCCAATTGTGTGCTTTTCCGTGTTGTAAGCCGCCTCGGGCGTGGCTTTAACTGTGGGAAGGCGGCGCAGAGATCACATCGCGCAGGAGGAAGCGCCGCCTGAGCATGTGCAGAGCTCCTAGGCAGCGCCGCTGAAGGGCCATCCAGAGGGCACGGCCTGAAGGGAGGAGTTTGAGTAGCGGGAACCAATTGGCGGTGTCTTAATTCTTTTAGCGCCGCCCACCTCCCCTGCCCCACAGTAGGACCCCCCGGCCACCTGCCTTGGGTCGCGGCTCCCTCCCGTAGGCTCGCGCCCGCAGCTCCTCCTCAACGCGCTTCTCCCGGCGGCAAAGGAGGGCGACTACCGCCCAAGTGACAAGGCCGGGCGGTGGCACAAGCTCGCTCCGCCCAAAGGCCCGGCGGCGTTGGAAAGCCGGCCTCACGCTGCCCTCGCGTGGCAGCCGCTTGGTCTTCTGGGAAATGTAGTCCGCATTCTCTGAAGCGGCTTCTTTTTACTGTAAAGGGAGAGGAAGAAAGGGGCGGGGCGGTGGAATTTAGCTGCGAGGAAGCTCAGGAAAGGCGATATATATATCGGCCTGTTATAAAGGCAGCCGGACCTGAAATGTGCCAAGGATGTGTTGGAATAGGAGCCCTCTGTGGAAGGAGAGGCACGTAAAGGAAACATACGTGCATGGGGTGGGTGGGGGTGGAGATGCAAAGTTATTTATTCTGGTCATGTATATTTATTAGAATTCACAGGGCGCCGGGCTGGAGTTTCCTTCGAAACAAACAAAAAAAAGATTTTATGTTCAGGGCACAACACACCCCTCCTTTCATATAAATAAAGTATGTGGTTGACAGCCTGATCCAAATCTGTTTATTGCATATTTTTAAATAGTTTAAAACTGGGGCACCCCAAACCGATTTCATTTTTTGTTCAACTTTTTAAATAATTCTAAAGATGGCATCCAAATACAGGATTCGTAGACTATTCCATAAATTCAGAGGCATAATTTGTAGGCATGACGTAAATGGCACGTAATAAATGTAAAACTGCATTACTTTGTGTCGTGATGAGTGTTAAATAGTGGTAATATTTGTTGCTGCTAGCGCATCTACAAAGCTAAGCAAGGTCTGGTGTGGTTTCAAATTGCATGGGGGACCGTTTGTTGAAATTCCTGCATTGCAGGGGATTGGACTAGATGACTTCTAAGCCTACAAGTCGTATGAGTCTATGATTCTATGAGTGGGTAGCTTACGGTACATAGGCACCTGCTGAACCTGACATCTCAGGTTGCCTATCCCTAACTCCAAGCCTGTACTTGGGGAAAACTGTTACACTCCCGTCAAGCAAAATATGAAAAATCAACTTCTAGTTTCTTACAGAACTATTACTGTGCTTTAACAGAGGCCTAAAACATGACCCAATACTCCTATAACTCTTTCTCAACCCCGCAACCCGAAAAAGCCTGCCCTTAAACTTGCCACCTCCTTAAAGAGGCAGTAGCATTTGAACTAACGATAAAGAAAAAGCTTAAAACAGACTGTGCATTTATGTAAGATTAAGGCAGGCTTTCACAAGACCAACTCCTAAATCTCACCTGTATCATTTTACATGTACTCTTTTGTGTGGACCAAAGTGACATCATTAAAAAGTGATTGCTTCCACAAAATGGGGGTTCAATCACTCAAAACGTGTGGTGAAACAAAATCCATCCTGCTCACCAATGTTATGACATAATAAGTGATTGTTTGGCAGTTATACTATGCCAAACGGTACTACTACCTGTTCTCTTGTAGAGCTCTATATTCTTACCGCTTTGTATGAAGAATTATGCAAATGAAAATTATCTTCTACGCTAGCAGTTCCCAAACATTTTGAGTCATGGAGCACTTTTCAGGAGAGAAATTTATCATGGAGCACAATCGTCGCCCTTATGCCAAAGGCACGTATTTAATTATTTTTATTTCCAATCTCTCCGTGGAGCACTTGGGAGATGCTTTGTGGAGCACCAAGAAGAAGAAGAAGAAGAAGAAGAAGAAGAAGAAGAAGAAGAAGAAGAAGAAGAAGAGTTTGGATTTGATATCCTGCTTTATCACTACCCGAAGGAGTCTCAAAGCGGCTAACATTCTCCTTTCCCTTTCTCCCCCACAACAAACACTCTGTGAGGTGAGTGAGGCTGAGAGACTTCAGAGAAGTGTGACTAGCCCAAAGTCACCCAGCAGCTGCATGTGGAGGAGCGGGGAAGCGAACCCAGTTCTCCAGATTACGAGTCTACTGCTCTTAACCACTACACCACACTGGCTCTCACCAAGTGCTCCCCAGAGCATAGTTGGGAACTGCTGCTCTACAGACAGTGGTGAAACGGCATGCTCCAGCACCTGGGGTGGAGAGTAGGCGGGGGCGTGGCTGGCACGCCACTGGAAGGCATGGTGTGTGTGTCCCAGGGGCATGGCACGTCGTCCGCAGGGGCGTGATGTGTGTCCTGGGGGCATGGCACGCCGTCTGCGGGGGCATGGCGCCCAGCACAGTGGGGGTGCATTGCGCATGTCCAGGGGGTGCCCGCGATGGTACCCCCCTCACCGATGGTGCTGGGGACGGTGCGTTCCCCCACTCCATCCCGTTCCTCCGCCAGTGTCTGCACACACAGCCTTATACAGAAATAGGACTCCTGTGGTCATCTGTATGTTTAGCTCCAGCCAGCACAGCCAGTGAGCAGAGATGAGGGCAGCTGAGGTCCCAACAGCTTTAGAAGGGCCACAAGTTATCCATCCATGAGCTGGTGCATCATCCATTCTCTAGTGTGGCCACCCTTGTGTCACACAGAAAGAGTGCTTTAAAGGTAAGGTGTGGTGTGTCCCATGCCTCAGAAGTTCCACAACTCAGGTGCCACCACTGAGCCTGCGGCATCTTTTTTAGCCACCCACCTAACCTTAGAAGGCAGGAGCACCTAGAGAAGGGCTTCCAAAGACCTTAATAGGCAAGTTCATGTGAAAGATTTCTAGGGTGGATCCAGACACAAGTTAAAATTGCTGTAGGTCAGAAATTAAATTGTTACAACGAAAGAAAAAGAAAAAAAGCCTACGTAAAAATCCATATAAACTAATTTTTGCTCTCTGGTGCTATCTGGTATTATAACACATTCAAAACGTATTATTGTGACAAATATAGCTAAGTCCCTAATCTTTTTAGTATGGCAATCAACAAATCCAAAATTACCCAGTACGGTGACCCATCAATTTATTGTCAAATGAATTTTGGACCTTAGGCAGCCACATATTTCATGCATTTTAACTGCAAATGTTTGCCTGTTTTATAAGTGTCACTTGCAGCACCCACACACACACAAAATTACTTAGCATCCCTGTTAATCTGTAATTTGGTGAAGTATTTATGCTACTTATAAAGTTGGTTTACAATTTTGTTTATGCAGTGGTTGCTGCTTTAGAGGCAAATATCCATCAAGGACAGCAATTTGAAAGTACCAATCCCTTCTCTAAATGGAGACAAAAAGATAAAATGCAAAGGTTTTAATTTGTTCAGTAGTTTTGCCGAGTGGTATCGTAGTCCTTTCCCCTAATCCTCAACCCCAACCAGCATGGCCAGTGGTGATAGCGGCATGAGGACAAATTCCCCTATCTCTGCTCTAATGTACATCCTCTCCCATTTTCAGTGGCTTGTGCATTGTAAAAAACAACAACTTTGTGTTTAAAAATTCGTGATGCAGTAGTTAGTTTAGGTCCCTGCTGAACAGCAGCAGCATTTTTTACCTCCTAGTTATGTCAGTTTTCTATATGCCAATGTCATATTTTCCCAGAGCTCATTAGATAGACATGTCCCCAGATACAGTAAATGATGTGGGTGGGGAGACTGCATATGGGAAAGTATAAAAAGGAACTAAAATGGAGTGTCAGCAATTCTGAACTGTGAAATGAAGAAGGTCTTATTCCCAGAGATTATTTCGTAAACACAGTATCTAAACGGGCATCAAATTGCATTTTAAATGCATAGCCCACGCAAGAAAGGTTAGCACTCTGTGAGGGAACCTGTGTGTTTTAATACTGGATAAGGATATATAGCAAGTTTGTTGCTGTGGTTACTCGTTGGCTAAATTTAGAGCTTTTGAAGCGGAGGCTAACCGACAGCCAAGATTTAAAATTTGAGCCATATGTCTTCTGATGGCTGATGGTTTGCCAGCAATCAGCACAGCAGGCAAATATGCAGATTTTCTTTCTTAAATAAAAGCTTGGATAGAATGTGACATCTAGAGAAATTGTATTTGCCTCAAAAAGGAGTTTTGAATGCAAAATTGAGCACCATTTACGAACGGAACAGAGGCAAAGATTACATCAGTAATAGGCGGGGGCGGGGGGAAGAGACAGGAAAAATGTGGTCAGACTATTTTTCTCTCTTCATCCGAGATCTTCTTCTTCCACCATAGTGAACTTAGGTGGTCAGTAGCTCTGCTGGCTTTGGGTCAAATGTCCCCTGCAAAATTTCCTGAAGTTTTTGGGTTTTTTTAAAGACTGAAGTACAATACTAATTGTATCTACTCAGAAGTAGATCTTGTTGAATTCAATGGCACCTACGCTCAGGTAAGTGGGGTTAAGATTGCAGCCTAAATCAGAATACTTCTAAAAATAAACAATCCAAACTCAGTTTTGCAACACCAGCTTAAGTAGTCCAGGCTGTAACTCATACACTGCTATCAGGATTTTTTTTACCGTCAGCAAAATGTGTGAAAAGTCTCCAAAAAAAAAGTGCAAAAATGATTAAGACCCATACCATCCTGCCAAAGAACTTTTAACCCAATTTACAGGGGGAAAGCAGCCCCCAGGCAGTGGGATAGATAGAACATAATATTGTGTCATACTTTGAAGACCTACAAGTAGGCAATACCGACATTGTACAAGCCTAGCCACTTTCTCCCCAACATGGCTCTTTGTGGCGCATCCAGACTTCTGCTTGTCTGGCTGCGTTTCCCTGGGAAAACCCAATCTTTTAAGGTTTTCCATGGATTGACATTTGCTCCGATTCAGCACCAAGAGTGGGTTTTTCCAGGGGAAATAGAAAAACGCTCAACCCCATGCCTAGAAAGCAGAACGGACAAGCAGAAAACCGCTCAGACAAGCAGAAGTGTGGACCAGCCCTTAGGCAGGATGGTCTCGGTTCTGATAAAATGGATCAACTCCATGCAGACAGCAGAACTGCCAAGTGCCCTCTTTCCAAAAGCAGCCCTTCCAGCTTATGCACCCAAGTTATGCAAATACTAACGGAATTCCAGAATCAGCCTTTGACAGAGCAACTGTTCCAAATGAGAGCAAGAAGACTGCAGTACCAAGTGCCTAAGCACCAACACGAGTCCAAAAACCATGGCCTTACGAGATAAGTGGTTTATGTATTATTTTGTTACCAATGTTAGAGTCAGAAGTTCACGTGAATATGTAGATGATCTGGTTTGCTTTTAGCCTATAGGAAGTTTCAAATGGTGCACTGTCAAATTCTGAGTTCTTTCAGCTTGGCCCAGTCCAGGGGCAGTCTTGGGTGTCAGGGTTTCTCTGGCAGATTTTCTACAGTAAATATTGAACTAAACATTAAATGTTAAAATATTTGGCTGAATATAGCATTAAAAAAATTGCACCAGATGGTGAGTCAGAAAGTGTGCGGGCACATTTGGAGTGGGAGGGTTTGTGGTGTCCACCAGCTGAAACCATTATAAACAGAATACACATAGGCTCTGCAACTTGCATGTCTAGGATACAGCTTTCTTCTCCTTTCCCCGTGCCCTGTCTCAGTCTGAAGAATCTCACCTCAACCTCTTTAATACCTTCCCATCCATTATGACATATCAGCCCAGGATACAGTTTGAAAGTGTTACACGTGACTGTTTCTTCAGTAAGTGATGTGAGATTTAAGGTCCGTACTGTATGGTTCAAGGGAAGTATTGTGTTATTTTATAAGTTTTGTTTGTGGCGGATATTGAGCTTTTAGCTGTCACCAACCTTTGACCTCTAGTGTAACAGAAATCTATGCTGAACAGGTGAGATTTTGGGTGGGTAGCAAATTATCTGAAGATGCAGAACCTTCCGTGGATCACTTTTTCAGGGTGCAATCCTAACCCCACTTACCTGCAGGAGTAGAGATGGTTAGGAGAACTGCAGCCCCTAAACTAGCTGATGGTTCATTAAATGAACAGAAAAGACACTGATATTCAAGTGAAGAATTTGTTGTATATTTATTATTCACAGTTAATTACTAACTACCAAATGCTGCTGCTGAGTTAAAGGATTAAGTACATAGGCCTTTTTTTATTTAAACACTGATTTTTTTTTAATATATATATACACACAAGACATTATGTCTGCAAGGCTGCATGATATACACCGATTCCAAAATAAGAAAACAATCAAATGGTCCAAGTGTAGAATGCCATAGATTCCTTTTCCAATCATTTTAGAAAGAAGAAAGTATGGGGGAGAGGGAAAGAAAAAGTCAGCTAGCAAGGAATGGGTGAGAAATCAATACGCTACAGGGTAGCGTTTTCTTTCATCTGCTGGGAGAAATGGAAGTGTAAGGCAGAGTCCATCTCAGAAATAACACACTTGTAACACTTAGTATAAAAAGGCACCTGCCAACACAGGAATTTTCCCCATTTGGGCGGAAAAGAAGATATCTGTGGTAGCTTTGGGATCTGTTGTTGGGATGAAAGTTTCAGCCATGTGGCTCAGCAAAAGGAAATAAGGTGTGTATTGGCACAAAGAGCTCTGCAGGTTGCTCTTCCCTCTCCAAGTCCATTCATAAAGCTATGAATGGCTTTAGTGAATCTTATCTGGGGACGCAAGATTGAAATACAACCCCCAACAGCCTGCTGCAAGTTAGAAGAAACACAACTCCTCCAAGTATGTAACACTGGCATGTGGAGACAGGGAAAATCTGAAGCATGAAGATACCAGATTCCTCTTTTCGAGAACAAGTCAACGACTCTAATCGAGACCCAGTCTCTCTCATATATATATATATATAGCATGTGTGTTTATAAAGGGGAACTGAACTGCTTATCACTAAGCATCATCTTTAATTATATACTTGGAAAGCACCCAATGTGTAATTAAGCACAATTTCTTGATGCCTCCCTGTAATATTTTTTGGGGGAAATGACAGTTTCACAGGACATCCCAGAATATTCAGTCTCCACCACATGGCAGCGTCATACAGCATGCCACATTCTTCATAATGGTGCAATCTCTCTTTTCTCTCAAGGGCCCCTGGCTGCAGGTCCTAGCCCTGCCTCTTGTAGAACACTTTGTCTTTTCCCACCTGGTAATAAAGAATATCAGGTGCTTATACACATTTTAAAGCTCCATCTGGTTTATGGAAGGCTTCGTATTTAATAATAAAGCTACATCCCTCCCATTCAACCCCTTAAATATTTACATAAAAGCAGGGGGGGGGGAAATCTGAAAGCTCTGGACTGTCCTTTTAACTTAAAAAAGAATAAGGAAATGAGGGAAAGGCACTAATGGAAAAATAATGTGCTCAACCACACACTTAAACAAATTTTAAAAGCTGTCATGGTTAATGAGAGCATGATCTAGCTGTAGCAGAGAATTCGTCACGACAGCCTGCAACCTGTGGTGGTAAAAGCCCCACCTTCTTTCCTTTGCTCTGAAGCAGCTGGGTTTTCAGATGGGAGGGTATGTAGGCGGAATTAAGACCCTATCTTACCCAGGCAAAATACTGAAGGCAAAAGTAAAGTTGGCATATGGCATGTGTGTGTTTTGCTTTTAAACTGGGTAGTGGATTTGGTTCCTTTCTCGGTCCCTTCATGAAGGCCGTTTGCATAAGTAGCAAACACCAGCAGAGCTTCTCCCTCTTATCTTCCTTGAGTGGCATGGCATGGACTTCATATAGCATTAAAACTTCATGCACTGATGAACTGGTGTGTCAGCGTTGGGGGAGAAAGGACAAGCGAACGAAAGGGGCCACCCGGAAGTAACCGAAGAAATCTGTTAATATCTATTTAATTTAAAAGGTAAGTTTTGGCGCGCAAGTTGGACCCTTCTCCTGTCCCCTCCCCACAAAGTTCCATACTGAGTGGGGGGAATAAAGTGTTCCCTCTCCGGCAGAGAGGTGACTCAGATTTATGGCCTGATGACTGGAGATCACTGGCTGCACTTAGATTCTGAATGTGTACTGTTTCTCCTGTTTCCTTAAATAATCTTTAATAATTTGCTCTAGATGTTCCGGTTCACTGGGGTCACGTAGTTGCGTGGAAACATGCCTGTTTGGTCATGGCAGGCTCCCTTCCACCAGTTGGGATCAGAATTGTCAAGGACCCGGATAAAGTCTCCACGGCGAAAGCCCAGCTCACCTTCCTCTTGAGGGTCAAAATCAAAGAGAGCCTGAACATATGTGGGTTGCTGCAGACCAAAGAAAAGAAGGGTGAGTTATTAATTGCTCCACACATCTCCAATTTTCATTTTCTGCTAATGGTGAGCCAGTTCTGGATCCAGTCCTGCCTAGATGCAGTTGCTCACCCCTTGTGTAAAGCTACCAATTTGGCTTCTACTGATTTTTAAAAATAGAGTACACCACATAAAATTAAATTCACTTACGTTAATGCAAAAACTGTTTTGTTTTTCTTGAGTTTTTTGCCTACCAATGAACCTGCATTGAAAGGGTACACTACTCACTAAAGAATCAGGTAAACAGTTTGGCAGGTGTTGCTAAATCTGCATTATCACTGGAGGACCAAGAAGCATCTGTGGCATGCAGTGCCTTTCACGAGTTAAGCTTAATGGACTAGCTGTGAACCTTCACTGGCCGAGGCTCTAGCTAGTAGTGTTACCCATGTACTGGCAAGCTTGAGATTAGACTCCTGCAGGAGTAGCCAATGTGAAATACAACCCCCGTTATATTTGACCAATGGATTGGTGAGAGTTGCAGTTCAATGTTTGGAGGGTACCCTATTGGATTACTGCAAAGCACTGTATGAGAGGCTGCCTTTGCAAACTTTTCAGAGACTGCAAACAGTAGATCTCAGTAGTATCCAGAGCAAGCTATAAACAGTTCCAAACACTGTTTAAAGCCCTAAATGACTTGAGAGCTGGTTATCTGAAGGACAACCTTCTACTTCCACGTGAGATTTCCCATATCCTGTGTTCACCTTCAGAGATGCAACTTTGCTTCCTACCATTCAAAGTTAGGTGGGTGGCGATACCACCTTATCGGCTGCAGAACCGCCTATTTGGAACAGCCTCCCCCAGGAAGTTCACCTTGTGTCAACTTTTGATAATTGGTGGTGGTGGTTGTTTTTTCTTTTATTCATCCAAGCATTTGAGCAAACTGAATTGCAACCAGTGCTAATGAGAGCAAAATGAAGCCTCACATAAGGAAATTCTCTGCCCAGTTCTCACTACTGTAGCCTCTACCGTGGCAGGAGGCCATAGGCAATCGTGTGGGATGGGACAATCCACATGGGGCAACCCACCACCACATGGATCTTTTTATTTCAGTCTTCTGCTTGACAGTATTGACTGTGTTGTTGCTGCTAATTATTTTTAAAATCAAGTTTCTGTGTGCGTGTGTGTAATATGCACAACAGCCTGGAAGCCTTATAACAAAGGGAGGCTTGTACATTTTCTAAGTGTGGTATCCTTAGCCACGAAAGAAAGGCACTGTAGTAACAAATATTATAAACCGGCAGCCTCATACCCGGCCTTGCTCAGGAATTCTAAGAAACCAAAGTATCAGTGCAGTTTTGAAAAGTGGAGTCTGCCATCTTGATTCAGAATGGTGCCCATTTGTATCCCAAAAGAGATGAAAACTTGCTCCTTGATCTCAGGAACCATTGTGCAAAATTTGCTTACAATATCTTAAGAGGTGGCTAAATACACAGTGGACAAAGAATGCTCCAAAATATATAGCAGGTATTAGAATTGTGCTTATACTCCAAACTGTAAAATCCCCTAAAACACAGATTTGCGTAAGGTTATTATTGAATAATATAGAACATTTGAAGATGGAAATGAGGCAGAACTCCACTCATGCTCCTTTACCTGAGGCACCTGCTCAATGTCTCGAAGAAATATCTGCTGATTCCTGGAGACAGAGGTCGATCTGTGATAGTCTACCAACTCATTCAGAGAATTGAACTTTACCACCCAGAGGAAATACTTGCCAGCCCCATCTCGAAGCACCTTGAAGTGCTGCACATCATTTCCAAATCTAAATAGAAAGAGAAGAACATGTCCAGGCTTTTATTTATTCTTCTAATGTGTATGCCAATGCATGACAGGTACTATTGTCTGCTGTTGCTAAAGCAAACATTTGCACGTACACAGGCTAACAGTCGAGCATTAGTCTCAGACAAGGCATGAGTCCAAGGAAAGGACTCAGTTCCTTGGAGATGTTTGGACTGCTTCAGAATCCCAAGACAGACTGGATCAGAGGTGGTCCAAGGTGAAGCAGGCTAGCTCCAAAGCTCTGGAATCTTGGGAGGGTTCTTAATAACCTTGCTTAAGCCTTCCATAAATGATAAACTCCAGGCAGAGAATAGGAGAGGAGGCAGAAGAGGAAGGGTGCCTGTAAGTGACAGATCTAGCTTCAAGCAGGGAATGGCTTTACCAGGACTTTCCACTTATTTCCAATCTATATCCTTTTGATATAGGATACCAAAAGAACATAATAAACTTTACACTTTCTGTGGCCTTGGTGCAAACTGAGCAGTTTTTTTTAAAGAAAAGACCTTAAATATTGTTTTTCATTTGTAACTCCCTAACCCCTGCATCTGTCCTTCTGAAATTTTGCAGGGAACGTATCTGGGGGCATTTCTACATTGTATATTATGTTCATCCAAACGCAAGCACATCAAACCCTTAACAAAAGTTTCACACTTTAAAGGCATTTCACATAGAAAGCCTTGCAGCTATGCCTGAAATTTGGCAGGCTTTATCGCCCTCAGAAGTGGCCACTATGCCTGCAAATAATTCTGCTCAATAATAACTACAGGTTATAGGCGTTTGTTGCTTTCACCCTAATAGTCAATGGGAATGACATCTGAGGCTTCAGATAATGAGGTGAGTTAGTCATTTTCCTTTGACATGAAGTGAGGCACAATGTTAATTCATGCCAGCGAGGCAGGTACTGAATATTTTCTCTCTCTCTAAGCTAACAGGACCTATTGTTGGTTCTAGGCAAATATGGATTTCAGTGATTCTTGAACGATAGGTGGCAGTACTGTGCTATGAGAAGTCAGCATGTGTCACTGATTACCACTGCTAATAAATACATATGCTGGTTTTATAGTAAAGGTGTAATAAACTATTAGAATGAACATTCTATTAATGTCTTGGTTTGATTATTCCCAACAGGTTTTCATTTGTACCAAAGCTGATCTATTACAATGTAGGAGAAGAAGACTGAAAGAAACACTTGAGGACTATTCACAGAGTCAAGAACAAAAACACCAAACTTCTACATACTTGGATAGTCAAGAAAGCCTCCCCCTTACAATATGAGACTATCTGCGAGACTGCATGGTAGCATTTGGAAGGGCAAAGCTATGCAGAAGGACTCAGCAAGGTACACGTGGTTTTCTATTTGTACAGTATCAATTAATGTAGCTAGAGTTTAATAATTATTTTTATTTGATTTAAAGGAAACAACAGAACCTATTTACAAAAGGCGATTAGCGCCAATGTGGCAACAGCACCTTATTTGGAAACATGCAAGTTGCTGAAGGATACCTTCAGAGATGAGAGATTCGGATGATAAATCAATGAACACAAAGACCCTTAAAAAGTGTAGAATCCTGGAGTTAACAGTGATTTCCCTAGGGTATTATGAAGGATTCTATATATTTGAAAAGCATTTTACAACTTTACCAGCCCTAATTGCAAAATGCCTGAGATTTGAGAAGGAAAGCACTAAAAAGCAAGATGGGCAGGGGTGGAGGGAGAGACGAGAAAGCAGGACAACCAATAAGCGTCCCCATATATCACTTGCAGACAAGTGGTAGCCCACTTTTTAAAAAAACATAGTCAAGTTACTGCACCAACATTTCCAAGTTTTGTAGTCAGGGAAACAAGGACTAGATTTTATGGCAGAAGTAAGAATAATTCAAATAGGCTTATTTCACCTGCAGTTTAAGTGCAGAACGTGTTTATCAACCAACTATAATGCAACACTTACTTGACGGAGAGAGAAAAGTCCCCGGGAGCACTCTCACTCTCTCTTATGAGGAAGGCACCATCATGTCTCTGTTTGCCCAACATCTCCTCAGCTTTTGCTCGGGGGATCTTCCCAAAAAACCACCTGTGCAAACACAGTTGAAAATTAAGCATAATTCAAACTCCAAAAAGGCAAGTTTGGATATGTTCATAGCTGGGAAGTAATCTGACAGGTATAATCAATTGAACTGTTCCACGAGGCTGCACTTAAATAATGTTTTTAAAAAGTAATTTAAAAGATTGGAGTGATATAAAACTGGGGATTACATAAATACATAAAGTTCCAGTAAATAATAGATACCACTTCATTTTTTTAAAAAGTCAATTTCCTCAACGTCTCTTGATTTAGCAATTTTTGCCATTTCCAAGGCTTTTAACCACTGCATTATAGGAAGAGAGGCAAGAGAATTTGGCTGAAACAATGAGATTCAGGATTAACAAGTTATAGATTCTTAAGGAACTTCTCCCATCCTTTAAAATTATTTGTAGTGATTTAATTTATTTACTTCAGATTCCCGACAGCAAGCATTCCCAATAAAATAAACCACAAACACTCTACTTTTAGCAAAGCCAGAATAGTGACTATTAGGGCAGATAGGATTTTGCATCATTTTGCAACTCTGCTTTATGGGTGCCAGCTATAGTTGCTACCTAGGAAAGCTTTGTTTTGCGTACACTGAATCTAAGCCCCATGATTAATGGCATTTGGGGGAACACGGTTTAAGTTTACAAGTGCCTTTAGGGCTATTCACATTGAAAACCATTTTGGAAGGTAGATCACACAAACCCATCTCAAACACTTAGAGACAATATGGTACAGTGGCTAAAGGAGACTCTACTACAAGTAAGGAAGTTTGAAATCAGAAATGTTTGCCTCCATCATGAAGTCATTACTTGGATTTAGGCAAGCCTCTTTCTCAGCCTCAGTCCTCTGCCCCCCAAATGCAATATGGGGGATAATACTGACTTTACAGAATTGTAAGGATTACTAGATAGTGCATGTTAAGTGCCTCAAACACTAGAAAGCACTTTACAAATGTTGCATTAATGCCTCTCTGTGCTTTCCATTGCTAGATCTGTCAATAACTTAAACACTTGTCACTGATGCTTCTTAGTAGTTAGAAAAATCTGGCTCTTGCCGGAAGCAATGGGAAACACACAAGGTTGGTGGATTGATTATGTCATGAGAGCTGCATCTGTTCATCTTCTGATTCCACTTTCACATGTCAGATATAGTATTGGAATTGCCACAAAACCGACTTTGGTTTTATATTGGGCCTGCATTATATGGCTTATTCTTCCAGAACTAGACAGAACTTTTCTGTAAGCATAGTAGTGATTCAGACAAAAGAAGCACGATCTGTAAGTTTACATTATGTGCAGATCTCTGCAAGCATTCTAGACTGCCTGCATTGCCGGGTTTGGTCAGAAAACTACATCCCAAACTGTTAGCAACTTCTACAAAAAAAACAAAAACCGAGGTGCACTTGCAGGTCTGCGGGTCATGGCCAGTGTCTTAGGAAGGTTTCATTTCTCCCTTTCCATGTATGTACACGTTGCCCTGGGTTTCTGCCTCAGAAACTCAGCAACCACAATTTTGGCCTCTGAAAACGTTTGCGGCCAGTCACCATGGAGCCATGTTATTGAGAGCTCAATTTGTTTCACATTCACATGTGAAACGTATCAATAGAATTTAATTGAAGCATGCTTCCTTATTACAGCAGTCAACCAATTCAAAACCAAACATTGCTGTTTACTAATGGACAAAGTAACCTGCACTGATTGTGTAATGTGTTCAACTTCTTTTAACAGGGCAACTCTCTTTGTCAACTTGTAATGCCTAAAGGCCATTCCTCCTGATAACCAGAGCTATCCTGAGGTAAGGTGTTAGGGATCTGTAGTCCTTAAAAATATCAAGAGGCAATTGTTATAGATAACCATAAGAGGGGAAAACACAACTTCCAAAACAGAATAAATCCAGCAACAGCTTAACACCAAGGTGGAATCTACACATATATAAAAAATGCAGTGAAAATGGTTTTTTAAACTGTCGCTATCTAGTGACACATTTGTATAATGCACTTTACAACATATTTAAAACGTTTTATTTGTAGCTGTGTAGCTGAGTCCCAAGATAAAATGAATGACGTTAAAACAAGTTTTTTTTAAAAAAAGCAACCCAAAAATAAAACACTCAAATATTTTAAGATGAAAAGCAAGGGCAAATAAGGTCTTCACCTAGTGCCAATAGGAATACCAAAAAGGTGCCCAGTGAGCCTTTACAGAAAAGGCAGTCTACAACTGGAGCACCAGCAGTGAAAAGGGCCTTAGAATATGACCCTAAAGTCTTGTTAGTTAGCAAAACTAGGTGACCATGTGAATTCCTAGAGAGGAGCTTGCAGTCGCTTCACTCTTTTCCAGTTCTTTTTATTGATGCCCAATGCTGAGCTAAGCCAAGGTTTGGTGAAACATGTTGTCCAAACTGGGACTCATGGTTAAGCTCTCTGCTCACCAACTACAAGTTGTAGCCAAGGTTTATTCTTGGTTCTTTGCTTCCTACATTTGTGAAATTTCATTCAGTGTCTCAAAGGGACACCTGTACTGAAGTTTTGGAAAACATAAAAAAGTTCAAATCCAACCAATTAACTGCTTGAAACAGTGATGATTAATAGAGTAAAATTCTTTAATTGGCTGGCAGCCTTAGAATGACCCTGTATTGAAATTAAGCCTAAGTAACTATGACTAGATTTGCACAAAGTCCTCTCCTATTAACCTTGCCCCTGTTTAGATTGTAAGCTCTTTAGGACAGGTTTTTGCTTATGTTATCTCTCTTCAAGAAGGCAGTAAGTGAGAAAGTAGAAATGAGTGGAAAGGTCTGCATGGAAAGGATGACTAGAAGAATTAGAAGTATTTGTTGAGATGGAGCAAAACTGGAAAACTATAAGCAGCAAAACCTGAGAATGAATGGCAAAGGTGGGTTTCAAAATTAGATTTCAACTGGAATTATTGTTTAGTGAAAGGGTTTCAGGGCTGAGATTTTACAAAGAATACTGTGTAAGTTTCTCGGCACAGGCCTTGTGCTGCTGGCAACAGAATGTGTATACACAATTTAGTGAACAGGAACTTGTCTTCATTACATATCCTCAGTATTGAGACCATGTAGTACTTAATATAGTGAACGATTGCCTGATATCAATGGAAAGAAAGAACTAAACATTTAATAAGCTGTCAGCGGTAATATTTTACAGGAAATACTGACTAGTAAGGACCACACATCTAGTATAGAATATACAAAGATTTTTAGTAGGTTCACCAAGAAAAAGAGTCTTTTTGGTGACGGGGAAAACAGGCAGGAAATAATTTTACACTAATGAAGTGTGTACCATTCGCAAAGGTTTCCTTTTGAACAGTTAAAGCCTGCCCACTACTACAGCAGAATCAAATGTTATGTTGGGTGAAGCCTGTCTAGTTCAAACTGCAACAAAAGCCAACAACCTGGGCTTTACTGTTGATTTTGCAAGACTCACAGTGAGTGTACTGAGTGGGAATGCAGTTCACATGATCCACTTTGTTGCTGCCAATGTCAACAACCGGCACTACAACCCCTGCATTGATGGCATCCCTGCCATCCAAAATATGGTCAGAGGATTGATGGCTCTCATGGGAATGAAAAAGTTTTCCAGAGATATACTTCCTGCATTGACAACTACCAGAACTGCAAGTGAACTTAGCCAGAATTTGGCTCTAAGCATAATGTCACATACAGAAGTCATGGTACTTTACTTACGGATGTGGTTTCATTTCAATATAATTTTTGGGAATGAAGCCATCTTTGCCATTGAGTTCCGCCTTGTACCAATTTTGATCACATTCTTCGTTCAAAACCTGGGAGAGAGGGGATTAAAGAAACACAAAATTACATTTCAGGATAGCATGATGTTGATGCTCTAATTTAAGCCTACTTTATGAAAAGCCAGATAGTTTCAAAGCACTCTTACCCTACTCCAGTAGCTGAAAAGTAAATTATACCAAGTCAAACTACATTCTGTAGACATTTCAAAGTCAAGCCATATTCTGACACTCGCTATGAAATATGGAATTACTTGTGTTATATAGAGCATGTGTTTTGTCTCCTAGGAGGACCAGGCACTGGTATGTCAGCTACATCCAATGCTAAGCGCTATTACCTTTAAAAATCCATCACATGATCTACATAAAGCTATTTTATAGCCTATTACAGCCATTGTTGAATTGTACTGTGTACTTCAAATCTGAAAGCCTATAACTGGTTTCTTTTTAAATTTACCCTTCAACCAGCTTTGTATTTGATCCCCTTCTCCTATTAAGATTGTCTTAAGAGCTCTTTCAAGTCTTAAAGCCGCTCACACTTCTGCTTCTCATTGGGGGTCTGTATCATCCAAAAAGGAACATGGGCATTTCCGCAGATGAAGCAGAACTCCACACACATTTGTGGCCCTCATCTCACCCCCATGAAGCCAGAGTAGTCCAACCTTGTCTCTATACATGTGACAAGCTCTTCCCAAATCAATGTACTCCAGCTGAAGGGATAGTGACATCCAATTAAGATGCTTTGTTTATTAGCTAATTTGCTTCTATGGAATAAGAAACACAATACTGTATATTTCTATGAAAATTTAAAGAGGGCCTTTTTATTGAACAGCCACATAATAAGAATAGCAATGAACACAGATAGTAAACAATTCAGACATAAACACTAAACACAACTTCACAGGGCACAACTCTACAGTCCGCTTAATATGCTCATTTTAAATCTGGTAAATTTAGCTGATTGCAGTAATTTATTAATGATTTCAGACCTCCTGTTAACATTCATATGGTATAGCAAACACTGGTGTCCACACATGCCATTCTCTATACTATTTCTCACACAGAGATATAAAACACAATAAAGCTTCCCTATATAAAAATGCACTGCGTCAGCAGAAATCTGGAAGCCAAACATTTTCATCAATCTAGGAAGAGAACTTCTCTTTGTAGACACTAGACGTGAAGTGAAAATTCCTGCAGAGCTGAAAGCCAAGTCAGTAATTAATCTAACCAAATTGATGGGAAGTAAAGCAACTGTTTCTTTTATGCTAGAACATTTGTGCTTGAGAGGAAGGATATTTTTAGCAACTACACATGAACCAAGACTACTATGCAATGGCCTTAAGTCTGTATCTAGCCTCCTATTACAGTAATAGTAAGGGAGTTCTGGACTGCAGCCTGTCAGATTCCTAGTTTGATAAGAGAACTCTTATCAATTCACCCCCAGCTGTCTCCATGGAAACAGAAAAGACAGCCTTTTTCTGCAATAGCTTGAAAAATCACAAGAGGTTCTCAGGTCAAACTAGACAATGGCCCAATTTCCACAACACATTAAATCACAGTTTAAAATGAACTATGGTTTCATGGAAACAAGCACTGTGCTGGTGCACCCTACTAAATGGTTCTGGGGGTACTCTTCCCCTGTTCCTGCATTACCAAGTGGTGGCTTGTTCTTCCAATCAACCTTTTTGCTGCAAAGACCACCAAAACCTCCAAAGCATAATATATTTTCTGCATTGCCCAGGTTCACCACAGTGAGATCATATGATTTAAATGTGTTATCATTCAGACAGCATCAAAAACACACTAATTCTGTTAATTTTAGGCTCAAAGGCTTTGATTATGTAGTGTTGCTCATGTGTGAACATTAAGGCTGGCAATATCAACCCCAATCCCCGCCGTGTGGGAACCCCTTGCAGACCTCCACAGCGCCTGGAGACAGACAGGTTGTGCATCCATAGCAACAACCAGAGGAGGACTGACTGCTGGGAGGAGCACAGAGAGAAGAAATGCCATGGTGCATCTGCAGCAGCACAACTGGATGCCTTCATCTGCTCCAGCTGCAACAAAACATGTTGCTCCCCTATTGGTCTCTACAGCCATAGCAAGCACTATAACCTTTCAACAAATAGTTTGACTTCACCTCCAAAGAAGCACTCCTCTATTGTCTCCTGAGACAGATGGGTGTGAACATATAACACTTTTCCTACATGGAAGACAACCTACGCGGAAATATTACCAACGCTGAAAATATTTAGGGAATCTCAAAGCTGCCTCTGAAACATAACAAAAGCAGTAACGTTAAATGGTGTACACTATATTCTGTCAGTAGTTTCTCTACTTCATTAACGATCAGAGTAACTGGTTTGTTGGGACTAAGCTAGACAAAAAGCTGAAATGCACAGAATATCCTTGCTTACACTACAGAACTTGAGAATGTATTAGGGGATAGTAACAGAAAAGAAATTTACAATTAAATATTTAGCTATCACCCCTTGGGGAAAATCAGAACCAGTCATTTAGCTTCTGACTGCTTCTCTTTAGAGTCATGCATTGTCCTGGATATTACAAACCAAACCAAAAAGCCATTCACTGTTTCATTTCTGTCTGTTCCTTTCACTCACATGTGCCACTTTATTAATCTTTTAGTGCAGCCAGTCGTTCTTTTAAGCAGCTCAGCCCTCATCATAGATGCATGCTAACTCCCATGAGCTTCCACCCCAAAAGAAAAAAAATTTTCTTAAAAAGAGGAAGCAGAACATTCTAAGAGACAAAGAGCTGCGTTTACTGCGAGTGCAGTGAGCAGTCTGAGAGCACCAGCCCCTTCTAACTAGCTACAGCACTCAGGATGTTATCAAGGAAACAGAAGACTGAACATCCTTCCTTATTTGCAGCTCAATCTACATTTAACAGTGAAACTGAGGAATAAAGCATTTATTCAGGGAACATACATATCAGTTCATACTTTGGTACATCCTAGTAATATATATACAGCAGCTCCCCATCTCAGATTCTGAATGTCTGCTCAGGGCCCAAACTTGCAACTACGTTACAGCTTAGTAAGTACATACTATATTTTTGAGTTATTTACCATGGGTAGTTTTTCCTTACTCTTCAAATTGTACGTGTTATATCCTGGTATATTCTTGTTTCCTCCCACCTCTGAGACCGTTCAGCAGCAAACTGCTGCTACTTATACAGTGGTACCTCGGGTTAAGAACTTAATGTGTTCTGGAGGTCTGTTCTTAACCTGAAACTGTTCTTAACCTGAAGCACCACTTTAGCTAATGGGGCCTCCTGCTGCTGCCATGCCACCAGAGCACGATTTCTGTTCTCATCCTGAAGCAAAGTTCTTAACCCGAGGTACTATTTCTGGGTTAGTGGAGTCTGTAAACTGAAGCGTATGTAACCTGAGGTACCACTGTATTAAAAACCCAACAGCCTCCCTTTTTGTTTACATCAACCTCAAATGTGTGCACGAGCTTACAGTCTATTTTGTAAAAACCTCAAGAACTTTCTCATGACACGAAATTCGGCCAGAGGTGGTCTAAATTTAATCGAAACCTAACTTGTGCTTACATTGGTATCTGCTAAAAGCATTCCAAGTGTCAGAGAGAGATGTTTAAAGTAGAAGTGTTAGCCCCTTTCCTTTTCACCTGGGTGACTGGCCTGGCACATCTTCTTGTTCACCTCAATCTCTTCCCCATATATTTTAAGTTCCTGCTGGGAAAATAAACGGAACATGCCAGGCCGCTGTGATTGTCAATTGTTTGGTTGCTAGAAACTTAATGAAGTCTGCAGCTGGGATGTACAAAGCTGGTGCTTTTCCCCCAGGCAGCTGAGTTACAGACCACATAAATTCATTATAATGTAGAATGGCACAGCCCCTTCATAAACCAAGGTGATGTGGACCCCCGGCCCTGCAGTCATTTGAACATGCTTCTATTATGCTTTCTACGCAATATAGTGAGAGCTGGACCATAAAGAAGGCCGATAGCTGAAGAACTGATGCTTTTGAATTATGGTGCTGGAGGAGACTCTTGAGAGTCCCATGGACTGCAAGAAGATCAAACCTATCCATTCTTAAGGAAATTAGCCCTGAGTGCTCACTGGAAGGACAGATCGTGAAGCTGAGGCTCCAATACTTTGGCCACCTCATGAGAAGACTCCCTGGAAAAGACCCTGATTTTGGGAAAGATAGAGGGCACAAGGAGAAGGGGACGACAGAAGATGAGATGGTTGGACAGTGTTCTCAAAGCTACCAGCATGAGTTTGACCAAACTGCAGGAGGCAGTGGAAGACAGGAGTGCCTGGCGTTCTCTGGTCCATGCAGTCACGGAGAGTCGGACACGACTAAACGACTAAACAACAACAACAATGAAATATAAGTGTTAGCCATGCATTACAGATGGACCCAACTAGAACATAAGGATAAATACAGGTATTAAGAAGCTCATCAGTTTCTATTATCTTTAAAGTTCTTAAACCTTTGTTTTAAACTCAGTACACAAATTCTTAAAATTCATTCCCACCATTCCCAAGTTTGGTAGTCTGAATGCCTTCTCCCCCTTCCCTTCCCTTCCCTTTCCTTCCTACTAGAATTACTATCATAGTATTGCATTAGGGGGATTACCACTTCTGCTCAACATTAATGAGGTTGAGAATTCTCAGCACTTAAAACCAAGATACCATCACCACACTCAGCTTCCTGTAACCAAATCAGGAACTGACACTGATCAAATATCTAAGAATGTGATAATGGGACTAATGTAGCTCTATCTACCTTCTGGGCACCTTCAGAACTCTTAGGTGGGGTTGGAAACTGGATCTGGCCAACGGGCCGATACTTGCCTTCCCCACCAGTATGGGTCAACTTTGATTGGGGCAGGGAGCACCATGGTTGAGGATTTATAGAAGCTGTATTTAGTGGACACATGTAGAAAAGAGTAAAGAGATACATTAACTGACATCATGTGGCACCTTCAAAAGGGTGAGCTGTAACTGCTGATCCGATGATACAGTGAACCTCTATGAAGAAGGTGTGCTGTCAATGCTAATCAGTTGAGAACGAAGCTTCAAAAGGTGCTTGTTTGGCTCTTTTGGAGATGTGTTCTGCCCCACACCCAGTGTCACATATTCTGGGACCCGGGCCAGGACTAATTAGGCCCACAGGCCAGAGGTTCCCCACCCCTGCTCTTAGGCATTTGTCTTTTCCATATGCTTTGGCACAACTTTTGAAATTGGTCATGCCAATATAAGTGACTTTGATCCAAATAGTCTTTCAGATGACATTGATGATAATCTTCTTTGCACAACCACGTGAAGAGCTTGTTTATCCATCGACTAATTTATGTGTTCTTTCTATATCCATGCCTCTTTCCAGCCATTTCCCCTTAATGTCACCAAGCAACTACCAAAGACAATTCATGCTTTGCCACTAAATGCAGCTTCTGTAAACCCTCAAACATGGCTTTAAAGAGCCATTGCTCAAGAGGCATGGGACTATATTGCTGACCTAGTTTTAACTGTGAAACAAAACTGTATGAAGTAAACAACTCTTTAGTCATGAAAATGACATACATGTAACCCTTCAAAGACATGCATGCGGGAAAAACTACTGAAGCTACTGTTTTCTCCTTTGATCTATTTTTTTTTTTTAAGACAAGGGTGGCAAATCCTCAAGCAAGAGCAAACTCACCAAGCCATTTTAAATGGACCACCAAACCGACTGATACCTTCTGAAAGGCACCTCTTCCTGACCTTGCAAAAAGCTCCTCTTCTTCCTGTTGTGTGCTGATGTGCTAGTGCACAAAAAGGGAAGGAACACATTTGCAAGGAAAGGAAGAAGGAAGTATCTTCCTCCCTACTGCAACACTGCAATGGAGAGGAGTGGAAATGCTGCCTTTTACTCTTCACCAAAAGATCTGTGAACAACAAAATACAGTGCCCTTCATCACACCACTGCAATGGTGGGAAGCAGGGAGCTGTTTTTGTGACAGAGGGCATAAGGCCCTCATTGGAGTGGTCGACTTTCAATGCGGTCCTCAGGCTGGAAAAAAAGTTCACCTTCCCTGCTTTATAAGGGCTCAGTCAAAATACTGTGTTTTACAAACTTAGGACAATCTAAAGATTTGTATATTTGATCAAGACAAATAATAATACTAATGATAATATTTTTCTGGCTGGGTTTTCCCAGCCACTCTGGGCGGCTTCTGGCAAAATATAAAAACATAATAAAATGTCAGAGATTTAAAACTTCCCTGAATAGGACTGCCTTCAGATGTCTTCTAAAAGTTGTGTAATTCTTTATTTCCCTGACCTCTGATGAGAGGACATTCCACAGAGAGGGCGCCACTGCTGAGAAGACCTCTGCCTGGTTCCCTGTAAATTTACTTCTTGCAGTGAGGGAACCACCAGAAGACCCTTAGAAGTGGACCTCTGTGACTGGGCTGAATGATGGAGGTGGGGATGCTCCTTCAGGTATACTGGGCCGAAACCAGTAATAAAAAGAGTATGCTCAAGCTTCCTCCCTACTCTTCAAAAATCAGGACACATACTTGAGCTCAAACATTTTGGCTTACATAGTCTTATTATTTAAAAAGCGATATAAAATGCTCCATCAGAACTGCATTAACAGACTATTCCAACAGATATCCATCATCGCTCAATATGAGGTTTGTCCATATTAACTGTTAGATTTCTTTTAGCTAACACAACTTACAAAGGACGTAAAAATGAGCTTACCAAAAAAGGGAGGCTAGCTTACCAGTCTGTATTTTGAAAAAGCAAGCGTACCCTAATTTTGTTATTTCCAGCTATCACTATTTTCACAGCTATTGAAGAAGGGGTTAAAGCAGGGAGTTCTCTCTAAACCTAGAACACTTAACGGAATGAGATGAGAATAATACGATTACCATAATCTACCTCACACATATACAGCTGGGGTCTTGCCTAATCACTCCATTCCAAGACAACCGGAGAAGCTTGACAGGGATAACAGGCCAATTTCCGAGAATAAGCAGCTTTTCAAGGTTTACCCCCTCCCCGACCTGCAAAAGCAAGTAAACATGTTTTGCCAGCTCCTTGGTCAAAAAGGCAATCTGCAACAGTGTGCATTGTCTGACATTAAACTAGGAGGACCCACTAACACTGATAAATCTTACAATGTTTATACAACAGAAATTTACATTTCTTCTTGGCCGAATATCATATCATATATTTCAATGCAGACTTTCCTTCCGGAAATCAAGCAGAAGTGGTATTCATTACAAGTGACTGGCTGATACACCCAACCCTAAGCTTGCATCCAAGCACAAAATCATGCCATATGGTCATCAACAAAGATCAAGTATGCCATGGAATTGCAGCTCAAGGAAAAGAGTCTAAACACTGCTTTATGTAAATCCTTTTTTTCAGAGGTTTGCTATACTGTAGCTAAACAAGAGGACAGAGAAAAAAATTTTGGGGGGGGGGAGGGGGCATGGGGTTCTTATATGTAGTGAAAAGATGGCTGAACTATGTCTGGCATAGTTTATTTAACAAACAGCAAAGCCAACAAGGAAGAATTCATGAACGTGACTAATCTGTTACTTTTCCAAAGGGACAGATGAAGACCTAAATTTTATTGCAAATCCACCTGCACGACTGGATCAGTACAGAAGTGCAAAATACTCACCATGTGTAAGTTTTGTCTCTTCCCATGTTATTACATGAAGAACAGCTGCAATGAGATTTCTACATATAGCTGTATAAAGTAGGATCTCACTTATGTTGCAGGTATAAAAGTCTGTGGCACACAAAATTAACTACCTGCCTATACTCCAGCACTAAGAAAAGAAGAAAAATATAAACTAAACTTTTTCTTAGTTTAAAAGAGCAATGCTATCTGTGTTCTGATTAACATTAATTTTCATTTTAAAGCCACATTAATTGTTTACTAATTGACTTGTCACACAAATATCAGTGAGTAACTTGGGCCTATCTATTTAAATGGGCCTACTCTGAGTAGGACTTGGTTGGAGAAAACATTTGATTATTATTTTTTTGTTCTGTTTGTGTGTGTGTTGATTTTGTTGCCCCACAGGGAAGTAAGTGGCATAATATTGTTTCTATTTTCTTCAAAGTTACTCCTAAGAAAAGTTGTCTTAAACTACATTAAAATTATATTGCCATCATTTTGCAACCCAGTAGTAAACTCAGAACTGTAGTTCACGCAATCTAAATATGAATCCTAATATTAGATGCTATAAAATCATATTAAATAAAGGACCATGCATATAGAAGCAAATCAGACCACAAGTAAGAGAAGATTACATATACCCACTTTACCAAAGTGTAGAATTTGCATATCCACTTCTAATCGAAGTTCATTACTGTATTTTAAAATAATTGTTGCTAAAGCCCACCAATGCTTTAGTCTGTTAACTGCATTACTGCATCTCAGCTTCTTCGCTTTTTCTCTGACCTTCTCCAGCTACCTCTTCCACCACATGGACAACACCAAGCCAACTATTAACTGGGGATGTAAACAAATCGGAGAAGTTCATTTCTTGCTCAAGGGCTTAAACAAATGGGACTGATGGCTATCCACAACACTGCAGCAAAGGAGGCTTTCAAAGCAGCCAGCGACAGCTTTCTCTATTAAAATGCATGTGAAATGTAGGTCAACAGCAGCACTGGCCCATTTTCAGCCAAGGACAGGCTGCATTCTGTTTTGAGATTTGTGGCTCATCATAACATGCAGAGGTGCTTTATATCTATAATGGACAATAAGATGGACACAGTAAGATTTTTTTATTCCTTCAAGAAATGGAAGGAAGGATGATGGGTAGCTGAATAAATTGTTCCAAAAGTATGACAAAAACAAGGATACAACTTAAAGAGATTTATAGTAAACAGCTATGTCCAGAGCAAGCAATTTCTATCACAAGACTCCTTCTTTGCCCACAAAGCCCTTGTTCATATTATCTCTACAACCATTATGGTACATCAGTTGATTAAAAGGATGGTCACAAGTAATATGATTTTGTATGCCCCCTCACAGGAGTTTCTTTATTACAATTTTATCATTGCATCTTTATGTCCATGCTATCCAGCTTCCTAGAACTTACAGTTCTACTTACTTTTAAGGACCACCTCCTTCTATTCAGAGTCACTGAGTACTCCTATGTGGAAATTGCTTGATGCGGCAAACTACTTCCGATGTATTAACATAAAATGCAGTGAGGCTCCCACTGCGAAGCTCTATCATGCTGCAGGCCAATACAGGGGACATGGAACAGCTGACACTTGAAGGCAGTTTTAAATAGCTGCCATGGGGAGGCTGCATTATGAAAGGCATTCAGGACTGGGAAAGTGTTTTGGGGGTGGTTATGGAAAATCAGAATAAGCCCCTCTCAACGCCAGCAGCGCTTTTACAATGAGAACCATCTGACAAGCAGAACTGGCCTTACCAAGAGGAAAACGCAGGACTTAGTTTCCATTTATTTAGAAATGCTACTTGGGATATGATCCATCAAAGGCTGCAGGAGAAAAAGCGCACAGGTGTGGGAAGAAGAGAGTGGGAGTGAGAAAAGGAAATGGTGCTTTAACAGCTCCAGACATGGTCAGGTTGCAAAGGAACTGTCTAAGAACAAATGCAGACCTCTAGATTTACAGTTCTAGGCTAATTTACCAAATTCTTCCTCTAAGCTTAAAGTGTCAGTCCTGCAGCAGTCCTGTGTGTGTTCAGACCATTTTCTGGGCAACCATCTTAATTTTATGTAGGGCATCTGTGCTGTGTAATCCACTTTATAACTTGCCTTCATTCTATTATGATTTTATTTAAGGTGAGAAGCATGACAGCCAGTCAAACTTTATAAAAGCTCATATAGAAACTTTTCACACATTGCAAGAGAAGTTAAAAAAATACAGATATAGAAAGTTGACCAAGTTGCTGGCTTGATTTCTTACACTCTTGGAACAGTGTCAAGCCAAGAAACTTTCCCCGTATAGGATTATTTTTTTTAACCCTACTTTTTTTAAAAGCATATATTTATGAACCTTCTATCATTCTGGTATACCAGAATGCTTTTCCTTCCAAAGTTGGTAAGAAATAATTTAGTATTCTTCAAACATTATGAATTTCTATTCATATCTTATGAATGTTTCAAAGTAAAGTCTTGTTATACATGTGCTAATGCCAAAAAGCAACCCAGATTTTTTTACTAACACGACATTCCTAGCTGGTGCATGGCAGCTCACAGGAACTGCCTGAAGCACGAATGCCTCAAAAGTAGCTCTCTGATGACTTATGTCTGGGCTGCAATAACTCAAGCTACAGAAAGAATTTAACAACTAGCGCAATCAAGTTTGACACAATAATAGCTAAGATTCACTGTCTATTTTGCCCATATTATAGGTGAATTCCCAATTTCACTATAATGGGAAGAACACAAAGAATTTATTCCAAAGTTGTCCAACAGATTTGTATTACTACAGATGGCGCAGAAGCTTCTAATACTACTGAGAAGTTTTTTAAACGACACCTTTCGGGCCTTGTGAGAAGCAGGATTATAATGATTCAAGGAAGAGTTATTTTCTGATCTTATTTGTGTCCTCCTCTCTCTAGCTCTCCCTTAAATCATAAAGCGCCGCCCAGAAACCTGTCCTTCACATTGGTCTTGAAAGTGCCCATCATGAATTTTACACGAATTATGCAATAACTTAGTTTTCAGGGTTGAATTAATATATGCCACAGTAACCTTTCCTGGGTTGGGTACATCTTCACTCATTCCACTCTATTTGTTATCAACATTTGATCAAAAGACCATCTCCAGCCAACCCGTTATATACACATCTGCTCTGCAAAGTACTTCTGCAATAAATCAAAATGCCCTGTGTGTACAAGCACACAAGTGGCGCTCACTGTCAAGCCTAACCTGTGTAGGCTTTAACGGCTGCTCATATTTTATTAGGGCCAAGACAAAGAAACACCAACATGCTTTTCTTATGCTATTCCGAAACTTTTTCCAGCTCTTCAACGCCATCATTTCCCAAGGTTAGTATTTTTCCCTCCTTGGTTATGGAAATGCTGTAATGCTTTAAGTGAGGTAGCCCATGTTTTTCCTTTACTTCTATAGTGCTGCTTTGGCAGAGAAACGGGATTATTAAAGCAACTTTCGTATTCAAAGATGGATACAACTGCCAAATAACAAACTAGTACAATATGAATTGGCAGGTTACTAACCCTGCAGATCAACAGTGCGGTTCAATGTAGTGCAGTTCAATGTAGCACTAAGGAGATCGTTCTGTCAGCACTAGGATTTCTGCTTGCCCAATGGAAAAATCTCCCCTCCCCTCTCTGTGTATGCAGAATGGGCAGTTGAATCTGGCCCTATATATTGCTACTCACAAGCCTCCAAGGATGATTTTAAAACAGAAACCCTAGCTAAACATTTTTGTGTTCTAGGTCAGGTATCAACTCAGCATACAGAATTCTGGTATGCTAACGAAGGGGGCAGTAATTATGCATTTTCAAGTGTTTGAAATAAATGAATGTTTCCTGAAGGGAACCAGCAAAAATAAACCAGGTACCTTTCCCAAGCAAGATTAGCATTATTGAGAAATAGAACTATTTTGATAAGGTGCCATCAGTATAAACACTGCACTACAGAATTAATCTAAGCAAACGGCAGGCCTGTGCCCTAAGAAGCCTATAACCTAAATTCATTTTGGAAAGGGAGAAAGGAAGGGAGAGACACATAATAAGAGATCAATGCAAGTGAATGTATTGTCCATAACTATTTGCACCAGGGAGAGGGTTACGAATGTCCTAGATTATGTATAACAGAACAAGCCTGTTGGTTATTTTCTTTTTTAATCACAGGTATGGAAAGATATATGCAACATTATGCTATTGCTTATGGACTACAGCAGGTGCTTGCACTAGAAAACTATCACAAGACTCTAAAACAGTAAACACTCCTAATAAGAGAATAAATGTATAGGCAATAGCAGCTTTTAAACATATTTTTTAAAATCTCTCATTCTGAAATCACACACATCGATTTACTCTTAAACTCAATGCAGCTGTACTACCAACTGGTGTGCAGCTAGAATCAGGCTATGAGATCATGTCACTTTTTTAAAAAAAGTAAAGCATATAACCCACATTTTCCTCTTCAAGTTGAGACATACAAAGCAGCTAAGAAAATCATAGAAAAAAGTGTAACAATGCACATTCTGCTGTTCCCTAGCTCCTCCGCTTACTTGTAAATTTCCACTGAAACCCATGTTCAGCACTGTATGCCATAATTTCTAGTCCACTTACCGGTTTATCTGTAGCAGGCCTTAAAAGTCAGAAAGACCCCTGTCTTTCACCACACCCCCATAATACAGGGAATAGTAAAAATTACTGATGTGATTCATATACCCAGTATCTAGTTCTGAACACCAAGCTGATCTCCAGATTTTATGCTTTTAAAAATTAATCTTGCAAGTTAATGAGTGTGAAGAAAAGCTGAGGATCTAAATTAAGCATAAATTAACTGAACATTTATCAACAAACAGCATGAGGAAGGCAGCCCCAAGTGAGAAGTGCTTAATTAATCTCACGCTGCCAACTCAAAAGCTAAAGGGGGAAATACTGGTGATATTTTAGCATAACTAATGTCCTTATCCTAGCTTACTACTTGCCTAGCCAGTAGCCAAAATATATCTTCAACTTGTCAACAGCTTTGAAGATGTAGCTGTATATTAACAAGTCTTTCAAGTGATTGAAATGCATAGTGCAAATTATTAATTTAAAATATGCATCAAGGCTATTACAGTGGTCTATCTTAACATAGTCATTAAGAGATATCTTACATTTAAATGAAGCTGAAATAAAAGTTTCTGGACCATAAAAAACAGCGTTCTATAAAAGATTTCAGCTTGCCCTGGTTTTCTATACCTCTATCCCAAATAGCAGTCAGATGTAAGATTCTGCTGCCATTCCTGGTATTTGCAGGTATTAGGATAAAGGGCCATCATTAGAAACTACACTCCGCTTCCCACCTGCAAGCACTCCAGTGTGTTTTGTGTTTCTTTTAGAACATTTATGGTGCATACTATGATCCATGGTTGAGCCTACATACATGAAGAAAGAAATTGGGAGTGGAGAGACACAACCAAATTGCTTATGTAGCTTGCTAAGATGGCACAGTGAAATATTTTGTTTTCCATGAGGAAAAAAGCCTGGAAGCTTTAAGTCAGAATTCCAATGTTGACAGCAAAGTTGACCTTTATACTTTGAATAAGTTACTCATAAGGCTAATTCACAAGATGCTCATATAAATGGCCATATACATAGTCCTGTGCAAAGTGCTATTTACATCTGCACTCTAGCACTGATACTTTGAGTTACATGGTATGATAGTTATACATTTTGTTGAGACTTCCCCGGCATGTGAAGACAGGCTGAGACCAATAATGGGTCCAATGGTGAAGGCGGCGGTTTCTGCACCTGCTGTCGAGGGAAGTGAGAGGCAAATGGGTCTTGCCAACCTAAGAGGGTAGCCCATCTGGGAGAAGGAAAGCTCTGGTCCTAAACCGTCACTGCCTTGTGGGATATCATTGGGAGAAGATAAGGCTAAGTAGTAAACCCTACACAAATCTGGAGCAGAGTCCCTTAGATGGTTGGATGGCACCTTGCATGAGTCCTCCTTCCAACAAATCCTGCAGCCAAGCTGGCATTGCTCTGGTTCCTCTTGGACCACATCAGTGAGGCCGAAAGGGTGTCTTGTCATCTTTGCAGCCCAGGATCTCCATACACAATGCCCAGGCTTGAACCTTGGGGAGCTCACTTCGGTGTTGGTAACACAGCAGTTTGACTTCACCCCATTGTCTCTTGAGACAGATGGATGCTAACAACATGTACATGTGAAATGATAGCCAGGAGATTGCCTGATACCAAATTAGTTGCCCTTTCAGCACTCTTTTACCCAACCCAGGCTTTCCAGCTAGCTGCTACTGCTCCCCCACACCACTCTGCTTATAGTTTACTTTTTGCTGTTTTACCTTCTCTCTCAATCTTGGTAGAATTTTTATGACCGTTGTGAGCTGTCCTGATAATTCTGTTAAATTAAATGGGGGCATAAAATGTTTAAATTAATAAATAAAGCAACCACTACCAGAGGGACATGGCAGTGCTTCTTTTCAATGCAACTCTGCACTGTTCTGTTTGTCATTAAAAAAAAAATAATGTAGCTGCTCTTCCTTTTATTATCTGCTGCAATGCACTTCTGCCCACATTATGGGACTTCCATTTTTATTTCTTCTCCCATGTAGCACTCCAAAATCTACAAGGAGTTGAATAATGTCCCATTATATAACCAGACGTCCAGCTGGAATCCTTTCCTTGTTCAGGGCATGGTGTGTATTAGCATTCATTCTGTTAAGATGGGGACGCGGGTGGTGCTGTGGGTTAAACCACAGAGCCTAGGGCTTGCTGATCAGAAGGTCGGCGGTTCAAATCCCTGGGACAGGGTGAGCTCCCGTTGCTTTGTCCCTGCTCCTGCCAACCTAGCAGTTCGAAAGCACATCAAAGTGCAAGTAGATAAATAGGTACCGCTCCGGCGGGAAGGTAAACGGCGTTTCCGTGCACTGCTCTGGTTCGCCAGAAGTGGCTTAGTCATGCTGGCCACATACACCAGTAAAGCGAGATGAGCGCCACAACCCCAGAGTCATCCGCGACTGGACCTAATGGTCAGGGGTCCCTTTACCTTTACCTTAAGATGCATTGTCAGGTAAGATATTTAAATAGATTTAAAAGTCAAGGTTTAGCACTGGTGAAATGTCAGAGATTTTCTGGGTAACTAGTTTACCCAGACACTTTTGCAACCCTCCTTCTATGGATCTCCAGGAAGTGCCTATGTGATATCTTATTTGACTCCTACAACCACTATTTGAAGTAAAAGGTAAAGGTAAAGGACCCCTGGACGGTTAAGTCCAGTCAATGGCGACTATGGGGTTGAGGCGCTCATCTCGCTTTCAGGCCAAGGGAACCGGCGTTTGTCCACAGACAGCTTTCCAGGTCATGTGGCCAGCATGACTAAACCACTTCTGGAGCAATGGGAGACCGTGACGGAAATTGGAGTGCACGGAAACGCCATTCACCTTCCCACCATAGCGGTACCTATTTTTCCACTTGCACAGGGGTGCTTTCGAACTGCTAGTTTGGCAGGAGCTGGGACAGAGCAAAGGGAGCTCACCCCGTCGCAGGATTCACACCGCCAACCTTCTGATCGACAAGCCCAAGAGGCTCAGTGGTTTAGACTACAGCACCACCCGCGTTTGAAGTAGGCGAAACTGAATGACAAGAGGCTCACCCAAAGCAGGTCAGCAAGATTTATGACTGAATGTGAATTAAAATGCAAGTATTCCCTGTCTAAAAACAGCACTTTATCTACTATAGTAGCCTGACTCGTGTCTAATCAGAAACATGACTGAAAGAAGCAAAGATTAGCACATGATCTAGTTAGTCAAAAGCTACTTTCCTGCATAACACCTTCATTTTTCATGTCACCAAAACTGTCCCAGACAGAGATGAAGCAGTAAATCCACTGGCAATGTAAATTTTCAAGTACAAGAGTGTCGTACGCTAAATACTAGAAACAAAAAGCACTGGATCTAAAACAGTGACATATTACAATATGGGAACTTGCAACACTAAATAAGATTACTTTGACCCTATGGGTAAGAGAAGGGATACAAAAGATTAATAGATTTGAACAAGAATGGAAATTTCAGATTTTTTGGAACAACACGTATGAGTTGATTGAGTTAGACAGCAACCCCTTTTCTATAAGATTTAGCACTAAGATGATTAACAATTAATATGGCATTTATTTTAGTAAGGCCCACTCTAGTCTTGTTTTCCTTTCTCTGGGTTTTTATTTGTACTGGCATGTTATTGTTAAGGTACACTTCACTTGCCTGTTTACTTACTGAATGACTATTTCTTTACTTTACAGCTTTATTTATGTTTTAATGTTTTAATGTTTGCTTTTTGTTTTTTTAAAAAAGAATACTAAATACAGCAGAAGCTTCTGACCCAATGTTTCCTGCACACTGAGTTCCTCTTTCACTGTAACAAGCAATGGAATAAAAAGGTAGACAAATAGCCTATCAGGAAGTTCATATTCATATGCAACATACCCACACACTGAGCCTACATTAAAAGCACACAGCTATTTACTGAACCAATCATCATCACCACTGACTTTGTGAGGCTAAGTAAAATCACCTCCAAGAGATACTGTTTCCATGACACAAGCTAGAAGAGTAAATAACACAAGGAAGCATAATGTAAGAGGGTGCGGTAAAGATCTAAAATTAAAAAGCCGCACTCTCTCAGTGTTAGGGGAACAAAAAAATTAATTGCAGGCAAGAGCTAATACATAAGGTATTAGCTGTCATACATGCATATACTGTATATCGTATATGCTGTCATGTCCCATAAAACCTTTAGAGAACCTACTATTTTGCTAAACCTTCAAATTCCAAAAATATAGGAGAATGCTCTCAAATGAATGATATAGTAAAACAGGCACTAAATACACAATAGAAATGACAAGGCACAGACTATTCAATCGTACATAGGATCAAGAAAATTCTTGCAAAATATAGTCTTAGACACATCCCTGATATTTCGATGAATTAGGTACCAACCCTCTGGAACCTGTCAGAGGGGTGTGACTGATTGCTGTGGGCACTGATGGTAGTCAAATGCTTAAACTTCAGTTCTGGAAGGAGAGATCATCTCCCCCAATTGTGCATTGGGACATGATGCAACTCGCCACCTACAAGGAAGTGCCTTATTGATAAGTATAAAAAGGATGGAAAAGTCAATGGTATATGCAGACTTGTTTGTGTAAATAATGAATACCCAACTATTTTGGGCAACCAACTGAATCTTGTGCCCTATACCCTGCCTCCTCCACCCCCTTCAGTATCCTCCATACACACAAGTACACAGTGATCGTTTATTGCCATTCTTTATTGCTATCTTTTTTATTTCTGTATAAAACATCAAATAGCCAATTTTTTTAAAGTTCTTGGAGACTAAGTCAATGCAACATCTATGCAGCAGTAGGATATTTCACTCTCCTTGGTGGAACATTCAAATCAGGAGACCAAAAGATTCCTTCACTCATATATTCATGCAAAGGTCAAGGTAGGTTCACAGTAGCAGCCCAACAAAGTACCGATAAATATTCTAGGTAAGTAGTGGCAAATCTATTGTCTAACAGACTGTAGCTCACATGAATGGCCAAAGAGATGCATTTTCTCAATCCTAAGACTCTAAATTAGGGTCAGCAAACTTTTTCAGCAGGGGGCCAGTCCACTGTCCCTCAGACTTTGTGGGGGGCAGGACTATATTTTTTTTGGGGGGGGATGAACGAATTCCTATGCCCCACAAATAACTCAGAGATGCCTTTTAAATAAAAGGGCACAGTCTACTCATGTAAAAACATGCTGATTCCCGGACCGTCCTCAGGCTGGATTTAGAAGGTGATTGGGCCAGATCCAGTCCCGATCCTTAGTTTGCCTACCCATGCCCTAAATGGTCCTTGATACATATACTTTCCCCACCTGCTGGTGTATGAATCTCATGGTCCCTACTACTTTAGAATCATAGGATTGGAAGGGTGCATGAGGGTCATCCAGACCAACCCTCTGCAATGTAGGGATCTTTTGCCCAATGTGGGGCTCAAACCCGCAACCCTGAGATTAAGAGTCTCATGCTCTACTGACTGAGCTATCCCTCGGTCCTTATCAGGAAATCATGAAAAAATATATGCACAGAACGACATTAACTTAAGCGTGTGTAATATGGGAAAGTAATTAATGAACAATTGCTTCTACTGCCAATTTAAGCAACAACTGGATGCTTGCTTTTAACCATCCCACTACCACGAAGCCAACATTCTGTCTAACCTAGTGTAAAGGATCAGATATACCTAAAAAGCTCTCCCAAGGTTTTTAAGAGCAAGCATTTGTTTCACATCACTGTAGCTTTGTAATGAAGTGATATCACCTTATCTGAAAGTGTTAAAAAAGGCATTTATATTTGGCATTATGACAAGACACCAATTGGGCCCAGCTGGTTTATCACAACACTGCTAATATATAACCATAAAGCCTCATTAGAAGTACAGCTATTCAATTAACAGAGCGTCAAACAGCTGTCTGGAAGCCAGTTACTCTAGTACAGCTTCATTTCAAGTGCTTAATCACCAATTCTTTTCTGTAACAGTTAGCTTTATGCAAAAAACAAAACCTTTAGGTAAGCAAGGCATTTAACACCAGCTTCCCATATTTAAAATACCGTATGCTAGTGATGTCAGACCACTAGTCTTTCTATTCTACTAGTATTCCACCTCCATTAGTAAATTTATAGAGATTTTTCAGGTTTTGAGAATGATCTATATAACTCAGGTAAGTCCTAATGTGTGGAGACTGGGAGGGGGAAGGGGTGGCAGAAGCCTAAGGCTTTCTGATCCATTTTGTACACAAATGTGCTGATTTTTCAACGGCATATGCATTTTAACAGGACAAGATCTTGCTGGAAAAACAGCCTTTTAAAAGTAGTCCAGAGGAAACAAAGCCTGTTTAGTTCTGCACTACAGAACCAAGCAGGACACATTTTCCTGCACATATTGAGTCTGACGTGTAAGAGGAAAGACAGAATTATCTTATAATCTTTACCTTCTCATAGGAAAATGTAATACATGGGGGGAGGGGGCCGGAAATCTTAATTTATAGACTTACCATTTGGAGAATAGATAATGGCTTTTTGCTATATCATCATAAGCCTTAACCTATCTACACTGTGGTATTTTTTGAAGAAGATAAATGTTTAAGAATATCTTTTAAAACCCAAGTCTACACATACATTCTTGGAGACTCCATGAAGTGTATTTGTGCTTTAATGAAGAGCAACAAGAATCTGGTTAGTATTCCGTGTTTCAAATACATGGATCAAAGTTTTGTGACTTAGCACTATGAGCCACGAGGCACCAGAGGCTAGAGAGGAACACGGAGAAGTACACAGAAGATATAGTATAGAAATTCTGTTTGTGCCTGGAGCAGAACAGTAGGGCTTGTGTGTTTGCATTTGGACTCGATTCCATCTTAAGTAGTGCTGGATAATGAAGTACTGGATGTAGTGTAGCTGTTTTTAATGGTCATGTTACAAGATGCAAAATAGCAAAAAATAAAATAAAAATAATAATAGATTACATGGCTCATCCATATACGGACTTCATTCCTCAGTGATTCCAGTGGGGAGGGGAGCAGAAAGCAGGTAAAGAAATAACTAAGGAATGACCACTTTTGTTTGCAGCATCAGACATGATATGCCATCTGTAGTTTTCCTACACACTCTTACACTTAAAGGTGGTCATGTTCAAAGCAGCACAATGAACTGGTACAGTTAGTTAAGATGTCACTATTCCAGTTCCAACTCAATAAAGGTGAGTGATAATAGCAACCTACCTTTGGGTCAATAGCCAGGGATGAGGGGAGCTGTAAACTCAGCAACATCTGGAGGGCCAAAGGTTCCCCACATCTGTGCTAAAATACCTACTCCTGCCTTAAAGGTATAATCTGGCTTGTTTGATTTTCTCCATTTCATTATCACTACCTGGAGGACTGATAGACCACAGTTAGTTTTCTGCATGCACACAGGTCAAATCTAACTCTGAGCTATGGTTATCACTAAAGAGAAACAGGTTTCCTATGAAGACAATTCTACTTGATTCATTCCTGGTATGCTTTGAAACTAAAACTAATTTGAGAGTCTAATCAAGCTGTTCAGATATAGTTATCTATTTTGAGCATGCTGAACTGAGTAATTCCTCTGTTGTGTTATTACTCAGAGGGAAAGTTAATTGGGAATTCTTACAGAACACCTGTCAGGGAACTGCCATCAGTGCCGGAGGGAGAGAGCAAAATCTAGAGGGATTCCAGAGAGCGTCCCGGGATTGGGAGAGGCAGCCCATCTTCTGGGGAAGAGAATCAGCGTAGCACCAGTGGAGAAGGGGGGCAGATGGGGGAAGAGGCAAGGCGGTCCCATGACTCCGTGCCGGGGACCAGCGGGGAGAGTAGGGGTCCTCCGCTGCCTACACCCTCCTTGCGCAGAAGGCATTCGCGCAGAGAGAGTAGGAGGAGACTAGGCGTCAAAGAGCTTCTTTGCTGGAAGAAGTTTAAGAAACGCCCACTGACGGATTCTGCCAGCGATTGAGACAGCCATGGGTGAGTGGCTGTCCGGACAGAAAAGGTTCACTCAGGCAACCCAGCCAGGTGTTTGTACCGGCTTACGGACGAGCAACCCCTAGAACCACTACAGCACCCTTTAAAAAAGAAACCAGTGTTCAACAACTGAACCTCAGACATGTTGCTTTTGAAAACTGAACATAATAACATCAAATTAAATTGGCATTGCTGAATTTAGGTCCTGCTATCAAGACAAATAAGATCTGATTGGTTCAGATCTCAATTAGACACCCAAATCATCCACTATAATTACTGAGATCTGTTGGCTCCTATATACCATATTTTTCACCCTATAGGACGCACTTTTCCCCCTCCAAAAATGAAGGGGAAATGTGTGTGCATCCTATGGGGCGAATGCAGGCTTTCGCTGAAGCCTGGAAAGCGAGAGGGGTCGGTGTGCACCGACCCCTCTTGCTCTCTAGGCTTCAGGAAGCTATCCACAAGCCTTGGAAGCCCGGCGCGACTTCCCGCCGGGCTCCCAAGGCTTGCGGACAGCAGCCTGCTTCCCGAAGCCTGGGGAGCGCAGCGGAGCGCGCCCCGGGCTTTGGGCAGATATCCGCAAGGCTGGGGAGACCGGCGGGATTTTTTCCCCTTTATTTCCGGCGGGATTTTTTCCCCTTTATTCCCCCCCCCCCAAACTAGGTGCACCCTATGGGATGGTGCACCCTATAGGGCGAAAAATACGGTAACTCAAGAGTAACCTTGCCTGCCCCCAAGAAAAATACCTGATGAGCAAGTTTCTATACACACATCACACTCAAACTAGTAACATTCTAGTGCAAATGATGAAAGTATCAAGCTGGACTCCCACTGAAACCGAATTCATCATTTTAATCAAGAAGTGTGTAATACTAACAGTACAACTGTAGCATAATTGGATTCAAGTAAATAGTTTTCTAAAATTGCTTTAGTTGTTGCCATAGTATAAATACATACTGCAGTTTGTCCATTAAGATACTGTTGCAATGCACTGATGCAATGACAGCATTTTAAATATACTGTCAATTGTTTGGAAACACCTGTTTTATTTTACAGTACTTCAGAGCATATCAAAGTTGTTCAGTCACTGCTAGTCAAGTGTCAGGGTCAAGCGCCCTGAAGATGAGCGCCAGTATTTGACAGACATTTTATGAGTCAGCTTACTTTATTATATACATGCAAATGAATAAACTTAGCTGCAGGCCAGAAATGCAGTTTCAGTTCTTAGGCCCCTGTGCAATTTCACGAAGATTTGCTCATGAAGCATATTGCTCCTGTTTAAATAATTTATTCGATCACACAAAAATGTTCTCTGCTCATGTTTCTAGGTATGTGGAGAAACTGCAAATGACTGACTTTATCCTTATGTTTACAGCTGCCACTGCTCACTCTCTTTTTAGATAATGCTAGCTGCAGAGCAGCCAAGGAAATGAAAGAGCAAAGACCCCTACAGAACAGAGATGTAGGTTAAAGTATGTGCACCTAGTTACTTTGATCTCTGAAGCAACACAGCAAGCATGCAAAGCACCCAGTCTCTGGAAGTTCCCATTCTAAAAAAGGAATGTGATGAAGAAAAAGAAAAACTAAAGTGAGACTACGCAACAATCAGGTTCACAGAAGGGGGAACTTCTACTCGATTATAACATTAAATTCAGAGGAATACAAAGTCTTTCTTGGTGAACTTCAGCAGTAACTTTCATTTACCAATACAAAGTTATGGCTTGCAAGACCACCACAGGAGCTTCGACATACAAATGCTTTGCCTACATCATCAAAACACCACACACAATAATTTTGCACTTGGATAAAATGGTCTCTGTATGAAGAAGGAATACGGAACTTCTGGGATGGGGGGCAAATGTGGCCCTCCAGGCCTCTTTACCTGGCCACAGCTCTCCACAGGCCACATATCTTTTTAAGCCACACATCCCACACCAATATTGCTTTGCACCCTCCTCAAGTCTGGCTGAAACATGTCCTTGGAATTGTGACAATGCTTCTTGCTTGCCTAGATGGAGGATCAAGAGTAATGTGCAAATGAGAAGAAACCACCTTAATGCGCAAAAAGTAAAATTCACATTAACTGTTCTGCCCACTTTTGCCTCTGGCCCTGCTCAGCAATGACATGGGGCTGCTGGAAACTTGCCCAGAAGGGGATGCAGTCAAGTTTCCCCACACCAGGTATGAATGTTTTCCAGGCTCGTCCCAGATGAGTGCAGCCTTGTGCTGATTTTACTTTGGCCTGCCTGATCCTGTCTGTCAGGAGTCTGGCAAACACATTCTGGAAAGGGTGGTTGAATGTAGAGAAGGAATGGGAGGAGACTGGGAAGCTGGAGAAGGATGATCATGAGAAGGGTCCCAGTGGTCTGGGGGAGCAGTAGCTGGGCACCCATAGTCTCTTTCATCCTGCTGAGGAGCCCAGTGGGTTGGGAGATGGGACATGCAGATCCTAGAGAGGCATCTGAGAGCACGTCTAATTTACCTGTTATTCGGATTACCTTATTGTTTAAATACTCCCCAACCACTTGGCAGTCAAACTCCCATTTATCATAATCCATCATTCAAATGATAACTTAACATGGGGATATGTAACTGGCAGATCAGGAAACTTAATCAGGCACCTGTTTGTAGTCTCCATTCCGAAGGACTCAGCTACTTTCCCACACAGAGGAGGAGACAGAGCTCTTCAAGCTTCCCCCACCCCAAGTGTGAGCAGCAATGAAGCACTGGTTGAATCCACCCTGCTTTCTTCCCTAGATGAAGGGAATTTACAAAGGGGAGTCTACAAACGTGGGATTCTGCTGTCAAGTCTAAAGTAGGACTTAAGAGAGCACTTTGCCACTTAATTCTACTGACTGTATAACCTAGTCTTCTGACACAAGTTTGGAGGGGAGGGTGAGAAATGCAGGTTAACGTGCCCTTTGTATCTTCTCTGTTCCTACTGGTGCCTGTCAGTGGACAGAGTGAATTTGTGGCACTTTAAGCCAAAGAATTTAATATCATTTGCCATTTGAACTATGCATACACATTGCTGTGCATCCTGAATTGTGAAAGCTAACCTTTGATCATAGCCAAGAATGCACTTCATATTACTCCTACCTAACATTCCAGTCTTTAAGGTATAGAGTAGATTAGGTGCTAGCTTGTCCAGCTGAAGCCAAATATAATCTGTTTTGTTTTCAGTTATAGACCTTAATGACTAATATAGTTGTTGACTAGTAAAAAAACAAAGAAACTATTTTCCAAGAGGGCTATGAACAGAAACCGTCTCCTGTAAGAGTGCTTTATACCTGAATCTCAAAAACATTAAATCCAAGTCTTGCTCTCCACTTAGGAAGTCTTTTTCAGATTTTTTGCCTCGTTCAAATGTTCTTTTCAGGGGTTTAGCTGAATTGTGGACTGAATATTATTTATCTTTGCTCTTTTTGGTATTCATTAAATTTTAAGAAGGTATCTTTTACTGATGCAGGAGTCCTATTCCAAGGAAGATACTTAAAATGCTTTCTCTAACTGTCATGGAGATATTTAAGGAAAAACCAATACACAAGTGTGCGTGCCCAGCTAAAAAAAATCCAACTCAAATTTCATTCTTACATCTATAGTACATTTTTGAGATGAAGACCATCATAAAATATTTTGCTATTCTGGTACTGAAGACTGATAAATCCTAAACACACTGAGCAGGATTCACCCAACATCACTCATCAATGGAAGGATGTAAGTCTGCAACATGGAAAACACATTAGTTTTGCCTTAATGAATGTAATCTGTTAGAATGGGTGTAATTGGCTGCTAATCTAAACATGAATCTGCAGCAACTAATGGAGGTCATATTGTGGAAGGGGTGGGAGAAGTATGATATATGGGAAGCCCTACTGCCCTTTGCTCACCACATCCATCTCACATCCCACAAATATGTAACCCTAAAAGAAGCTTCAGAAATGCTTTTAAGCAGGAACTGAAAATGCAGCATCAGCACCAGCTCTTTGGAAACAAGACAGTTCTATTTGACGTCTAATCTAAAGGGAAGGAGAACAAACTTAGTGGAAAAACTGTCACGTGAACACCATTTGACAGTAAAGTTTAAAAGATTAGCTGACATCAGTACAGAAGAGTAAGAAGCCTTAAGGACTCAATTAAATCAACCAAGGGGCCAATATGGCACAATTGTATCTAGTTTCACTTTAGTCCACAAGGAATTGACTCATATTCACTAAAATATGGTGCAAAGGAATGGAGTCCCTATCAGTTAATTGAACAGTGTCACTTGCAAGAAGTCTCCAACATCACATATTCCTAAATACCTTTTGACATTCATTGTCCGGCTTTCATCAGCTGTCATGGTAGCTGATCATAAACCTTCAACTCCTCCACATCAGCAATCTTCTAATTACTCGCCATAATTTTATCACTATTGTTATTTTGTAGGGTAGTGAAAATGTGGTGCGCTATTTAGATGCCTGTTCATATTACGAGTGTTCTCTCATATTACTGCATGATGGCACACAGTATTTAAAAGAGGGGAGATGGGGATAGACTCGTGCCCTTATCAGTCGATGGAATCAGCATGTTCATTCTCTCTTCCTACACCATATGCCACACCAAAAGTATCAGCACACTTTCCACTTGGAAAGTTGCCAGCTGGCACGGAGACCCAAAGGACAAAACTCTGCCAGAAATATATTACAGTTTCTCAGGAATAGCATCTTGTAACCTTATAGAGAACACAGATATAGAGCAAACCCAATTACAGCAGGCAGGAACCCCAGGGTAAGCAGAGAACCCTAAATGTATAATGAAAAATACCCCTCATTCAAATTATAAAATAGCTGTAACAGCACTGATAAAGGTGCAATCCACAGGCACTTGAATTTCGGCTCCTATAAGAAGAAGTACAACAAATATTCTTTATGAAATATAGCAACTTCCAAGATCTACACAGGAAATGAGCTGGAAGCTATGAAAGGAATATATTGACCTGTATCTAGTGCAGAGTGGGGAAATCTCTGTTTCTGCAGGCCAAATTAATTAATTAATTTTGTATGCGGCCATTCGTCAAATGATCTCAGGGTGGTTCACAACATAAAAATGCAAGATATGAACACAAAATACATACAGTAACAAGAACACAAAAAGCCTCCGCAAACCACTAACCCCCCCCCCCAAATTTGACAGGTAGACAGGATCACTTTCCAAGTCTCCCTGTGCTACCCCTTTAAACTCCCAATTTCTGAAATTTAAAAGAATAGCTTGGAGAGGCTTGAGAAGAACAGCATTGGGAGGGAATAGCTTCCATTGAGTGGAAACCACTTCCCCCTCTTTGAGCGAAGTGTGCTCCAACTGCCCATTAGCTGAGAGAACTCCTTGCGACAGCAAAGGAAGCCCACTTTAAGCTCCTGGTTGTCCCTTTGAAGCCCTGCCCTAAGCTGCCCCACACCTAATGTCATGTATGGCATCAGGTATTCAGGTGGGCATGGCTTCCTCAAAATGGTGTTGCAGGCCAGTTTTGGCCCGCAGGTCAGAGGTTCCCCACCCCTGGTCTAGTGGATGGTTACTGGTGTATCAGAGCACACTTGCAGCATAGATTTGCTCCTATTTTTCCAGGATTAGGCCAGGAGGCATTAGTGGCAGCAACAGTGAAGGGCAAATTCAATCGTACCTTTAGCAGGAATCTGTGTCCCGTCTTAGGATATCATGGTGTCATCTCAGATAGTAGTAGTGAATGTACTTTGCTTTAGGTGCCTTAAAGATGACTCAGAAGCTTCAAATGCTCTATAAAACTTTGACTCACTTCCTTATATTGCAGGGAGATGGGAGCATATTCAACCAATATTGTGGGAAGTGCACTGATTACTAACCTGTTGGGCTCAATGCAAGGTGCTGGTTTAGAATTTGAGATTTTTGTGTGTCTCCCACAATCCACATCCCTTTCTCACCTCTTACATGTCTCATCATCAGTTAATATATTGCTTTCTAGACTGTCTTTGTGAGAGGTCAGAAAAACCTCTGCATAACACAAAGCTTTGTCAGTGGCTGCTGCAGTATTATAGGAAGGCTGGCAGAGCCAAGAACATCGCTGATGGCTTTGAGAAGAGATTTCCCTTCAGGAAAGCATTTGGAAACTGATGTGTGGGGAATCTGTATTTGAAACTGCTGCAGATTGGATTTTTTTTTTTAATAAGAGTGATTTTTTTGAGGTTTAGTTATTGTGAACTATTCTGAATGTAGGAGAGACAGGAAATAAATGTTTTAAGTTATGAACATGTACAGCTTAATGCAGTTTGGTGAAAACACAGAGCATGCTGCCTAAACAAGCGATAAATAAGTATCACTGCCATCCGTTAAGCAAAGAAGAAAATTCTGATTTCCTTGCCAGACAACATGGGACAGTACCACAGACCTTCCCAACGAAACTGTACAAATCCTGCCTACTTTCTAAGAGAGAAACAAAACATTCTAACACACACACACACACACAGAGAGAGAGAGAGAGAGAGAGTGAGAGTTACAAGCCAGTACTGAACTGGTTTACACAGTTTTGAGTCAAAGGTTAAATATCTTCATTCACTTTTGGAACACTGCCATAAGGTTACTAATGCACAAGCAGCTAATGGATGTAGTTCAAATGCTATTCAATCAAGTTCAGAATACAAGAGTATGTTGCAGTAATGGGAATATGACATCATAAGACAAGTTATCTCCTGAAAATCAGACTGGACTCATACAACATAGCACAGCAGTACCATAGACCTTCCTTCTCCTCAAAGAACATGAAAGAGCAATTCGTTTTTAGAAAAATAGAGACCCACCATTTCTGAATGTAGCAATTTAAGAATGCCATTGTTCTGTTTGATCAGACACCAATTATAAATTCACTGGTAATTATAATTATTTATTTACACAGAAGTAGCTTGTATTCACTAATATTTTTCCTGTGTGGCCAAATGAAGAATGAAATGTTTTTTTTTAAAAAAAATTGCAAACCTATAATTTGTATTTCAAAACACAGTAAACTGCTTCATCAATTTCATCAAAAAGCAGAGTATAACTCTTAAAATAAATAAAATAATGTATTCATTTATACTATTCTCTATTCAGGGTTCAAAATTAGCAGGGCGCCAGGCCCATTTTGCGCCAAAAGATTTTCCATTTGCAAGCACCTCAAAAAGGCTGGGTGCCATTTTTTGTGCCTGGCTGACACTCAAGGATTACAGAAATGTATGTGCTTTGAAGCCTTAAAGTATATGTTAAAGATAGACAATATGTTAAGGAGTTTAAGATTAAAGAGTAGAGTGTCTTCGAAACTGAAGTACGGTACTAATATATTTATTGTAAACACCAAATTAAACATGCATTAAAAATTTCTACTTAAAATGTGATATTAATAATGTGTCACTTATGTGAATAGCATATTAGTTCATGCTTATCAAAATAATAAATAAAAAGTGTTGGCGAGCCCCCCCCCCATGGCGACTAAACATTCTGTGTTGGCACCCACAACCCAGGTCCCAGAAGCTATTTGGCTCCTAGCTTTTATATCCCAGTTTCTAATACAGTGGTGCCTCGCAAGACGAAATTAATTCATTCTGCGAGTTTTTTCGTCTTGCGAATTTTTCGTCTTGCGAAGCACGGTTTTAACGGTATTAACGGTTTTAAGAAAAAGGAAACAAACTTGCAAGACGTTTTCATCTTGCGAAGCAAGCCCATAGGGAAATTCGTCTTGCGAAGCAACTCAAAAAACGGAAAACTATTTCGTCTTGCGAGTTTTTCGTCTTGCGAGGTACCACTGTACTGTCTCTATTTATTCCTCTTTGCAATTTCCATCTTCAGCCTTAACAAGTTACAAGGCATAAAGAGCAAAATTTGCAAAGGAGGAATATGTTAATGACCAGGTGTAGTATAACTCACACCACATACCCTCACAATCTAAAATCTCCTTCCTCCAGATGTACTCTCTAAGGAATTGTAAAACATCTTACTGTTCTCAGCAGACTGCAAGGGCATGCTTAAGAACAAGAGAATTGATTTTGGGGCGGTGGGAGTGTAATTATGATCACTACACAGATGACTACTTGTCAGGATCCAGAACTCTTGACTGAATTTTCAACCAACCTGAAACAGGAAAGTCTTTACTGAGGTATTATTTCACAGTTTTCACACGAATCAATAAGGCTAAATTGTTCTATTTCAACAGCCATTTCTTGCAAGAGGCAGTGAATGTAGGATGCAAACTCTTTGGCTGCACTACACAGGCTGATGTCCATTTTTTTTAGCACAGCTACATAGCTTAGCAAATGTGCTGTAAAGCATTAGTAGCTTTCACTTACCGGTAAATATAGCATCAAAATGATTTTCATTATGCAGGAGTAAATACTGAAAAATTTCTCTTAGTACTGATAATAGTCTCGGTTTTATTACACTTTCTGGGCCTGGTGTGTTAAAAACAGCAAATAAGCAATGCTTAAAATATTTCTCTCTCATGTGCCAGTGGGGTTTAGCTTAAAATGAGAGATTGCAGTCCTTGCTTGGTCATAAAGTCCTGGCTTTTAACCAAGTTGTTATATCTGAGCTAAACCTACTTAGGTTATTGTGAGGCCAAGCCATGGCTGAGTCAGGATTTTAACTTAGGTCATCTTAATCCAAGTCTACCACTACTCACTACACCAGCTCTTGGATCCACATAATGCTTATTTTCACATTCCATGCAGCAGAGGCCAAATTCATATTCAAATTGTGAGACTTCAATGCATTGTCTTCAGCTAAGCAACTTTACCATGGTACTCAATACAGAAGCAGAAATCACATTAATGTGAAACCTGAAAAGAATCTTACTCTTCAACACAATGCCTATTTTTCTAACATTTTGTTCCATTTCCTCCAAAAACGTAATAATGTATATTAGTCATCACATTTCAAAGAAATACGATGAATCAGGTTACTAACATTTAGAATTTGTAAAGCTTTTAACTTAAACATTAAAAAGGTAAAAGGTAAAGAACCCCTGACAGTTAAGTCCAGTTGCAGACGCCTCTGGGGTTGCAACGCTCATATGGCTTTACAGGCCAAGGGAGCCGGTATTTGTCCGCAGAGTTTTTCCGGGTCAGCTGGCCAGCATGACTAAGCCGCTTCTGTCACAACGGAACACCGAAACCAGAGCAGCACACGGAAACGCTGTTTACCTTCCCGCCGGAGCGGTACCTATTTATCTGCTTGCACTTTGTGGCATGTTTTTGAACTGCTAGGTTGGTAGGAGCTGGGACACAGCAACGGGAGCTCACCCCGTCGCAGGGATTCGAACCGCCGACCTTCTGACCAACAAGCCCAAGAGGCTCAGTGGTTTAGACCACTGCGCCACCCACGTCCCACTTAAAAATTTGTTTAAATTAAATAAAGTTTTTGTATTTCATTGGTAAGAAAGGAAAGAAAATTATGAACATAATTCATGGCTGAAGTATTCAAAATACCAATATTTATTATTCACCCTGCCAAGAAGACAAAAAGCCTGTGAACAAGAGGTAAGTGAAGGCAAGTGACAAGCCAGCTTGACTTATTCTGTCTGCGTCCAACCTCATGTCTTGTCCTTCAAGCCCAACATCAAATGATTGTATTCCTAATATTTAGCCAATGTTAATTTATTTGGTAGAGCAATTTAATCAAAGCTGGGACAGTGGGCTTTTTACACTGTCCCCCAATGCCTTCCTCAGTCACCCTTGCATCTAAATATATTCTTACAGTGCATTATTTTTACTTCTCAGCAGCTGCTGTGGAGGTCTGATAGACAGAAAGGCCGGGTGTAAATATTTCTAAGTTATTTAAATAAATACTACTTTTGTCAGGTTCCTACAAAATTATGTACTGCTATTCTGTTATCTATAAGCCTTTACAGAAGGATTAGGGTCTTCCTGTGTTATTACATTTGCCTGCTGTATTTCAGAATCGGGGGGTGCCAGTCACCCCCCACCCCAGCTTGGTGTTGTCATTGCTACATGACAGGTCTATCTAGAATAAAACATCTATCATCCATTTGATGTAGGTGCAGGGGCAGGGGCAGAGTTGATATGTACAACTGAGACCCGGATGGATGGGCTGGGTGGCCCTATGTTAATCCAGCTGTGTCATAAAATTCCATCTCGCTCACCAGGAAACCAATCCACATCATGTTTGGGTTGAAGAAAATGTTTCTGGTGCAGGACCAGGGAGGGAGGGAAAGAGAATGGGTGTGTTGCTATTGTACCATCCACCTCATTGCTCTACAACCTCCCTGACCAAGGTAATTTCAGATGTGGTGCTGGAGGACTCCATGGTGGTGTTGGGGAGCTTCAATATTTATGCCGAGGCTGAATGGGCTAGCTCAGCACTTCATTACCTCCATGGCAAACATGGGGCTGTCTCAGAACATCAATGGTCCAACATATAACTGGGAACACCTTTCACCTGGTCTTTGCCCAAGAGAGGACTGGTAATACTCGATTGATAGGGGCTTGCTGTGAGTCTGTTGTCATGGACAGACCAATCCCTGGTGAGGTTTGGGCTGTATGTAGCTACTCTACCCTGAAAAGTGCAAGAGACCCATTGAGTTGGTCCACGTTTGGAGACTGATGGAATCTGATTTCTGAATGCTTTGGGGGATTTTCAAGCTGGCATGGCTGATGCTCCTGTCAAGGCTCTTGGCTCACTGCGGGATGGTGAGATGTGTAGAGTAACTGACACAATCACTCCTGCTTGCCTTCACTATACACCCATTGATGCCCTCCTTCCCCACAGACCCCCTTGGGTGTTAAAATCAACAGAGGAGGCTCCATTGCTCCACAGTGCTCAGAAACTCAGGGGGATGGTGGCCCAGGAGACAGCATTTTCTGTGGCATTGCTGAAGTTGTGGAACATTTCCACAGAGGTGTGCCTGCCTCTTCATTATACAGCTTTTAGCAAATGCTGAAGACCTATCTCTTTACCCTAGCTTTTGACACTTGAAATGTGCATTTTTGGAACCATTTTATTTATGTGATTGTCCATCCTGGGACCTTAGGGTGAAGGGCAGTAACTAATAATAGTAATAATAACAACTGTGGACTACATGCCATACAAAGGTCAAACATACCATAATCTAAATCCACCTAGTTTTTCAACTGAAACGTCCCAGAAGAAGCCAATATAATCCAATGTAACTCAATGCCAAGGTAACAAAATCATTACTTTTAAATAAAATGAATATAAGAACTGATTCTAAGAACCATTACTACTGATTTTTAAGAAGTCTAAGTCTTCTCAGACCCTGTAATTCCAAACCAAGAGTTCAGACCAAAAGGTGACATACAGGATAGCTCTACAGGATAGCTCAGTTACTCTCTTGTAGCAAAAGAATCCTGTGGTACCTTAAAACAGATCACTGTGGTATAAGATCTCATAGACTGCAGCCTGCTTTACCTTCAGCTGGCAAGTGTAGTATGCACATATGTGTGCACCCATCCAAATAAATAATGAAACTAGAGTACCGTGAACTGCATAAGGTAGAACATATCTATGCAGACTCAAGGTATACAAGGTAGAATCAGCGCAAGCTTTTTAAACAGTACTAACTCATGACAAAACAATCTTTTTAGATATTTGACACCCATCCAAATAAATAAATAATGAAACTAGAGTACCGTGAACTGCATAAGGTAGAATATATATATGCAGACACAAGGTAGAATCAGTGCAAGCTTTTTAAACAGTACTAACTCATGACAAAACAATCTTTCTAGATATTTGGCACCAGCAAACCTAGAAGAGGGAAACGGGGGTTTAAATATGGCAAGGGAATAACTGAGCACTAGGCAGTAACATATACAATCATAAACCAAGTTACACTCCATTTACAACGTTAGAACAGCTGTGCCATCAAAAAAAAATGCCTCTCTATGAGCAGAACAGAGCAGACAAATTTAGAAGGGTGTGGGAAGAGATAAAAGAGTGTTGCCCATTATGCGATAGAGCTTCGGGGCGGGGGGCGGAGAGACTCATATCAGGGAAAGCCTCAAGAGGGCAATCTCTGCTCCTTTGTGCATCACTTACCTTAAGGATATCCCCCCGTTTGAAGCTGAGCTCATCGTCTGCGGTGGCTTTGAAATCGTATTTGGCGACGGCTTCCATGCTCGTGGACAGCAATGATGATGAAGGCGGATAGGAACGGAGTTCTCCCTGAAGCTTCTCCGGGGGCTCCCGGTCCAGCCTTCCCTCTCGTCCGCGCTGCCCTTCCTGCTCAACTTCTGGCTCCGTCTTTCGCATAGGCAGGGGGAGTCAGCGAGGGCCAATCCGCCCTAGGAAGGGAGGAAGAGACGGGAGCATTGAGGGAAGTAGCCCGGATCAATGACAGGGGCCGCGCCCTGAGCCTCCCTCTCCCTCCTCTTCTCAGCTCAACTCCGCTTTGCCGCTTCCTCTTTCTGCAGCCTCGCTCGCTCGGCACACCGAGGGCTGCCAGGAAGCACCGAGTGGCATTCGCTGCGGCCAATAGCAGAGCCCGGAAAAAGGACTCCCCGCCCCGCACTCCCAGCCGGCGAAGCAAATTAAATAATTAAAAAAGCGCAAGTGGGGGAGGGAGGGAGAGAGAAAAAAGACCGGCCCCCTCACGCCCCCTAGCCAAGCCAAGCCAGCCTTCCTCAGAGCCCTAGAGCGGCTCCTGCTGCTTGCTGCTGAGCGCTCGTCCTTTCCCTTGAAGGCGAGGCGTGCATCACACAAAGCCTGGCTTCTATGCCTTACCGCAGGCAGCACGGCGCTCCTCCTTGCAAGGAGAAAGCGCTTATTACCCGAAAAAATCCGACAACCCCCCACCCCCAAGTCATAGATCAGGAGGATTCCCCTATCCGATTACTGACGAGGAGAAACGTGTAAGTCACCCAGTAATGTGGGGTTCCCCTGTTCGGGAGGAACTCCCAAGTACTGGTCAACTACCCACTTGGTTTTGCAGTGAGGGTTAAAACACACACACACACACACACACAGGAACGACACTCTCACACACGACACTTCCTATGGTATTATTCATGGCTGGTTTTCCCCCGATTTCTTTTGGAATGTAGCGTTCCATGAATACTTAGGTTTTAAAATTCGGGTGGGGGGAGGGAACTTATTTCCGAGTAAGCTTAGCGTCGGGCTGAAACTTTTATTAACTAGTAAAATACGAGTCGAAAGGGTTCAGGAAAGTTTCATCTACAATGAGGGGAAGATACGGTAATCTGTCCCTATCTCGCTATCAGCTATATCGTGCCCCTGCTGGCTGTTGAAAGAGAAAATAGTTTTTGCTTCTGATTTCACAGCAGAGTCGCAAGTCATTCATCCTTATATACTAAGCTTTGGAGAAACAGAACTGCTGTGGAGGAAACACTCTTTAAACAGGCGCATATTCTATAAAAGTAATGACTGATTAAAGCCAGTGCAGTCCAATTCTTTCCATGTTTGCTCTGAACAAAGGCACACTACTTTCAGCTGAATATGAACGCCAGTTTCTTGATGTCAAGTGTCCTTAAATGAAAAAAAACCCCAAGTGATCACTAAGTGTGCTCCTGCGAAAGCACACCATGAAGAAGCCACACTACTTCTTCCAATAATTAAAGCAGTATTGTTTACCCCCCAATAGTTACACATTCATATTTAGCGATGAATCCAACTGCATTAAAATTTGACTCTTGCCCAACTAAACTAAAACCAAACAAGGCAACCAAAAGAAACAATAATCCCCTGAATCATGACATTCCAATACAATATGCATATAGACTCTCAAAATCATGTATTTCTTAAAACACATATTAAGTGCCATCTCACACATGCTGGGTTGGATCCAGACTTAGTAATATTTAGTGTATACCCACTGAAATAAATTGAACTTAGTGATTGATTTAACTTGATGATTTCAATGGATGATTAAGTCTGGATCTAACCCACATCAAACTATAATCCCAGTCACATTTATTTGTAAGCAAGCCCCATGAATTTTCTTGAAAAAGCATGCTTGGGATTATAACCCAAGCCTCATTTATTTCAATAAATCTTTACTGAATGCATGAATCACCAGCACTGTTTATAAACACACCAGATAGGAAAAGGATATGAAAAAGAACCACCTTGTTTTGCAAACCTCCAACACTGAATTGGAGTTTAAAACCTATACAATCCATGCAAGCACATTCTTATAGGAAAATCATTTGTAACTCTTCTATATTACCAGTTGTCTACAAATCCATTAACCAGATTGCAGGGGAAGGTGCCCTCAACCCTCTGGTGAGCAGTAAATCAGACACCAGTCCACACAGATTCCTACTCTGGAGGACTAATTTCCAATGCAGTTTTCAAGCAAGAAACAGCAGAAATACCTTATAATGAACTGAAGAAACTCTCACTGCTTGTTACCTTCTCTGTATCCTCTATAAATGAAAGAAGACTCCCACCACTTTCCCAGTCCCTCAGTGCAAGGCAGAGGATACTAGGGATGAGACCACTGGTAAATGCAAATAAATGCCTGGGCAGAAAGCCAAGCCAAAATTTGTGCCCCCCATAAATGAAAAAAAACAAACAAAGACCCTTGAAAGTCACCTGTCCACAAATCTTGTCTGGCCTGCGCAACCATATATTATATGTGGTGGTCACTGATCTCCCTCTCCAACTTCTTATTGTACACTTATTCCCTCTGAATGTCTCCAAAACTTACTGTGAAATGAAATTCTGACTCCTTTCCTCCACCAGTTAATCTATGCATGACAAATAACTTGGAAGGAGGGAAGGATCTTTCTTGCACAACATGGCAAGACCACTCTTGTGCTTTTGTGGTACACAGAGAACTTGGGGAAGAAAATGAGTTTTTCCCGGCACTTGAGCCAGGGAGATTGCCAGAAATATGTGGTTGCCACTGGCCATCAAGCAGCTTCATTCAGGGAAGTTGAACGCATTGGATAATTATGCACGTAGCATAATGCTTGAAAAATATCAATACAAGACAATCAGAGCCCAAACTGAAAACAAAATTGTTGATGACTGTCCTACAAGCAGTAACACAACAGCAGCCCAAACTACTTAAGTCAAAATGCTTAAATTCAATGGGAGTGTCCTGCAAAACAGCAATCCAAATTAATCCTAGCTGTTTTATACTTACTATACATAGCAATAAGGAAAGAACAGCAGCATACTTAGAGGAAGAGTTGACTTGCAAGAACTATGTTACAGCAACTAAGAAAAAAAATGAAGAAAGTAGTCGGGGGGAATCTCACTCTTAATTTCAGATGGACATTTACAATTAACACTGCATACAGTATTTAACATTAACACTGCACCCAACAGGACAACTATTACAGCAATACTAGAAAAACCAAACTATCAGTGTGGCTATTGTGGCAACTTTAAATACATGACAGAAATTCACAAAGTTGCTGCAGCAAGTAAAGTCACACTTGTATTCACACCTGTCACTCTTTGGTTTTATTCACTTAGGGCTGAAATGATGACATTTTAAAATAACAAGAACTGATTAAGACATCACAAGAACAATATATGTTACAAAAATTAACAGATCACCTCAAAAATTTTTGCTCAAGTATTTCATTAATGCAAAGCTGGGAAAGCCACTATACTCTGAATATTAAAATTGGGGGATGAAGAGGACATTATCCTGAAATACCTCCTCCCCAAAATGGTCTTAGTTATTAGCCACTCACTTGGAACAAGTAATTTTTTATAAAGCTAACTTCCCATTCATAAGCCAGCATCCCTTCATATATAGATGGGTAGTAAATGTATTTATTTAGAGATGGAAGGGGCTAGATGGAATGTAGAGCTACAGTAGTACTGGGGCAAGCATAACCCCTTCTCCATCCCTAAAAAGGTAAAGGGACATGCCCACAGGGATCATAGAATAGCACAGCCCCCAAAGTTACTAGCCTGATATTTTTTTGTTCCCCTACTTTTAAATCATACAAGGGGATGGTGCAGAATGGATGGAGCACTTTCTATTTCTTTTCCCAACCACTCATATGGCAAATAAAAATTGTTTGCAGGGTAGAAATGTAGCAGGCTGAATGAAAGAGGAAGAAAATCCACCTCTGCTGTTGGCCTTGTTTCTATGCTTAAGTGTGCTGGAAGATGCTTTGCCTCTTCTGTGGTCAGCACAGAAGCATAGTGAACTAGCAGTGAAGTTGCAAGTCTGATTTATGTGCTGAATGAACAGGACAGGCATCCCTTCTCTACCAGCCTGCTGTGTTTCTGCACTAGATGTGCAGGAGGTGAGGTCCCATCCTGTTCATCTACCTTAAAACCAAGCTTTGAAGTCAAGTTTTTAAATTATGGAATTTGTTTTCTCTTTTAATTATGTAACTTGTTCTTAATGTCGGCCTTTACTGGTATTTTTAATTAATATTTTAGATTGTCTTTTGTAAACTGCGTAGAAGTATTTAGTTTGAGTAAGTGGTATATAAATTTTGTTAAATAAAAATAAATGAATAAGCAAGCTGGGCAGTTGCCACCATCACACTTCATTTCTGTACTGGAGACACAGGAGGCAAAACTTCTGCCTGTGTGTCCAAAACGTGGTGGTTGGGAAGACAAATTGTTCCGCTACCAACCCATTATGTTAGATGCACAGGAGGTTCACCTGCCCATTGCCAACTGCAAAAACCCAGCAGGCTGGCAGCATAGGAAAAGGATGCTCCTTCCCTCCACCACCCAGCTTATTTGCTTCCATGTTACAAGTGTAAGAGGTAACTTCATCTCCTACACACCCAATATTACAAAACAGTGGGTTGCTGGAGGAAGGATGAAGTGCTTCATGGCTTCACCGGCAGCTTGTTTGAAACGGAGGAGAAAAGACCTTCTGGTAGTTTGCTCAGCTGCCTGAATGAAATTCCTAAATGGTTACAGTGACCAGGCAAGTGGTTAAATATGGGGTTAGTAGGTAAAGGTAAAGGGACCCCTGACCATTAGGTCCAGTCGTGGCCGACTCTGGGGTTGTGGCGCTCATCTCGCTTTATTGGCCGAGGGAGCCGGCTTACAGCTTCCGGGTCATGTGGCTAGCATGACTAAGCCGCTTCTGGCAAACCAGAGCAGCGCATGGAAATGCCATTTACCTTCCCGCCGGAGCGGTACCTATTTATCTTCTTGCACTTTGACATGCTTTTGAACTGCTAGGTTGGCAGGAGCCGGGACCGAGCAACGGGAGCTCACCCTGTTGCGGGGATTCGAACTGCCGACCTTCTGGATCTGCAAATCCTAGGCTCTGTGGTTTAACCCACAGCGCCACCCACGTCCTGGGGTTAGTAGAGCACCCTTATATTAATAATATATGTTTGTCCCACACAGGCTTCAGACGCTAAAAGTGACAGCTGCCTTGATTTATCAAATAGTTGCCAGTTTTGTTTCACTGGAGAATCTGGGTCTGTATTCATTTTCACCATTTGTATGCATGAAGCACCCTGAACAGTTGAAAAATTACTTATACTGCTTATACCATCTACCATATCCTAGAAACTGCTACAGGGAGAACTGGTCTCAAGAGGTGGTAAAGTCAATCAGCTTTTTCTAAGGAACCAGCCTGTCATCATTACTATTTGGGGAAGTTCTGTGAAATCTTCAGCAGCAAAAACTATGGTTCATTTCCTCCTTGTGCCAGTAACAGAATATATATATTTAGTCATAGTTTGTGAATAACTATCTGTTCTCTTTCACACTATCAGACATCTGCAAAACATATGCATGGGCAATAATGTCAAATTAGAATTTGCTAGTCATATCTGTGGATTTAAATGCGTGGCACCATTTTATTTCTTTTTGCCCAAAAGCTGTTTCCCAATATAACACAGCAATCCTTATGCACACCTGTTCGGGAGAACAGGTCGGGCTTCAGGAATCAGAATCCCATTTAAGTCAATGCTTACACTTATCACTCTAAAGATAAGCTGAAGCATTTATTGAAACTTCCGTTTTTGTATAAGGTGCACGTTATTAACATTCATCCGCAGCAAAAAACCAACACAAGAAACAATGAATTCAGCAAAATGCCCCCTTTCGGATGCCCACTCCTCAGAATACAGTCATTGACTGGGGAGGGGGGGACTTTGGCCCCCTTGGCAAGTGAATCATTACTGGGCTAAGGGGGGAAAGGATTCATTCGCCCGCCTCCCTCAGCTCGAGTTATTTTTCTTAGAATCTTAAGGGGCGCGCACCAAACTCTTCCCTCCCCCCCATGCAAGTGGTAGGCTGGCAAGAGCGCGCGCCAGGGCCCCCTTGACAGGCAGGGGCGGAACAAGAGGGGAAAGGGGCCGCCCGCCCGCCTTGTCAGCCTCAAGGCAGAGGCTCCAGGGCGGCTCCGGTGTCTTGTTGGGGCTCTTCCCCGTCTCTCCCTCCGCCCTCGCCCCGGAGCTCCGACTCACCGCAAGCCCGCCAGGGTTCCGCTCCGAGCGGCCCCCTCTTCTTCCCCCCTGCGAAGCCTTCTTCCTCCTCAGTAGGAGTGTCCGGGAGAGCTTCCGCTACTGCCCTCACGAGCCGCTCTCGCGAGGCTACTACTACTACGCGCGAGGGAACGAGAAGTAACACCCGCCGAAAGAAAAAGCGCAAGCGCCAACCTCCGTAACAGGGCGAACCAGAGGCTCAGGAAGAGGCGGGGAGGAGTTTAGGATTCGCCCAGGGCGCATGCGCGTGAAGGGGTATAGATGCCGGGCGCGCCCCGGCCAAGCCTCCAAAGTGTTAGTGCGCTCGGGCTGCTACGGCTGCTCAGAAACTGAGTGTATTAGCATCACCTCGCAGGTTTAGCGGCCACATAGGGTTGCACCATTACAGTTTTATTTGTCTGTTTGGCGCCTGTCCTGGGAGAAAACTGGATGAGCATTATTTATGAATCTGTCTTATAGGAAATATTATTATTATTATTAGTGGTCATCTTGGCGACTTGCGGGAGGAGGGGAAGAATACACATTTTAATAATCAAGTCAAACCACCCAATAATAATAATAATAATTTGTCATCTTGGCTTGCAGGGGGGAAAAGAGTGCACATTTTAAAAATTGAGTCAAACCACCGATGGTGATGATGATTATAATTATACCCACCAGGTATAATATATCAACAAAAATAGACATCACGGTATAGGGCACCAAAGATAACCAACTCATCATGTTCCATTAAAAGCCAGGGAGAAGATGGAGGTATTAACTTGCCATTGGAAATAATGTTTAATGTTAGTGCAAGGTGGGCCTTGCTGAGGAGGATATTCCATTTGGCAGCGCACAGCAACTGAAAAGGTTATCTCCTTTGTTGCCACCCTCCAAACAATCACTTTAATCCATTTAGCTCAGCATTATCTCTACTAGATACTGACATGCATCAGTTCTCCAGGCTTCAGGCTGGAATCTTTCTCAGCCCTTCCTGGGGAGTGAACCTGGGACCTTCTGCAAGTGCAGCATATGCTCTTCTATTGAGGTGTAGCCCTTCCCTGTTTTGGGGTCTTGTTTCCTTCCCACCTGTCTCTTTCACTGTCCTTGCTTCAGCAATCTAAAGAAAGCCTAGGTATAACACTGAATATAAGGTTTTCTTGGAGTGATTCAGAGCTAAATTGGATCTTGTCCACTTGCTAAATCATTGTTCAATTAGAAAAATATATGTGTGTTCCTTCCAGAGTGAGATTATAGGCAGAACAAGTTCTAAAGCTATAACAATGAGTGGAACTGGCCAGTGAAAATAGAAGTTTGCCTATCACATGCTCTTCTTTAATTGAAAAAAATGTCATCATGATCATTATGGACTATGGAATACCAACACAATCTCAAAATGGCTAAGTCATTTCACTTGAATCAGTCCTATTTCACTTGAATGTTTACTTCCACTTAATAGGTACAACAAAGAAGTATTCTGCCATTTCCAGGGCAAGGCAATTCAACTTTACTCAGAATAGCATGATCAACATTACACACACACAGAGAGAGAGAGAGAGAGAGGCTCCTGAGCAAATACTATACATTATGGTCAGAAATAAGCAGTCTTTTTGCCTGAAATGGCAATTCAAGAACGGGAAATATTCCATTCACAAGGGCCACATTGCCCTGTGTGTCACTGAACTCCTGGAAGATATGAACACAGGTTGGTTATTTCCCACCTAAACTTGGAAGCATAATCGGGCGTAGTGTGAAAGGGAGCTGCCAGGGTGGCAGTGAGGGCTGGGCTGGCATGGCGGGCTCCGTTCACCCTCCACACCTCGCACCCCTGGTGTGCCGCGTCCCCACACGCCTTGAGCACCAGCAAACCACGCTATGCTGCTGAGCATAGCAAGTAGAAAGCAGTCACAGTCAAACTCTTCCTTTGATGTGCAGGATGGATGTCCAGCATAATTTATAGAAAGCACTACAATCTCAACAAGCTTTAATTGCCCCTTTGAAATCATATGCTGGTCTGTGACATGAGGGCAATGCTCCCCATTTATTTCTAAATAGAATCAAATGAGTTCTGCTATTCTCCTTTAGGTGTCACTGAAGTCAGTGAAAATGCCTTACAAAAGCCAAATAAATGGTAAATTAAGGATACAGCCCTAAACACACTATCTAGGTTGTAAGCCCCATTGAACACAATGGGACTTACTTCCAAGTAAACATTACTGGGTTGTACAGACTATTTTAAAAATTGTGAGCCTGACACTTACTCATAAGTAATTTACATTCATTTCCATTAAGATGACTCATAAGTTGCAGAAATACGAGTCAAGGAAAAACAATAAAGTACAATGGGGGGGAGGACTCACACCTTCTATATGACATGGTATACTTTTATTGACTTTGTTAAGACAATTGAATATTGTTTTCACCTTCCATTGACTCATAGAACCTTATGGAGAGACACTTTCAACTGATTGCCTTTCTCGGAACATCTAAAATTACAGCCATCAGCAGCTATTTTTATTTCTTTTATGTGCAACTACTAAGCTCTGTTTTCCTTCTATGGGTATGCTGTTACTTTAAATTAAAAAATCAATTTTTAAAAAGTAGAACTGCCAGCTATAGTATTGAACAACCCATGCACCAGCTCCTTGGATATAAACCCAAAGAAAGGATTAGGAGTCCTTTGGTACCCTAAAAGCTAACAAATGTATTATGCCACAAGCTTCTGCGGACTAGAATTTGCTTCATCAGACACATGCAGAGTTCAGGTATATATATTCACATGGTATGAGATTGGGGAATTAAAAACAGTGAGGTCAGAGGAAAATGATATGTAGGAAAGTACTGACAAGGATAATTAACCATGGTAATTCACAAAACAGCTACTGAAAACACAGACAGCCTTGCATCAGTCAGGCAATTAACACAAATAACATGCTAAGAATCCTTTGTCTCTCTTCAGTCCACAAATGATAGTGTTCAATCTCTTGCTGTATTTGAAGGATGCAGTGCTTACTCAGGTGAGGTAAGCAGAAGAGCCAGTGTATAGTGTTGTGCTTAGACTAGGACCTGGGAGACCAGGGTTCAGCTCCCCAGTTGGCCATGAAGCTCACTGGGTGACCTTGAGCCAGTCACTGCCACTGCCTCTCAACCTAACCTACCTCACAGGGTTGTTGTGTGGGGTTTAAATGAGGTGGGGGAGAATTGTGTGTGCCGCCTTGAGGTCTTTGGAGAAAAAGCTGGGATACGGATGATGATGATGATAAGTTTCCTTTTGAAGGAGTTACCTTATAATATTTTTGTAATATTTGTTAATTTATATAGAAATAGGTTGAGCATAGGAGAAAATACAGCTTGAACCCGCCAGGCAGCAGCCAAAAAGACCTCGCTTCCCACCTCACTTCCGTAGTGAGAGGCAGCCCTAAAATGTTAGTCTACACAGAGTTCAAACTCAGCTTTCTGTGTCAGTCTTTGTTTGTTTTGTCTTAAACAGCATTTTTCGTGTCTCTTTTCATATACAGACACCTAGATTACATCATCCTTGGGAAAGGGGGGGGGAGTCATTTTGCCCTATGTAGAAGATGTAATGGAAATTGCCTGACAATTAGTTCCCATGGAAACATATCACCTGTAATTTCTCTGATAGAAGAGGTACCTGGCAACTTTGCCACAATCAAAGAACATTTGCAGTAGTATCAGCCCCATTACCCTTTCCTGTTCAAACCCCCAGTCTCATAACTTCATCTTGTTATATACTGTAGTAAATATGTGGTACTAAATGTTTAGGTATAGTAAATATTAGGATTTATTTATAACTTGTATGGTATAACTGAGATGTGTTATAAGACAGTCCCAATGTGTCTTAAAAGGGGAGTAATGCAAGGCGTTTTAGGTGTTTAATTAGTGTTTATGTGTAAAGACTGAGTGTCAGACTTTGAGAATGTAATCAAGATTCATGTGAATTGGAAAGTGTGTACCTGCTTCTTAGTACAGTGGTACCTCGGGATGCGAACGGGATCTGTTCCGGAGCCCTGTTCGCATCCTGAATAGAATGTTGTGATAGAATTTTGAGGTCTTAGATATATGTTAAATGTTCATAAGTGTACCAACCAAGCACGCACATAGATCAACACAGGAAGACCGACCTGAAACCATTTTAATAATAATAATAATAAATTTTATTTATATCCCGCCCTCCCCAGCCGAAGCTGGGCTCAGGGCGGCTAACAACAATCAAAATAATCCAACATTCTAAAAACATTCATTATAAAATTAATTAAAATCAAATTAAAATCAAATTGATGGCAACCATTAAGCAAAATTCTGTGCAGATTGCCAGAGGAGGGGGTCAGGCTGCGCCCTGACCAAAGGCCTGGTGGAACAGCTCTGTCTTGCAGGCCCTGCGGAAAGATGTCAGGTCCCGCAGGGCCCTAGTCTCTTGTGACAGAGCGTTCCACCAGATTGGAGCCGTGGCCGAGAAAGCCCTGGCTCTAGTTGAGGCCAGCCTAACCTCTCTGTGGCCTGGGATCTTCAGGATGTTTTTATTTGCAGACCGTAAATTTCTCTGTGGGACATACCAGGAGAGGCGGTCCCGTAGGTACGAGGGTCCTAGGCCGTATAGGGCTTTAAAGGTTAAAACCAGCACCTTAAACCTGATCCTGTACTCCACCGGGAGCCAGTGCAGCTGGTATAGTACCGGATGAATATGATCTCGCAGCGAAGACCCCATAAGGAGTCTCGCCGCGGCATTCTGCACCCGCTGGAGTTTCTGGGTCAGTCTCAAGGGCAGCCCCACGTAGAGCGAGTTACAATAGTCAAGCCTGGAGGTGACCGTCGCGTGGATCACAGTGGCTAGCTCAGGGAGAGAGAGATAAGGAGCCAACTGCTTAGCTTGGCGGAGATGAAAAAATGCCGCCTTTGTTATAGCTGTAATCTGCGCCTCCATAGAGAGGGAGGTATCGAAGATTACACCCAAACTCTTAACGGACGATGCTGGCACTAATTGCACCCCGCAAGAGATGGGAGTTGCCCCCTCAATCCCATATCGCCCCGTCCCAGCCAGAGGACCTCTGTCTTCGAGGGATTTAACTTCAACCGGCTCCCACGTAACCATCCAGCCACAGCTTCCAGACATCTGGTCAGTGTGTCTGGGGCCGAGTCAGGATGGCCATCCATCAACAGATAGAGTTGGGTGTCATCGGCATACTGATGGCAACCCAGCCCAAAACTCCGGACAAGCTGGGCGAGGGGGGCGCATAAAGATGTTAAAAAGCATCGGGGAGAGAATCGCACCCTGAGGCACTCCACACACCAAGGAGTGGCGCGATGACAATTCCCTCCCAAGCGCCACCCTCTGTCCCCGACCAGAGAGAAACGAGCGCAGCCATTGAAGGACTGTGCCCTGGATCCCCACGTCGGCAAGGCGGTGGTCCAGGAGTTCGTGGTCGACCATGTCGAAGGCTGCTGACAGGTCTAGAAGAATCAGCAGCCCCGACCCGCCTCGATCCAGCTGCCTGCGGAGGTCATCTGTTAGGGCGACCAGAGCCGTCTCGGTCCCATGACCAGCGCGGAAGCCGGACTGGAATGGATCGAGAGCCGATGTTTCATCCAGAAACCTACCAAGCTGTTCAGCAACCGCTCTCTCAATCACCTTACCCAGGAATGGAAGATTCGAAACCGGGCGGTAATTGGATAGATCTAAGGGATCTAATGATGTTGTCTTTAAGAGCGGACGCACCACTGCCTCCTTCAGTTCCCCTGGGAATATCCCGGTGCCAAGGGACAAATTGATGATATCACCCAGGGGGGCCCGCACCTCGTCTGGGCATGCTGTAATCAGCCAAGACGGGCACGGGTCAAGAGGACAGGTGGTGGGCTTTCCAGCTTGGAGGAGTCTGTCCACATCGGCTGGGGATATCTGGTCAAAGTGGTCCAATACTGGACCCGAGGACAGTCGAGGGGCCTCCAGTTCCTTTATTGTATCCAAATTGGCAGGGAGGTCATGGCGGAGCAACAGGACCTTCTCCGCAAAAAAGCTCGCAAATGCCTCACAGCTGTGTGTCAAATTGTTATTTAAATTTGGCTGTCCTTCAAGGGACGTTAAAGACCTAATTATACTAAATAATTGCACCGGGCGAGAGCTAGCAGAGGCAATGGAGGCCGAGAAGTAGGACTTCTTAGCGGCCTTCACTGCCATCTCGTAGGTTTTCATAAAAACCCTATAAGATGTTCTTGAGGCTCCGTCACGGGCACCCCGCCATACTCGCTCTAGCCGTCTGAGGTCCCGCTTCATTTTCCGAAGCTCCTCGGTAAACCAGGGAGCCCGGTTTCTGCGGGGTCGCAGAGGGCGCCTAGGTGCGATCTCATCGATGGCTGCTAGGAGCTGGGTATTCCAGCCCTCAACAAGCTCAGTCAATGAGTCGCCAGGGAAAGCAAGGTCCCGCAAGGCCTGACGGAATCTATCAGGGTCCATCAGCCTCTGCGGGCGAGCCCAAATTGGCTCGCCACCTAAGCAGGGTGGGGGTGGAAAATCAATCCTGGCTTTCAGAGCGTAGTGATCAGACCATGGCACCTTCATCGAAGGAGACATGATCACATCTATACCGGCGCCAAAGATCAAATCCAGCGTGTGGCCTGCTTGATGTGTGGGGCCCGAAACAAACTGGGAGAGCCCTAGTGTCGCCATGGAAGACACCAGGTCCAGAGCCTGTGAGGAGGGAATGGCATCAGCATGGATGTTGAAGTCCCCCAATACCAATAGGTTAGGGAACTCCAAGGCCCAGCCGGCCACCGCCTCCAGCAGGCCTGACAGGGTGGCTGCTGGTGCGCTAGGTGGCCGGTACACCAGCCAGACAGCCAAGCTCACCTCGGAGCCCCACACTAGGCCAACACATTCAATGCCGGGGATCGATGGCGATGGTAGAGCCCTGAAAGAACAATCTTCCCGGATTAATAATGCCACCCCTCCCCCCCCGGCCCACAGTCCGCGACTGGTGGAGGACGGAGAAACCCGGGGGCGCCATCTCTCGTAAGGTAACAGTGTCCCCTTCGCACACCCTGGTCTCCGTCACACAAGCCAGGTCAACCCCCTGCGAGGTGAAGAAGTCTCGCAGGGTGGCGGTTTTGTTGCCTATAGACCTGGCATTGCACAACACCAGTGACGGAGGTGAGTAATCCTTGCTCACCCTACCTTCGTCCCTCGGGATGGGGCGCAGATTGGAAGGGGTACGAGCATATCCGTATCTCGATCCCCTTCGCCTATGACATCTGCCCCCACCGCCATACCTCCCTCGCCCCACTACGGTAGGAATCCCAAGCCTCAAACCAACCTCCATTTACAAAATAGAAAAACAAATCAAACCAAAAACAATTGTACCAAAACAAAACAAATCCCTACCCCACTCACTATCCAACCCCAAACCAACATAAAACAGAACAAAATAAAAATACATCAATACAAACCACCGTTCACGGTGGTACAACAAAGTAAAAAGTAAACACCCCTTTAAAACCCTTTAAAATATATAAAAACATTTTTAACATTTGCTGCAGCAACACCAGTGTCCTTAAAACTGTAGCAGTGGCGAGTGTGGGCCCCGCCCCCTAGGCCTGGTGGAGTGGGCCTACAGGAGGGAGCGGCCTTCCTCAACCCCCACGGTGCAGCAGCAGCAGCGGTGTCCCAGTGCCTCATGAGGCCTCTTAAGCTGTGGCGGTGGTGAGTCAGTCTGGGCCCCGCCCCCTGGGCCAGGTGGAATCAGCCTGAGGAGGGAGCGGCCTTCCCCAACTCACAGTGCAGCAGCATCAGCGGTGTCCCAGTGCCTCATGAGGCCTCTTAAGCTGTGGCGGTGGTGAGTCAGTCTGGGCTCCGCCCCCTGGGCCAGGTGGAATCAGCCTGAGGAGGGAGCGGCCTTCCCCAACTCACAGTGCAGCAGCAGCAGCGGTGTCCCAGTGCCTCATGAGGCCTCTTAAGCTGTGGCGGTGGTGAGTCAGTCTGGGCCCCGCCCCCTGGGCCAGGTGGAATCAGCCTGAGGAGGGAGCGGCCTTCCCCAACTCACAGTGCAGCAGCATCAGCGGTGTCCCAGTGCCTCATGAGGCCTCTTAAGCTGTGGCGGTGGTGAGTCAGTCTGGGCTCCGCCCCCTGGGCCAGGTGGAATCAGCCTGAGGAGGGAGCGGCCTTCCCCAACTCACAGTGCAGCAGCATCAGCGGTGTCCCAGTGCCTCATGAGGCCTCTTAAGCTGTGGCGGTGGTGAGTCAGTCTGGGCTCCGCCCCCTGGGCCAGGTGGAATCAGCCTGAGGAGGGAGCGGCCTTCCCCAACTTTTGATTCCCAAATTTTGATTCCCAAACTGAGCAAATGTTTTCTCTGCAAGGTCAAAGGAAAATGGAAAAGCCTCCCCATTGTCTTTTCCTTCACAAATCCTGTCTTAAGGGCACATTTAAGATATGAATAGGGTGTGAGCCTGTGAACTGGCCCAGGAACTAAGTATTTATCATTACAAAATATCGGCCAGGCTTCCCAGGCAATCCTATCAAGTAAGCAGGGTATCCAATCAAGTAACCTGCCAGACAGAAGATAAACAACAACAGGAGAAAAACAACATTCAAATTTCTGTTGTAGACCGCCTTTTCTGTGATGTAGGTATGATGTATTGGGGGGGGTGTCTTGAGCTACACCCCTTCTGTGATGTATGTATGATGTTTCTGGGGGTGGTCTTGATCTACAGGGTGGCAATTTCAAAAGTCTATATAAGGCCTTGTGCGCCATTGTTCTGGGTTCCTCCTCCCTCCTTTGTGTGGTGAGTGAGGACCCTGTTGCAACAGATCAATAAAGATCAGGCTTACTAGCTGCTTTGCTTCTCAATATTCTCTGGTTGGCCTCTGATATTTTCTCCTACCAATAGGAAACCTACATAAGGACTCTATATGGGCTCTTGGATACCTCATAAGGGAAAAGGGCAGATTTTGTTTATAACAATGTAAGACGCGACGGTGCGTCTGCGCGTGCCACGTTTGCTGCTTCCGTGCATGCTTGTGACGTCATTTTGAGAGTCTGCGCATGTGCGAGTGGCGAAACCCGGAAGTAACACGCTCTGTTACTTCCAGGTTGCCAGTGCAACCCGAAAGCACTCAACCTGAAGCACGTTCAACCCGAGGTGTGACTGTATCAGCAATTAGCATGCGAAGAGTAAATTTACCTATGTAAATATCCTAGGTGTGTACCAGTCTTTAATGCTGCTCAGTCAACAAGTGTTGATCAACTCGGGGAACTCCTTTGTTAGGTGACACCTGAGGGGATTAAGTATTAGTACTCTAAAGCACCCACTTTGTGTAGGGTTCACTCCTTTGGCTTTTCCTTTCCTAAATACTGTATATCCCACAAGGCAGAGGAGGTGTAGCACCCCATACACCCCAAAATAAATGACTCATGGAATCAATAGACTGAGACTGGGGAGGAGGCATCTGACAGACAGAGCCATCCCTCTGAACCAGTTGTAAGAAGGCAGACAGGCAAGGGACTAGCTATGGGGTAAGTGAGGTTGGTGGGGCAGTGCCCCCTTAGCCCTCATTGGCCAGCCTTCACTGCAAGCAGTTGCTAAAATATCAAAGGCAGGGCAGCCCAAATGTGCTCCTCAGAATAAAGCAGCTTGTGTCTTGAAAACACAATGCAGAATAAACTGATATTGCTGTGCTGACTTTCCTTGTAGAAGGGTGGGTTTAGGCCCCTAAACAGGGGTGGGGGCAGTATTTCCCCAGACTGCAATTGAAGCCCGGGAGAACTGAGGAATGCAATGAAGGCAAATTCCCTGCATTACAGCACATGTTCCTATGGTCACGAAGAGAAGAAAGGATGATTGCTATAAAAAGGTGGTGGTGGGAGACTGCACTGCCAGCATTATTCTATTGGCTACAGAGTGCACAATTGCAGCTAGCTATTTCTGACTTGAAAGATAACTAATTTAGCAATCCTATATGCCAATTACATAGGAGATGGAGGGGGGAGGGAGGGAGAGAAAGACAAGCTCTTGCTATACTGGCACAACAGCTGCCAAATCTTCCGGACAGGAGGGGCAAAACGCAACTCAGAAACACACACACAAACACACACATTAATGCAATCATGGCAGTGCGTCCTTCAGCTTCCATGGAAATGCTGCTGATGCCCACCAATCAGGGGCTGTCACTGAGATCACACCCACATCCCACCAACGCAAACAGAGAGAGCCATTTAACTCACACCGACATGAAGGGGTAACCAGGACACCTCCCTGTGCATTGCCACACACAGCACCATTCGCACAATGCCCCCATTTCCATGACACAGGGAGCAGCAAACCCATGGCTGCAAGTCCCCAGGCCAGAGTTCAAATCCTCTTAATTTCAAAAGTGGGGTTTCTGAAAACAACTCAGAAAGGAAAGGAATAAACCACACAGCATAGCTCTGACGTAACTCCTTGGTCAGGAGATCTGCAGAAGTAACACACATTGAGATAAGGGTTGAAGACCCACAGAGGATGGTGGTTGCGGATTTTCTTCCACCAAGCAGGAAGAGGAAACAGTGTAACCCAGCACTGAGAGTGTCAGCTTCCAGTGGCTCATTGCATAGAACATGGGGTTGGGATGTGATGGGGATTTCAAGCCCTACCAGGGGAAATATGTCTCTACAGTGGTACCTCAGGTTACATACGCTTCAGGTTACCTATGCTTCAGGTTACAGACTCCGCTAACCCAGAAATAGTGCTTCAGGTTAAGAACAGTTTCAGGTTAAGAACGGACCTCTGGAACAAATTAAGTATTTAACCTGAGGTACCACTGTACTTGCCTTTTACAGGCCGGGGGGGGGGGGAGTCATGTTAGAGGCAAAAGAGGGAGCTCCTAAGTCTCAGGCCTACACTGCCAACACCACATAACAGATCTTTATTTACAAAGACACAGCAGCGTACAGGAAATGACGATCTGCAACCTGCAATCTCCATTCATCTCTTTTTCGTCTGGCCACTCAAGTTGGGAGTAGATTTTGAAAGGAAAAGAGGAATGGCTGGAGTTGCCAGTCAGTCACCTCAGGAGGGCTCCTGTGCCTTGTCCAACTGACAGCATCCTAACAGGTGCAGTGTTCTTTATGGGTCCGTCTAGCTTCACAGCAGGGACATTGTCCCCTGTTTCAGTACATGACTGTCTGCTTTGAAGCTTGCAGTGGTGCAGGAGCCTGCCTGGAACAAATGGACTGGCAACCTCATAGAGGAACAGGGATCACCCTGACCCCTGCTGCTGATCATGGGTGCCCCGCTCCCTATGGCCTCCATGGAACTGAATGTGGGAGAGTGGTACAGTGGCCTTTGGAGAGCACTGGAGATGCAGGCTGAATGCACACTATACCTTGAAAGCACATTCAAAGCACATTCTTTCCCCTCAGTGTAATCTAGGACTGGACTGGAGCCTTTTTCTCTTGGAAAGGCTAAATAGATTTGCCTGGCTTAACACTTAGAGGTTAAGGGACTATTATACTAGAGGCAAATAAAGAAAGTCCCTTGAGAAGAGGGGGGCAATGAATCCATATTCCTTTGTAGCAGGTGCTATGGTGCATTTGCTTAAGTCATCTGGATTTCTATTCACAAACTATTTGTCCTGTGGAGAACTAATGGCATCATGTTTCATATACTTTGCATGCACCTGTTTTTACGCCTCTATAATGCAGACTGTCTTCACATGTAATGCTATATATAATATGGAATTTATAGGATAATTTACTGGAGGTGATTCCATATATTATTTATTTATTTATTTCAACAAACTATTATAAAGTCAATAAATAAAATAATAATTATTATTATAATAATATTGACTTTATAGTATAGATGCTGCTGCTGGGTGTTGGCTAGCTAGAAGTGACTCATGACTGAGTCTTCTTGGTAGTGGTTCTCCACTTCTTGAATGCCCTCCCTGTTGAAATATACATTTATTAAGAAACCAGAAGCATTTTTACTAGGTATTACAGGGAATGAGATAAACAAGAAAGAGAAGAAGTTATTTTTATACGCAGTGACAGCAGCAAGAATATTGATGGCCCAGAAATGGAAACAAGAGGAGCTGCCTACGACAGAAGAATGGAGAACCAAAATGCTGGACTATGCGGAATTGGACATAATGACAGGAAGGATCCGGAATCGACGAGATCAAAGATTTACAGAAGATTGGGAGAAGTTTATTCAATATTTGCAAAAACTAAGTGATAACCAGATTACGTTTGTAAGCTTTAAGGAAGAAGAGGAGTTTGGATTTGATATCCCGCCTTTCACTCCCCTTCAGGAGTCTCAAAGCGGCTAACATTCTCCTTTCCCTTCCTCCCCCACAACAAACACTCTGTGAGGTGAAAATCTATAATAAGTATAAATAATGAATTGAAACTAATAGTATAAATAACAATAGGTAGGAATGTGTTAAAAGTTACAAAATGAAGGAAGTTCAGACAAATTGAGGGAAGTCAAAAAATGGAATTAAGAGGTAACTAAGAACTTTGAATGTACAATTTTGTTGGGGTTTTTTTGTATTTGTAAACCAATAAAAATATAAATTATTGAATGCCCTCCCTGGTGAGGTGCATCTATCTCTAAGTTTAGAGTTTATTTCTCTCTAAGTTTATCTCTTTCTAAGTTTAGAAAGACTTCTCTTTCACACAGGGATTTGATGGCTGAAATATAATGTTTCTGACAATCATGAACTTATTTTAGCTGTGAGAACATGAGATCATTTTTAAAAATGTATTTTTTTAAAATGCTGTTTGCGAGACTCAGTTCCATTGCACTTGGTGGGGTACATTTCTGAACAAATATGCACAGGATGGGACTGTAAATGCTGCAGGGCGCTGCATGAACTTAAGTCAATACAGTAGCACTTTAACATTCTATGACGCAAAGAAGATTGAAAACTTGCTTTTAATATTATTTGCAATAGTACAGAAATAAAGAAATAGCTTTTGTTTTGGGAAGGAGATGGGAGAAACAGCACAATGGCAAATTGGAGCCTGCTCTGGCAGGATGAAAATGTTATGACCATGTTTTATGAGAATTATAGAATCATATGTAGAGTTGGAAGGAACCCTGAGGGTCATCTAGAGCAACCCCCTGCAATGCAGGAATCTCAACTAAGGCATCTGTGACAGATGGTCATCCAGCCTCCACAAAAAAATCCTCTAAGGAAAGATAGTCCACCACCACTTGAGGGAGTCTGTTCCACTGTTCTTACTGTCAGAAAGTTTTTGCTGTTTAGTTGGAATCTCCTTTCTTGTACAGTGGTACCTCGGGTTACATACGCTTCATGTTACAGACTCCGCTAACCCAGAAATAGTGCTTCAGGTTAAGAACTTTGCTTCAGGATGAGAACAGAAATCAGGCTCTGACGGCGCAGCAGCAGCGGCAGCAAGAGGCCCCATTAGCTAAAGTGGTGCTTCAGGTTAAGAACAGTTTCAGGTTAAGTACGGACCTCCAGAACGAATTAAGAACTTAACCTGAGATACCACTGTAACTTGAATCCATTGGTATGGGTCCTACCTCCAGAGCAGAAGAAAGCAAGCTTGCTCCATCTTACATGTGACAACCCTTTAGATATTTGAAGGTGGCTATCATATCTCCTCTCACTTTCCTCTTTCCCAGACTAAACATACCCAACTCCCTCAACAGATCCTCATAAGGCTTGCTTTTCAGACCCTTGATCTTCTTGGTTGCCCTCCTCTGCCTGAATTCTAGCTTGTCAATATCCTTTTTAAATTGTGTAGTCCACAACTGGACACAGTATTCCAGGTGTGGATCCGGCCATTTCCAATGTCCATTTATTCCTTTATGTAGAGACTAGCCAGTTTGTTATATGCAGACCGCAGAAGGTAATTTCTGGCAGGTATTGGTGTATATTAGACAGAATCTGTACCTGCTGATGTCCAGATTAATATCTGGAAATTTCACAAAATCACCATCGCTATTGAGCAGGCAAATAACTTAGTCTACAATTTATTATTATTATACTACCCTATACCCGCAGGGATATATGATTAATTGCCAAACATTAAATTTAATTATGAAGGACTAGTAACTTGATACTTTTTACCCAGTATATATTTTCCAGTTTATGAACATAAAAGTATAGATGCCAATGTCGAATACAAATAATAATAATCATAGAATCTCTAAGTAGCTGAAAGGAAATCCATGCTCTAAAAATACATCTTCTATAAACAGGGATTTTTTTCCCTCCGCAGCGGTCCCAGAACGAGAGAAGTAGCCTGCCGGGTCTTGCGGCTCACCATGTGAGATCCACCCCTCAAGGAAACCCCTCGTTTCGATGGTCAGCAAACAGCTCCTGTTTCAGTCCCTAAAACTAGCCGCCGTTCGCTGTGCACAGATGGTTTGGAGAGAAGGGCGGAAGTACAGCGTCACCCTTCACCCCACCCTAACCTACCACAGCTAAAGCCCTGAAATGTGAGGCGAACGTAGCCAATCCAGTGCAAGTTTATTTAACTGCACCTGAAGCCACACGTATGATACTGTGGAGTAAAGCGGGTTATTTTGCCATCAACAAGGATGGCGGCTATAGAGATGTTTGGGGGAATGGCGTGAAGGGTTGCCTGGGAGCATTCTCCAGCTGGCGGGGAAAGGCCCCAGGATTTGCTGGGGACCCCAGAGACAAAAGAAAGGGGATATTAAACCCGTTCTGGTAAGTAACCTACCGCTCCCTTCAGGAAGGGTGGAAAAAGGGGTCGCTCCTTGAGACCCAAGTTTCTGCCCTTAGTCCTGAGGCGGCTTGTTTTTAATATATCCCCACGCCTTCCCCCCTACTCTGAGGATTTAGCGAGGCATTGGGATAAGGAGGCATTTCAAAGCTGCTGTTTTGGGGGGAGGGACGGGGAGAGAAGTGCCGATTTATCAGCTTTGCAGCTCTTGTCAACACGCGTCGCCTTCTCACGATCTGTGAGGTGGAGGCCACCTCTGCAAGGCTGTGAACTTTTCAACCTATTCCGGGGTGTTTCAGTGGATGTCTCGAGTCAGGGTAGCCAGACCCTGCAGGAGAGCAACCAGGCGCCTTCCAGTAGGAAGTTTCTGCACGACGCCAGTTCCTTGCAGCTGCAAACGCTTGCAAATCTTGCAACCCACGCAAGCTCCCTCCCTCTCTGCCTTCCTCCCCGGCTTGCTGGTGGAACTCGGGAGTCATATTACTATCTCTGACTGACAAGCCGTTACTTGCCCATTGCTGCTTAATTCAGTCCGTGTAAATGCGTCCTGCTTAGTGCCAGTGTAGGCAGACGACGCTGACTGCAGTGTTAGCAGGTCCATGCCGTGCTTCCCGCGCGGTGAGGGCCCTGACACGTGTTAAGGAGTTTCTAGGAACGTTCTGCACTTTGCCCGGTGTATTGCATAATCGTATAACCCAGCGCAAGAGACGTTAGAAGTAACCAGGCAGTCCCCCACGTTGCTATGTTACAACAGCATAACGAGGAGAACATTACTGCAGCATATCTAAACGAGACGCTCGGTACTCATCCTTTCAACTACTCTTCTCCACATCGTTACTTTCCTAACCAGGTGCCCTCCAGACGTTGGCATACAACAACATGGCCACTGGTTGGGGATGATGGGAGTTGTAGTCCAACAACAGCTGGAGGGTGCCTGGTTGGGAGAGGTCGCTTTACCACGATGCAAGTGTGCCCCTCCCCATGCACTTTGTGGAAGTTTCCTCTGATGGTCAGCTGATTTTTAAAGCTTTCTTTTTAAATTCAAGAAAAAGCCTGTTTTTAATTAATGGACCAATTTAGGTAAATATTTCAGTATCACCTTATCACTGATCATATGTCGTCTTTTGACTAAATAATGCAGAAAACGAATCCCTCAAATTCACCTTTTAAGGTATTAGCAGAGTCCATTGTTTGCAACAATGTAATTGGTACTAAACCTTCCCACTCATCTCCATAGGGGTTTGCTTAGTAGTCAGATTTTTAAAACTACTGTACTGTATCGTTAATTGGATTGATTAGTGCTCCTGTGCCTAAATGACTACATTGCTGGTTACAAGCCATAGCGGTTTGGGTTGTAAACAAAATTAAATACCAGCCGTGCAATCCCACGTATGTCTATGCAGGAGTAAGGCCCATTTAGTTCACTGTAACTTGATTTTTTTCTAGTTTGGTGCCCTGTTGACTGGGGTGAGATTTCAGGCTGGTGAGATCTACTTTTAATCTTGTTAGAACACTAAGATCTACCAACCAGAGCTTGGTGTAAAAGAAATACACTTGGCCAAAAGTAATCATGGGCCTAGGAATTTGTTTTGAGTACTGGAATTGCCCTTAGCTTTCTTAATTTTACTGGGGAGTCATTTAGTTTCTGCTTTATTAAACAATGCCATGTCTATGTTTGGTGGCTCAGTGGTGGAAAGGGTATGCTAGCTTTAGTGGAGATATTCTCTAGCTACACCCAAAACATTTTTCTCCTTCCAATAACCAATGTGGAGTCTGCATAAATTATATAATGCGATTTGGATGGGATCATTTAGATAATTTTCTTTTAGAGTTTTTTTCTCATAGAAAACAATGACTTCGAAATGTCACAGAAAATGCACCTGCAGAGACTATATATGTTGCTTCCTTTGCATCATATGTGTAAAACAATAGAGGAACTAGTCAGCTCTTACGCCGGAAATGATCTTATAGAGGTGCTTAAATTTAGGGAGCTCATGTCAGCCAATGAGCAGGTTTTATTTCTTTATTCCATTTGTATCCTACCCTTCCTGCAAAGAGCTCACGATTGTGCCTTGATGCTGCAGTCTTGTGTTTGCTTCCAGAGAACAGGCCTTTTGAATGCAATGAATATTAGTTCTGTGGAATCATATGTAGGATTGTGCTGGATCTGTCACAATAACCCTGTTTTGTAGGTTAGGATGGGGGAGTTTGACTTTTGCAACATTTGACCAGTGAACATCATAGCTCATGGGAGAATTTCCCCCTTCCAAACCCAGATTATTCTACACTATTATAGCCTGAATTTGCTAGCAGACTTTGCTGCTTTTTGTGATAATTCCAGACATCACTATGCCAGCATGGTAGGTATGTGATCCCTCAAACCACCCAAGATGAGACTAGACTGTTAATGGCCTGAATTTGCTAACATACTTTGTCGCTTCCATGTAATAATTCCATATATAGGTTTGGGTGCAGATCTAGGGCCACATCCACACCACGTATTTAAAACACATGGCTTACTGAAAAGAACTCTGGGAGCAGTAGTTTAGTCCTGACAGAGCTACAATTCCCAGCACTCTTAACAAACTACAGTTCCCAAGATTCTTTGTGGGAAGCCATGTGCTTTAAGTGTGCTTTATATGTATGGTTTGGATGTGACCCTGGACCTTTTGAAACCAATGGAAGGGACGTACTGAGGGATGGCAGGGGTAACGGGCATGCAGAGTGCCCACCCAAAATAAGCCCTAGTCTTTTGCTCCAAAGGTGAAGAATGTGGTTGGCTGCTTTGGTTCTGGGTGGTGCTCAGAACAAGCACCTGCCTACCCCCAATATCAAAGCAAACCCAAGCCCTGCTGGCCCTTTGGGCACTGTATCGCTGAACCCCTTTGAAGAGCCTCAGCAGCTCAGTGCCGAACAGGTCTCTCCTCTGCTTCTCAACTCTTGAGTTTAAAGCTGGAGAGAGGAGCTGTGGTCATCCCCACAGTTGCACTGGGCTTCCACGACTCCACAGAAGATCCCATCTCCCTCCAGCTGCAAAACTGGGAGGGGAAATTGTCCTGTGGGAGATCTGGGACAAAGTCATGCGACAAGGATAGGATCTTGGTGTCCAAAGGTTTTAGCTTATTCAACAAAGGCAGTCTGAATTTTTTGAACTTTGCATATTCCCTATGTGTTTTTTATAATGTCCGAAAGAGAGTTGTTGTAGTTTCTTTATTTCTGACAAACTTGAAATCCTTTATTTCCCCCCCGCCCCCTTGAATGAAACTGTAGGTAGCACTTCTAACTCGATTAAATTTGCTTGTGCAACCAGGAACAATATAAATTTTGCTTTGGCGCTGGATGTGGCCAGGCATTGTACTGATAGAATGGTGAATGCATACAATGGCTGCAGCTTTTTAAAAACGTTTTCTTTATAAAAGATCTAGGAGAATGCACATGTAAGCAAATATATCCCATAGAGCCTTGAGGAGTAGCTGGTTAAAGGCAAACCAGGTTGTGAAAACGATATCTGAACAAAGCAATGTATCGGAGAGTGTAGGTAAGCGCTAAGGGTGTCATTATGTAGCTTCCTTTTAGATGGGCAGGGTATAAATAAATAATTATTATTATTATTATTATACTTAACCAATTGCTGTTGGGTAGCTTAAGGCTGTGTAGAGGAGGCCTTTGGCCAGAAGCTGAGAAATGGGGATCACTGCTTGTTCTTTGCTTTTGAGGTGAGAGGTAAAGTTTCGGGTGTTATAGTTTGAATGTTGATGGTCAGGAGGCATGGTTTGCTTTTAAGATCACATTACAGCTTGCTGCCAGAGACAGAATGTCTCACTGCAGTGCAGTCCATATTCCTGTCTTGCACAGCTGTCTTGCCTCTTGACCTTCTCTATCAAGTGGCACAGAATTGAGCTTCTATTGCTAAGAGCTAAGATTTTTATTTTATTTTTGCAGGGTGGGTGGGAGTATTTTTGTTTTGATCTTGCTTCAGGCATTTTCTGCTTTTTTGACAGTCATTTTGAAGCTATATGTTTCCAAATTTGGCTATTTCAGAGTGCAATTGTTAATAGTTTTTAAAGCAACAACAGACCACCAACCAGAGCATCTTATTTCCCATTCTGCTACAGGTATTTGTGTGTTTAAAGGCAGAGCATGAAATATTTCAGCAAGATTTGTGCTACAGCTTCCTTTCATTCTGCAGCTGCCATCATCTGCTGTGCTCTGAAAACATCTCCTTGTAGCATTCTATTCCTGAACTGGGCTGACAGGGCAAGATTAAGCTAGTGAGAATCCTTTCCATCCTGGGCTTCAGATAATGGAAATCAGGGACACAGTTCAAACTGAAGGCAAATTCTGAGGTTGTGCCAGACTGAAAGCATATAGCTCAAAGGAATTTCTAGGGGATGACTGAGGGCTCTACCTGTTTAGCTAGCAAGATGTGCTGAATATGGTCAATGCTGTGTGTACTTCACACTAAATGAAATTGCACCACAAAGAGCTAAATTCTGCACCCTTGATATATTATATGCCAATTTGCACATACCTATATACTGATTTTTTATAATTTACTCTGCTTTTGTATAATTTATTCTGCAAAGGATTATGCGCTGCTGCCTTGCTCCCTAAACACTAGAAATCCCGCTTAGAACTCTCCTGTTTTCAAGAACAAATCAGTGTTACAGCTCATCAGTAACAATTATATTTTTCTCTTTTGGGTTCCTGGATTGTGGTGATACTGTTGATGCTATTAGGATTCCTACTTGAGTACTTTATGCATATTTCTATTTTAATGTTTTGCATTAAGTATATGATATACATGTATTTTGGTTTTCTTCATTTTCTGTGTTGCATTTGGTGGTGTCTAGCTGGAAAAAAACCACTTTATGTTTCTAAATAAAATGATGTGTTTGAGTGTGCAAAGTCAAGCTAAATTACCGTAGATTCCCCCCAATGCATGTGGAAATACAGACCAGTCTTATTACTGAAAACAATTCAGTTGCTTTCAAAGATTGATTAGATTTTAACCTTGACTTTAGGAGCTGGTAGAAGACCTGAGTCAGACTCTAATATCTAGCAAGTCTACAACTGTGGCACAGACTATGATTGGAATTTGACCCACAGGTCACAAAACGCTTGTTGGGAGAAACAGCTTGCCAGCTAGGCTCTGTTAATTCCAGCTATGCTAAGATTTTCTTTACTGATGATCTAGCACCTCTCTTTAGACACTCTAGCCAGTAGACGGATCTGGCTTGTGCTTGACTCTGTAGTGTAACCACCTTGTCAAAGCAGATTTGATGTGTTGTTTCAGATAGCGGGAGAGTCATGACTACAGGCTCCATTGGAGATTATCTGGGCAGAGACCTGGTCAGAGATAAAAATAACAAGACAAATAGCTATTAGTGACAGGCAGCCTCTATCACAAGCCTCCTGGCTGGCATTTGAGCATGCCATCTCTGCAGCACCTGATGAAATCTGGCTTCTTACTTAGAGGCTGAGCTTGGCAGTTCTCTTGGACGTGTCAAGAAAATGCATTCAGTGCCAAGGCAATAATCATGTTATGCCTTACAGGGGATTTCATTTTGCCCGTGGTACTGGCCTTTTCAGTAGTTAATACAGATGGACCCTATTTAGTGGTGGGGTGGAAGAGTTGCAGAAGATTATATGCAGTTAGAGCCATCTTCTGTTTTCTCATCTGTCTAGATCAGTTGTGATCTTGAATTCTCCAAAGTGCTTTACTTTAAGAGAGAGTGAAGGTAAAAGAGTGACATTTAACCCCTTTTGTTTCTGTAGATGTTATCACTAAGGCACGCTAATTGAGCTTCATACGTTATCTAGAAGAGGACCTCTCATGGAATGGTGGTTGTGGTCTTCTGGGAATGCTCTGTCCACTGAGTAACCATGGACTCCAAGGAGAAGTGTCAGGTAGGTTTTTTGGTCATGTTGTAGCTACTGTAGTTCTAGATGAATCTCTCGATTGAATTTGCTTCCGGTTGACTTTAGTTGGAAGATGATGAGTGGTCAGGTGTTCTTAATGTCAGAATGGCTTTCATTAGTGAGAATCTGGAAATCCAGATTCATATTTACAGTGGTGCCTCGGGTTACAGACACTTCAGGTTACAGACTCCGCTAACCCAGAAATAGTACTTCGGGTTAAGAACTTTGCTTCAGGGTGAGAACAAAAGTTGTGTGGCGGCAGCAGCAGGAGGCCCCATTAGCTAAAGTGGTACCTCAGGTTAAGAACAGTTTCAGGTTAAGAGTGGACATCCAGAACGAATTAAGTACTTAACCCGAGGTACCACTGTACTCTGTGTGTGTTTTTCTACTACTTCCCCTTTACAACTGTGGAGGTTACTTCCGAGTAATCATAAGCATATATAACATAGTTTACATACTGTTCTCCTGGACAAGATGAATGCCAACGGTTACTGCTGTGGGATATGTTGAACTTCTTGAGAGATATAGCTTGTGAACTTGAATGTAAGCTGTTTTCTGGCAGTGATAGTTGGTTAACAAAGATCTTGCTTTACTATTATTAAGGATGATCATTGTATGATTGTGTTGCCACACCGTGAAACTTACAAAACCATGAGATTAGCTTTGAAATTAACTTTGGAAAGCTGCTTTTGAGCCTTCTTTTTACTTTTCAAGATTTTATCCACAGCCATCAGCGCTGGAAATGCTTTTTCTCATTTATTGTTTTTAGCGATAGACTACAAATATAGGACACCAGAAAATGAAAGTTCCCATAGGTCCATGGCACCGAACTTTATATGATCATAGGCTCTAGTTTGCTCACTTTCTGTGATTTTAACAGTTTTTCATGGCTACAGTTGTTGCAGAAATGATGCCAATTGTATGTGACCAGCCACTTGTTAACTTGCTTCTTCCTCCATATGAATGGGGGCAAGTGTGATCCCTTGAAAACATCAATGTCCACTAAATTCCCACTTCTCAGTGATGGAGGAATACAGTGACTAAAAGTGGGGGAAAGCAGAAAAAAACAGGAGAGAGAAATGCTAGAGGAACTGATGTGTGAATCTATTCAAAGTAAAACATTTTATTTCACAAACCTACTTCTGGATTTATTGCTTCAGAAGAGAGCCAATGAAACCAAATCCCAAGACAGACTGCCTTTTGTTGGTAGAAAGGGACTTTTGATGTCAGGTGGAGTCTTGTTTTGGCTGTGCATTTAGGAATTAAGTATTACTGTTTACGCTTTCTCCATGGTTTCCTAACCTGCATCTTTCCAGAGAGATTGTTTTATATGGAATGCTGGTAGGATGGCATTCCTTATGCTTTGGTATTCCTTATGCTTTGTTCAATGTGATCCAATCTGACCCAAGCATGTGTATTTAAGGACAGTTCATCTTGTTCATACGGGTTGTGTGGAATAGGGGTCCTCAACCTTTTTGAGCATAGACAAAAAAAGGAGGCAACACACCTTCCCCTAAACAGGAAACACCCCTGGAAAAAGTCTCTTTAAAACAAACAAACAAGCAAATTAGGACAGGTTTGATGTCTGAGGGTGCCCATAGTTCCTATGGATTCCCCCTTGGGGACCGTGGTAGAGGAGCACAATTTCTAGATCTACCTCTGCAAGTGCCAGACTGAATAATGTGTTAGCAATGTGAAAGGGTAGCATCCTTTTATTAGCTGAATATGCTCAATCTAGCTTTGTCCTTGGTATCTTGAGGCTGGTGCATATCCTAATCTGAACAGGCATAGCTTATCCCTGGGTGTTGTATCTGCTACCTATTACCAGATGATGTGGGAACAATTCAACTATTGGAGTGTCTTAATGACCAATGGCATGCGGTTGTTGTTGTTTTAAAGTGAGAAGTTGTTTTGCAATTGCAATAGTTGTGTGGCAAGGACAGGCTATTTGGTAGGGGCAATAGGAAAATGTTTGGGGTGAGGAATGCCCATTACAGCCTTGGCGTTCACTTCTCTCATGGGTGTGTTTTGTGATCTCATTGTGCTGTGTTGTGAGATGTTTTTTGTGTGTGCATTAAAAGAGGATGTGGCTACAACTGTTGGGGTATCACTGCCCTTTTCTTTGGAAATCCAGCCCTCATCGTGCAACATGTGCTGGCTTGCGCTTAAAAAAGTGAGCAGCCTGGGAACAGGAAGGAAAAATCACAAGGACAGTAATAAACTATGAAGGTTGGAGGATTAGAGGGAACTCCAAGACACAGACTTGCTGACCAGCAGGAGCCTTGCCCAATACTCTGCTCCATCCCAGCTACTTCAGTCAGAGCCTTCCTTAATCACATGCCCTCCAGATGTTTTAGTGTTCTTCAGATACTGTTGGACTCCAACAACCATCATCCCTGACCATTGGCCATTCTGTTTGGAACTGATAGGAGTTGTAGTCTGTAGGAAGAGACCAGGTTGGGGAATACTGTACAATAAGTCCCATAACAATGTGGGGTAGAGAAAGAGAGAGAGAGAGAGAGAATCTTGAGATTCTTACTTTGCAGATGGATAAATAAATATGTTGTTTGGCCACACATTCTTTGATTCATTTACATCTAAAGTGTGGCAAAAGCCTTCTTGCCAGTTGGCAGGTCAGTCCGGATGATCAAGCTACCTGAGTCAAAGATTTTGCCCTGGGATATTTGGACATTTGCATGGGATCAAAAACTGCACCAAATGATGTGCTCTGTATTGTGTTAATGGGTATGTGCATTACATATAGCTGTTACTTTGAGATAATGAGGGATGGAGGAATTCCAGTAGTGTACTTTCTCTGTCTGGTTAGGGGCAAATCTGCATATCTGTCCTGGCTCTCACTGAATGAAGAACTCGAACTTCTGCTCAAATCTTTAATGCCCAGGTCAGTAGATATATAGACAAAAACAGGGTCAAAGGCACAGCAGATACATGGCTAAGGCATTGATCCAACAAAACAACACACCCTCTCAGTTCCTGTTATGTGGAAATGGGGTGGCATGGCAAGTGGGCAAGCAAATGCAAACTTCTGGAGGCTGAACCTGAGTTGTCTGTTCTTGGCTATGTTGGCACCTCCATGACCTAGGTGATGGTGAAGGGGACAGCTGCTGCTCCAAACTGAACTAAGTGTCTGAGTCCTCCTGGGAGGTTGGACTAAAGGTGGGCTCCAGCAGTGCTTGGCGGGGTGTGTATGTTCCCAGATCAGCGGTGAAAAAAAGCACAGAAGCATGGGGTGGGTGGATACAAGGTGCCTGGGTGACGAAGAAGGGAGTAAAGCAGAGTGCTGACAGATTACACCACTGAGACCTTCCCCAGGATCTGACTCCTCATTTGTAACTCTGTCCCCCTCTTGAGGTCCTGGCACAGCCCCTCCATACCCACTGGGCCCTGCCCCAAGGTCATCAACCGACTGATCCTCTGACTTTTCTTCCTCCAATCCTGATCCAATCAGCCCCTCCATGATGTCTCTTTAGGACTCAGGACAATTTCTCCTCTTGAATTTTGTACATTTTCTGCCCTTCTAACCCAACGATAGTGTATGCTGCATCTCAATAAACCTAACGAAGCTTGCTAATAATGGCTCAGTGACCCATTTTGGTATTGATCAGTGTGAGATATACAGCAATTACCGTACCTTGTAGAAATGCTTTCATGACCTCAGACAGTGGTGGCATTTTCTTGGAACAACTGCAACGTAAAACCTTTTTGTGCAATATGGGGCATGTCTGTTTAGGAACCAAGCATGTATTTCTATGAAGAGAGTGAAGAAATCTTACTTCTCTGCCATCGTTACTTCCTCATAGTTTGGGGATATCTCTGGATCCAGCATTGTTACGGGAGACTCAGGTGGCTTTTTTCACTTACAGCCGGTTTTCCAGCTACAGCCCCTTTTAAGCAGAGATGACTCTGCTGTAGTACTCAATGCTCTGGCAAGACTGAATTATTACAGTGCGCTGCCTGGGACTGCCTTTGAAGATAACGCAAACTTCAGCAGGTTTCAAATGCAGCAGCCAAATTATTGGCTACAGTTCAGTTTAGAACTCACATAATCTCGGTCTTAAAAAAATTGCACTGGTTGGCAGTTCATTTCTACCCTGAGATGGTGCATTTTTATGTTTTTTTACTGAGTGCACAGGATGATTCACTACTGACTATGTGTCTCACCTGATGTAACTTAAAAACATCAAAGTGCATTTTTTAGAGGTACTGGCCAAGTTGGCAGAAAAAATATGGTGCAGGAAGTATTGTGGGGCTGGAGAAACCCAATCTGCACAGCTGCATTGTCAGAGAACTTGAGACTCTGAAAGATAAGGGGTTTATTGTCAAGTCTCTGCCATCCACACAGTTCCACTGCCAATAGCGGCTGAGAATAACCGTTGCTCAGATGTGGTGCAGCTTGGCATCCAGTCCTGGCCAAGAACCAGGTATTGCAGAACAAGAGAGCAAATATCCTAAGAGGTCATCCAGAAATCTTTGAAATTCAATTTAACAGGCAAGTTATCTGTTCTGATTCCTCATTCTGTTTAATGCTGGCAAGAACAGTCCGTGCTCCGGGATATGCAAACCACGTGAAGCAGTTAGCAAATCCAGTTTTGCTGTTTTTCCTCTCAGTTTAACTCTGGTTCCGATAGAGATTTTGGAAACGTCTGCTTTTGCTCAATAGTGGCTTGTTGTGTTGTCTGGACCAAAAAACAGTTAAGTTTGTGTGAAACAAGTCAACTTCAAAGCAGGGTTAAAATTATTTTGACAGGATGGAAAACTAAGCCAACAAAATGAAGTTTTGCAGACTTAAGTGTAAAGTTCTGCTTTTTGGTGCGAAGACTCAGATGTCAAGATGGGTGACAAATGACTTAACAGCACATTTGAAAAGGATATGGGAGTCCACATGCTAAACGTGAGTCAGTAGTGTTGTCTGGTGTCTAAAAAGGCTAATGCAACTCTAGATTGCATGAGAATTCATGGTATCACTCTGTTCTTCTTTGATCAGGACTCACAGTTCTGGACACTGCGGCTTAGAAAGGACACTGACATATTGGAACATCCAGAGTAGAGCAGGGAACCTGGGGATCAGGTTTTGTGAGCAAAGGCTGAAGGGGCTGGGTATATTTATTTTGGAGATTTTAAAATGTAGAGATTATCGAATAGCCATCTTCAAATATTTGAAGGGCCACCACATAGATCATGGAGCAGATTGGTTTTCTATTGCTCCAGAGGAGAGGACCCAAACCAGCGAGTTCAAATCATGAGAGAAATGATTTAATTTAAATGTAAGAAATTATTTCCTGGTTCAAGCTGTATGAGAGTGGAACAGACTGCCTTGAAAGGTGGCGAATTCTTCTTTCTTAGAAGTTCTTAGAAGCACCCTGATCATAGGTGCTGCTGTAGTGGATTTACTTCAGCAGCTGAGGCTGAACTAGGAAGTAGATGAAATTACCTTTTGAAAAAACAAACCAAAACATAATTAACGTAGCCACAGTTTATTGCTGTAGGGGACACAACAAGCTGTGGTTGAGCAAAAACAGAAACAAAAGCTTCTAAACAACTTCCACCTGTGCCAGGGAGGGGCTGAATGTGGAAGCCCAAGGCTCACCTCCGCTCCTTCACATCACACTAAACTATGGTTTAGCATAGGTTTTAAAAGGAGCCATTATGTCACTGTTCTGGGTCATTTTATTTTCTCTGTGATGAAACACCAGTGCTGGGAAAAGGACAGTTTTCTTCATGGAAGGCTCCATTGTTGCAATAAGGGGTATTGTGTAAATCCCATTAGTGGTGGTGTTTGGGATGGACAATATAATTACCAATGTAAATACTTTCTTCCAGTAGCTCTGCTTTTTCCATAGCTGTTTGCAATCTTTTTTTGTTTAATTGGAGTCCACAGACTTCTGTTCTTTAGTGCTGGAGTGCATGCATCCAATAGTAGCCTGGTTTGCATGTCAAATTAAAGCATGGTTAAAATAAACTGTGGTTTTGTGTGAATGAGCTGCAATTGTGGGCCCTTCTCTCTTCCCCTGCCCCTGCTTTTACCAGTTTCCCCTACCACACTATTTTGTCTTGTCTTATCATACTGAATATCACCACCTGCACCTCTGCCTCCCTTACTTTATTGTGTCTGGATCTTAAAAGTTCTGCACCTTTCTACTTCGTCTTGACCAATCCATCTCATTTTAATGTGCTTCTGTTCCCCTTACCATATTGTGCTTTCCGTAGAAGTACAGCTTACAGCTTACGTTTGTGCAAGCTCCACATGCGAGTAATTGATGAGGCGCAGGCACATATCAGGGTCATGCAGTCATGAGCGGATGCAAAGCAATACAGGGCTGTGCCTTTTGTTAGAGTTCATGCCCTTATTTTTCATGCTGCTCACAATGTGAACAGAAGTGGCGATGAAGTGCCTTAACCTCTTCAGACATCTCTCCCGTCCTTTCATCTCTTATTTTAATCAATGGTGTGGCCCCCGCCTTTCCCTCGGGATAGCTGCCACTTGAGAAATAGCGCTCCACTTTTCTTCTACTGGGCTTAACACCTCTCTCACACACAATATGCACACGCACACTGCTTTTTAGCTGGGAAATGTTTCGGGAAGGGCAACCAAAATGAGCAAGGGGATGGAGCAACTCCCCTATAAGGAAAGATGGCAGCATTTGGGGCTTTTTAGTTTAGGAGAGCTGGCAACTAAGAGGCAGCATGGACGTGGATAACCAGAAACATATCTATTCAGAGAAAAGTCCCCCCTTCATAATAGCAGAACACAGGGATGACGGAATTTTGGAAGATTTAGGACAAACAATACTTTGCACAGCGCATCGTTCAGCGATGGGATTGGCTCTCACGGAAGGTAGTGGTGGCCATAGCTGTCAATGTTTCCCTTTTTTTAAGGGAAATTCACTTATTCCAAATAGGATTCCTCGCAAGAAAAGGGAAAAGTTGACAGCTATAGTGATGGCCACCAAACCGGATAGCTTTAAAAGAGGACTAGACTAACTCATGGATGATAAGGCTACCAGTGTCTGCTAACCATAATGGCTATTATAATGGTATGGGGTTGCTCGTGCGTAAGTTGCCGCCTCTCCTGGCTATGTTGCCTTGTTAAACCTTTCTGTCTGGACAGCCCTTCAATTCGTGGCTGCCTCAGTCGCTAGCAGAATCTGTCAGTGGGCGTTTCTGAAACCTTTTCCAACATAAAAGTTGTTTGACACCCAGTCTCCTCCTACTCTCTCTGCGTGGAAGTCTTCTGCGCAGGGAGGGCGTGGGTAGCAGAGGACCAGTGCTCTCCCCGCTGGTGTCCGGTGAAGAGTCTGGGAGCCCTCTCGCCGATTCCCCCATCTGCCCCTCCTTATTCCTGGTGTTGCACTGAATTGCTTCCCCATCTGCTGAGCTGCCTCTCTCCCTGCTGGGCCCTTCTCCAGCATCATTGGAGAGCCTTCCCTCCACCTCTAGCTCCAATATCAGTTCCCTGACAGCTATGTTCTCCTTCCCCTGTTATAGGTAGTATGTCTTTGCATGCCAGTTGCTGCAATCACAAGCAGGGAGAGTACTGTTGCCCTCAGATCCTACTGCCAGGCTTGCCATAGGCATCTGTTCAGCCACTGTGAGAACAGGATGCTGGACAAGATGAGCCAATGGCCTGATCCTGCAAAGGCTCTGCTTATGTTCTTAGGTCCACCCTCTAGCAAGTGGAATGCTTTTGTATTGCAGAGTGATTATATTCTGCATGGCACTTGCTTGGAATCGAAGCGAACCGACAGCTGTTTTTTTTTACCAAGCAAAGCTAGGAGAAAATCCTGTTAAGGCGACTGCCAAAGAGAGTTAAAAAGGCTTTTCTTGCCATTTCAAAATAATAATAATAAGGCTGCTCTATTCTGTTAAGCTGAGATGTCCGCATCGGAGAACTTCCTGTGACTTTACAGTCTGAGGTGCCAGCATGTGCTCATTCAAGATGGTGAGAGAGATTTCAGAAAAGTCTGCCAGTGGCATTGCTATAAAAAGCCCACCTGCTGAATTTTGTGTATGTTTTGTAGGAGTACGAGTGTTTCCCAGTCCCGGCTCCTGGGGTGTTGCTTCCCTTTTCCTTGGTAGTGTCCCAGTTACAACAAGTAGCTGTGTTTTTTGGCTGCTTAATTACTTACTAGGAATTGTATTCAGGAAAGTGGGGTGGTGGTGGTGGTGGGAATTTGTGCTGTGCAAGACACTTTGTTCCTTTTGTGCAGTTAAAGAGTATGTTGTCTAGGAAACACAATGCCCTGGAGAAAGATGCTGCCTCTTTCTTTCCCCTCCCTTCCCTGCTGGCTTCTTTCTTGCAACCAGCGCCACAAATGCTTTCCTTTCCTTTCCTTCAGCTGTCCCCTTAAGAGTTCCATATGCAGAAACTTTAATTTCTGAAATTGTGTGTGTGTGATATTTTTTCGCCACACAACAGAGAGCCTGGGTCAGGACTCACCTCTTCATGGTGCCTATAGAAGGAGCAGCCTTGTGTGGAGTGTCAGACTTGTAACCCCTGACTAGCAGATATTCCATAATCTCAAGTGGAAATGTTATGCAGACTGTCTATCAGTAATTCTGTATACCTGGGTGGGGTCAGATAACCTTTTCTGTCTAGTGGGCTGCATTCACCTTTTGACCAACCCACAGCCTTCCCTCCTCAGATCATCTAAGCAGATCAGCTGAGGAAGCGGATTATTGCCCACCTCCCCATTAATCAAATGATCGATCTGATAGCAGGGGCAGCAGCAATTTGCATCCCCATCAGAGCACTGTGCGGGGAAAAGAGATGTTGACATCTTTGCCCAGCACAGCACTGTGTCTGTTTTTCTTTTTTCTTTTGCTGCCATCAAGAAAATCAGTGGAGTCTTGGGAGGGGAAAAAAAATGTTTGCCGGGAAAGGGGACAGATAAGACTATTAGGTCAGGGGTTAGCCGTCCTGGTTCAGGAGATGCCAGAAACTGAATCAGGGCTTTTATCCATTCAGAGCATGAGTTCTGCCACTGAGCTGGAACCTCTCCTTTCTAAGGTGGGAAGATCAGCTCTTCAAATGATGGGTCTTTCTTGCTCTCCTTTGATTTCAGAGCATGAAGGCAAAAATCGGTCACCTGTCAAACCATGGAGGTGGGTAGGCAAGATAACAATCTGACCCACTGGCCAGATCTAGTTTCCCTCAGCTCTGTTGTATGAAGTTGGGCCACTCACTGACTTTTAGAGTAACGGTCATGTAGAGGACTTTTGCAGGCACTGCCAGACAGCTGATCGGCGGTGCTTGCTAACTCCCTTTAACTGCTCCACGCCTGAAATCATGTAGGATGTCAAGTGAGGGTGACAACTGCTACAATGGCCTCACAAGCCAGATGAGGAGGCCAGGCAGAGTTAATAAGGTACCCAGACTTCAGGCTCCCTACTTCTGTCATACAACGGGCTTTTGGCTGAGTGGGAATTTTGAGTTGGGGGTCTCTCTAGTTTGACTGATACTCTTAACTTTTATTCTGTGCTGGCTGTCCACTAACTTGAGAAACACATGGGCTTAAATTTTTTTGGAGGGGTCTTGTCATCTGCATAACCACCTTGACAGTTCAAAGCGTGGAAATTTATGCAGTGCAGTGTATGCTTAATTGGGACTAGAGCGTTTAGTGGTGAGTAGGTACACAATGAAAGAATAGTTCAGTCATTTCTATTTAAGAAGAAGTTAGGTGCATTTGTGGTTTCGGCTGGAAAAAATATATAAAATCAATCTTGTCTTGTGATTCATTCATAGTAAATAATCTAATTTTATTTTATATATGAAAAAACTGCCCATTAGAGATGTCTTAAAACTCTTACGTTGAGTTCTGGGTCACAGTTTATTTGTTTAAAGCATTTGTGCTGCACCCTTCAGCCAGAAAGGTTCCCAGAGTGGCTCACATACAATTATCTTGCCTCATAATTTTCTGTTCTTGCCCCCTGCAAATGTAGCTTGTTCATTGAGAAACAACTAAAAAATTAGAAAGCAACTTTGCCAGTCCATAAGGAAAGAATCCCAAACTGCAAATACAATTATTAGGACAACCCCAAAAGTTATAAACTTACGATCAAGTTTTTTTTGAGTTCTCCAGAGTTCTTCACCAGATGTAATCAAAAGGCAAGGGAGAATGAGAGAAGTAGCAAATTAATGTGCAGGTCTTAAGGTGGAAAGGACGAGAGTCATGCTATCATCATTGGATTGGTATCCCCATGTGCATGACAGGACAGGTATCCAAGCCTTGCTCTGTTATTTTAGAGGCCATTTTTGCAACAGGATTGAGATCTTGTTTAACTTGGACCATAGTATCAAGCAAGAGTTAAGACATACAGACACTAAAGGAAAGGAAGAAGAGGTGATGATAAATAGTACTCCACACATGAGGGATGTATCTATATTGCATGCTTAGATTGAGGTTGTCTGTGGTACAGAATGGGCTTGGCTGCTGTCATTACTGTGATTCTTATTCTTATTTATTTACCTTTGTTTTGCTCCTCCCCTCCCTTTGGGTTTTTGGGGCATATGCATTGAACTCTTTGTCTCCGTTGGCCCAGTGTCCTCTGCCTGTCCCTCCTCCATTGCTGCTGCTGCCCAGCTCTGGGTAAGTGGCAAGCCCCAGACACAATAGATTGCTATTAATAACCTGCACTGCACCTTCTGCAGGAGTCTCCTCTTGAGAGGCTATGAATATTTGATACTTGGAGGGGGGGGGACTTTCTCCTGCTCTCCATCCTGATTGCTGCTGGGAAGTCCTGCTGGGAGCAAGAGGTCGCTCAGGAGGGATCAAGGCATATCAGTGCAGCTCAGCAAATAGAAGGCCTGGTTGTTTTCCTCGTGGATTTTTATTGAAATAATTAGCTCTCAGAATGCACAGCTTGACACCTGAGGGTTTTGTGTTCATAAGTGCACTGTTTGACATTTTTTAAAATACGGGACCGTTCATGTGAGTTCTCAACCCCTAAGGTCATTTTCCTCCTATTTAGTCCACCTCCACTGTTGTGGCCAGAGCTGGCTTTTCCTTGCAGTATCCTATGTTTTCCTGGACCTGTTCTCTGTTAGCATCATCTTGTGCTTCAGCATGTACCATCTCTGCCTTCCGTACAGGTGTATTTCATGGGCTATCTGGCTTTTGAATGCAGCCTCCTGGACCCAGGGGGATGTGATCCTAAAGGACATCCTCATCTCTCCTTTCTCATCCCTCCCCTTCTTACCCCATATCCAGCATGCAGCAGTGTGACTGGCAACAGGCTGAATTAATCAGTGGCTTGGTGCTTCACTCTGCTGTTCCTCTCCCTCTCTCTCCCTCTCTCTCTCTTTCTGCAGCGTTGCGCTGTGCGCACTCTCTCTATTGCTCTCTGCTTCTCTCTGGATAGCAGCATTGGAAGTTGCTGTTCAAGGTTCCAAGTGCTGCGCTCCAATCTTAGCCCAGATGCTTTTTAAACAGACAGATTTGTGGATGTCCCAGCAAGCCAAAAGTGGCAAAGTAAGTTTACCTTTTGCGCTTTTTATTTCTTTCTCTTTTCTAACGTTTGAATTCAAGATGGCTTTTCCCTTCCTTTCCTGTATGTTTTCCTGAGCTGCTAATGTACAGAAGGCTTCTGAGGTTGACTATGTGTGTGAGCTTAAGGCAGATGAGCTGCATTAAATGGCAATATATATTATGGAAAGGAGGACCTCTTCCTTTCTGCTAGGCTTGTTCTATCACTGGGAGAATTTGGGCTCTGAGCACAGTGTATAGATGCCTTGAGCTTTAGTGAATCCTTGTGTCTGTTTGGTGGTTCAGATTTGTCTGTTTCTTACACATGCCTGAGCATTGTGCCACTAAGTGCCACTTCCTACTGGTATACTTGAGGGGTGGGGTGTGAGGGGGTTAATGCTGTGGCATAAACTAGCAGGGATCATCGTGCGTGGCAAATTTCCTGGATCTGGAGGATTGCCAAGTATGTTCAAGGGAAGCAAATGTGGCAATGATCCATCCTTGCAGATTAATAAATCTAGGATTACAGTCAGCTGTGGTTGGAAGTGTGTGTGTGTGTAATTACCGACTGCGCATATTATTCTTCAGTGTTAGGGAAATATGTATAGTAATATATGCCTTAATATCACATTATGTAACATGCCTTTAAAACAGCACAAACACCAATCCCCATGGCACATGTGTTAGCTACATAGAAATCCAGCCCCAGGGTGATCTGCAGGTGCAAGAACGGCTGCGGGGACAAAGTAGGAAAGCTGTACAGCATGCAGTTGCCTGAAGGAGCTGCCTATTCACCCAGTACCCTAAAATGAAGGAGGAGCCAGCGAGCAAGCAAAAGCTGAGGTTTGCATTGTCAGTATTAAGAAGTTTATCCTGGTTATTGGCATTCAGCCTCCTGCTTTTGTATGACCCTAAAAACACCCTGATGTCCAGAAGAAAGTAGATTCGCTCATATAGAGGGCCATGACCAATGTTGGTAATGTACTCAAGCCCTGTGTAGATTTGCGATGCTAAGTTGGAATCTCCAAATGTAAAGATTCTGTAATTTCTAAGAGGCAAGGAAGACTTGCACCATTGTGTAAAATGGAGCTTCTGTAGTCACTTGAGCGGACGGAGCTTCTCTGCTAAAGAGAAATGGTAAGCCCTAGTTTGCTTTGGCGGCTTGTTCCTGAAACTGGATGGAGCCCGATGCTGTTATTAATTTGAGCAGTGCTGCAGATGTGATCTATGCCAGCAGTTATGGATCGAGCCGGCATGTGGTCTGCTACAGATCTCCTTAGCTCAGTGGTGCCAACCTTTTTTGGTTAGGTATGCCACATGTCAAATCCATAGCAAACATAAGGCAGGGTGACCCTAGTGCAGGCATGGCCAAACTTGGCCCTCCAGATGTTTTGGGACTACAATTCCCATCATCCTTGACCACTGGTCCTGTTAGCTAGGGATGATGGGAGTTGTAGTCCCAAAACATCTGGCGGGCCAAGTTTGGCCATGCCTGCCCTAGTGCATGCTACGAGCCCACTATTTCTCCAAGTGCTTTTGCTTTTAGTCTACTAGGCTAGGGAGGCAAGCACAGTATAGCATTAGAGAAGCAAAAGAACATGGAGAAATCTGCCCGTGCAAAGATAGTATACCATATATATACCATTAACCTGGTCCATGGACTTAGTTATTCTTAACCAGGTGTGCTTAACCCCTTCTTTGATTGTGCCCTTTATGGTACCTTTATGGTTAGATACCCGTGGCCTAATTCATCTGATTTGAATAAGACTTGCTCACTTGCTATGATGTGGAATGTGAATTGTTTGATAACTCTGTTCATTCTATATGCTCTATGCTAGATGCAAACGTGTGTAGGCCATAATGAGGACATAAGGAGGCTCAGTGAGCAGTGTAGCTCCTGGTACAATTTGTGGCTTTTTTGTTTTGCAAAGTTTTTTCCCCGTACGAAATTCATAAGATCCTGAATAGTCCATGCAACAGGTTTGGGCATGCATGAGCAGGCAGGGGAGTGGAGTTCCCATGACTCAACTGTACATATTCTTGCTGATGATGTTCCTTCCCTGCCCCCTCCTCCATGGTTACCCACACTTTCCATTTCTGCAGGAAGTTCACACGTGGAGATGCCACAAGTTGGAAGGGGCCAAAATGCCATTGGCTCCAACCCAACAGATAGCTGGGAATCATGTCTATTCCTTCCAAATGATGGTGGTGGTGGGGAATTGTTTTCCTACCATTGTTCTGAGATAGAGAGACTGAAGGCTTGATTGCAATCTAACTTGGCTTATAACTCTCTGTAGTACAAAATCACATTTTGTGCTAATTTTCTCCTGACTTGCTTGTTCTATAACACAAGAAAGTGTTGAGGAAACAACAGTAACAGGATCAGGATAAGAGGAGGAGGAGGGACTTATCTGTCTATATCTGTTTCTCATTTCCCCCCAGTCTTAAGTTCATTTTGCCACTTTCCACATCAGTTTATGATTTTTTAATAAATAAGAGGCTCGTGAAAATTTGCCAGCATATTAGTGAGCGTTTCTTGCGTGTAATTTCCCCCTAAAATAATGCATTTTTTATACTTTTCGTGAACATGTACATATTTATACACACTTTCCCCAGATAGATGTGTCTTTGCATGCATTTTTTGGTTGGAGAACTGCATTGCACAACTTGGCAAGGTGTGCATTTCAGAGGACAGCTGCACTTTAATTTGCTTGTAGGAGGTAAGTAGCTCCATTAGTGTCATTAAACATGTGTGCCTATCAGCCCGGTTCTTCACCTTGCTTGCCTTTTAGTCTGTCTTTGCATACCTTCTTTTGAACACTGTACCTTCCTACCAATGTACCAACTGCAAGCCTGGCCATGCTAGCAATAGCTTTGCACTTGGATATTCCCATCCCCAACAAAAACCAAAGTTTGGGATACAAGATCCCAAGAGCCCCAAATGTGATACGGTGCTTAGGAATGTCGATCTCTTTCAAAACAACAGTGCCTTCCAAACCTGGGCTGGTGCCGAATGTGTGTTGCTGTTGTTGTTTTGTAAGTTATCTGTTTTTAAATTGAGTTTTCAAAACACCATAATTTCAGACACAGTAGCAAGGCATGGTATTTGAATCACTTTAATAAGACAATAAAAGTGGCTAAAATTTGAGCGCTGGTTCTTGCTTTTCAAAAAGAAGTTATTATGCCATCTTGGCGTTGGAAGCGTCCCCTCAACTTCCAGCCCTGACCAAGATAAAACCCTTTCTTCTCATTTAATTTCTAATATGAAGTGATGTTCCTAAGAGACACTGTGCGGTGGTGAAAATGACACCTGCTTGCTCTCACAATAGAGAAGAGATCCGCTTGTTCTGTGCTTGTCCCTTGATGATGGTTACATAACTGGCACCAAGGGGAGAGAGAGAAGGGAGAGTTGTCAAAGTAACTCCTTCCCATGTATCGTGTCTCAAAGGGGCCACCTGTGTAATATATTTATTGAGCACAAAATAACAACACTTGGTGAATAGTGCTTTCTCCCATGTTGGAGCAATGATCAAAAGATTGTCTGCGTCACGACTGTGATAGGTGGCATGCAACCTGTTGAAAAGGTTCTTGCGCCGGGAAGTTTTTAACGTTTGACGATCTATTATGTTTCTATATTCTGCTGGAAGCCGCCCAGAGTGGCTGGGGAAACCCAGCCAGGTGGGTGAGGTATAAATAATAAAATTATTATTATAAAAGTAATAATTCTGGGGGAAATTCAGCATAGCGCTAAGGAGATTGTCCCATCAGCGCAAGCATTTCTGCAGGAATAGTCTGTCTCTCCCTGCCCCATGCACTGTTCCAGGGCTCTCCTGACCCCCTTGAGCCAGTTTGGGGGAAGGAACACTGGAGAAGGAGAGGGTGGGAAAGCCCCATTGCACTGATGGAGGTCCTTGAGCAGGTTCCTGTTGGCAGGACTGCTTAGTTGAATCCGACTCAAAGTAGTAATGTCAGGGCAAACAGCAGAGTCTCATTTTGCATATGGATCTTGCATTGGGTTTTGTGGAGTCTGAAAATGGACCCTGTGTTGGTAGGGAGAAGATGCAGAATGCCCCCTGCCCAAAAGGGCCATGACTTCCTTGAGGTTCTCGGGTGGTCCAAAGAAAACAGTCCCAGTTGCAATGCAATATTCTTGATTCATTAACTCTGGCTAAGGATCACTATTAGCCGTAGGATTGCATGGCCCCTCTTCCTTTCTTTGGTGTTTCTCCTCTTGCATGCAAATCTCCCTAACAATCTTTTAACCATGGTTAGTATCAGTGTCAACAAGACATCATAGCACATTATTTTAAGGCGTGTACAGCACACAGCAAAGAAATTTATCTAGGTGGTGAATGTCATCTCCACAAACAGCATAAAAACACTTAAGCAACATCTGGGCAGTAATGCACAATGGTTATGCTATAGGCCAGAGAAGTCCTGAGTAAGCAGAAGATAGTGGTTAGGGGTACTGTGGAAAAAAGATTTGCCTTTAGAAGATGTTATTTTAACGCAGAACCGCCTGTGGAGAGATTCTTACATATAGGTGATGTCTACACTGTCATGTATGATCCAGTTGAGATTCCTACATTGTAGGGGGTTGGACTAGATGACCCTTTCCTAGTCAATTTTCCTACTGCCCATCTACTGCACCTGTATGTATGTATGTATGTATGTGTGGAGTCTCAGAACACGGGAGTCATAGAATTGTAGAGTTCTTTGGATCTAGTCCAATCCCCTGCATTGCTGGAATATGCAGTTGTCCCATACGGGGATCGAACCTGCAACGTGCACAACTATGAAAGGGGAACCAACAGAAGATGATTTCAGATCCCTCAGCTGGTTTGATTTCCACTTACCTTTCCATTGTCCGTTTATAATTTACTCATTCTGTCTTTCTTAGCAGTGCCATTGAGCATAACCCCACAACTTATGGCATTATCCTAGAGTTTTGATTTCCCTTGAGAGACGACTACTTTGCTAACAGCCACCATTGCTTGTTTTCTGGCAAATTGGGGTTGCAGAGTGACAGTCAGAGGCAGGGTGAGGGTGTCTTGTCCGTACTGCTAGGAAGTATCTATATACCGTATTTTTTGCACCATAACACTCACTTTTTTCCTCCTAGAAAGTAAGGGGAAATGTCTGTGCGTGTTATGGAGGGAATGCCTATGGGTGGCGGGGGGGATCTGCTGCAGTCGTGAGCAGAGGATCCGTGGTTCCCCTTCCTTCCCTCCTCCGTGGCTCGCTTTGAAACAGCAAAGCGGGAGAAGAGCCGCTGAGTGGGGAGGAGAGAGGGACAGAGAGCCTGCTTCTTTAAAGGAGCAAAGCGGGAGAGGAGAGGAGCCACTTACACAAGTGTAAGCGGCTCCTTTCCGGTTGGTTCCTTTAAAGCAAGCAGGCTCTCTGTCCCTCTCTCCTCCCCACTCAGCTCGCTAAGCCAGGGATGAGCAGGGAGGAGGAAGAAAAGCAGAGTCTGCTTGCTTTAAAGGAGCAAAGTGGGAGAGGAGAGGAGCCTTCTCCCCTTATACCCCTCTTCTTCATTATTAGCAGCATCCTTCTCCACCCACCCCACAAGTGCTCCTTGTCCCTTGAGTGCTTTTCCTTCCCTCCCCACTTAAAACGTGGATACAAAGCACGGATCCACATGGATCCTCAGGATTTTTGCACTGGGTCACCCCAAATTCATCATCAGATCACATAGCATGTCCATGGCTACATCTTGCACCAAAAAAATCACGCACCCACTGTTGCCTGGGGCCGCAGTGGTGCAAAAACGTGGTTACAAAGCATGGATCCACATGGATCCTCAGGATTTTGCATTGGGCTACTCCAAACTCACTGTCAGATCACATGTCTGTGGCCACAGCATGAACCACAAAAATCATACATCCACTGTTTCGTTTAGAATATTTTTTTTCTTGTTTTCCTCCTCTAAAAACTACGTGCGTGTTATGGTTGGGTGCGTGTTATAGAGCGAAAAATACGGTACATACATATATGTGTGTGCACACGCGCACGCGCGCACACACACACACAGTTGGCGGTTGAGACACAGCACCATAGGCTAGATCAATCTTGCTTGCTATGTAATCAATGCAGAGCACTTGGTGCTTCTACTGCAGCCATTCATCTCTTTACGAATGGAGGTTTAGGCTTATTTAAACTTGAAATATCTGCTCAGCGAAACGGACGAATGTTAGTGCTGGGGGATGAGCAACTGCTTATCGTGTTGGAAAATAAATACAGACTATGTAGCAGGCGCCAGTGCTGAGAACACAATTGCATTGTCCTACTCAGCATTCTCCTTCCTAACTTATTGAATTCATTTTGGAACCAATCCTGAGCTGTGTCGCCACTTTGCTTTTCAGTTATAATCCCTGCCACCTTGCGTTTTTCTGTGCCAGAAGGGTTTCTACTATATCCAGACTCTGGGGAATTAGCTGCAAAGCCCCAAACTGCTAAAGGGTAGAGTGATAAGCGATGCCTGCAAAAACGATAGAAACTGCCATGGCACCTTAGGGACTAACTGGTTGATTCTAGCGCATACCTGGTTTTTGTTTCTTTGTTTTGTAAGCTGCTTTGAGCATGATTTTTGTGAGTGAATGAATGAATGAGATCGAATGAATACAACTTTGTGTGAAGGTTTTTTTTTTTATGCACACAATCTGTAAAAATTCAGGCTGCTCAGTATATTATTTTTCTCCACTTGTGCCTTAATAGATGTGAGTAGGACAAGGAAGAAGAAAATGCAGGATCAACTTGTGCACATTGGCAGCGTCCAAAGTGTCAGAAAATGAAACTGATGCAGGAATACAATGGGAAAGGGGACACCCAAAGCTGCCCCCAAGATTCTTGTTCAGATGTCTCAAGGTGCAGTCGTGAGCTCTCATCTCATTATCTTGTTCAAGTAAAATAATTTCGAGACCTTGGAGGCTAATAGAGAATAGCGAGCTTCTGCTCATCATTTCCTTGACGGGAAAGAAACTAGCTTTCTTCACTTACCAAAGGGTTTAGAGAGGCCACGTATTAAATGGAGAACCCTGATGCTGTTCGTTTGCTGTTGCGTGATGCTGTAAGAAGCTGAGAGCCTCTATAGTCTAACTGAAAAGCATGTCAGAACTGAGAGTTTTTGTAGTCTCCAAACTGAAAATTTGAGAGACTTGTACTTGGAATAAAGAAAATTGCTTCAGCTCCTCATGCTGCTATGGGAGTTAGTGGGTGCTCCTCTGTGTACTGCACATACATGCAGTGTTCCCCATAATATGTGAAAGCTGGACTTCTAGCTCAAGCACATAATCCCGAATATTCCTGCAGTGGTTCCATGGACTTCAAACCTGAATGGCTCTTATGCTTTTGAGGTGTATCCCAGTGTGTAGACATAATTCTTTATTATCATAATATGTGATGAATTCCTAACACACCTCTATGTGAAGATCTAAATTATGTATTTTTAAAAAGATATAAATAAGAAAAAGGTCCTCCGGTAACATAGGAAACTACCTTTTGGTAAATTAGATCTTTGGCTAACTTAACTCAGTAGCGTCTATACTGGCAGATAGCTGTTCTAGAGTTTCAGACGTGGGACGTTCCCAGTCCTACCTAGAGATTTTTTCATATTCTGCACCACAATAAATTTGGCAATTTACTGAAATGATTAAGTGAGCAGTGCAAGGCAAAAAGTGGGCAGGACTTGTAGAGTCGGTATGTTAATGGAAGGATTTGATGGTAGGAGAATAGAAGGAAGTGTGGTTCACACTGGCATTCAAGCTTCCTCGATGTCTTGCTTTGAGGTTCCCAGGTTGTGAACCGTGGAAACTGTGAGTTTCATTCAGCTGGTCCACGGCATGTCTGTGAAGAACACTGGCAATCTGAATTCTGTGGAATTCTAAGGACTTTACCGTCATACCTCGGGTTAAAGTAGCTTCGGGATGAGTATTTTCGGGTTGCGCGCTGCAGCGACCCGAAGTAACAGAGCGTGTTACTTCCAAGTTGCGCTGCTCGCGAGACGGTCAAAATGACGTCATGCGCATGCGTGGAAGCGGCGAATCGCAACCTGCAGATCCGTGGACGCAGGTTTCATTCGTTTCAGGATGCGAACGGGGCTCTGGAACGGATCCCGTTTGCATCCAGAGGTACCACTGTATTAATTTTAATAAAATGCAAATGTAAGAAATAAAAGAAGCAACACAAACACAACTGAAAACCATACAGCATCTGGTAGAGCACATTATCATTGCTACAACCGGTAGGGAATAAAATCATTAAGTGGTCTGTGTGGTGTGGGGTGGGGTGGAGTTTGGGAATCATTGATCTAAATCTTGCTGCTTGGGACTGATTAGAGCTGGCACTCAACAACTGGAGGGCTATAGGCTCTCCGTCCTTGGTCTTGTTATTTGGCCCAGTGGCAACCACTCAAGGACCCTAGTGCTGATGGAGCAACTGTTGAAAACTTGTGCAATATATTTTTGGCAAAGTAAGAATCATTCAGCATGGATGGGACTCCTGGATCAAGTACAGTGGTGCCTCGCAAGATGAAATTAATCCGTTCCACGAGTCTCTTCATCTTGCGGTTTTTTCGTCTTGCAAAGCACGGCTATTAGCGGCTTAGCGGCTATTAGCGGCTTAGCGGCTATTAACGGCTTAGTGGCTATTAACGGCTTAGCGGCTTTAAGAAAAAGGAAACAAACTCGCAAGAACTCGCAAGACTTTTCGTCTTGCGAAGCAAGCCCATAGGGAAATTCGTCTTGTGGAACGACTCAAAAAATGGAAAACTCTTTCGTCTTGCGCGTTTTTCGTCTTGCGAGGCATTCGTCTTGCAAGGCACCACTGTAGTCTCTTTGCGAAGTCAGGAAGTCTGTTCCTAACACATAGCTAGCAAATACTTACTTTTGAAAAACCTCCAAAGGAAAGAGATTCAGTCTCTTGGTTCTGTTTCTTCCCACTGAGAATTCTGTTAACTCTGCAAAGATGTCTCCTGCCATCACAGAACCTGCAAGGCTCACATTAACGTGTGCTGCCAGGAATGCTGTTTATATCTTCCTTTTTTTTTTTTTTTGAAGTGGTAGTGATTGTGGTGGTGGTGGGAAGCATACGTTTTGCCACACGTTGATGTAATCTGGTCCACGTCCAACAGAAACAGGGGAGCCGTTTTCTTCTAATCCCTAAAACCAGCCAAGCAGAAGGAGAATTACGTCAGGTTTTATTCTTAGTTCTGACAGGGATGCAGTTATCATGGCTTGTGCTTCATGAGAGTTAGCTTATTTTAGACGTTCATTTTGCTGCAGAGGGATTTGCAGTTTCACGGGAGAGCCATAGGTTGACGGCAGCCTCAGAAAGTTTGTCTGTCTGTCTGGTTAAAGCTGGTCTTCTAAGAAGTGGCGTGGGACTGTGCTGACTGCGTAGAAGCCTTTCCTCTTTTGACAGCTGAGCTTCACCCATCCCTGGCAAGGGAGCCTTCTTCACCACAGCTTGGAGAAACATGTTCCTGGGAAGAGGCATCATCAACACCTTCCTAGAAGTAGTTGCAGCTGCCAGTAATCCAGGGCTCACCCTTATTTAAAATGCCGGCTGTCAGTTTTTCGGCTCTTTACTTACATCCTTACAATAGGGCTTCGTCTGTTATTTTTGAGACCAAACATCCAAATGGCACCCTCCTTCTCACTGACAAACATGGGGCACGATCTGCTGGGCTGTTCCCCAGTGCAACCTGTGCTGAAGCGGTCATGAGTTGCGTAAGAGCACTTGTGTGCTTTCATGCATTTTCTGTTTTAATAATAATAATAACAATAATAATAATAATAATAACTTTTATTTATACCCCGCCCTCCCCGGCCAGAGCCAGGCTCAGGGTGGCTAACACCAGTAAAATTACAGTAAAACATAATGGGGGGGGGGGAGAACCAATTTAAAATACAGGTTAAAATGCAATTTAAAATGCAGCCTCATTTTAAAAGTAGCCCATAGATCAAAACCATAAGAGGAGGGAAACATAAGGGTCAGACTGAGTCCAAACCAAAGGCCAGGCGGAACAGCTCTGTCTTGCAGGCCCTGCGGAAAGATGTCAAGTCCCGCAGGGCCCTAGTCTCTTGTGACAGAGCGTTCCACCAAGTCAGGGCCAGTACTGAAAAGGCCCTGGCCCTAGTTGAGACCAATCTAACCACCTTGCGACTTGGGATCTCCAAAATGTTGTCATTTGTGGACCTTTTGATGTGGCTTGTGCAGGAGAACTTCCTAGTGGATTCTGCCACAGGGTTGTGTAAGAGCAGTGGTTCTCTGTGGCCTTGAGGAACAGACACAGCTTGTTAGGTTGGAAAAAGCAGTGGTGGGGAATGGGGCAAAACTTTTATTGCTGTGCATGAGTCTCATTTGCTTGCACTGCCGGAGGGAGCAAGATGCAATACCAACAGCACCAGAAGGGAAAGGGGCATGCAGGCAAACTCAGGTTGCGACCATTCTTTCCTGGGTGGGCATACCAAACCTAGTATGTGTATGTTTCTCTGTGGCACAGTGTTGGTATCAGGGTGGATAAAAATCAATGATTTTTAAAAAAATATATATATTTAAAAAACAGATTGTTTAATTTAAATTGGATTTTTTTTTTAAATTTAAATTGGATGTTTTTGATTTAAATTGGATTTTTAAAATAAAATGCTTTGGAGGAAAAATCTTTCTAAAGATAGTTTTCTATTTAAGTTACATTATAGTCCAAAGGCTATTCATCAGGAAATAAGAATTTGTTTTAAGTTTTTCATGTGTGCTGAAACTCAGTCTAAGGTGTTTTTTTTATTGTTTAACCACACCAGTTAACAAACATGGATACATACGCTATAAGGTTATTGTTTTAGTTAAATAAATTGTTTAAATTGTTATTAAGGAAATTATTATTTTTCTCCTTCCAATAAAGTACAGCAGAAAAGTTGTCCAAATTTAAACAGTTAACTTGTTAAACCTCACAACAATTTCATAATTATCTATGTATTTCTAAGAGTGTAACCAAATCAGTAATTTTTGATATAATTGTAAAAACTACTCTGAAAATTTATTATTTCAAAAACGAAACCTTCCTCTGGTTATCAATATTAAGATGATACCAGCAAGAATGAGTCTTTCTGTAAAAAAAACGATTTAACTCAAGTCTTACTGAGTAGTGATTTAAATCAAATCCACCCTGGTTGGTATATAATTAGTCTAGGATACATTCTTCCAGAATGGTGGAAATTTATTTGTATGGTACCTATGCTTGACCCATAACAGGCTGTGTAGGAACTGGGTACATTTTGCATGCAGGTAGTCTGTAGCTGTTTGTGAGATTGATCTCCAGAGAATACTGATCAGTTTACCCTAGGAGGACTCAGCTGCTCTGTTGTGGAAAGTTTTCTGTGATGTTTGACAAAGGGAGGGCAGGTATGCTAAGGTATAATGGATTTGCTAGACGTTGTTTTGCACCAATTTTTCTGCTGTGCTGGAAGGCACATCTCACTGGTGTCTTAAGCAGCCTATGATTGCAGAGCAGAGAAACAGTGATAGAGAAACACTACATTTGGTGTGCAAAACTTTTGTTGTCCAGGATGAAATGACTTCAAATTTGGGTCTGACCACAACGAAGGCTCTGACTATCCTGAGAGACCAGCTGTCGGCACTTCTGGAGGGGCATCAGAAGGAAAGGAAGAAGGTGATTTCCTGGAAGGTAAGCACGGCATTTTGCTGCATGTCAGTGAGTTGTTTTCAAGAAAACGTTACGTATTTCTTTGTAAGGTAAATTTTGCAGACAGATCCTTGGAGAAAGCAAGACTTTTCCCATTCCTGAAAGGGGGCACTTCTGAAAGGTGGCACTTAGCTGCTTCCAAAATGGGCAGCTGGAGCTGGAGCTGGAGCCGTGATGGTGGTGCCAGTTCTCCTGATGTTGTGGGACTATGGCAGCAACACCAAGGGCAGAGGACTAGAAGAAGGTTGGGCACTTCCAGGTTGCTGTGTACCCCAGCACAAAGAGGCCTGCCTCCTTCCTCACCCAGCCTGGTGCCTTAATCTGAGTATTCAGAGCTAGTGGTGGTGGTTCTAGGGACCCCGCCCCAGTGGCCTTCCCTACTGTGACCAGTTCACAGAACCATTAGTGGAACTGTGAATTCTTTGCTCCTCTGCAAAAGAGCGTGTTCAGGTGTTCAGTGGCGCTGACATGGCGCTTCATATCATCTACAGTGGTACCTCGGGTTACAGATGCTTCAGGTTACAGATGCTTCAGGTTACAGACTCCGCTAACCCAGAAATAGTACCTCAGGTTAAGAACTTTGCTTCAGGATGAGAACAGAAATCGAGCGGCGGCAGTGGGAGGCCCCATTAGCTAAATTGGTACCTCAGGTTAAGAACAGTTTCAGGTTAAGAACGGACCTCTGGAATGAATAAAATTCTTAACCCAAGGTACCACTGTATACCGAAATGATAGAGAATTGTCTATTTACTTATTTTATTTAACCGAATTTATATACAGCAGTTTACAGGAAATGTTGAAATTATAAATGAAAAGCAGTTAAAAGCAAGTAATAAAAACATTTGAAAGGTTATTAAAATTTAAAAGGTTAAAACGCGACAACACCTGCATGTCTGGATTGGCTTGCCTAAAGAAAAATGTTCTAAGCAGATGCTGAAAAGTCTGTAGCAAATGCGCCTGCCTGCCAGATGTCAATAAGCAGGGAGTTCCGAAGTATAGGTGCTGCCACACTAAAAGATCAATTTCTTACAACTGTGGAAACACACATTATGTGGCACCTGTAATAGTGCCTGGTCTGCAGATACATTCGAGTTGGCACATATGGGGTAAGGCAGTGCAGCAAGTGAATGATCAGAGATAACCTTGGTAGACAGTGTTCATTTCCAGTGGTGGTAACGTCTGTCGCTCTCTCTCTCTACTACTCTCTCATCATCCACTTTAAGCAGGTTCCATTTTGTTGATGTAGTCTCTCTCCTCCTTTGTACTTCCTTTTCTTTTTGGTAGGAGGTGTGGCGAGCCAGTTTCCTGCACCATGGCAACCGCTGTTCCTGTTTCCATTGGCCAGGGGCATCCCTGATGCTGCTGACAGTGCTTATACTATTATGCTGTTATGGGAGCCAACCACAAGGAAGGTATGCTATCTCATTGATCGTTTTACTGCAATATTTTGTCCATAAATGACCCTGAAAGCTGCTAACATTCAATCATTAACAATTCCATAGAAGAGTAAAAAAAAAAAAAAAAAAAAGAGCCGTGAACGAAACTCCAAACCAGATCACACCAGATGATTGAAACCAATAACCAGTTTCCACCTAGGTTTTGGAAATGTGTTTGCCTAGTGTCTAAAATTGACAGGGAGGGAGCCAAACTTATGCTCCAAACCAAATAATTCCATAAAATGTGCAGATCACCAATAAGATCTTATCCTACAGACCCACCAATGACGGAACATGGAATAGGGCTTCTGTTGAAGATCTAAGCACATTGGTGGATTTGTAAGGGAGACAAAGTGGCCTTTTGGCTTAAACCAGCAGACTTGTCAGGGCACCTACCTAATTTCTCTCTGACCTCACATTATTTCCTTCTTCACTGGTTTATGAGACGCACTCATATGGTTTTTTTGTTGGAAGGATTCCTGCAGGACACTTGTTCAAGTGTTGTCAGGCTTCGGGGAATCTGCTTCCTTCCCTCCTTTGGCAGTAGATAAGTAGAACAAAGAGTCTCTTACCTGTTAGAAACTTTAATGATCACAGCGAGAGAACAAAGAATCCATTCCTAGGAATGAAGGTGCTCCCTAGTCACCCATGTCACTACCACGTCTTGTAACCTGATCTCTCAACCACTGTGCTTTCTGTGCTGCCCCCTTATCTGCTCTCCTTGACCTTGGGCTGAGCGGATGGACGCTTTCAAGCAAGTGTGTCTGTTAACTCTCTCTCTCCCAGTTCTCCTCCTCCTAGCTGTTCCCCATCCAGTACTTCCCAGCTTCTGCCTTTTGAACTATGTCCCTCTGCAAACCACTGTTCCAAATCTATACTGTCCCACTGCTCCTGGGAAGATTCAGGATCCTGATCAGGAACAGGGGGAGGGGGAGGCTCCCACCATTCCTCCTCCATGCAGCCCTCCTCAGCACAGTCCCTGACATGTGTCTTCCAAGTTCGGGATGGACACCCAGTTCAGCATAGAGTGCTTGGGCTGCCAATGACTGGCTTTGAAAAGCTTATTGGGTGGTTTTTTGGTTTTGTTTTTTAATATAGCTGCTGGCACAAGGAGATTTCTAACAAGCAGAAGGATTGGGGATGTTTTCAACCTGCTGGAAGCCCAGCCAGATGGGTGGGGTAATAAAAAAAAAAAAAAAAATTATTATTATTGTGATTTGAATCTATTAAAGGCATAGGAGCCCTGTCCAGCCTTGGCAGTCTTCCTGTGTGGCATTATATCATGAGTCAGATGACTGCAACTGAGTTGCATATTTAGATGAATGAATGAATATTTTTACATGTCACCCATGCTGGTGTACAGCAGGGGTGTCTAACTCAAATTCATTGGGGGCCGCATCAGCAGTTTGGTCACCCTCAAAGGGCCGGTTGTATCTGTAGGACTTACAGTACAGGAGAGAAGGGTTCAGGCAGCCGTTGGATCTGTCACATCACAGGATGGCATGCGCTCAATATAAAAACAAGTGGAGGTTTCCTGAATGCATGTAAAGTGGAGGTTTCCTGTGTAGAACGGCCGGCGCCGCTAGAGGGCAGACGTTCTCTGGCTTGTAGGCTGCCGGGCCTGCGCTGAAGAGGCGGCTTTCTTGTGTAAAAAAAAAAAAAAAAAAAAAAGCGAGAATAAAAGGTGAAGGCTGGTGGCCGGCGGCGGCTACACGGGCCACATGACGAGGTCTGGCGGGCCGGATTCGGCCCGCGGGCCTTATGTTTGACACCCGTGGTGTACAGGGTTCCAAAGCAACAACCGATGAACATTTTGCTTTTAATTTTACGAATATGATGGCAGTGTTTAATCCAGACCCCTCAAAGGATTTTTAATGGGTTTAGCGATCCTGATTTGAATTAAGCTGGATAATACAGACCATCCTAGAAGGTGCAAAAGGTTCCGTGCCCTTGTCAGTAGCAGGTGGGGTGGGGTGGAGGAGGTGCTTACCTGACCTCCCAGCCCGTGAGTTGCTGTTTCTTACTGGGAGAAGCAAGGCAGCAGGGAGAGCAGCATGGTGCAACTGGACCAGCAGAAACACTGGACCGCCTTGCTTGGTGCATTTGCACCCCTCTGCATCCTTGCTGCCGCCTTGTCCCTCCCACTCCCGGTAAGCAGCAGAGACTCACCTACCAGGAGCTCAGGTTCTGTAAGTGCCTCTGCCCCACCATGCCAGCTGCTCTTGGGCTAGAGACTTCCCTTCTTGCGACTCCTGCCAGGACAGCCGCATGGGGACGCATATTTCATTCCTTTATTCAGCTGCCTGCAACCTCTGATGTTTTGCTTTGAACAGTGAAGGTTCTGAAATTGTGAACGCCTTGGCCCTGTTCCTCTTGGTGCTGCTCGATGTCCTCTTGATTGGACGGCAAGAGAGGCTAAAGCGCCAAGAAGTCGAGAAGAGACTCCGGGACATCATTGGCAGGATAAATGGTGAGGCCGCCTCTCTCCCCACACTGCCCCTCGCTCCTGTTTGCTATCCTGTGTAACCACATCCTCGCCGTAATTTTAGTGCCTACTGTCCATTAGTTTTTATGTGATGCCTTAAAAAGCAAATTCTTAATTAGGGGCAATTGTTGCTTTCGTATCATGGTCGTATGGAATCTTGTCCCTTTAACACCCCAGAACTATCTTTGTCTTCCATCACAACCACAGCTGTCAGTTCTCCCCCTACCATACCTTCATAGTCTACCCTTATGACTTATTCACAGGACAAATGTACTAGGCTAGGTTTGCCCTTTCTTCCCCTCCCTCATTTGGCACCCTGTTTTTCCAGCAGCCAAGTGTATTCTCTCCTCTTCCGGATTCCCATCGCAAAAGCTTAACACAACTTTCACCTGTACATCCTCGCACTATCAGGGGAATGGGGGAACTGTTTTCCCCATTGTCATTTGCAGTGGCCTCCTCTCCTTGCTGCCCCCACCACTCCCCACTCCCTACTTTCCACTCTCTCATAGGCAAATACATACACTGATTTTCCAAAGATGTGGAGGCTCCTGCTGCCTGCCCTACAGGGAGAATACTTGAGGACAGCTGCTGGAAGCCACACGGTCTGTGTGAGGATCGAACCAGAAGTGACATTAACTGTGTGCTTTCATGATTTAGGAGAATGTAAATAGCAGCTGCAAGGGGGCTTGAGTAGCAGTTTGACTACAGGGAGTGGAAAGAGAGGGGGAGAAGGAGTTTAACTTCTTCCCTACCATAGTCTTGATGAAAGTCGTGCCCTGGAGCTGCATTGGTACCCGTGGAGGCTTCCTTCCTGGTGCAAATTGCAGCTTCAGGAGGGTGATCTTTGTCAGCATTGCCGTGGGGCAGTCCTTATAGTTTCACTGCTACCCAAGCACCACCTTTGCAGATACTGTTTACATTTTTTTAAAGGTGCGTTCATGCAATTAAGGCAATCCATGCACTAAGATGCATCCAGAATGGATTCCTGCCGTAGTGGGGGATGTGGCTTCTCACCCAAAGCCCATCCACTCTGGCCATGGCACCACCATACCTCTCCTGCTAATCTATTTTTCAGATGCCTTGAAGGATGGAAAAGAGCTGAGCTGGACAACCTCCATGTACCCTGACCTTCACATGCCCTTTGCCCCCTCCTGGTCACTCCACTGGGTCTACCGGGACGGCCATCTTGTCAATCTTCCAGTCAGCTTGTTAGTAACGGGTGATGTCGTTGCCCTGAGGCCAGGGCAGGAGTCCTTCACTTCTCTCAGAGGGATTAAGGTAACTCAAGTTTCTTCTCTCTTTGCACCAGGGTCCTAAGTATTGTAAGGGCCAGTGCTTTTTTTCCAGCGGGTATTCAAGGGCACCTCCTTCTTTTGGTTAAAAAGTGTGACACTTACTGTAACAACTTCATGGTGAAACAAAACAAAATAAACAAAATAAAATTAAAAAATTAAAAAATTCCTTCCAGTAGCACCTTAGAAACCAACTAAGTTAGTTATGGGTATGAGCTTTTGTGTGCATGCACACTTCTTCAGATGCACACTTCTTTTGTGCATGCACACAAAGGATCCCTGAGTTTGCCCATTTTCAGCTTTTGTCTCCCATTCTTCTAACAGGATGATGAGCACATTGTCCTGGAGCCTGGGGATCTCTTTCCCCCCTTTTCTCCACCACCATCTCCAAATGGGGAGGTGAAGAAGGGACCTCAGAATCCACAACAGTATCGACTCTTCCGTGTCACAAAAACACCAGTGATTGACAATGTCAGGTAAGTTCAATGTGAGGACAGTCTGTTACTGAAATTTGAAGTAAGGTAGCAGAATGGATGGAGAATTCATCTGAAACAGGGCATTCTTGGTGGTGGCTTCCTGGCTATGGAACAAACAAAGGCAGCCCCCCTTTTCATATGTGTTCAGTAAACATGCAAAAACCTTTTTGAAAAAAATATTTAGTTATCCAGGCTTTGGGCTGAGAGTTTTATGACATTTTTACACCACTGGTTTTAACTGTTTCCTTGAATATATGCTGTAGTGCTGCTTTTAAATTGTTTTCATCTGATTCTGTTTTTGTGATCTGCCTTGAGCTCCCTTTGGGGAGGAAGGACAAGTTACACATTTGAAATAAACAAATAAAATGTGTTCAATCTATCCTGTGTTCAGTTATAACCGCAAGAATACATTATAGTCACAAAAATCTGACAAATCAACTCTTTGGATGGAATATACCAGTCCCATATAGTGGTTTGCTGTATAAAGCTGGGAGGTATAAGGGAAAAAAGCAATAAATACCTGGAACTTTGCAAAATCCTCAGTAGATCTTTTGTTATGTTTCAGATTATGTTTAGACATGGCTTTGTCACGTTCTGTGACTGCTCTGGATAACGAAAGGTTCACTGTACAGTCGGTGATGCTCAAGCTTGCCGTTCCCATTGTGCTGGTACGTCCTGCTTTTGTGCTGCTTTTTGTGACCAGGCTTGGTCCAATCAGGCTCCAGGTGGCTGGGACCATTGCATTTGACTACAACTTCCTGTGACCTGAGCAGTTCTAACTCATGCAGTGGGTTCTTGATTGGTTTTGGGTATCGGTCATACTCTTTGGAGCTCAGCATTCAGTGGTAGAATATGGGAATCACTTGGTTTGTGCACAGAAGAGAATTTGGTGAAATCCATGAATGATCATGGCAAGCCCTGGATTTTCAGACTCCAGTTTATATGTATAGTATGCATCATTTTAAGGCAAATCTTTTTTTTAGGCAAATCTTTTTTTTAGGCAAATCTTAAGGCAAATTAAGTAAACAGGCTCCATTAATTAATGCATTTTTTGTCACATTTAAAATTAGTCACTACTTATAGGGCCTGGGATGGCTCAGTTGGTAGAGAGCATGAAACTCTTAATCTCAGGGTCATGGGGCAAAAGATTCCTGTATTACAGGGGCTTGGGCTACATAAACCTCGTCCCTTCCAATTCTACAGTTCTATTCCTTTTTTCCCTTTTTTAGATTTAGATTTTTAAACTTTTATTTCCAACACAGTTGTAGGACACCTGCTTTGCATGCAGAAGGTCTTGTATTCAGTCCATCATCTCCAGGTAGGACTGGGAGTGTCCCCAGCCTGAGACCCTGGAGAGCCTTCTGATGGTTGGTGCTGAGTCAGTTAGAAGAATGCTCTTTGGTGTTAGGCAGCTTCCTGATCAGTTCTGGGAGACATTTAGTTTTTTCAAATGGCTTGGGCCCTTGAGGCTCTGATTGCTTTCATGTAATAATAACCAGAAGGTGTTTCTGTAGTGTTTTAAGTGATATAGCTACACCTATCATAGTGATTTACATATATGGGCTTCTAATGCTGTCTCCTTTCCTTAAACGGCAGATTGGTTTCCTGATCACCAATGCCATACGCTTTGTTTTCATGGCTCCTGGAGTTGTCCCTTGGCAATACACATTGCTTCAGCTGCAGGTAAAACAGAAGAATGTGTTTTTATTTTCTCTGAACTTCAGTTAGTTTCCCTATATCAGGAAAGACATACCTTTCTGGGCTATACTGGTGTGTGTGTGTGTGTGTGTGTGTGTGTGTGTGTACATGCTTGACGCAAATCTACCTAACTATGATGTGGATGTAAAATTGATTTTAAACACTAATTCACCAAGAAGCTTCTGTGGCCTAAATGTAGTTTACCTTCTGAAGGGCTCTTCACTTCTGTTCTTTATTTTTCCTGTGGGGATATTTGTCCTCTGTTAGTGTTCAGGTTTAGCCTGTGTCTAGAAACATCTCTCCTCTTGGACTTCCATATGCTTGTTTTGATTAAGTTTCCTTTCGCATCTGAGATTCATATGGAAACTGTAGCTTTTCCTCTCTGTTTAAAAGTACCATGATGGGTTTGTAGGTGATCAGCACTTTAAATCTACAGAGGAACACTGATCATCTGCAGCCCATACATATCCAGACAGAATAGCAGAAGTGGCCTTGGAAGCACAGTGGTGTTCATTTAACCTCATCTCTTCTTCACGTGTGTGTGTGTGTGTGTGTGTGTGTGTGTGTTTCTTTGTACATCTGTCCATTGATCTTGAGCGCTGGACACATCTTGGAAGTATAAGTAATAATGTTCTTGTGAGCAAGCGGTTCCTGCTCACTGGTGTGTGTGTGCACACGCGTGTGCACGCGTGCTGTTGTTGGGGAAGTGACGGAGCCAATCTTCAGCTATACTAACTGGAGACCTGGAATGCCTTCACAGGTCAATGGGGTCCTGCCCATCCTCCCGCTGCTGTTCCCTGTCCTGTGGATTCTTGCCACTGCCTTTGGTGAAGCCAGAGTCCTGGCCCAGATGAGCAAGACCTCACCCACTTCCCTGGTAGGTGCTTCTACAACATCATGTTGTTGGGAAGAGGGTGGACTGGGTAAAGGCAATTCTGGACTACTGAGACAAGAGGGGAGTTCACAAATGTTTCCTAGGTCTGAAAAGTACAAATACAGTGAGCCTGTGTTTTTCCATTTTGCCCTATGAACCTTTGAAACTGGATCAGTTGTGGGTACAAGTGGAAGTATTGCCATGGGGTGGGGGGACGAACATAGTAGTAGTAGTGATAGTAGTAGTAGTAGTAGTAATAATGATGATGATTAATAATAATAATAATAATAATAATAATACTACTATAGTATTCTTTATATGCCACCCATCTTTCAACAGAATAGTTGGAAGTAGAACTGACATTGGTCTGTTAGGTTTTGGGAATGGGCAAAATGGGGGTGGTAGGAAGGCCTGATGGACAAGCTGCTGGGTTTCAGCTCTCAGCTCTGAATAATTTCTCCGAAAGGCTTGAACAACAGAGATGGTAGGTCCAAGTGCCTGCTTGCCTGTCGCAGCCAGTATTTGGGCTCTAGCTTTTGACTGTTCTGCAAAGTCTTCTTAATAATTGTCTAATATCTGTAAAGCCAGATTTTGTGTGGGTTCTCCCCCCCCCCCCAATCTCTGGGGTGCAAGAATAATAGGAGAGGCTTTTTATCTTCTGTGTGAAGGGAGAAAGGGGGCAGATGGTTCATCTGTCAGTTGATTCCTACCACTCCAGATGTTACTTCTGTCTCTTCCATTCACTGCCCTCTTCTCTCTGTCTCTCTCTCTCCTCCATTTCTGCTTGCTGCAGGCATGTAAAGCTTAAGTTCCTTCTCTTCCTCTTCCCCCTTTCCCCACCTTGTTGCCAGCACCTCCATGTTCCCTGTCACCCACACTTGTGTTCCCAGTTGTTTTCATGTTTGCTTTCTCTATCCTGCCGGTTCTTTCCCCCTCTGTGATTAAATTTCAGATGTGATTCTGCATCGCTGTCACCTGAATGCTTGTTTGTGTCTTAGTTCCATCTTGACTTAGAGTAGCATCCTCTCTTGTATCTATTTCCCCCAAAATCTGTTTGGAATATAGCAGTTATAGCCCTTTCCTCCTTGATCAGACTCTTGGATCATGTGTCCTCCTGTCTTCTCCTGGCCTTCCCTTCACCTATTGGATCTGAGCTCTTGTTCTCTCATTCTGCATGATGCTATTCTTTTCTTTCCATCACCTTTCCCCCAGTTTCCTCTTCAAACCTTCTTGTGGGCCACCTTTGTATTTGATGTTCCTCCTGACCATTCTGAATGGGGGTAATGTACCCAGTTCAGATCAAATACTATCATCTTCTACATTGAGACACCAGTCCAAGATGAACCTCGAGTTTCCTTCACCGATTCCATCTCTCGAAGATACTCAGAAAAAAGGACAAGTGTCATTTGGGTTCTAATTCTTGACTTGGACAAAGCGTAGCCAAGGCAGGGTTCTGGATTCTGTTCCGGTCCTGCAGAGCAAAGCCCATTTCTCACCCATATCTTCCACTGGTGAAAAAATGTTTTCCAAGGGATGTTCCTCATGCATCATTTCTCAGCACCTTGATAGTAACCAATTTGTTCTCTTGCTGCAGCTGGCTAAGTTCTCAGAGGACACACTGAGCAGCTACACAGAGGTGGTATCTACCCAGGTACTATTTTATTAACCAGTCTTGCATCCTGTTCTTGTGGTGTCGCACAGTGCCATAAGATCCTTTCCATCCTCTCTCTCTGTGATCTGCTTGCCCACTTGTGCTTATATCCTGCTGCTGGTGTCTCTCGCTTTGTTGGCGCTTTCGTTTGCTCCTCCTGCGCTTCGCATGCCGGATGCACACTTCCCTCCCCCATGCTCTTTCTCATAGCAGATGCTCACAGTTCCCTTTGATTGTCTGAGAGCGAAAGGCCTTGTGATTCAAGCCTGCGGTTGCCTAGAATGTTTAAAATCTGAATCTTAAACAAGCTGAGTTTCAAATCCTATATTGATTGCCCTTCTGGGTGGAAATAGCTCACTGAGAGAGACCGGTAAGTATCACAGGGACTTGGACAGACTTTCATATAGACAAATCATTGAAATCAAAGTAGGAAGAGGAAGAATGGAAATCACACTCATATGTTTTTATTGAACTGGACAGGGGGAAAACAGAAGGGCAGTTGGCCTTGGAGTCTCTGTGTTGCAGTCTATTTTTGTAGTTAGCTCTGCTGATGTTGTTGAACTGCAACTCCCATCAGCCCCAGCCAGCATGACTAGTGGCCAGGGCTACTGAGAATTTTAGTTCAGCAACATCTGGAGGGCCACAGGTTCTCCACGCTTGGGGTAGCACCGTGACCACCTCAATATGTCTGCCCTTCTCTGCAGCTGTACTTTCATAGATGCTCAGACTTCATCACAATGAACTCCAGAAGGCAGTTTGTCCTTGCTTCACTCTCGCCCACCAAAAACGTAATTTAGTCAAACGGAATCAAAATGATTTATTGGCGGCACTGCTTGCTTTCCTCAGTCAGAAGTAAGGACCAATTTGGGCTGCTCATTGACTTCTGAAGCGACTACACCAAGGATTGGGTGGGTGGGAAATACTGTGGCAGAAAATTTTCTTGGTAAATCTTCAGTAAATTGTTACCCAAAATTGAACCCATCTATAGCATTTAACTGATAATACTGATGATAAGAATACACTTTGTTGGCTGCCTATTAGCTAGTGAGCCAAATTCCAGGTTTTGTTACTAACATTTAAAACTCTAAGCAACTTGGGACCAGGATATCTGGCAGACACAGACCAGGCCAATCTTTAAGAACTTCTGAGGAGACCCTGCTGGTCATTCCATGACTAGTGGATTGCCAATAGTCAGTCAGTTCATTGTGTTTTAGCAGACAGCCATTATACACATGAAAATAATAAATGATGCAGTGGATTGTCACCCTATGACAACATGGAAGTGGGCCTTCTTGGTGATGGCACCTACTCTTTAAAATGCCCCCCCCCCCCGCTAATTAATGAGACAAAGAGGATAATGACTTTTAAATGCCTCTTTAAAAATTGCATATTTACCCAAGTTTTTGTAGACTCTGCTTCCAATTTTTTTTTTTGGTACAGTGTGCTTGTGTTTTATTAACTTGTTTTTAAGATATTCTGTTGTTGTATTTTAATTGGGTTAAGTGGTATGAAATATTGGAAATAAATAAATTATAGCCTGCCTTTCCACCAGTTTGCCTCCAATATTAGATTGTGTCATTGCTCCTTAGCAATGAACAATAAAACTGAACAATAAAACCACAATGCAGCATGAAAATCCATCGAGTGAACCTTATAAATGAAATCTCATGCTACAAGCATTTTGTACAACCTGTGTATTGATCATCTCATCAAGTTTCTTCAAGCACTAGATCTCTTGTTTATGTACATCAGGCTGTACCTTCCTTCCTTCGGGAATGTGAAGCAGTACACTTTCCTGTAGTCCTGCCTTTTCTGGAAATGGATCTCATTTCACAATGAACTGAAACTCCTTGCCTCTTTTCCTTCACTTTGTGTATCCATTCGTGTCCAATTCCCCCCTTTTTTCGGCAGGAAATGATGCGGTGCATCTGGAGCCACTTCCTGCATGTTCTGAAGGGCAGGTCTCCAACCCTCACCTTCACCTCTAGTTTGCTTCACAGCCTGGGATCTGTCACAGTAAGTATGCTTGCAAGGAGCGATCTGCCAGTGAGCATCCTAGTTGCAGGGTCTGCCTGCAGGGGTCCTTAGGTTTCCTGTTTCTTTTACAGGGCAAGGGCTATAGCTCAGTGGTAGAGCATATGCTTTTCCAAGCCGGGCTGCAGATGTCCTCTTGTCTGAAGAGGCTAGATTAAGCTAGATAGGCCAATTGCCTGACTCCGTATCAAGGCAGCTTCCAAAAGATTCTTCTAAATCCCATGAGGGCAGCTGTATTGTTAGCTGGATATTTCTGAGTTAGTGACTTAGATAATACATTCAGCTTGACCCTGATGTCTGAAACACAGGAGGTCAGATTTCTGCAGTAACCATGGGCAAGCTCTTATGACCTGGATGGGCTAGCTAGCTGTTTCTTGCTTCAAGCAACTGACCGTAGTATCTGCTGGTCAGGGAAAAATGTGATAGACCCAAGCTCTTTCTTTTTAGATTAATCACATATAAATCTGAACTTACTGTTTTGTGCCTTGCAAGCATTTATACTCCAAATACTTATTCTAGAGTTGTGCCTTCTGCCCTCTCTCTCTCTCTCTTTTTTGGTAGCATTCCTCATTCCTGCACATAGCATAGATAGTTTTCAGGAGATTGTCCTATGTGGAGCAGCCTGGGAAACCTGCGGCAGCGAGTCATAAAGGACACTGACAAGGGTCACATTTTGCTTTCTTCAGCATGAATGCTTCTTGGCCTTAGATGGCTTATCACTAAACTGGGGAGGCTGCTTGCCACTGAGCCATCCTATCTTTAAACTATCTTGTGGTGGCACCTGCGCATTAAACTGACAGAGATGTTGAGGAGGTTAGTGCTGTATTTGGTAGCATTAAGGGAAGTCTCCAGGGATGGGAGGCTACTCAGAAAGGGCCTTTCCTTCTGCTATCCATTGTGCTTGAAGGCTGAGGTGATACGGCTGATATTTATCTGCCTCAGTGATTCATGCACAGTCTTGCCAATAGTTTTTTGTGTGTCCCTGGGGTGTTGTGGGATGTCTTGGGCCTGTTTTTAGGTGCTTTGCTGTGTGGATAAGCAAGGAATTCTGTCCTGGCCTAATCCCAGTCCAGAGACGGTTTTGTTCTTCAGTGGTAAAGTGGAACCTCCTCATAGCAGCCATGAAGACCTGACAGATGAACTCTCCACACGCTCCTTTTGCCACCCAGAATTGGACGAAGAGGTGAGAGACAGCTTTTTGGACCACAGAGTCTGGTTTGTCAAGAAATTCTGCCTTCTTTTCTCCCCAGTTTCTAGAAGACCCCTCAACCCTCTTGTGTCTTAACATCTGCCAGAGAGACCCTTTTCAGGCTTTCACCCTCTAGCAGTGCATTACTGGCATCTCGTCAGAGCAGGGTCCTTCTTCACAGTTGCCCAACAATGTGGAATGAAGCTTGTGCCCCAGGAGTGTGTACTCAGCCTCATTCTTAGCTGGGATTTTCAGTTAATAAAAAAACCCTGGTCTGCTTTGTCTATCCTTTGATAAACTGCTTCTGGTTTGCTTTCTAATTTTAGCTGACTTTCTATCATTTTATTGGATGCTATTGGTTTTTATACTGTTACTGCAAAGCGCTTTGTAAATTTTAGTTTTGAAAAGCGGCATATAAATAAATAAACAAATACATTATTTGCCACCACTATTTATTTAGTTTGAAAATTTGGGACTTGCTTTATCTTACATAATCAACTCAGTAGTGGCTCCTAGGGGGAAAAAAGCAATGAAAAAAATAAGACATAAAATTGAACAGTAAAAAAGCAGCAATACCATGGTGAACCAACCAACAAAACATTATTATTATTATTATTATTAATAATAATAATACATAATTTACACATATACCCCCCTTCATTTCAGTCAGAATGCTTAAAACAGTGAGCAACAAATGAATAAATTGGAATTAATATTGGGAATCTGGAGAATCAAAAAGTTCACTCGTCCCCCCATCTTCTGCCACAAGTCGTCCACTTGAGTGACCAAGGCAGTTTCTGTCTTAAAACCGGGCCCAACTTCCCCCTTCACCTGGAAGGATAAACCAAGTCTTCTGGGGTTCTGACGTCGCTAAGTAATGCATTTTTCCTCTTCCTGTTCGACTCACAGGTGTTTCTCTGCTTACCTCTTCTTATGCTGTATTTCAGCCCCACGAAAGGGACGCTCTGCTCTCGGGGCCTTTGTCAGACATCGTTCACATCACCAATGAGCAAGACAGAGTGGAGTGGTCTACCGGCAACACCCCAAAGTCTTCTGAGGCTCATACTCACAAGAAGCCAACTGGCCGCAGCAAACACCCTTCGGGATCCAATGTGAGCTTCAGTAAGGACATTGAGGGCGGGGAGGAGGAGCCCATGCAGGTAAGGAATGCCAAAGGCTGCAGAGGTCAGGAGGTTGTCCTGTCCAGTTAGGAGAAAGGTGGCGTCCCAGTCTGCTAAGGAATCATCCGTAGATAAGGCGGGAGGGTAAGAGTTGTGAACATGAGAGAGGAAGAAAGAGCATTTGAAAACTCCTCTTCTTAGGGCAAAAGGAATAAGTGTGTCTTAGGGGAAATTATAAGTGCCTGCTGCCCCACCAGCACCACGGACTGATTTGCATGTGGATACCTAGCTAGGTTTATGATTTAAGGCCTTGTGCCTATGTGTCTGTCTGTAGAGAGACCGAAGGTTTTTCAGGATGCTAATTATTCTGCCAATTAAATTAAAGAGCTCTGAGGGCTATTTGTAGTGCCTAGGTAGGAACCCAAAGCCCTGCAGATGTCAAGGATGATAGAAGTGGCCGTCTAGCAACATTTACAGGTCCACAGGTTCTTCACTCCTGCTTTAGGAGAATACACAACACAGGATGGCAGAACCAGTAGGTTAGAGAAGCAGGACTAATTTCATGTGCAAGTTTCTAGGTGAGTGGCTTCGCTGGCCATTGTTATGCAATGTTACAGCAAGTAAAAAGTTTCTGGCACCAATCCAGTAGTGCCTCAGCCACTATTGATTTCAGTGGGTTTAGGCAACATCTGTGTTAAGTCATTGACTTCCCATCCACAAGCTCTAACCCAGTCTTTCTCAGCTTTGGGTCCCCAGACATTCTTGAATCACAACTCCCATCATCCCTGACCTTTGACCTTGCTGGCTGGGTCTGATGGGTTTTATAGTCAAAGAGCATCTGCAGTGTCAAAGCTTCCCAACCACTGATGCAGCCTGCGAGTTGTGCACTAACCATTTCTGAATTTCTCTTCCCCTCTGAAAGGGGAACAGACGCTGGCACCTTAACTTTTGACTTTGCGTTTCTTGACTGTTGAGCCAGGTTGAGGCTGACAGCGAGGGCCTGGCATGCGAGGCGGAAGACTTTGTGTGCGATTACCACTTGGAGATGCTGAGCCTCTCCCAGGACCAGCAGAATCCCTCCTGCATCCAGTTTGACGACTCCAACTGGCAGATGCACTTGACCTCCCTGAAGCCCCTGGGCTTGAACGTGCTGCTTAACTTGTGCAACGCCAGCGTGACGGAGCGCCTGTGCCGATTCTCCGACCACCTCTGCAACATCGCCTTGCAGGAGACGCACAACGCCGTGTTGCCTGTCCATATTCCGTGGGGACTCTGTGAGCTGGCTAGGCTCATAGGTGAGGAGGGCAGAGGCAGAGAGGTCAGCTGGTGGGGGATGCCAGTGTAACTTTGCTGTGCACACACAAGTGAAATCATGTAAAATGGGAAGCATAAACACTCTTTAAATGCCCTCTTGGCTGTTCTCTCTCCAACCCATGCCATAAATACGCATCCAGAAAAAAGAAGAGGAGGTAACTGATAATCTTGAATCAGTGCTTGAAGTTAGTCCCTGTTTAGGGACGTTTTTAATATTTAATGCTGTATTGTTTTTAACACTTGAGTGGCTGGGGAAACTCAGCCAGATGGGCGGGGTATAAATAATAAATTATTATTATTATTATTATTATTATTATTATTATTATTATTTATTATAAAAAAAATCCTCAGCTGGAATTGAAGCTCTGGGGTTGGCAGGAGGCTGGAAGGTGGGAAAACGGCTGTTGCTGTTGCACCACCCCGCGCATTCAGCTGTTAGGCGGAGAGGAGCAGTAGCATAAACAAAGCCCCGTTCTGCCCCCTGACTCTTTGGGGCCTCATCTGCCCTCACTGATGTCCTCTTTGGACTCTGGGGGAAGGTCTCCTTGTGAGCCACAAAGACTCTCCAGCTCTCTCCCGTTATTTCCGTGTTTGAATTGTTTTATTTCCTGGTACTCTGCGTATACGCCTGAGTCAATTCCGCTAGGTGGTTATATGAGGCAAGGCAGTCCTTTAGGCAATGATCATAGGCAGAGGAGAATGGCAGATGAACTTGGAGAGCAGCGCCATATTCCTTGGGATTCCTGTTGTCCAAGAGTTCCCCTCCCATATTATTTTTTTCCCCTCCCCCAGGCTTTACACCTGGTGCCAAAGAGCTTTTCAAGCAGGAGAACTACTTGGCCCTTTACCGGCTGCCATCAGATGAGATGGTGAAGGAGACGATGCTTGGGAAACTCTCATTCATCACCAAAAGGAGACCACCTTTGAGCCACATGATCAGCCTTTTTGTCAAAGACACTACTACCAGTAAGGACACTAACTTGGCGGGATTTTGACTAGCATGTGATCAGCATGTGGGATTTTGACTAGCATGTGATCAGAAGGATGACCATTAACATACCACCTCTGGGACTGCAATTTGGCTGGCAGCCTAGCCAATCTATTCAGGGCCCTTTATATGTATTCTTAGGGGAATAGCAAAGGACTTGGGAACGTGGTCCTAAAATATAAGCCAGAACAGGAGGAAAGGCTATTTCTATGCAACCACAGGGAAGTTACCAATTCTCTCCAGTGGAGGCTCCTAGGAAAAGAGCTATTTCTCAGTGGCTGGCTGGTGTTAGTTTCAACTGAGGCCTTAAGTTGAAATTTGGGGGGTGGTTTTAGTTGCTGCCTAGAACCAGGATATTAAACTATATTATCAGTCAAGTCACCATGGCTTGTTCTCTGTGTTTCTTCCTGTTTAGTTCAAAGGCTTATGTACGTTCCATACTTGCCTTGGAAGTTTTCAGACTCAGTGAAGGACTATGCAGATGAAGAAGCTGAAATTTTAATACCATTTATTTTCAATATGTAAAGTCCCAGAAGACTTACAGTGAATAATAACAGACTTAAAAGCCAAGTTTGTTTTAAATTAGGATTAAATAAATAAGAAAATGTACAATAAGAAAAGTTAGGAAATTTGATTATGACTGTAATACGGTTTTATGAAATAATGATATTGGACACTGTTACATTTAATTACAAGGAAATTCAGATGGAAGAGATTAGAGGAAGTCAAGTAATATGTTCATGAAGATAGATTTTAAATAACTAATCAAGTCTTAGTCTATGTGGTGATATATGGAAAATTTGAAGTACTTTATGTTTCACATTCTTCTTTTTTATTTTTTTTAATTCTTTTTCTTTTGTCATTGTTTATTTTCTTTTTTGTTATGCTTTTGTATGAAAAATAATAAATATTATTGTGAAAAAAATAAAAATAAAAGCCAAGTTTGTTTAGGTCACACTCCAGTGTGACCAAGAGATGGTGCGTCTCCCTCAGGCAGGCAAACAGAGCAGGCTCTCCAGGACAATGGCTGAACCCTAGGAAGCTACTGCTAGCCTTTTTCCTTCAGAGAGGCATAGGAATATATATTTAAAGGCAGTTACCATGTTACAGAGAGGGAAGAGAGATTCGCTTGGGTCTTTCACCTAAAGAGCGCCTGAGAGTTGTCCGTGGGGCACAGTGTTGAGAAGAGGCAGCTCTGCTGGGAAAGGAGGGGCGGGCAGCAAACTTTTCTCAGAGACACCGTCTGGGTTTTGTGTACCTGACGCTAAATGGGGAAGAAGTCTTCTTCTTGATCCAAAAGGTGCCCCAGATAACACAGAATAATTGCACTTCCAGTAATAGACTTGCAGCATCTTCCGTCTTTCCTCCCTCCCCATCCTGGCCACTTGTCACATTGATGGGCATGTTGCTAGTACTTGTATAACACTTAGCAAATGGTTTTCGCTCCTCTCCTGGCAGTTGATCTTCTGCTTTAGCGGTAGATTTTATGATAGACAGAAAAGTTTCTTCTAGCGCCTACTTAAAATGTGTTTAATCACCATTTGTCACATTATCAAATGTACCCAGGGAGCCTGTGGGCGATGTAGAGTGTTAGAAATCTTCACAATAAACGAGCCTGTCAGCAAGCAATTTTTAGAGTTGAGACACAGGTCCACGTTTTTCTCTCTTAGGCACCGAGCAGATGCTTTCCCATGGGACTGCTGACGTCATCCTGGAGGCCTGCACAGACTTCTGGGACGGTTCGGATATCTATCCACTGTCTGGCTCTGACAGGTAGGCAACCTTCTCTGCGCAAGTGACCGGCTTCAGAAAACAAACTGCTGGAGAGATTTATGTTTGGGTAGCCTGCGATGTATGCTTTCTCCAAAGGTTGCTTATGGCTGTGTGCAAGTCATAGTTATGGGGCTCTGTATGCAGAGATCTTCCTGCAGAGGAAGGTTTAGGCTGCCCACAGATGATGCCTTTTCAGAAATCACGGAGGCAGCATTGTAGAGCTTGTCATTGGCCCTGATACGCACTTGCACTCTTGGTGCCTCTATCAGTTTGCGTCAAGTGGGTTTTTCAGATTTTTGTAATGTTTCATGCTGCCCCTTGTTAAGCCCAAAGAAGCCTGCAAGAGCATGACAAGTGCTGCTGCAATACAGGTGTGCTTTGGGATGAGCTATGTAGTGGCCAGAGCAAGTAACCCAAGGTTCTTCCCCCACCAATTCCTGGAACAATTTAAAATGCTTTGTGATTACGTACACACACACACACACACACACACACACACTCACACTCACACTCTTACATCACACATAGAATGCACATCAATGCAGATTTTGTCTGTGTGCATGTACATCATTTTACAATTTATTTTAAACAAGGAAAGAGAGAGAAGTGCAAACCATTCAGGTGTTGTAAAGAACTTACAAAGTTTAGCCAAGAGACTAAATGCAAGGTTACATAATCAATATCAGGTACAGGTATATACACACATACATATATACATATATTTAGAATGTATATCTATGCAGCAGTGTGCATTGCAAGCGTACACACACAACTGTCACAGATGTGAATGAATTTTGAATATTGGCCGTGGGGAAACAAGTGCTGACCCATGAGAAATGTGGAAGGGGTTGATGCACAAGGGCTGTGAACCATTAGTATCAAAGGAAAGATGCTTCAAAATACTTGATAAGGAATGAACAGAAGCCGCTTCCTTGCCTCGTCTCAGGTCCAGTAAATTCTGCCCCTGAAAAGCATGAGTTTGGGCAGTAGTTTTACTACCCAGGCATGCGTTGCGTGCAGACGTTGAGACTATTTTGTGCGTAACATATCTCTGGCGGCCTTTGTCATTCTCTCTCTCTCTCTCTCTGCTCTCAGGAAGAAAGTGTTGGATTTCTACCAACGTGCCTGTCTTTCGGGCTATTGCTCCGCCTTCTCTTACAAGCCCATGCACTGCGCCTTGTCCTCCCAGCTCAATGGGAAGTGCATAGAGCTAGTGCAGGTTCCCGGGCAGAGTGCCATCTTCACGTCCTGTGATCTCCCTGGGACGACGCCCATCAAGCAGAGCAGCCGGAGGAACAGCTGGAGCTCCGATGGTAGGTGCCTTGCCTCCGTTGCAGATCCTTCCATTAATGCATCTGGGGCGGTGCTCCACCAGCTTTGGTTTGTTGCTGGTTTTTTTTATCTCAGGGCACTCTTCAAGTGACTCCGAGATGGACACCTGGGATACCACAAGGTTGCGGAAAAATGACCTTAGGAGAGAAGTTTGAGGGCTGTATCCAACTCCATGTGAGAAGAGTTCCACTCTTGCAGTGGGATTTTCCCCTTCCTCTCCTCTCCCCATATACTCCCCTGATCTGCTCCTGAGTGTCCCCCAACCCTCTGGAGCACATTTGAGGATGCAACGGGGGCTGCAGGGGAAAGGGAAGTTCCATTGCATAAGTAGGCATCTGCTGTGCATGTGGCACAGCAGCTCTGGACACAACCCATAGGATTTAAAAACCCAGTTGTTGGGTGTAGATGCTTTGAATCAAACAATTCAAATGTGTTTTGCAGAATGATGTGACATGGAAAGTAAATCTGGTGAGACCCTTGTTCTGTCACAGTGCCTTCCATGTGACGATCACCAAGAAAATGAAGAGAAAAATATCTTGTAAATGGAGAACCTCCACTAAATAATTTACTTTTGAGCAAGCAAACGAAAAAGGGCGAATCTTAATAGTGTTGACTATTATTAATCCAGTCTTCTTGGAAATTTTCTTTTGGAGGTTAACTGTTTGAAAGATTACGTTTTCTATGTTTTAACGGTGATCCTAGTATGGAAAGCTCCACGACTGCATAAACACCTCATTGGCCTTGATCTCCACATCACATCAGGAATTCTCTGTTTCCTCATTGTTCAAGGTCTCAACCTTGTCCCCATCTGACCTGCCAATTGCGGAAGAATCCTGCTTGTCTAAATTTTGACACATTATATTCGGGTAGGCTGCCTTGTCATCAGAAAAGAGGGCTCATTTGATCCAGCTTCTTCGGATTGCCTTCTTTTCTTGCTGCTTATTAGTTTCAGCCAGGCAAGCTCCTCTGAGTGTCCTTGAGCAGATCAGTAAGGATGATTTCAGATGCCCCGCCTGTCTATTTGACAGACCACAGGCCGAATCTTCCAGCCTTGACTTGCTTATTCTCACTTAATATTGGTGCTTGTTGAGAAGAGGTGATAGTTAGCCTTCCCAATCCTACCTCTACCTTTCACCAAATGGCATAAAAATGGGAATTAAGAACATGGTGACATTCCTGTGTGCGTTCTGTTACTAGCTTTTAATGCTGTGCTATAGGTAACAAACCTCCTCTGTTCCTCAACTTGCCTCTTGTTTCCCATCATTTATTGTCCTCTTGCATGGACAATAATTATTTGAGGGATGGGTGGGGTGGGGTACACTAACATACCTGATTTAGAAATAAATAAAAATGTTAGGCAACATGTGAATCTGTTCTTAGTCAACCCTACATTTGCAATGGAGGCTGACCTGCCCTGTTTCACAGGGAGTTGCATAGCTTTTAATAGATGGGAAGTATCAGCACAAAGACTAAAGGTTGACTCTGGGGAGAGAATCTTAAGTCTGACATAGGTAAAGATAAAGGGACCCCTGACCATTAGGTCCAGTCGCGGACGACTCTGGAGTTGCGGCGCTCATCTCGCTTTACTGGCTGAGGGAGCCGGCATACAGCTTCCGGGTCATGTGGCCAGAATGACTAAGCTGTTTCTGGAGAACCAGAGCAGCGCACAGAAACGCCATTTACCTTCCCGTTGGAGTAGTACCTATTTATCTACTTGCACTTTGACGTGTTTTTGAACTGCTAGGTTGGCAGGAGCTGGGACTGAGCAACTGGAGCTCAGCCCGTCGCGGGGATTTGAATCACTAACCTTCTGATCAGCAAGCCCTAGGCTCTGTGGTGTAGACCACAGCGCCACCCGTGTCCCTAAGTCTGACATAAAGTGGTAGAATTCTGAGCAGGCAGAATGGACTGCATCATTTCTTCAGACTGCCAGTGGTGTGGGACACATTTTTGAAGGCTCCCTTTAAGGAGGAGACTAACACAGTGGAGAGAGCGATGGGCTCTCGAATGCGACTGGGGCCCTCCAGAGGTTGCTGCACTGCGGCTCTCATCATCCTTGACCGGTAGCCATGCTAGGCCTGATGGGAGTTGTAGTCCAGACCCATCTGGAGAGCTACAGGTCCCCCACCCCTGGGCTTTGGACGCATTCTCCTAGATGTGATCACTTTTGTGTGTGATGTCCTTCACCTGCAGTCTGAAGTGCTGCTCTTTGCTCCAAAGGGCATGTCAGAATGGCTCAAGTGGAGATATTATGTCAATGTTTATTATTACGGCAAACAGCCAGCACACCAAAACCAGAATTTCTGCATAATTCTTTACATAAATGACAAAAACGGTCAGTATGGGATTTAACAGTGAATATACTAACTAAGTGGACTTGAAATACGTTCAATTGCAGAGAATTCTACCACCTTGTCCTGCTGGCTCTGTAGACCAGGCCTTAATGTGTTAAAATGATCCTCGTTGTTCTACAACAGGCATAGGCAAACTCTGGCCCTCCAGATGTTTGGGACTACAATTCCCATCATCCCTAGCTAACAGGACCAGTGGTCAGGGATGATGGGAATTGTAGTCCCAAACATCTGGAGGGCCGGAGTTTGCCTATGCCTGTTCTACAACATAACTATATTAAGTAGAACACACCCTTTGTATAGCTTTTACCGCTACCGCTTAGAAGTGATGGGCAACTTTTTGTTTTCTCTCCCCCTGCGTTCTTGGTGTGTCTTTCTATTTTATGGGTATGTCTCTGTTCTCCTGGGCCTATTCCTCCTCTGTGTCTCTATATATTTGGCATTTCGGCCTGCCTCCACACACTTGCCTTTTCTTCACATGCCCAAAGAAGGGATTGGGGAAGCGATGGAGAAGGAGGATTGCATCCAGGCTCTGAGTGGCCAGATCTTCATGGGAATGGTCTCGTCCCAGTATCAGGCCCGATCAGATGTCGTCCGCCTCATTGAGGGACTTGTCAATGCCTGCATTCGTTTTGTCTACTTCTCCCTGGAAGATGAGCTCAAGAGCAAGGTAGGCTTTCCCTTGACTTACTCTATCACTTCTCAGTGTTCCTGCAACGGCCATGCCAAAGGCACAGCCACCCCACTCATCCTAGGGCTGGTTCAGATTGCAAGATTATTCCTGGGTTTATATATATATGTTTCTCCCACTTTGGCTATGCTGCTACCATAGTGCCTTTCCTCCACAGGTGTTTGCTGAGAAGATGGGTCTGGAGACCGGCTGGAATTGCCACATATCCCTGACACCCAATGGAGATGTGCCTGGTTCCGAAATCCCTCCTTCCAGCCCCAGCCATGCAGGCTCCTTGCGCGATGATCTACAGCAGGGTGAGCAAATAGCCCTAAGGGGAACGGTGGCTGCAGTGCAAGTGTTTGTTCAAAGCAAATCCATCTGACGATTGAACCAAACCCATGAGATTTACAGTCAGCAACACAGTCACTATTACTAAAGCCAGGCCAAACTTTAGAATAGCTGTTCTATGGGACAGTCCCAGTTCGTTAATTTCTCAAAGCCTTAAAGCCAGGGGCACCAAGGCTTTACAAATAATGTCATATACAGTACAGGCATCCAACTGGTGAAATTCTCCCCATCTGGGTGGGGAAAGCTTTGCCTGTTGAATTCCATGTTGTTATCAAAGGCAGAGGCTCCCTTCTTGGAAACATTAAGACAAGCCTAGTTCTATGCAGAAGCCGTGCCTCTTCTGTCCAATTGGATACCTGAGGTTTTTGCTGCAGCCCATCACATCTGTTTAGTTTTTTGTCATCGCTGGGATATGGTTGTCTTGATTTTCAGCCTTTCCACGTAGTACATTCTTTTTGCGGTCTTTTCCAGCGCAGGAGGAAGGAGACAGACGCTTTAAAACTCAGCAAAGTTCTGAACTGATACTGCCAGCTCTGGTTAGATGAGTCATTTTCAAAACACCTCTTATTTTAGGAGAACCCAGAAAATCCAAGCTTGCTTTTCCAGGCTGTCACAAAGCCACATGAGGGGCGGGGGTGTGCCTTGTGTCGGCGTTTTGGTGTGAGCCTTCCAAGCCGTAACACTGCTTTCTTTCTCTGTCCTTGCCAGTTTCCCGAGAAGATGCAGAGGGACTTCTGCTGATGGAGGAGGAAGGACACTCCGACCTTATTAGCTTTCAGCCAACCGACAGTGACATCCCCAGCTTCCTGGAGGATTGCAATAGGGTGAGGCTGACAGCAGGACACCTTACTTAGGAACCCAAAGCGTTTGACTGTATCTCCCAGCAATGAACTTGATGGCTGTTGTTGCTTCTCTAAACCTCTTGAGAGGCCGTTTACAGCTTAATCATATCCATGTCGACTTAGAAGTCTGTTCCATTTAGGTCACTTACTTTCAGATGAGTGTGTATAGGATTGCACCCTAACAGTCCGCTCCCTTAAATCATCCCTAATTGATTAAGCCTACATAACAGGAGGCAGCAACTTTTTTTGTTTAAGGATGCAGAGGTAGCTGCTGTGGTGAGGGCATCCTTGCAGCTTACCAGGAGAGGGCTGGGGAGGAGGGCAAAGGTGAGGTTGAAGTTAGGGTGGATGCATTAGTGGGAGCCCTGCCAGTGCATCCACACAATCTCACCTTTCCTGCTGCCCTAGCCCTGTCCCAGGTAAGCTGAGGTGCTGCTAGTGTTGAGAGGGTGACTCTGTGGCTCTGCCCTGCAACACTGCCCACTGCTAAAAGAATGCAAGCAGGACGAGTTAAGCTAGTGAATTTATCAGGGTACACTAAACTTGAGCAAGCAAGCTGGGGTCACACATTGCAGGGGGTGTTTCAAAATTGACATGGTCTGTGATGTGCTGGCACATGTCTTTCTTTAGCAGATCATAAAACGGGGGGGGGGGGGGGAGGGAGTACAACACTGGGGAAAATACCACAACATTGAAAACAATGCTTGCTTTCAAAATATTTCCCCCCCTAAATTGCTGCCATCTTCCTTAAAGCAAAATGAAAGATAATGCAACTTAAACTTTGTAGGAGAAAAGTTATTGATTAGGAGATAAAATGGGCTTTTGGATCTATTGCTGATGCTTCAGAAGAAGGGAAAATGATAGTTTAAGTACCATGAACTGACATGCCAGAAGAATAGAGGTGGGGTGGGGTGGATTATTGGAGAGAGAAGTAATACTATCATCTATGAAGGCCAGGATGCTACTTTGAAGTGTCTAGTTTCTCTACTTCAAACTGATCTCTTTCATTCATCTTAGGAATGCTCATGGAAAGGGTTACATTTAATATGCTTCAATTCTCTCTTTTTTTAAAATATAATTTTTATTAACAGGCCAATCAAATAACATTAATTCCAAATCACATTAGTTCCAAATTATAAAGCCAAATTTTTAAAGTTTTTGTTGGGGGTACCCATACTTCAAGCTCCGAAAGGGATCCAAACTTCGCTCTTGCTGCTGCTGCTTTAATTAAACAGTTATATCCAGTTCTGTCCAGATAGTCTCTTTGTTTTTTTCCTCATCTTCTTGTTGTTATCATATATTCCTTTCTTTGTGATCTCTGATAATATTCACAAGCGGGTTACAAACAAACATATTCTGTGGGGGTTTTACACTCTCCAATAGTCATATCACATAAAGGACAGACGCCATTTCCACATCTCCGTAAAAAACATTCCCACAGTCTGTCCGTTGATTTCTACAGGCTTGCCAATCTATGTCTCAGGGGGACCTACCAGGTCAAGATCACATTCCGATAACCATACATTCACATTCCGATGACCCTGGTCCTCCTCCCCCTTGTCCTCCGGCAAGCCTGTCTTAACGGAAGTCCATTTTTAACTGCGTCATAGAACTTTCTTTCCATTTCCCGTTGTTTCCACCAGTCCTCTCTTTGATCAGTAATTCATTTCCGCACAGTTCTTAGCTCCTGCTTGTGATTAGTAATTAGCAACGATTCTTCTCTCTGGAGGGGAGGGTTATTGGTACTCACATAAGACAAAATAAGAAAGGTTTTTTCCTCCCCCCTTTCTGTTTCACTCCAACATACCAGTCTTTTAATGATGATTCTTCACTTGATTTATTTGTCCAACCCGTCACTCCGCACGCAGAGATCCCATTAATCAGCAGTCTTTACTCCCGATCTTCACTTGATGTATGTGCATTAGCTTCTTCCCAATTATATATTTCCAGTTATATGTTTCATGCTAATGCGAACCAGTGCGCGATTAGAGACAGCGTCAGGGAGAGCCAACGTCACCTGAGGGCTTTGTGCCAAGTGTCCTCACCCCCTTCTTTCGAATCCGGGGGTGAATTATGGACACAGCTGGCAAGGCAGTCCCCCCCATTCCCTTGGGGGGGCAGGGAGGCTGCATACTCCCCTCACAGCCTCTTAATTACCCCGTGTGGGTCGGAGAGATGTTATTGTCGGCCATATTCCAATGCGCCCCCTGGTGGCCCCCTATGCTTCAATTCTCAGTGGGATTTGAACCTCTCATCCACCTAGTTTGCAAATCTCTCTTTCTCTCTTACTGGTGGTGTGTAATCCTAAACTAGAGGCCTTCAATAAGTATTTAGTGTTGAGTGACCCACAGTAACTTTTTTCTGCCCAATCATTTATACATTTACCCATAAATTATTCTGGCTGCCTTCATTTTCCCTCGTAAATCACATTTAGGGCTGCAGAATTTGCACTCTGAAGATTACTTTCTATAAGGAATGGCTAGTCTATGTAATTTACACAAGGAAAAACCTTTCTCTTTCTGAGCTGTGTGAGCAGAGAAGTTCTTAATCTGTTGTAATTTGTATTATACACTGTAATATTTGGTGGTAACTAATAGATTTTTAAAAGAAAAATTGTGCTCTTAATCTGGTTTTGCTCTCCTGCTGTTTGCACACTCACTATTTGAAATTTCACTTACCCACCCAAGCCTTGCTATACGCTTCACAGATTCCCTTATCCAAAGAGCTGGCTTCCTTCCTTTTTTTTGAGCTTTGCTGGTTGGTGGCCGCCATTTTGTCTCTCTTTTGCTGATTGGCTGCAGCCATTTGAGGGGAAAACCACAGAGAAATGGGTGATTTCCTGGGAACGCATTGTGTTCGTAAAGTGAGACTTGTGTGTAGTTATGTTGCTGGCTGTGTAACATCTGGGAAGGGCAGAGTGTAGCTTGTTTGGGCGGATTAAGAGCAAGTTAGTGGTTGATGGCAATGAAAATCTTTCTGGCAAATGTCAGTTTGCACTTCCTCCTAACATAGCCCAATTTATCCGGCAATGAACAGGGGTTAGAGCAATCTCATTGCTCTGCCTTATCACTCCAGCTGCGGGGAATCTGATTCATCCTGAGCTTGTTGTTAGCCTTCACCCTCGTCTACCGTCTCCTTGGCTTGTTTAATTGCCGCTTCTTTCACTCCAGGCCAAACTGCCACGTGGAATCCACCAGGTGAGGCCCCACCTGCAGAATATTGACAACGTGCCTTTGCTTGTTCCTCTGTTTACAGATTGCACCCCAGAAAGTAAGTGGATCTCAGGCTAGTGGATTCTTTGTCGCTGAGATGGGGAGATCCGGGTGGAAACTAAGAGGGTGTCAACACACTTAACCCCTTTCCTGGTTCTCTTGCAGCCATGTGTGAGATGATTAAGATCATGCAGGAATACGGGGAGGTCACTTGCTGCCTCGGCAGCTCTGCCAACTTGCGCAACAACTGCCTTTTCCTTCAGAGCGACATCAGGTAAGATCAGGGGTCAGCAGACTTTTACAGCAGGGGGCCGGTCCATTGTCCCTCAGACCTTGTGGGGGGCCGGACTATATATTGAAAAAAATAATAATGAACGAATACCTATGCCCCACAAAAAATCCAGAGATGCATTTTAAATAAAAGCACACATTCTACTCATGTAAAAACATGCTGATTCCTGGACCATCCATGGACCGGATTTAGAAGGCGATTGGGCCAGATCTGGCCCCCGGGCCTTAGTTTGCCTACACATGGGTAAGATCAAGGGTCAGCAAACTTTTTCAGCAGGGGGCCGGTCCACTGTCCCTCAGACCTTGTGGGGGGCCGGACTATATTTTGAAAAAATAATAATGAACGAATTCCTATGCCCCACAAATAACCCAGAGATGTGTTTTAAATAAAAGCATACATTCTACTCATGTAAAAACACCAGGCAGGCCCCACAAATAACCCAGAGATACATTTTAAATAAAAGGACACATTCTACTCATGTAAAAACACACTGATTCCCAGACCGTCCACGGGCCAGATTGAGAAGGCGATTGGGCCGGATCCAGCCCCTGGGCCTTAGTTTGCCTACCCATGGGTCAGATGCACCCAGACTCTGGGTTTCTGGCTTTGAGAAGCTCAGTCTGTCCTCATTCATACCACTCCTTCATCCTGATTCCATTTCTGTGTTGACTTTCTTTGTTTTCTTCCATTGCATCCCCATACAGAGTCCCAGGGAGACCTGAAAAGCACTCCTCTTTTTCTTTCCTTTGCCCTGGGTACAAAACTACCGCTATCTGATACCTCCCTGCAATACCTTTAAGCAGACCAATGTGGAGGAAGTACCTTTTATGCCACATCAGGGCTTTTGACAAAACTGCTTAGAACAAATCCCACGCTGAGCCTGTTGTTGTCTGAAATAGTTGCATAAGGAACATCTGTTCCAACAGCAACCTTTGCCACAGAGTTGCTTGGAAAGGATGTTCTGCCTACAACTATTTTGCAAAATGCATGGCTCAGTGTTGGACTTGGTGGCATCGTTCGGATCTCTGATGTGGGCATATGAGAACCTTCCTCCATACTGGTGGCTCTTGGTCTCCTAAAAAGAATGGGGATTACAATCCCACTCTCCTTGACTGTTGGCCCCGCTGTCTGGAGTTGGGACCCCAACTATCTGGAAGGCCACAGTCTCCTCACCTCGTCCTCAAAGGTATAAAATCTTCTGCTCTTCTGGCAAAGCAGGAATGGGAGAGAAGCAGAGAGGAAAGCAGGTCAGAGCAGGTGCAGCAATCAATTTAGATAAAGGCAAAGGAGACCATTTTGAGCCCTCAAGCTGTTATTGCTTTATTCATCCATCAAGCTTGTTCTGTTAAAAGCACCCTTCTGAAAATCAAAGGGTTTTAAATGAATGACGCAGAGTTTGTTTGAAGAAATAGAGATGGGAAATATTTGTGGGAATTATTTTGGTGGCAGGGAGGCTGGATGCTTAGCCCAGTCTCACACCTCCCCCTCCCTCAAATATCAAAGAAGGCTTATGATTCAGAGATGCTCTTGCTGCTCCTTCGGCCCTCACTGTTCCGTCTTGCCCTTGCTCCTGTACTTGGTAAAGTGCAAACCTTTACATGCTGGGCCAAGTATCCTCAAAGCTGCTTTTTAAACAAGGGAGTTTTGTAAAAGCAGGTTTCCTTTACCATGGCTTTTATGCTGATCTATTTTTTTCTTGGTTTTAGCTGATTTTATTTGATTCTGTGACGTGTGCTATATATTATCTGTAAGCTGCCTCAAATTAATTTTGGAAAGGTGGGGTATACATTTACCAGATAAAGTAATAAAAGGATCAGGCTACAATGCTCCTTACTGCTGACTGAGTAGACCCCTATTTTCCTAGCAGTTCTTTTGTTATGATCTATGATCAGAGTTCTTTATTCAGTCCAATCTGTTCTGATTTCCTGTCTCAGGACACTTCCCTGCAGAGCTGGTGGCCTTGCTGTGGATGGTCCGAAAGGAATCTGCAGCCCCACTAGTTCACTTTTTAAAAAGCATCAATATTGTTGGACACCTCTGTATTTTAGATCAGTTTTGTAACCCCGAGGTGTTTGGCTGGGTGCACCTGGCTTATTACTCCCCATTATGTTTTCCTCTAACCTGTGTAGTATTGTCTGTGCAGCATAGCCCTGGATCCCCTTTACCCCTCTCGCTGCTCCTGGGAGACGTTTGGGTACGCCACCAGCACTAACATGACCCGTATCTCCGATGAGCTCACGCCTCTCCAGCTGTCTGGCCAGCTGAACAGCCTATCGTGCTCCCTGACTATTTATCCGGAAGAAACCATTGGGCTCATCAGACTTATAGAACAGGTAAGCCCCCTTTCTTTTGAGCTGGTAGTAACACAGTTGTGACAATCTCCATCATTTAAATATAACATTTTAGCATCTGTTTGGGCTTCCAGACTTAATAAAATAACTGTTCCATCCTTATTTTTCTTCTTGATGCAGAGAAGCTATTTGGCAGGACAGAACGTTCCAGCCTGTTTTCTTTCCTTTTAAAAGAAAACCTAATTGAAGCTTTCAGTTTTGATCCATATTTTTAAAAGTGGATCTGTTTACTGCACTCATCCTTGGCAATCTATTTACTCATACCTTGCATACTATCCATTTTATATATGCTTTCTTTTAGGCCCGGCATGCAACTTACGGTATTCGCAAATGCTTCCTCTTCCTTCTCCAGTGTCAGCTGACTCTGGTCATAATCCAGGTGAGTTATTCTGAATGGCATCAGGAAGCAGAAAGGACTGATTGCCTTGCAAATCATCTAAGAGGAGGAGAGACCCAAAGGAAGCTGCTTACGTTGGATATTTGCTAGCAGTATTCATTATCCTTGTGTCGTGGAAGGCTGCCCTGATTCTGGCTGAGGTCCAAAGCGTACAATGGAGCATCTTGTAATCGTAAATATTTGGTCCCCAAATTCTTCATTTGGAATAGTATATGCGTGGAAGGCAAAGTGTACTAGCTTTTCTAATTTTGTTCTGGTTTTCAAAATAAAGGATTTTTTGAGAGTGTTTTCTCTCCAAGCACTTAGCAGAGGCTAGCCACACACAGTTCTTCACCTCCCAAAACAGAACTTCCTATCATGTCTTCAGGTACAAGGCCTGGAAGAGTTATGTTAAAATAAGCAGAATGTTTCATTAAAAAAAGAAAAAGAAAATGAAAAGCAGTACAGTGCTGCCCAGGCAACGGAATCCTGTGCACCACATTCTGTGTGTAGCGGCAACTGCTGGCTCCTTAATTGGTTGGTTTTTGCATGTTCCTTGTTGCCATGGCACCCAAGGTGGTGTACTAAAATGAACAAATATGCAAAATTGTTGAACAAACGAGTTCTTTCACGGTCCCTTTGGGATCCAATGGAATGAGCTCCCTGCTCTGGACTCCCTCTCCTTCTTAGTCGCCATCTTGTTTTTACAAGATGGGTGTGATGACTTGCTGGTGGGTGCCCTTCGGTCTTCTGATCCTTCCGCTGATGGTGCCTTTTGCTGTCTTTTGCTTAGTTCCTTTCTTGCCTGGGGCAGCTGCCCCCCATTCTCAGTACCACCGACATTTTGTGGCTTTCCTGCTTCTGCTACCCGTTGCTAAGGTGAGTAAGGTTTCTCGCTGTGATTCACAAGCATGCTCTACTTTGGGGATGCTCGCAGGAGCTCCACTTCTTTCCTAAGATAAAATGGGGCCACACGGGGGACGGGCACCTGGTTTTCATGTTCTGGCCACCACGTTGGAGCCCATGTGGAGTCCATAATGCCTATATGGATCAGCCTTCATGGTGTGGAGAGTTGGCTACGCTAGTGCTGTTCGTCTCTGCTAGTGCTGGCCTGTAGATTCTCTCTCTGCAAAAAAGATGTGCTGAGTTGCTTTTGTCCATTACAGCCCACAGATAATGTTGTACTTCAGCTACCATTGGCCCCAGCCAGCATGCCCAATGGTCAGCAATATTGGGAGTTAACAGACGTTTCCAGAGGCCCACAGGTTTCCTTTATCCCAGCTGCAAGGCTTAAATCTGCTGTTCTTTTCACTAGTTGAGCAGGAACTGTGCTGGGCCTCTGACTTCTGCTGTCTTTTGGGTATGGAGGCAATAAACAAGCGAGCGAGGGGAGGCCTGTTGTGACCTGGTTAACTGTGAACTGGCTTGAAGTGACTTGACAGTGCAGGAAGGAACTGTGTGAAAAGGGCCTCCCCATTAGCTGGCAACAACAACAACAACAACAACAACAACAAAATTATTTATTTATACCCTGCCCATCTGGCTGAGCTTCCCCAGCCATTTTGGGCGGCTCCCAAACGAGTATTAAAAACACAATACAGCATTAAACACAATACAGCATTATGGGGGTTTCATGTGAGTAGTCTCAGCAGGTTCCGTTGTGGTTCTGCTCTAATATCTAGGCTAATTCTAGTTTTGTTTCCTCTTCCAAGTGTGTCCCTCCTGGGCAAGCCTCCTCACAGTTCCATCATGTCCATGGCAACTGGGAAGAACCTGACCTCCATTCCTAAAAAGGTAAGAAAAGGTTACGATGGGGTAGGCATTTGCTAGGGTCCGCGTGTGGCAACGCCGGAAGGTGTGAAAGTAATGTTCTTACCAGCTGCCGACACATGACACCCCAGTGATTGCAATGCTGCAGACCTTGCTAGCATTAGCTTAGCTAAATGTTTAGCATGCTGGAGTCTGGCCTCTACATCAGGGATCAGCATCTTGACAAACAGATGACTTTGGGAAGCCCAATAGCAGGATCAGAGCTCAACACAGCACTCTGCCCCCCCTGTGATTCCCAGTCCACTGGAATACAGACATATGCTGCTTCCTCCAACAGCAGTTCTGGTGTGAGAGAACAAGTCCTGATTTTCAATCTCGCTCGCACTCTTACTTGCTGCTGAAGTAAGAACAAACCTATTTGGTTCAAGGCAGAGCCTGTGCCTCATGCCTGGGCCAGAGCTTCCTTCCTCACATCTCCTGAGGTTGGTTATCCCTGTTCCTTTATCGAGAGAAGGTGGGTTTCAAAGGAACGTGCCTTCGAGAGAAGTGGGCCAGTAGGTGGGAGAAGGGGAGCGTAATATGGAGCATACAGGTTCTTCATTGGTTTAAGGTTTCTGTTGTGAGCCATAGGCTGAAACAAGATGTTATGGGGTGGGGACATGTGGTTGCTACTGAACAAAGTCAGGGAGTCCCTTTTAGAATGATCAATCCTTGGAGATAGTTCAGAATGGTTTTCTGACGGCTCTGGACAAATTCTCTTCCGGCACTGTTTTTGGTTGTCTTGATATACTGGTTGATCTATGAAACTTGGGAGATGACCAGCTTGATTGATGCCATCCCTCCCAAGCATCTCCTCCCATCTAGTAGAGACTGTCTGGCTCTGCCCACCCCCTTAATTGTTAGCAGGATGTGTGTGTGCCTGCGAGGCATGTTTGTGAGGCTGTAGTATGTTTGTTTGTGTGTGTGTATGGTACGCTGGTGGCGCTGTGGGTTAAACCACAGAGCCTAGGGCTTGCCAATCAGAAGGTTGGCGGTTCGAATCCCCGCAACGGGGTGAGCTCCCGTTGCTCCATCCCTGCTCCTGCCAACCTAGCAGTTTGAAAGCACATCAAAGTGCAAGTAGATAAATAGGTACCGCTCCAGTGGGAAGGTAAACGGTGTTTCCGTGTGCTGCTCTGGTTCGCCAGAAGTGGCTTAGTCATGCCGGCCACATGACCTGGAAGCTGTACGCCGGCTCCCTCGGCCAATAAAGCGAGATGAGCGCCGCAACCCCAAAGGCGGTCACGACTGGACCTAATGGTCAGGGGTCCCTTTACCCTTTACCTTATGGTGCCCATCAAGGTTACTCAGCTTTCCAAATGTGCCCACTGGTCCCAAAAGGATCTCTGATGATTCTTTCTGGCTCTCTCAGTAGCAGGAGCCCCTTGCAGGGAGAGGGCTAGGCCAGGGTATCATCCTTTGGTGCCTCCACTTGTTCCTGGGAGGTTGTTAACAACAACAACAACAACAACAACAACAATTGCAGTATTATTTATTATTTCTACTCCAACCATCTGGCTGGGTTTCCCCAGCCACTCTGGACGGCTTTCAACAGAACATTAAAAACAAAATAAAGCTTCAGACATTAAAAACTTCTCTAAACAGGGCCCCAGTGGGTGGTGCATGGCTTTTTCTGCCCCGGAGTTGTTGGGTTTATTTTTAATGATGGTTATGATGATTCATCTCCAGTCTTCCTCTTTCTCTTGGAATACCCGTATTCCTCATTTGGTTATATTTATAATGCAACAGTCCCTGTAGTCCTGCAAAACAGTAGAAGTTCCTTGGGAGGGAGGTGTGGGTTGAAGAGTTGAGCCACCAGCTGCCACACACCCCAGTGACCATCCAGTTTGGGCCTGAGGAGCAGCCCTGGAGGAGTCTCCCGGGGGGGGGGGTGCTCACCCGACCCTCTTCCGCAAGACTGCAGCTGGTAAGCCTGAGGCTTGGGCAGGAGCCGTGGCACCCAAGGCCTGGCCTCCCATTCTTGTAAGTCACTCCTGCCTTCCCGACAATGTCTTGCAGACTCAGCAATACTTCCTGTTCTGCTTCCTGCTGAAATTCAGCCTCACCATCTGCACCTGCTTGGTTTGCTTTGGCTACATGCTGCAGGATTACTGTGCGACCTTCAACTCCTCTGCCTTCAATGTGAATGTCACGGGCTGCTCCTCCATCATGCTGCACAGGTTAGCGGGTGCTCAGGGTCCAGCTCTCACTGAAGTTCCCAAATGCAGTGGTGTCCACCCAGAGGAAGTGTGTGTTGGGATGGTTTTAGCACAGCTTCTTTTAAGGTTTCGTTTGTGGGTGGCACAGTTTGGATTATGTAGACTATGTTGTTTATATAATCATAAAGTTGGAAGGGGACCCCCAAGGACCATCTAGTCCAACCCCCTGCAATGCAGGGATCTCAACTAAAGCATTCATGACAGATTGTTGTTTCTAGTAGCTTTTCCAAAGATGGGTCTAGAAGAGTGGAAAGGCATGGAATACAGGCTTGTGCTACGTTGCCTCTACTCTCAGGTTTCCCTATGCTGATAAGGACTAGAGACTTAGTTTCTTTAAAAAAACCTAAGGCTATGTTTTACACACACACACACACACACACACACACACACACACACGCACTAAATTCAAGAAAGGTCACAAAGAAATTAAACAAAGCAATATAAAGTAGTTAAAACGGCAAAGCCGAAAAGAAAACAGCAATGGAAGTATTAAGAAGTCTTAAAACACCAACTCTGTGTTTTATTAATCGCCCCATAAATCACCACCTCAAGGTGATTTAAAAACAGTTTAAAATGCAAAAGCAACAAATACAGCTGGGGAAAGCCTGTGTGGTGGGGGAACAATTCGGTGGTAACAATTCAACAACGATTTAAGATAATTCCAGATACCTTTTGAAAGGCCACTTTTGGCTTGGGAATCCAGTGGAAGAGGTTGCATTGTGTGACTAACAGAGCCCGCGGGATCTTAGGATTAGCTCACGAGTCCCTCTGAAATCCAGTCTCTTCAAATGGGGTTTGTTGATGCCTTGAACCGTGATCCACCGCCCCTACGTTTGCTTTTTCAGTAGTGCAGAAAGCTCCCCCGACTGGTTTGGAAAATTTTCCAGCATCCTTCTTCTGGCCCAGAAGTTCACTGCTGGGATGATTGTCTTACATACTGGTAAGAGATTTCCATTCCTCCTTGCTTGCTGTACTGAAGGGGTGGAGGGGGGCTTGCAGCTTGCCATGGCATGCATGCAGCAGGGGTCAGGAGTTTTATCGATGTCCCAGCTGAAGGCAGATGTAAAACCAAACATCTTGACTCTCTGGCCAGTTTGATCAGTTGGCTTAGTCTTCCCCAACCCTTGGCTGTTTAACTGCATAAAAACAGGCAGGACGATTTCAGAAGGGGCGCTAGATAATTGTGTGGAGAGGGTGTGGAGTCAGGGGCTGCCAGTCAATGGTAGACTATCCTGGGTTTTGGAAACATCGCTGCTTTCTTCTTTTCTTTTTGCTGAAAGCCCAGCAAGGTTACCTTGTGATTGGCTTTCTTGGATGATGAGCTTCAAAAACCACCACACTCTCGGGGATTTGTGCCCTCTGTATCTCTGGCAAGTCCACACATTAAAAAAAACAAAAACCTGTTGGTATTTCTTTACAGTGTTTATCTCTGTCACCCACGTCCATCGTACCAAACCACTGTGGAAGAAAAGCCCCTTCACTAACTTCTGGTGGACTCTGACAGTTGTCATTGTGTGAGTATCCTTTTCTGATTCCTCTAGGTGACTCTCTTCCCCCCTGTCTTTATCTCAAATTATTCCATCTTCTGCTGTCCATTCTTCTCTTGAAGCATCAGTCTTTTTTCTTCTTCTGTGTGCATTTCTGCAGTGCTATGTCTTTCTGGCTCTTGACATCAAATTCTTCCTTCCCATAGCCTCGGATATCATCACGTCCCTCTCTCTGGCTTGGCTGTTATGCCATGAGGCTGTCATCACCCCACTCCAAACTTCTAAAATGTTCATCCAGGAAAAGCGACTTCTTTGGAGATGCTGCCCACTTGGGTATGCCTGTCCCCATGATGCTGTGTTTTCTGTGGAGGCTGTTCACTACCTTAGGAGATCCTTTCCCCATTGGCAGGTTGTACTCTGGTTGCTGGTGGAAGAGGATGCAGAGTGGAGGAGAGAGCCCTGGGACAGAAGGCTGGACGTGCCCCTTCTATGTTTTTCCAAGTCTTGCTTTGTTTTTAATGGCAGGCTGCTGGGCCAAGTCATCCAGACTCTCCTGGACCTGAAGCTCTGGGTGAACCTCGAGTCTCCAGTGACCTACAAAATGGATGACATTCCCATGGCCTCCTGGCTGTTGGGTTTGCTCTCTCTTATCCTTGTTGTGATCATCAATGAGACTGTCAAACTCCATGAAATCAGGTAAGGGAGCCTTGCCATGAGGTCTTGCTTAAAGGTAAAGGTAAAGGGACCCCTGACCATTAGGTCCAGTCGTGGCTGACTCTGGGGTTGTGGTGTTCATCTCGCTTTACTGGCCGAGAGAGCCGGCGTGCAGCTTCTGGGTCATGTGGCCAGCATGACTAAGCCGCTTCTGGCAAACCAGAGCAGTGCACGGAAACGCTGTTTACCTTCCTGCCGGAGTGGTACCTATTTATCTACTTGCACTTTGACGTGCTTTCGAACTGCTAGGTTGGCAGGAGCAAGGACTGAGCAACGGGAGCTCACCCTGTCGCAGGGATTCGAACCGCCAACCTTCTGAACGGCAAGTCCTAGGCTGTGTGGTTTAACCCACAGCACCACCCGCGTCCCAAGGTCTTGCTTAGCACTCTCCATAAGAAGTTCCCAAAGTTCTCCTAGTGTTTTGCATGACATGGTCTTGATAATCCTTGCTACAACTTTGTAAGGCTGGCCTGCCAGCCAGTATTATTTCCATGTTACAGATGGAGCGTAGTGGGCTGGAGAGAGGGAGGGAGAGGCATGGCTAAGGCCAGCTAGCAAGTTCATGGCCAAGGTTAGATATGAACCAGAACTGCCCAGCTGACAATTATCTCAAGTGCCTTACGCTATACCAGCTGTTGGGTGCTTTTAGGCCATGCTGGCATTTTGAAGTTGATGTGAGAACCACTCCTGCTCCCCAAGAAGGAATGATAAGCAAGAGAACCCCATACTTGCATCTCCTCCAAGGTGCTATCTATGATCACATCACACCTGCAGGGTAATAACAGGCCAGTGAAAGATGAATGCAGCCATGCTGCTTGCTGTGTGAGTGGGTCATGTTGAAGCATCTCTTAGCTACATCCTCTAGGTTGGAAGACTGCCACTAAGGACAAGGCAGACATTGCTGGGTCAAATCACAAGGTCACCCTAGTCCAGCAATGCCATTTTCAACACAGTGAACCAAGTGACTCTGCAAACCCACAATTGAGGTGTGGGGTGACGACGCTCTATGGGTTTGCTACCCTCCCTTTCTCCATTTATTTTAATATCCAAAGGCCCTGATGAAACCCCTTCACCTTCAGGGCCCCTCTGCCAATGGGAGCTGAGCAAGTCATAGATGACATCCTGTTCCGCAGCTGAGTTAACTGTTCCTGTGCTGTGCAGCAAACTTCCTGGTATCTAAATTAGGGTTCCTGGAAGGATAAAATTGCTACCTGACATCTCTCTGACCCGTCCCCTTGATATGCTGTTGTCTTGGCAACAGGGAAATACGCATTGAACTGCCTGTTTTTCTGGCTGCCTCCCAAAATGGTTTGGGGGCACTATAAAATGTCAGTAGCTGGGTCAAGCAAGGGCAGGATACTCACAGTAGCCATCTCCTCTGGTCTGTCTTTGGCATTTGCCCTTGGGAGATTCCCTCTGATCACGGAGGCGCTGTTCTTAACCGTTGTAGGCAATGGCTGCATGCTGCCCCACTGCTCTCCTTGGAAGCATGAGAGTCTTTTAATTCGCAGGATATTTATTTGAGGGGGAGGAGAGAGAGAGCGGTTTTACAGCTGTCATCACATCGGCACCCAAATGAGCCCAAACTGGGTAAAAAAAGCATTCTGCAACCTGACTTTACCTGATTAAAATCTTACAAAAAAAGAAGCAGGTTGGTTCATTTTGTAGATCTCGTTTCCCATGCTGTGTTGCAAATGAGGCTGGCAGCTAGAAGAAACATTTTAAGGCATTTTTTAAATGAAGGTGGGAAGGGGAGAACAGGCCTAGGTTTCTTATTCTGCAGCCATAGGTGTCTCCACCCCCCAAATGCTTTGGCTGCAGCCCCATTGGGATTGAGCCCCTTTGAAATTGGTGGGATCTACTCCTAACTTAAAAGTAGGTGTAGTTGTATTGCAGGGGGTTGGACTAGATGACCCTTGTGGTCCCAACTCTACAATTCTTTGATTCCATGATTCATTCATTCTCTCTCTCTTCCCAGGGTTCGTGTACGTTACCAGAAGAGGCAGAAGCTGCAGTTTGAAACCAAGCTGGGCATGAATTCTCCATTTTAATCCCCACAAGTAGGACGTGCCCTGGAAGGCCTAGGGGCTGCATGTTCCCTTCTCACACAACCTTGCCACCTTGCTGAGAGAGGAAAGGAAAAAAGCACCCAGCCTCATGTGTGAATCCCTCTGGTCAGTGTGGATCAGAAGAGGCCAACCCCTAAGAGTGGGGAGAGCTACATCTTGAACGCTGGTGAAGATTCAGTGCCTGGCATGAAAGCGTTGGTGGGACATGGACTGCTGCTATTCCTTCTTTAAAATTTATTTTTACACCTCCTTCCCTTGGAGCTCCTTGGGATCCAGCAGATTGACACCTTGGATTGAAGAGCAAGGAATTCTCATTTGACACTCCCCACCCCCCGCCGTTCATAATTTGACTAGGTTATTTTTCTTTGTCCTTCTTGCCCCCGCCCCCCGACTTCCCTGTCGATCTCATCTGTTCATTTGTTGCGATGCTGCTTGCCCTAGGGCATTTTGGGTATAAGCGCTGCACCCACCCAGGAGGGAATAGGAGCAGCTGGCTTGCTAGCTGGCCCTGCAGAAGTACCCACCCCCAGCTGCAGTCCCTGTGACCCACAGAACAGCCCTTCGCCTGGAGGCTGCCCTCTTGTGGAAGATGAAGCAGAGGGGCAGGATGCCAGGGAGGTTTGCTGCTATGAGTACAAAGGCAGCCCTTCTCCAGTTAAATACCTCTGGGATGTAAAGTATGTAATAACAGAGTTAATAGGCCAGACCCTTTGCCACCGTCATGAGAGCACCCTTTTAGTGATGGAATATTGTGGATATACCTCAGCCCTGGCCACGTTCCATAAGGAGGCTGTCTTTTAGTGCTTAATACTGAAAGGGCTGGGATTGTGTGTTTTTCTTGTACACCTACTCACTGTTTGATAAACCTTGTGAGTGACCGAGGTCTGAGAAGTCATGTGGTTTTGTGTGCTTGCATGGGCACAGAATACAAAGGCGTGTGGGCCAGATCTGAGTCTGGATTGACGGATTGCTTGATCTTTCACTTTTTCCTCATTGAAAAAGTGCTGTGTCTACAAACCGCCTCTTGGCTGCTTTGAATGAAGGATGGCAGATGAGGCTGAGCATGGTTCCTCTCTCATATCCATGGGCTAGACTTGGGATCTTGGTTGCATTTTGTGCTTGCTCCACTGTTTTGGGGCATCGCTGCTCGAGCCTGGCTGGTTAACTTGGAGACATATAGCATACTATTCCATGGTCTGTTTCCCTAAACACAGGGAATTAAGTCTGGGTGGATTCACCACGCAGTGCTGGGAATCTGCATCGTCCTCAATCCACCCTCTCTCTTGCCTGCCAATTTTAGCTGTGGTGGATAAACTCAGGCTGTTGCTTTTGGCGGGAAGAAATCAGAACTACCTCTGTTGGCCAACCTCTGCTCTATTTATGGACAACACCAGGGACAGCTGCCTTCTCTGCAAGACCAATCACTTAGATAACAGGGCATGTGTTGTTTGGGAGTAGGTATTTTGGGCTACTGTGGACGGGCTGTTGAGTATTCAGGGCTCCATGGGGGATCTGCTCTACCTGGTAGGGTTTTGGCCTAGGCAATCCAATTAACCTCGTCCTAGAGTTGTTTAAAAGCACTGACCCACCCTAGCATGGTAGTTAGAAACTTGCCAAGCCTTCTTAAGGAAACAAGGGCAAATCAACCTTTTGGCGGGAGGGATACTTTTATCCTTCCACAGCAGACAAAACGACATTTTACTTTGCTAGATTAGAAAAGAAAAAAATCATAGGTTTAGGCCTGGCTGGAGGTAGTGGTGATGGAAGGAGAAAAGTGATACCTGGAGGATTTTAAGAAGCTTGTAGTACAGCCTTCCCCAGCCTGGTGCCCTCCAGATGTTTTAGGTGACAACTCCCATTAGCTGCAGACATTTTGGCCATGCTGGCTTGGGCTGGTAGAAGACACATTCCAAAACAGCTGGAGGGCATCAAACTGGAAAAGGTCGGTGTGGTTAAGGTCAGAGGATGTTCCTTTAAGCCCCCCTGCACATGGCAAAGTTCTCAAAAGCTGTGGCATGTATGCTGACCAGCTGGCTGTGACTGGGAAATCGGCCAATATCCTATGTTTATATTTTTAAAAGCGGCTATTGTTTAGAAACTGTTAAAAACACATTCTCCCTCCCACTTTCATCATTGCTGTTCCCACGTAGCTCAAGGTTTGCTGCCTTCTCACTTGGCGTGATGATGTATTGTATTGCTCCCCACGGGCAAAGAGCTTTGGGGAATGGGCTGTGTTTCACCTTGGTACTAACCAGCAACAGTCCTCTACTAGTTTCAGAATTGGCAATGGCTTCAGTGGGTCAGGATTTGCACCCCTAGCTTGAGGCCAGCGGTGCTTGGCATGTGCCAGTTTTGGGTCTCTGGTCCCAGGCTAAGTTGTGGGTGGTTTGTGCAGATTTTGTATTTGGAAACTGGACTGATTTGCTTTGGGTGACAGACACTTGGGTAGCTGCATTTAAGCAACTGCCTTCATCCTTCCCTTGTTCTGAACCAATTGGGAGTCCTTGATGCCTAAAAGCTGTTTGCCGCAATATTTTTTCCTTAAGTGATTTTAAAGCTTTACACCTGATAAACTGTCTCGGGCAGTTTCCCTGCTAGACAAGGCACTTTCTGTAGACTTTTGTCTGTGGTGGTTGATCACGCTGAAAAAGATTCCCCTCCCTGCACTTCATGCACTCTTTCCCCTCCTCAATTGTACTCCACTGGAGTCAGATAATGAGCCTTTTCAATGGCTTTCTCTTGAAAGTCCATGTTGCCTTGCTGCCTCCCCCACCCCTCCGGCCACCCCCTCTTCCTCCTCGTCCAGCCAAGGCGTCAGAAAGGTGTGAGGCGTATGGCTTTAGGAAGGAGTTTCACCCATCCAACTGTTTTTAAATGGTGTATATTTTATATTTAAACTTTTCTGGGGATGTATGTAAAAAAAAATAGATTTGTATGAAAACTTGTAAATTGTACAAAAAGGAACAAAGAGCACCTGATATGAATGACAATAAATGATTGTCTTTGATACAGTAAATTTTTGAGAGGATTGGCATGTCTGCTTTGTAATGTATGCTATCTCAGGAATCCTTATAACAGTCTTGTCAAGTAGACCAGAATTCTTACAGCTAGTCTAAGGCCACCTATTGACTTCATCAGTGTGGTGAGATTTGAATCAGATGCTTTTTGGCTTATCTCTTCCACACTGGCTGTAATCCTATGCATACTTAGCTGGGAGTAACTCCTATTGAACTCAGTGGGGCCTACTTCGGGGCAGACATGTATAGGTTTGCACTGCCAACTGCTAAGCTATGATATCTCTATCTCCATGATTTTGTGACTGTACTGGGAAATATCTGCCAACTGGCTTGAGTTTGTGTGACATCTTTGTTCTTTGGTAAAATCAGTCCAAGCCCCCAGAGTTTTCTTGATCAAATACTGCTTCCTCCTTCTAGCTGACAAGAAGTTACATGCTGAGATGGAGAGATAGACGAGGCAAAATGGGTTCGAGCAATCAATATGCTTTGCTAATGGAAGTGATGGAGGTTCTAGTACTGTGGCTTATATTACTTATGTCTTTGCCAGCCGCAGACATTGGTCTGGTTCGCACATTAAACCATAGCTAAGAGCAAACAAAGCTTTAACGTGAGCATGTGGTGTGCTGCTGCAAAGGTCAGAGTGATCCTGTTGTGCTGTGGACATCCACACCCAGGGTTGTGGTTTATTCCTCTACCCAAGCAAAGCATGAACAGTAATCAGTGTTTGTTCCTGGCTTGCTGCTCATGATTTGGTTGGGAAAACAAACCATGAGCTCAGGTTCGGAGAATCACAACAAGCCAAGCTCTGGCTTGTTTCATCTGCAGTGCCACAGGAACAGAGTGAGACCTTTGCAGTGTGCAGTAGCAAATTGCACATTCACATTAAACCTTCATTTATTAATCTTAATTTGTTTGGATGATATGCAGGCTGGACCTGTTATGGCTGATTCTCACTTTAAGCATTGTGTACATACACTTTAGCTGATATGAAGGATACTTTTATCTTTCTTTAAAATACTGGAAAGTAGGTGCCCAGTTTTTTCCTTATGGCTCCTTTTGAATATTTGAAGCGGCACACATCAAGTGTTGCACACTTAAGGCATGCTCATATTTTTGAACTTAGGTAGCCATGTTGTTGTTTAGTCGTTCAGTCGTGTCCAACTCTTCGTGACCCCATGGACCAGAGCACGCCAGGCACTCCTGCCTTCCACTGCCTCTCGCAGTTTGGTCAAAGGTAGCCATACTGGAGTACAAAATATTCATTGAGCATTGATATTTGGTGGTGTCCGAAATGACTTCTTTTTCCTGAGGATGTGACAGCTCTACTTGATACACAATGCATCTGACTGATTGAAAAGAGGAGACTCAGGAAGCCAAGTACATCTGTCAAAAGGGAAAACGATTCCCAGTGTTTAATACCATAAAGTTGCTGTTTATGTTAGTTTAAAACAAGAATTCATGATTAACACAAACAGACTAGATGATTTAAAAACTGCCTGGCTGGTGTTTTGCCTGGACTAATTTCCCAAGCCAGTTCCTGCTACATAGAGCAGGTGGGGCCAAGGCTGGTTAGACACAACTGCATCCATACATAATTTACACAGCATACAATATATTTAAAATAAAGAACTAGCTCTTAAAAAATAAGCATTTTGGACAAAAAGGGAAGGGGGAATGAATTTTTGTCATTAGTGATCACAAAGAACAGCATTTTACTGCCCCCTAGTGGCTCAGACAGTAATGTGGTTCCACCCGCAACTCTAAAATACAACAGCACTCTGGTTAGTAAATATACAACAAATCCACATTTAAAAAATATATACATTTCTTTTAAAAAATTACAGTTTTATCAACAGTTGGGGGAAAGGATGCATCCCAAATCAACTACTGTGAAATCCAAACCTCTTTTCAAAAAGGCTTAATGAACCTTTTTATAAAGTGCCACTGGTTGCAGCAATTCTTTAA